AGAGGTGTATAATTTTTATGAAATAAAATATGTACCGGTCAATTGCGTTTTCCCATATTGTTCTCTCTCTCCATCGTCCTTCTCCACTCTCTGTTTCAGGTGGTTAGAGCCTTCCTGTTAAGGAAATCACTATTTTTGTCCACGTCAGGGCACTGTGTGCGAAACACGACAGATAAAAGAAAATACCGTATTGGCCCGAATATGAGCTGCACTTTTTTTTCCCTTCCAAATTCCGACCGTGAAAAGTTAAAAGTGTGTCTTAAATTTGCAACCTTACAAAAATTGGCTTTTACGGTATCGCTGCTGAAACAGACATACAGTAAAACGAAACGGGTGTGAGTGCCTGTGGAATTTTAAGGAAGTGGCTTATATTTGGGTCTTGTCTTTTTTTCTCTCTCCCCCCCCCCCCAAACTTTAAAGGTGCTGCTTATATTCGGATGCGGCTTATATTCGGGCCAATACGGTACTTTTTCACACAGTGCGTGGTTAATCTATGAAACTCCCTCCCACAGGACGGCTTTAAAAGGAGATTGGACAAATTCATGGAGGAGCTTAGGGCTATTGATGGTCCGAGGCAGCAATGTTTCTGAATCCCAGTTGCTGGAAACCAGCAACTGCGGGTTTGGGCTGGGTGTCCATCAATATGCGGATGATACCCAGCTCTACCTCTCCTTTAAATCAGAACCAGTGAAGGCGGTGAAGGTCCTGTGTGAGTGTCTGGAGGCGGTTGGAGGATGGATGGCAGCTAACAGATTGAGGTTGAATCCTGACAAGACAGAAGTACTGTTCTTGGGGGACAGGAGGCGGGCTGGTATGGAGGACTCCCTGGTCCTGAATGGGGTCACTGTGCCCCTGAAGGACCAGGTGCCCAGCCTGGGAGTCATTTTGGACTCACAGCTGTCCATGGAGGTGCAGGTCAGTCCTGTGTCCAGGGCAGCTGTTTACCAGCTCCGCTGGTACGCAGGCTGAGACCCTACCTGCCCGCAGACTGCCTCGCCAGAGTGGTGCATGCTCTGGTTATCTCTCGCTTGGACTACTGCAATGCGCTCTCCGTGGGGCTACCTTTGAAGGTGACCCGGAAACTACAACTAATCCAGAATGCGGCAGCTAGACTGGTGACTGGGAGCGGCCGCAGAGACCACATAACACCGGTCTTGAAAGACCTACATTGGCTCCCAGTACGTTTCCGAGCACAATTCAAAGTGTTGGTGCTGACCTTGAAAGCCCTAAACGGCCGCAGCCCAGTATACCTGAAGGAGCGTCTCCACCCCCATCATTCTGCCCGGGACACTGAGGTGCAGTGCCAAGGGCCTTCTGGCGGTTCCCTCGCTGCGAGAAGTGAGGTTACAGGGAACCAGGCAGAGGGCCTTCTCGGTAGTGGCACCCGCCCTGTGGAACACCCTCCCACCAGATGTCAAAGAGAACAACTACCAGACTTTTAGAAGACATCTGAAGGCAGCCCTCTTTAGGGAAGCTTTTAATGTTTGATGAATTATGGTAGTTGAATATTTTATTGGAAGCCGCCCAGAGTGGCTGGGGAAGCCCAGCCAGATGGGTGGGGTATAAGTAATAAATTATTATTATTATTATTATTATTATTATTATTATTATTATTTATTAATTATTATAAAGCACAGGAAGGGAGAGTTGCTCTTGTGTTGAATCCTGCTCCCTGGTTTCCCACTGGCACCTGGGCAGCCACTGTGAGAACAGGATGCCGGACTGGATGGTCCTGATCCAGGAAGGCTCAGCTTATGCTCTTAACGTTCAGAGATGAGAAGGGAGCTTGCCTTTGGACAGCTGCTTAATGCACGTGGAAGAAAGCCCTGCGGGCTTTCAGGAGATGAGTTTCCAGTTGATTAAAAAGATGCAAAGCCCCCTCTGTTCAGTGAAAAAGAGGCGATGGCTTGACTAACCCAACTGGGAAATGTACCCTTAATAAAAAGGTGCCCTCGTTCATGTTTGTGGCGGCATTTTCTTTGGCGGTGGAGGGGGAGAGGATAATTAAAACGGTGTTATTGCTTGTTGCAAATTCCAGAGGTGGGAACCCAGTGGCAAAAAGGCAACTTTGAGGGCACACAAATAGACTGCGGCGCTACAGAGATGGGAGCGCAGGTGACAAAATGTGCTCTTTCCCAGGAAAGCAAATTTGCCGCAGCATCCTTCAAGGGATGGTGGAGTCTCAGGTGCAGTCGCTGGCATCTCCAGGTAGCGCTTGTCCGAAACCCTGGAGAGGCGCTGCCAGTCAGTGTTGGAAATACTAAACTACATGGACCAGTGGTCCAACTCTGCACAAGACATCCGTCCCTAAGCAAATAAGTAGGAAGCCGGGCTGAATGTAGTTTGAACCTAGGAGCAACAGCTTAAGCCTTTAAGAAAAACGAGGAAGGGCTGTAGAGCTCAGTGGTGCAACGTTTGCTTTCCATGCAAAATGTCTTAATAATAATAATAATAATAATAATAATAAATTTTTATTTATACCCTGCCCTTCCTGGTTCAAAAACAGGGCTCAGGGCGGCTAACAACAAATTTACAACACTTTAAAAAACTTAATTATAAAAGCAGCATAAAATACAGTATAAAAACATGAATAACAATAAAAATCAAAAATCAATCAGATAATCCCCAGGGCTAGCTGGCTGAATTGGTCCTACCTGGGCCAGCGAGGAGGCCAGGGGAGAATTAGCTGTGGGGTCTCAGAGCGGGTGATCTTCATAAAAGGGGAAGGGGAGGGAACAGAAGGGAAATGAAAGATCAGGCTGAATTCAAATTAAAGGCCAGGCGGAATAGCTCTGTCTTACAGGCCCAATGGAAGGAGGTTAAATCCTGAAGGGCCCTAGTCTCATGGGACAGAGCATTCCACCAGGTCGGAGCCATCACTGAGAAGGCCCTGGCCCTGGTGGAGGATAGTCTGACTTCCTTAGGGCCCGGGACTTCTAAACTATGGTTATTCATGGACCTTAAGGTCTTCTGCGGGGCAGACCAGGAGAGGCGGTCCCATAGATACAAGGGCCCTAAGTCTTGTGTTTGGTACTTGTCATTTCCAGGTAAGGAGGGGCAGGGGAAACTCCTGCCTGAATATTATTATTATTATTATTATTCCTTGTTGCCCTGGGCATTTTAGACTAATAGTTGCAGCCACTTTTTTCTCTTTGTTAGCTTCTCTGTTTTTAGCCTGCTTTTTCGTTCACACTTTTGTGTGTGTGTTTGTGTGCCAAAGAGAGGGAATGATCTCATCCGTTGCATTTCGGTGCAGCGGGAACTGTTCTTGTACTTTCGTCCGGCAGCCTGGAATCCTCGGCTGAATCGCAGTTCAGAAACATTTTACGCAAGTAACAACTTCGTTCTATCTGCTGGCGCAAAGGCCGCCTTCTTCTGGGTGATGGTGTGCCTTAGTTGAGGGAATTTTTGTCGTTCTCGACTCCTCCACCACTAGAGGAGAAAACGGTCACGAGTCAGGACAGGGGCAGAAATTCGATCCTGTTCTCCTTTGAAGCCAATTCTGCCCCATTCACACTTTCTGAGATGATACATGAACCAAACACACAGCCATCTTTCAAAATTCACACGTTGGCGCATTTTGCTCCTCAGCCCTCCAGCCAAGTAATGATGAGAGGAATGCGTAGAATGGGTTAAAAGGTTCCTTTGAAAAAATGCTCACATTGACGACTATAACATTGAAAACACGCTTCCTTGTTTTTTCCTCACCTGAAAGAACTGTACAGTGGTACCTCAGGTTAAGTATTTAATTCGTTCCGGAGGTCCGTTCTTAACCTGAAACTGTTCTTAACCTGAAGCACTACTTTAGATAATGGGGCCTCCTGCTGCTGCGGCGCCGCCGGAGCACGATTTCTGTTCTCATCCTGAAGCAAAGTTCTTAAACTGAAGCACTATTTCTGGGTTAGCGGAGTCTGTAACCTGAAGCGTATGTAACCCGAGGTACCACTGTATGGTGAATATATCAAAAACAGCAGGGGCAAATGTTTGACACACGAAGGGGTATGTTTTTAGGATACACCTTATTTTTGCGACTGTTGTTTCAGGCTGCTTTTAATGTTGCGTTTTTAGTCTTGTAATATGCCCTGGTACCTTAGGGCAAGGGGCAGGTAATAAGTAATAATAGGGACAATATTAGGGATAGTGTGCTTTGCAAAAGTGTGTCTATTGGGAGGTAGGTAAAGGTAAAGGGACCCCTGACCAGTAGGTCCAGTCGTGGCCGACTCTGGGGTTGCGGCGCTCACCTCGCTTTATTGGCCGAGGGAGCCGGCATACAGCTTCCGGGTCATGTGGCCAGAATGACTAAGCCGCTTCTGGCGAACCAGAGCAGCGCACGGAAACGCCGTTTACCTTCCCGCCAGAGCGGTGCCTATTTATCTACTTGCACTTTGATGTGCTTTCGAACTGCTAGGTTGGCGGGAGCAGGGACCGAGCAATGGGAGTTCACCCAGTTGCCGGGATTCGAACCTCCGACCAGTCACGTTGAAATGCTGAAGAATTTTCATGAGGATTTTAAAAGACACAGAGAATCTCAAACTTATATGTAAATGTGGAGAACCAGACTTAGAAGACTGGGGATATGGGAAACAGAAATTGAGAGGGCTTCCCATTCCTAGTTGCAGGCCACCTCCTGCGTTCTATATTTTTCTTTTAAAGGTGGGATTAAAACAATAATAATTGTAATTATTGGTTTGGGTGCAGTGTTTCTCAGCTGTGGTTGGACGAGGTCAGGGATGATGGGAGTTGTAGTTCAACACTGGGGGTAGGCCATGGCGAAGTTCTTCTCCCATCTTCTCGTGGCCAGCAGCATCTGAAGTTGCGTGTGCTTCTCATCCTTTCCAGTGATGGTACCCGTGGGAAGAGATGCTCAGATGCCCAGCCCTCTGGGCCGCAGGTGAGCAGGAGGAGGTGGAGCTGCTGGTCTCCCAGTGCCGTGACCCCGAGGTTCCCGCGCAGTCTCCAAGCGGCTCGCTCAGACATCCACGGGGAAGGCCCGGAACACGATGAACAAACTGAACTTCCACAATAACAGAGTCATGCAGGACCGACGCAGCGTGTGTGTTTTCCTCCCCAACGACCATTCCCTCAACATCATCATAAACGTGAGTGGGCCGTCTCAAGGCTGCCTCTTTCTTGCCATTCCCCAGGGGCCTGTCACAAGTACCGTATTTTTCGCTCTATAGGACGCACCGGACCATAGGAGGGGGAGAACAGGAAAAAAAGATTCTCCCCCTCTCTGCTCAGCTTCCCTTCAGCGAAGCAGTAGAAGAAACGGAGCCCCTTCCATTTCTCCTCCCGCTTCACTGAAGGGGTGCTGCGCAGAGAGGGAAAACTCTGAAGCGCCTCTCCAGCGAAGCGAAGCCTGGAGAGCAAGAGGGATCAGTGTCCCCTGACCCCTCTCGCTCTCCAGGCTTCAGGCGGCTATCCGCAAGCCTTTGGAGTGCTGTGGGAACTCCTGCTGTGCTCCGAAGGCTTGCGGATAGCTGCCTGAAGCCCCTGGAGCGCAGTGGGCGTTCCCTGAGCTCCGGGGGCTTCAGGCAGCTTCAGTGAAAGCAACGCGAAACCTCCGGAACGCGGGGGGAGCTCCCCCTCTGCGCTTCGGAGGCTTTGCGTTGCTATCGCTGAAGCCAAGGAGCCTTCATTCGCTCCATAGGACGCACACACATTTCCCCTTCATTTTTGGAGGGGGAAAAGTGCATCCTATAGAGCGAAAAATACGGTATGTGCCCCCCAACTTTTCCTTCCCCCTTTCTGAGACCTGGGTGAAGTAGACCTTGCTCAAGCACTGTCTTGGTGCATGGGGGGGCATAACCCCCCCAGGTCCAACTGTCTAGAGCAAGGTGGGCTATACTGGCAGGTCTCTGGGAAGGGGGGAAATTTGCAGAGTTGCCCTGGGCTTTGAAAGCTAGGTGTGTTTGCAGGGGCCACCCTATTCCTGGGGCTGCAATCTGTTTTAACTGCTTTTAATTCTGAATTTTGAATAGCTCTGGGACCTGATGGTGAAGGGCAGGTAATAAAACTGCCTTCGTCGTCATTAGTCATCTCCCCCCCCCCCCAAAAAAAATTTGAACTCGAAGCAATTTATAAAAGCAAAGGTGATAAATAAATATAAAAGCAGGAATAAAATCAACCTAAAATAACAGTAACATACAGTGGTACCTTGGTTCTCAAACTTAATCCATTCCGGAGGTCTGCTCCAAAACCAAAGCGTTCCAAAACCAAGGCGCGCTTTCCCATAGAAAGGAATGCAAAATGGATTCATCCGTTCCAGACTTTTAAAAACAAACCCTAAAACAGCAATTTAACGTGAATTTTACTACCTAACGAGACCATTGATCCATAAAATAAAAGCAATAAACAATGTACTGCAGTCACACAATCAATCAATCAATCAATCAATCAGTATCTGAACTGGGTTCCACACAGTCACAAAACCAAAACCAAAAGAGCCGCAGAAACGAAAACGCAAAACGAATAGCATAAACAGACAGACCTCCAGCACAACACTCAAATCGGAAGCGTAACACTCAAAACGGAGCACGTTCGGCTTCTGAAAAAGTTTGCAAACCGGAAAACACTTACTTCCGGGTTTGCAGTGTTTGGGTTCCAAGTTGTTTGAGTACCAAGGCGTTTGAGAACCAAGGTACCAGTTTACATAAAAGAACAAACCCAAATCCCCCCCCCCCCCAAAATACACCAAGAATTAAACTCCAAGGGCTTGGGTGTGTAAGCATGTTTTTCCCTGATGCATAAAAGCAGATAGTGAGGGATCCAGGCATGCCTTCCTGGAGACAAGCAGTCCATAAATGGGGAGCCACCACTGAGAAGACCCTTTCTCATGTTGCCACCTTCAGTTCCTCCCTCAGAGGGGCCACGTGGAAGGGACTCTGGTGAAGAGCATGGGGTCCAGGTTGGTTCACGTGGGTTGAGGGTGTCCTTGAAATATTGTGGTCCCCAGCTGCATAAGGCTTTCTGGGTAAAAACCTGCTGTTTGCATTGGGCCCAGAAGCAGCCAGAACACCTGTGCCAAAACTGGTGTTACTCAGCAATCTAGCCGCTGAATTCTCCACCAGCTGCAGTTTCCGAACCGCCTTTGAAGGCAGCCCCACCTATAACACATTGCAGTAGTCTAACTTAGAGACCATAGATGACGGATGTTAGGTTACCCCTGGCCAGTACACAAGCAAAGATTCTCTTACTCTTGGTAGTTTAATTACAGCAACACTAAATGACTCTCCCCAGCCTGAATTATTAGGCTGCCAAAATGAAGAGCTGACAGTTTAAAAGGCCTGTCTCTCTCAGCCCTTTCCTGGCTGGCTTCCGCAATAGCCAGCCTTCTAAATTTTATCCAGAACAGTTTTGCTCCTGTCCCTTCTTTCATGGGGTTTGGACCTGTGACCAGGGCCGGATTTAGGTTTGATGAGGCCCTAAGCTACTGAAGGTAATGGGGCCCTTTATATGTCCAGCTGTCCTTTGTCAACAACAAATTGTCGCTGTTTTTGTGTTGAATATATGCTATATGATCATTTAAGGACCTGATGGGTATCTCAAGCCATTTGCACATGTTGCCGTGCAACCAGTTCATGCAGAATGTAGGCACCCTATATATAGAAAGGAGCAAACCAGTGATATTTGAGGGAGCAGGCTAGCAGGCGGGGCCCATGACTTACATCACAGGAGCCTACACAACACAAAACACTGTATGTAGGTTTTATTTTATTTGTTCTTTATCTTATATTTTGGAAATGTACATCCAGGTTTTTTTCCCCTTTACATTTTTTTGGGGGCCCCCAAGAAAGTGGGGCCCTAAGCTATAGCTTGTTTAGCTTATACGTAAATCTGGCACTGGCTGTGACCCAGAGAGGCCTGCGCTGTTCATGCTTGAAAAGAAGGAAAAGTTACAATTTTCACCCATTATATCCTTGCTGCTCACCCAAAAGCTCTTTATCTTGGCTGTGTGACTAGAACCTCCTTTTGGAAATGACAGGCGTTAAATTTAAAGGATCGCTGCATTGCATGCCCACCTCTCTACCAAATTTCTCTCCCCTGGCAGTTTGATGTCCTATTTAGAAGTTCCCAAGCGATGATCCTTTAGAGCTTTTGCCTTCCCTTTGTTTCTCTGATGGGGCCGTTTTTCCCACTGCACCCCTTCTTCTTGTCTTACATGCAACATTTTTAGAGAGTTGCTTATGCGGCTGTTTTGAATTCTTCAATTATTAAGTCTCTGGCTTGGTGCCTTCTTGGCGAAGCGAGGGGACCCTCAAAGCATCCAGAGCCTTGCTGGAAATTAGAATATTTTTTGCAGCGGATCTGCAAGTTTTATTTGCACGCCGTCTCCGTAATTGCCGCAAAATGGGCAGAAGCCGAGGCCTGACGACCGTGAGCAAATAACGGTCTCTCTAGACGTTTGGAACGGCTTTCTACCTACCATGCTTCAAGCTTCCAAACAGAGCTGTTGAAATCGCAATGGGTTAAGCAAAATGGAAGCCCTCTTGGGTCCGATGGATCTTGCAGTTTCCCCCCTTCTCAGTTAACTGCCTGGAAACGATATTTGAGATTTTAGTGGTTCTAGTCTGCAATCATTATTTTCATTCTTGTTTTTGATGGCTTTGGAATGGAGAATGGCATTGTGGCTCTGTGGAGCTCTGCGACATTTCCCTTAACCATGGTTAATAATAATAATAATTTATTATTTGTACCCCACCCGTCTGGCTGAGTTTCCCCAGCTACTCTAGGCGGCTTCTAACAAAGATTAAAACTACATTAAAATGTCACACATTAAAAACTTCCCTGAACAGGGCTGCCTTCAGATGTCTTCTAAATGTGAGGTAGTTGTTTATCTCTTTGACATCTGATGGGAGGGCGTTCCACAGGGCGGGTGCCACCACCAAGAAGGCCCCATGCCTGGTTCCCTATAGCTTTGCTTCTCACAATGAGGGGAACCACCAGAAGGCCCTCGGAGCTGGACCTCAGTGTCCGGGTAGAACAATGGGGGTGGAAACGCTCCTTCAGGTACACTGGGCCAAGGCTGCTTAGGACTTGAAAGGTCAGCACCAACACTTTGAATTGTGCCCGGAAACATCCTGGGAGCCAATGTAGATCTTTCAGGACCGGTGTTATGTGATCTCGGCGGCCGCTTCCAGTCACTAGTCTAGCTGCCGCGTTCTGGATTAGTTGTAGTTTCCGGGTCACCTTCAAAGGTAGCCCCACGTAGAGCGCATTGCAGTGGTCCAAGTCAGAGATAACTAGAGCATGCACCACTCCATCGAGACAGTCTGCGGGCAGGGAGGGTCTCAGCCTGTGCACCAGATGGAGCTGGTAGACACAGAATTGACCTGCGCCTCCATGGACAGCTGTGAGTCCAAAATAACTCCCAGGCTGCGCACCTGGTCCTTCAGGGGCACAGTTACCCTGTTCAGGACCAGGGAGTACTCCATACCCTCCCACCCCCTGTCCCCACAAACAGTCTTCTCCCTCTGACCATCAATCCTCTGGCTCTGAGCCCTTGGAGCTTGATCCATATGTGCTCTGCGTGCAAACGTTTCCAGGTTCAATCCCCATTATCTCCAGAAACCCTGCCTAAAATCCTGGGTAGCTGCTGTTAATTTCATGATTAACGCTCCACTTGGCAGCGGACCCAGGGATCCTCAGGAACCTCCAGATGTTTTTGGAGTACAACTTCCATCATCCCTCACCCTTGGCCACACTGCTGGCGGGTGATGGGAATTCTTATTACTTAACTTGCGGATAGAAAAGGTTTCTTGTTCTCATCTAACTAAGTAGCCTAGAGAAGAGCAAGGCAGCCGCGCTTGCCCCTTGGTTCTTTCAGAGGATAGTAAAAAAAAATTATTATTTATACCCTGCCCATCTGGCTGACCCCTCGTCTCTGAAAGAGTAACGCGAGGAAGAAGTTATAAACAGGATGCAACCAAAGGTGTAGCCCTCTAAACAACAAGGGGGGAGACAAAGAAGTTAGCATAGAGATAAAGGTTCAGGGATGGTCTGGGAATCTTGCCCATGCAAAGCCGTGATTTGGCCACAGTGATCCACACAACGGTCACCTCCAGGCTTGATTATTGTAACTCGCTCTATGCAGGGCTGCCCTTGAAGCTGACCCAGAAACTCCAGTGGGTGCAGAATGCTGCAGCAAGTCTCCTTATGGGGTCCTCACCGTGGGATCACATTCATCCAGTGCTTTACCAACTACACTGGCTCCTGGTGGAGTGCAGGGTCAGGTTTAAAGTGCTGGTTTTGACCTTCAAAGCCCTATACGGCCTAGGGCCCTCGTACCTACGGGACCGCCTCTCCTGGTATGCCCCGCTGAGGACCTTAAGGCCCACAAATGACAACATTTTGGAGGTCCCAAGTTGCAAGGTGGTTAGATTGGTCTCAACTAGGACCAGGGCTTTTTTAGCACTGGCCCCAAATTGGTGGAACGCTCTGTCTCAAGAGACCAGGGCCCTGCGGGACTTGACATCTTTCTGCAGGGCCCGCAAGACAGAGCTGTTCTGCCTGGCCTTTGGTTTGGACTCAGTCTGACCCTTATGTTTCCCTCCCCTTTTGGTTTTGATCTATGGGCTACTATTAAAATGAGGCTGCATTTTAAATTGTATTTTTAACCTGTATATTAAATTGTGTTTTTCCCCCTTCCCTATTATGTTTTTATTGTAATTTTACTGGTGTTAGCCACCCTGAGCCCGGCTCTGGCCGGGGAGGGTGGGGTATAAATAAAAATTTATTATTATTATTCTGAAAGTTCAGTTGCACCCATGCGTCTTACAATTATAAAACTGCTTTTACATGCTGCATTACGTCTTGTGTTCTTTGCTGTTTGCTGCCTGGGTGTTCTCCGAACGCTGGACGTCTTATAAATCCTGAAATAAATAAATGGGTCTTCCTGTATCATCCCTGCAGAAGTCGCTCCCCAAATAACTGCCTTTTCCTCCACCACCCTCTCCCCCTTGTAGGTCAAAATATTGTGCCATGAGTTACTGGTCCAGGTGTGTGACCTCTTGCGGCTAAAGGACTGTCACCTCTTCGGACTCAGCGTCATTCAGAGTAAGTCCCGAGAGGAGAGTTTGGCTTCTTTCCACTCTCTGCACCTCTGCCATGCTGCTCAGTGACCTTCAGCTAGACCCGTTGCTGCTCCCTCGCTCAGTGAGCACTCAGCACAACATTTGCAGCGCAGCGCAGCAGATTGCAGCTACAACAAAGGCGGCATTTTTCAATCTCCGCCAAGCTGTGCAGTTGGCTCCTTATCTCTCTCGCCCTGACCTAGCCACTGTGATCCACGCGACGGTCACCTCCAGACTGGATTATTGTAACTCGCTCTACGTGGGGCTGCCCTTGAGACTGACCCAGAAACTCCAGCGGGTGCAGAATGCTGCAGCGAGACTCCTTAGGGGGTCTTCGCTGCAAGATCACATTCACCCAGTGCTATACCAGCTGCACTGGCTCCCGGTGGAGTACAGGATCAGGTTTAAGGTGCTGGTTTTAACCTTTAAAGCCCTATATGGCCTAGGACCCTCGTACCTACGGGACCGCCTCTCCTGGTATGCCCCACAGAGAAACTTACGGTCTTCAAATAAAAACATCTTGAAGGTCCCAGGCCACAGAGAAGTTAGGCTGGCCTCAACTAGAGCCAGGGCTTTTCGGCCGTGGCTCCGATCTGGTGGAACACTCTGTCACAAGAGACCAGGGCCCTGCGGGACTTGACATCTTTCCGCAGGGCCTGCAAGACGGAGCTGTTCCACCAGGCCTTTGGCCAGGGCACAGCCTGACTCCCTCCCTCGGCAATCTTCGCGGAGCTCTGGCCCAATGGTTGCCAGTGGCTTGAATTAATTAATTTTATAATGAATGATTTTAGAGTGTTGTTTATGCTGTACTTTTATACTGTTTTATTGTTGTTAGCCGCCCTGAGCCCGGCTTCGGCTGGGGAGGGCGGGATATAAATAAAATTTTTTATTATTATTATTATTATTTCTGCCGCCACAGCCGATGTGTGGAAGCGCCTCTCAGTAAAGGATGTTGCGTGTCCCCAGGGCCACCCCAATAACTCACACATCACACCAATATTTTTGTTTAAGGTGTCTGGCATAATTTTGGCCACAACTTTATTAAAATACAAACATGTGAGTGGTTGCACAGGCATTGGTTGCGACTAGCTGCTCCCACCGTGGGGGACAGTCTGACATTCCGCACGCCTGCGTAAGTCAGAAAAGGGGAATACACTTGGGGCTAGCGACGGAGCAGGGAGCCTGCCCTCAGTCCACCCCAAATGCAGCCAGGAGCTCTTGCAGTGGCCCCAGCCCCCTTGACAGGGTGGACAAGCAATAGTTAGCCCCCGATTCCTTTAACGGAATTCCCTTGCAGCAGCAGCAGCATTAGAGGGGCAGGCACAGCCAATCCATGCCCCTCAACCAACCAAACCATAAACCAATGCCTAACCGCAACCTTACAAGTGGTGACAATGTGCTACACAGTAGGCAAAAACCAAATAGCCCCAGCCAATCAGCCAGATGGACAAAATTCCTACTGGGCCCCTGCCCCAAGAGTAGAGAACCCCATGACAGGCATAGCAAGATCAAGCGAACAACCCTAATTCTAGGGAGGGGGGGACGGGCAATCCGATGCACGGGCGAAAAGAGGAAGCCCTAGCCTCGTGCAAGGAGTTTTAGCATTTCGGGCTGTCAATCAAGAAATGGCAACATTAACTTCTTCCCAGCGACAAGGGAAGCCCAATCAAATCAGTGGCCAACGGTCAATTAGCCCGCCCCACAACTTTGGAGTGTCCTGGCGGCTCCCACCGCAACATGTGCTCTCCATTGAAGGAAAACATGCTTTCTCAGATGTGGTGCGGCTGTAGATCTGAATCACCGCATTTGCTAACCATAGTTACCTCGAGCCATGGTCCATAGCTATCGTTAGAAGCTGGTTTCTGGCTAATCCTGTAGTTCAGGAACGGGGAAACGGTGGCTCTCCAGATCTTTGTTGGACTACAGTTCCCATCATCCCTGGCCATTGGCCATGCTGCCTGGGGATGATGGGAGTTGCAGCCCATAATGGTTGGGAGTCGGCAAACCACAGTTAGCACCTGAGTGCAGTTGGAACCCTAAACCATGGGTAGGCAAACTAAGGCCTGGGGGCTGGATCCGGCCCAATCGCCTTCTAAATCTGGCCCGCAGATGGTCCAGGAATCAGCATGTTTTTACATGAGTAGAATGTGTCCTTTTATTTAAAATGCATCTCTGGGTTATTTGTGGGGCCTGCCTGGTGTTTTTACATGAGTAGAATGTGTGATTTTATTTACCGTATTTTTCGCTCTATAGGATGCACTTTTTCCTCTCCAAAAATGAAGGGGAAATGTGTGTGCGCCCTATGGAGCGAATGCAGGCTCCTTGGCTTCAGCGATAGCAACGCGAAGCCTCCGAAGCGCAGAGGGAGCGCTCCCTCCGCGCTCCGGAGGCTTCGCGTTGCTTTCGCTGAATTCTATAGAGTGAGAGGGGTCGGTGCACACTGACCCCTCTGGCTCTCCAGGCTTCAGGGGTAGCCACCTGAAGCCTTTGGAGCGCAGCGCAAGTTCCCGCTGCGCTCCGCAGGCTTCAGGTTCCTTTTGCTGAAGCCAAGAGAGCAAGACTCTCCTGGCTTCAGCAGAGAGGGAGAGCTGCGCAGCTCCCCTTCAGCCAAGCAGGAGGAGAAATGGAAGGGGCTCCGTTTCTCCTGCCGCTTCGTTGAAGGGGCGCTGAGCAGAGAGGGGGAGAATTTTTTTTTCTTGTTCTCCCCCTCTAAAACAAGGTACGTCCTATGGTCCGGTGTGTCCTATAGAGCGAAATATACGGTAAAATGCACCTCTTGAGTTATTTGTGGGTTATAGGAATTCATTCATATATTTTTTCAAAATACAGTCCGGCCCCCCACAAGGTCTGAGGAACAGTGGACTGGCCCCCTGCTGAAAAAGTTTGCTGACCCCTGACCTAAACCGTGACTGATTCCTAAAGTGGAAAGGAGAGAGAGTTAGTTGCACAAGAGGGGAAGAGGAAGAAGGGAATCTCTGGCCATGAGAGGAGATTGGTTAGCATTGTACTGCATTCAGCGTACCAGCATCAAATCAAAAGCACAGGAAGTTTGACGTTGGGGTATCGCTTAAAAGGGATGAGGCGTTTTGCAGCGCCTCTCGTGGGCAAAGGCATCTAATTGTCCCTGTGCCGTTTCCCATGTTGTTTCTTATCAGGAACAAGTAAACATGCAAAAAATAATAATCTTTTGCAGCTAAGTGTGTTTATCTTTGTTTTAAAATATTTTTATTAACTCTATTTCTATTTAAAAATATTAAAAATAACACTGAGCAAAGATATACTGCAAAAGTCGACTATAAAATACATTTTGAAAGCAAGTACCACAAAGAGCAGCTCATTGGGGAATCTGTCCCCCCCCCCAGCAGAAACTACTAAAATGCTGCCTTTGTGAACTGCAATACTGTGGTTCTTTTTGGCTGCGAGTGCCGAATTGTCCCCGCTTTTTAGAGGAACGTTGGGAGAGTCCTTGCAACAGGCTCACTGTCTAATCTCAGCTTCCCATTTCTTCCCACGGCACAGACAACGAGCACGTCTATATGGAGCTGTCCCAAAAGCTCTGCAAGTACTGTCCGAAAGAGTGGAAGAAAGAAGCGAGTAAGGTAAGGACTCTGGTTTCACCTACGCTTCTGAAACCCAGTTGCCGGAAACTGCAGGAAGGGGAGAATGATGCTCTTGAACTCTGATCCGGCGAGCTCTTCTTGCTTGTTCTTACGTTGCCGTAGCATGAGCTGGCCACCGGAAGCGCCTGTGTCACCTTATCCTCACCAGATTTAAGCAGGAAGAACTGGCGCCTTCATTTTAGCAACCTTTGAGAGCTCTCTGACATCCTGGAACAAAGACACCTTTTCCCAGAGCAAAGGAGTTGTAATTAGAAGCTTAAATTATCTGAAGCCAGTTTGCAGAGCTTTAAAGCAGGCATGGCCAAACTTGGCCCTCCAGATGTTTTGTGACTACAGTTCCCATCATCCCTGACCACTGGTTGTGTTAGCTAGGGATGATGGGAGTTGTAGTCCCAAAACATCTGGAGGGCCAAGTTTGGCCATGCCTGCTTTAAAACAACCAGTCAACACAGAAAGTATCTTCTTCCCCTCTCTAAGAAAGGACGGCTGGGAGCTCTGAGCTGCTTAGCCGTTCAAAGCCCGGCTCTTTGGAAACATAGCATCCCGTAGCCTCAGCTGTCGAGGGCGGCTTGGTGTTGAAACTCCAGCCTACCCCTGAGACAAATTGCCAGCATCTCAGAAAATTGCCTTTAAGGACCTCTGAGAGTTGGCCTCGGCCCCCGAAAGACAGCGCAGCCGCATCCAGCTGCCGTCTCCTCCTCCAGACAGATGGGTTTCGTGTCAAAGCAGCAAAAGGTCGGGTCTGGTTTTCTGGTAGCAGATAACAAAAAGGGCACACAGATCAAGACTGAACCTGAAGCTCGGGTTACCGGCAGATCTGAAGCTCAGGTTATACCCTCCCAGTGTAGCTGGTGGTGCAAACCGTTTTTGCAAAAAGGCAGATCGCCCCAGGACCTTTGGGTCTCCCATTGCTGCCGAGGTGACAATTGCTCCTTTGCTAAATGCATCCCAGCATTAACACGCTGCTCCTGCTGGGGCTCAGTATTTTTATGTGTGGGGGGAGAGAAGATGTCTTCTGGAGGGGGGGTCCTTCTCCCTCCCTGCCTCAAGGCTGATCCTTTATTTTTGCCTTTGGTTGCAGGGTATAGACCAGTTTGGGCCCCCCATGATCATTCACTTCCGAGTCCAGTATTACGTGGAAAACGGCCGGCTGATCAGGTAAAGGGGAAGGGGTTTTTTTGTGAGGTTGGGGGGGAGCAGAGGAAAATTGTTGCCAAAAGCTTTGGTGGCAAAGACCATATGGAAGAAAAAGTGGGCCTTATGGTGGCCCACAATTTATTTACCGTATTTTTTGCACCATAACACTCGCTTTTTTCCTCCTAGAAAGTAAGGGGAAATGTCTGTGCGTGTTATGGAGCGAATGCCTACAGGTGGCGGGGGGGGGGGGATCTGCTGCAGTCGTGAGCAGAGGATCCATGGTTCCCCTTCCTTCCCTCCTCCGTGGCTCACTTTGAAACAGCAAAGCGGGAGAAGAGCCGCTGAGTGGGGAGGAGAGAGAGACAGAGAGCCTGCTTGCTTTAAAGGAGCAAAGCGGGAGAGGAGAGGAGCCGCTTACACGAGTGTAAGCGGCTCCTGTCCGGTTGGCTCCTTTGAAGCATGCAGGCTCTCTGTCCCTCTCTCCTCCCCACTCAGCTTGCTAAATAGCATTATTAGCAGCATCCTTCTCCACACACCCCATGCGTGCTCCTTGTCCCTTGAGTGCTTTTCCTTCCCTCCCCACTTAAAACGTGGTTACAAAGCACGGATCCACATGGATCCTCAGGATTTTTGCACTGGGTCACCCCAAATTCACCATCAGATCACAAAGCATGTCCATGGCTACATCTTGCACCAAAAAAATCACGCACCCACTGTTGCCTGTGGTCGCAGTGGTGCAAAAATGTGGTTACAAAGCATGGATCCACATGGATCCTCAGGATTTTTGCATTGGGCTACTCCAGACTCACTGTCAGATCACATGTCTGTGGCCACAGCATGAACCACAAAAATCATACATCCACTGTTTCGTTTAGAATATTTTTTTCTTGTTTTCCTCCTCTAAAAACTACGTGCGTGTTATGGTCTGGTGCGTGTTATAGAGCGAAAAATACGGTATTTTAAAAGCTGCTCCGTCCGAGTTCTTATTGATAAAACAGTTGCATGTCAATTGTTGTTGTTGTTTTCTTTTTAGTGTTTATATTATTAATTTGTATGATGTAGATTTGTTTTTTTAATGTCGGTTTTTGTCTTTTGTGTATTGTTATTTTTCGATATATTTCTTGGTGTTGTTTGGAAAATACTAATAAAAAATTTATAATAATAATAATAATTAAAAGTTTACAAGGAAGAAGCGACCAACCCCAGCGAAAGACATCCATGGTTTCTGCCCGTCCGTTTTCCCCCTGCCGTTCTTCGTTTACATCCCTCTTCCTTTCTCTCCCTCTCCTTCCAGTGACCGAACTGCCCGCTACTATTATTACTGGCACCTGAGGAAGCAAGTCCTCCGTTCGCAGAGCCTCCTTCGCGAGGAGGCCTATTTCCTGCTGGCAGCCTTCGCCCTGCAAGCTGACCTGGGCAACTTCAAAAGAAACAAACACTACGGGAAATACTTTGAACCCGAAGCCTACTTCCCTGCCTGGGTAGGAACACCCTCTTCCTTAGAGCCCAGGCTCTCTCTCTCTCCCCCTCAATCCCCTTCATCTCTCTTCCCGGTGCCTAAACACAAGCTGCGTTGCCATAGCTCTGAAGGCCACCCGTCCTCCGAGCCGTTCCAGACGGCATGAGGGGTTTGTGGGCGGGTGCATCTGTCAGCCGGAAAATATTCTGAGGGTGGTCGTGGGGCTTTCCAGCTTGGCTGGGATCGAGTTGCCTTTTGCAGAAATCTGGCGGCGCTGTCTGTTTTGGCTTTCCCCTCGGAGGAGAGTGCCATTACCATAGCTGTCAACTTACAGATTTGAAAATAAGGGACCAGCAGCCTCGAAAACAAGGGATCAGCAGCCAAAATAAGGGATTTTTTGGCTCCGGTATGTTCAACTTCTAAGCCCCTCCAAGCCAAAGGCAGAAAGCCCAGGCAGCAGCCAAACGAAGCCTCAAGCGGTGGTTCCCACAGCACAGCAACCCGGATAAGGGGATGCAGCAAGGAAAACCACCGTCACCTCTCCGCTGGGAAGCGCTGAGCAAAGGCGAGTCCCCAGGCAACGCAGCCGATTTGATCAGCACAAGGCATGCAAGCTCCACCCCCCAGTCGTTCTTAGACTCCTTATTGGGTGAGCAACGCAGCCAAGCAACACAGTTGGAGCCTCCCTCCTCCCTGGCCGGCAGGGAGGGAGGGAGAGGAGCTGCTTCCTTTGAAACCGGGGAAATTTAAGGGACATCATCAGTAAGGGACAGCAGCGGGACACGGCGCTGGGATAAGGGACTTTCCCGCCAAATAAGGGACGGTTGTCAGCTATGGCCAATACGCCTGTTGGTTTTGGTGTTTTGTTTTTCGCCGGCTCCGTCCGCAGCGGCCAGGCTCTGAGGTGGAGCCATAGCAGTACTTGCGACTGGATGCCTGAACATAGGAACCTGCCCGAGACCCTTGGTCCATCTAGTTCAGTGCTGCCCACACTGGATGGCAGCAGCTCAACAGGATTTCAGGCAGGAGGCTGAGGGTGCCATTGAGGATTGGGTGGCTCTCTGTTCATGCAGGTTCCTGCATTTTAGGGGTTGGTCTAGATGACCCTCAGGGGTCCCTTCCAGCTCTACAATTCTATGATTGAACCTGCGACCTTCTGCTTGCAAATTCTGTCTCTGGCGCTGTGGCCCTTTCTGCCCTGGCCTCCAAACTTCCTAGGGACATGGGAAGCTGCCTCATACCCAGTCAGACCATGGGTCCGTCAGTGGTTTGCATTCCCAACCTGCATTTAATAATAATAATAATAATAATAATAATAATAATAATAATAATAATAAATTTTATTTATATCCCGCCCTCCCCAGCCAAGACCAGGCTCAGGGCGGCTAACAGCAGGTATAAAAACAATTGATTGAAATACAACTTAAAAACAAGATTAAAATACAACATTAAAATGCAGCCTCATTTCAGTAGAAACTCAAATCAAAAACTTTTTTGGGGATGAAAACGTCAAATCTTCACCAAGGCCAACTATCCAGACTGGTCCTACGTGGGCCAGAAAAAAGCCAGGGAAGTCCCCAAATAGGAGTTACATCACAGAAGAGGAAAGGAAAAAGGAAAGAGGGGAAGGGGATCAAGTTGATTCCAAGCCAAAGGCCAGGCGGAACAACTCTGTCTTACAGGCCCTGCGGAAAGAAATCAGATCCTGCAGGGCCCTGGTCTCATGAGCCAGAGCACTCCACCAGGCCGGGGCCAGCGTTGAAAAGGCCCTGGCTCTGGTTGAGGCTAATCTGACTTCCTTAGGGCCCGGGACCTCTAGGGTGTTGCTATTTATGGACCTTAAGGTCCTCCGCGGGGCATACTGGGAGAGGCATTCCCGTAGGTACGAGGGTCCTAGACTCGAACCCATGGCTTCACGTTGCAAGAAAGGAGATTCCAGCTAAACATCAGGAAGAACTTTCTGACAGTAAGAGCTGTTCGACAGTGGAACGGACTCCTCCGGGAGGTTGTGGACTCCCCTTCCTTGGAGGTTTTTAAGCAGAGGTTGGGGGGGGGTCATCTGTCATGGATGCTTTAGCTGAAATTCCCGCATTAAAGGAGGCCTAGCTGCCAGCTCCCCGGATGCCCGGCACCCACAAAATTCCCCATGAATGGGGCCGGGCACCCACAAATTTCAGTGCCAGGGCCATGCACGCCCATGGCCCCAGGCACCCATGGTTGCGGGGCCAAGCTGGCTCTCCTGGCAGGGGGTTGGACTAGATGGCCCTTGGCGTCCCTTCACAGCTGTCAACTTTTCCCTTTTCTTGCGAGGAATCCTATTTGGAATAAGGGAATTTAAAAAAAGGAAACGTTGGCAGCTATGGGACCCTTCCAACTCTATGATTCTATGCCACACCAGAAAAACACCGCAGACCTGCAACTTTCGCGGGATTTACCTACACGATTGCAGCGTTGTGCGAGTAAGCTGGCAGCGACCATGTCATGCCTGTTGAGGCCTCCCTGTGGATATTGGCACAAGGCGAAAGAGCGGATTGGTGTGTTTGACCGACCCGTCTCAGGCTTCAAGTTCATCCGACTCCCAAGCCAGCCCTCACTGCAAACGTGCCGGCTAAGAGGATTACACGCTTGCAGCAAGGTTGACTCACTATTTCCATTTTAAGCACTTCTTCCCCAGGAGTGTTTAGCATCTCCTCTGCATTAGGGGGGGCGGGAGCAACAGCTCAGACTTCAGATAGCAGACACAACCGCTGGGATGAGACGGGTGTTCTGAAATGAAAACACATTCCAGAGTCTAAAATGCCTCTTGGCAAAAAAAGCACCCTCTCTACCTTCACTCTGCAAAGAACAGGAGGGATATAAACATGTAAGTGATCTGTTGCACGCACATACCCCAGAACCCAAATTCTGCATTTTAGGTAATGCATGCTCTGGGTTGCATAAACAGCCTTGTCATTCCCCAGCCCCTGAATAAAAGGCAGTACAGTACAATGGCATCTTACATGGGGGTTTGGTTCCAGGGGTCCCACATGTACACAAAAGGCACATAATAATAATAATAATAATAATAATAATAATAATAATAATAATAATTCATTATTTATACCCCGCCCATCTGGATGAGTTTCCCCAGCCACTCTGGGCAGCTTCCAATCAAGTGTAAAAAACAATACAGCATTAAATATTAAAAACTTCCCTAAACAGGGCTGCCTTCAGATGTCTTTTAAAAAGAAGATAGCTGCTTATTTCCTTCACATCTGAAGGGAGGGCGTTCCACAGGGCGGGCGCCACTACCAAGAAGGCCTTCTGTCTGGTTCCCTGTAACCTCACATCTCGCAGTGAGGGAACCGCCAGAAGGCCCTCGGAGCTGGACCTCAGTGTCCAGGTAGAACAATGGGGGTGGAGACGCTCCTTCAGGTATACTGGACCGAGGTCGTTTAGGACTTTAAAGGTCAGCACCAACACTTTGAATTGTGCTCAGAAACGTACTGGGAGCCAATGCAGATCTCTCGGGACTGGTGTTATGTGGTCCCGGCGGCCATTCCCAGTCACCAGTCTAGCTGCCGCTTTCTGGATTAATTGCAGTTTCCGGGTCACCTTCAAAGGTAGCCCCACGTAGAGCACGTTGCAGTAGTCCAAGCGGGAGATAACTAGAGCATGCACCACTCTGGCAGGGTCTCAGCCTGCGTACCAGGTGGAGCTGGTAGACAGCTGCCCTGGACACAGAATTAACCTGCGCCTCCATGGACAGCTGTGAATCCAAAATGACTCCCAGGCTGCGCACCTGGTCCTTCAGGGGCAGTTGCCCCATTCAGGACCAGGGAGCCCCTCACATACTTGAACTGTCCCTTCACAAGGATACTTGCCCTTCTGGAGCTGGCGTGCTGAGTGTGCCTTGCCCAAAAGCAAGGAAGAGATCTTCAAAGCCATCCTTTTGCTCTCTGCCTTGCTCACCTGGTATGGCTTGCTCAGCGCACCATCTCTGGGATGCTCTTGTGAGATCTCGTGCGACTGTGCCCATTCTTCCAGAGCCGGCATGCCAAGAGGGCTTTGCACGGCAAGCAAGGCAGATAAGCTCTTTCCACACTGGGGGAAAAAACCTTACGTGCATTTAACTTGTGCAGTTTTAACCAGCCGAAACTGCGCGATAAATAAATAAAGCCGCTTGCTTCCCCAAAAGTAACGCTGTTGAGAATTGCAAACATTTATTTACACGCTGAAAGCCTTGCTATGTTGTTGTTGTTGTTGTTTAGTCATTTAGTCGTGTCTGACTCTTCATGACCCCCTGGACCAGAGTACGCCAGGCACTTCTGTCTTCCACTGCCTCCCGCAGCTTGCTCAAACTCATGCTGGTAGCTTCGACAACACTATCCAACCATCTCATCCTCTGTCGTCCCCTTCTCCTTGTGCCCTCCATCTTTCCCAACATCAGGGTCTTTTCCAGGGAGTTGAGTCTTCTTATGAGGTGGCCAAAGCCTTGGAACCTCAGCTTCAGGATCTGTCCTTCCAGTGAGCACTCAGGGCTGATTTCCTTCAGAATCGATAGGTTTGCAGTCCATGGGACTCTCAAGAGTCTCCTCCAGCACCAAAGACGCTCGTATTTGTGACTTTAGAAAAAGGGAGGTATGCTGGAGAAGACTTCAGCTGCTCTTTTAAAGGAAAGGAGAAGAACCTCTGGGAAGAGGTCCTCCCTAAGACGGGTAGTTGAGGACTTGCGGCCCTCTGGGTGGTTCTGAACTACAACTCCCATAATTCCTGCCTATCAGAGGCATTGGCTGGGGTCGTACAGTAAGCCTGCAAGTGCACGCATTTAACTTGTGCGCATTTATCTCAGTGAAGACCTTACTTGGAAGATCAATACAACCCAGCTGTTTAAGAAAGCCCAACACAGACTCCACCTCCTCAGAGTATTGCGGAAGAACAATGTCAATCAACATTTGATGATCTCCTTCTACCGCTCCACAATAGAAAGTGTCCTTTCCTACTGCATCACGGTGTGGTACGCTGGTTTGACATCAACTGATAGGAAGTGTTTACAGAGGGCGGTGAATACAGCACAAGATATTATGGGCTGTCCCGTGAATCCGCTGGATGAAATAGCGCAAGAAGGTTGCCTCAGGAGAGTGAGGAAAATTCTCAGGGATGATTCACACCCTGGCCGGCACTTTCTTGATCTCCTGCCCTCGGGCAGAAGATATAGAAGCACGATTAGTCGCACCAACAGGGTAAAGCACAGCTTCTATCCGTGGGCTGTTAGGCCGCTAAATGAAAAGATAACAACAGGGCAACTGACTTTTGGGTTTGGTGGGTGTGCGTCAGTAAATGAGGTGAATTAAGACTAAGAGAGCTGAGTGGGGGGTGCTCGTGTAATCTCACTGTATACAAGTTGTAGAAGTGACAATAAAGTATGACAATAAAGTATTTCAATTTCGCTTGACGCATGTAGCAGGAAAAAATATATGGAAAGGGTGATGGTTCTGGGGGGAATGACTTTGGCAGTCAGTCCCACTTGCCATGTGTTTTGAGTGCATGCTGTTTTGGCTTTAGGTGGCATCCCCAGAACGTAACCCCCGCATAACTTGCAGGCTTGCTCCAGTTGGAAGCATCTGGAGGCCACTGGGATTTGGGAAGGCTGTGTCTAGTCGTCTCTGGTCCACCGTTATTTCGCCTAGCAAACCTGAGATTCCCAGCCAGGCGCAATTAACACCCAGCGCCCCTTCTCTCTCTCGGCAGGTGGTGGCAAAGAGAGGGAAGGACTACATCCTGAAGCACATTCCCATCATGCACAAGGACCAGTGCGCCCTGACAGCCTCTGAGGCCCATCTGAAGTACATCAAGGAAGCTGTCCGCCTCGATGACGTGGCCGTGCATTATTATAGATTGTATAAGGTACGGGGGAGGCAGAATCGAATGGGTCCAGTTAGGCAAGGCAAGAGCCGCTGATCAGTTTGTGTCTTCCATTTGGAAAGGCGAAAAAAATTTCGTGTCCCTGGTCATTATTCTCCCTCCCCCTCCTGGCCCCAAAACAATAGGTTTTGACCTATAAAGCCTTAAACGGCTGAGGACCGCAATACCTCCAGGACCGCCTATTTCCATATGAATCTACCTGGACCTTGAGATCGTCTTCTGAGGTCCTCCTTTGTGTGCCTCCTCCTCAAGAGGTCCGGAGGGTGGCAACACGAGAACGGGGCCTTCTCTGCAGTGGCTCCCCATCCGTAGGATGCTCTCGCCAGGGAAGTTTGCCTGGCGCCTTCATTACACACCATTAGGTGCCAGGCAAAAATGTTCCTTTTTAACCAGGCCTTTGGTTGATCTGTTTGACATCCTATACTCTTTTAAAATGTGGCTCTTTTCGGGGGGGGGGTGTTAATTGGGTTGTTGTTTTTATTTTGATTATATATGTTGTGATCTTTTCTGTGAACCACCCTGAGACCACCAGGTATAGGGTGGTATATAAACAATAATAATAATAATAATAATAATATAGTCATACCTCTTGTTACGTTCGGTTCAGGTTACGTCTTTTCAGGTTGTGTCCCGCAGTAACCCGGAAGTACTTCCAGGTTTCACTGCTCGCGCATGCGCAGGCGCTCAAAATGACATCACGAGCATGCGCAGAAGCAGCGAATCTCAACACGCGCAGACGCGGGTTGCGTTCCCCTCATGTTGCGAATGGGGCTCCGGAACGGATCCCGTTCGCAACCAGAAGTACCACTGTAATAATAATAAGAATAACCTCGGGAAAATTTAGTGCTGCGTTTTCACACGGCTCGTTGAAAAACTGCAACGGTGTGTGTTTGCAACGGCACGCTTCAGAAACAGCTGTAAAGATAAGTTGCAAGGTCTGATGACGGAGGCCATTATTCATCCTGGCCACCAGGCTTTAGCCCTCTCTTCTGGAGGACAGCTGCATTTCAGAGCGGGGGGTGTTGCAAAATCACAGGGGGTCGTGCTAGAGGACTTGGGGTCCTTTCCAACCCTGCAGTTCTGTGTTTCTGTGAAAAGCTGGGGCGCTAGCAGCAAGCAAACGTCTCCCAGACCAATCTGGCACTGGACACTAGAGGGCACCCTTAGCTAACCTGATGCCTTACAGATGTTTTGAACTACAATTCCCATCACCCCCCAGCGAGCACGGCTGGGTAGTAGAGAGGTGCGTCTTTGAGGATTTACAGCCCCAGATCCTTCAGGTCTTTATAAGTAACCAGTGATAGCTAGAATTTGGAACGGGATTGTGAGGGAAGCCAGCAAGGCGTGGCCCTTGTGCTAGCTGGTGCTGATGGGAGTTGTAGTCTGAAACATCTGGGTTGAGGAAGGATGCTCTGTTAATCCACACACAACCTTGCTCTGAAGAATCAGGGGCCCCTCTTTTTTCTCCATGTCTGAACCCTCCTTTTCCCAAGTAAAACAGCCGTTCGCATTGTGTGTGCGAGGTGAGGGCTTTGTAAAAGGGCAAAAAGAGTCATTATCATTTCTTTCTCGCAGGACAAGAAGGAAATCGAGGCCTCCCTCACCCTAGGGCTTACCACTCGAGGCATCCAGATATTCCAAGTACGTGCCTCCAAAACATTACATACCATTGAGATGGCTTCTTGCTTTCCCAGACTTAAGCCGGCTTGCTTTCAGCAGGCTAAACTCTGCATGGAATCTGGGATTTGGATTTCCGGGGGGGTGGGGGTGATGATTCACAGTCCTTCTGAGTTTTGAGGCTTGCCTGAAAGCAGGTAACTCGTCTCCATGCTGGAGAGTCCAGGTTTTGGAGAGTAGAGCTGCAGAAAGAGATGGGGAGAGTTTTCTGAAACCTAAGATGTGCACAGATGTACCTTTTTAGAAAAGATGTACCTTTTTAGGAAAAAAAGACCACCAACATTTCTGCTCCCGTGGGATAACACACACACACACACACACACACACACACACACAAACACCTTGCAGTCATTCTCCTGCTTGGCTGCCTGCCTTGAACCTCCCATTTTATATTGTAAAATTCTGCAAATGGTAAATATATTCAGCTATCGTGGCTGCCGGGACGCGGGTGGCGCTATGGGTTAAACCACAGAGCCTAGGACTTGCTGATCAGAAGGTTGGTGGTTCGAATCCCCGCGACGGGGTGAGCTCCCGTTGCTCAGTCCCTGCTCCTGCCAACCTAGCAGTTCGAAAGCACGTCAAAGTGCAAGTAGATAAATAGGTACCGCTCCGGCGGGAAGGTAAACGTCGTTTCCGTGCGCTGCTCTGATTCGCCAGAAGCAGCTTAGTCATGCTGTCCACATGACCTGGAAGCTGTACGCCGGCTCCCTCGGCCAATAAAGCGAGATGAGCACCGCAACCCCAGAGTCGGCCACGACTGGACCTAATGGTCAGGGGTCCCTTTACCTTTATCATGGCTGCCAGTTCATTTCTGCACCCAGTTCAAGCTACTCATACCTGTCTTTAAACCCCTGAGCAACTTAGGCCCCAAATAGCTGGAAAAACCCCTTCCCTACAGACCCCCTTGGCTGTTAAAATCAGCAGAAGGGGCTTTCTCGGTAGTCCCACCTCCCTCAGAAATTCACAGCCGTGGTGGCAGCAGCTTAGGAGAGGGTCTTCTGTGTGGTGGCCCCTAACCTGTGGAAATTCCTCCCCACGGAGGTGCGTCTTTCATTGTACGCAGAAGACACATCCCTGGCGCCTGAGACGTGTCTTTTCAGGGCCTGTTCCTGTGATTGTAATCTGCTTTAACTGTTTTTTAGTTTTACATTGCCATAACCCACCATGAGGCATGCTAGGGAAGGGCAGGTAATAAATATAATGATTGTCGTTGTCTCTCTCCTCCCCTTTTCTTCCTTCCCAGAATGTCAACAGCGAAAGGCAGTTGCTTTATGACTTCCCTTGGACGAACGTGGGGAAACTCGTGTTTGTGGTGAGTAGGGAGACACCAAAGTCAGATTCGCTGCTCAGTTCCTCGCGAATATTCTGCCTGCGGCACGGATTTGCACGACGAGTTTTCTTGGGGCGCACGCTTGGGATAACAGCGTGCAGTTCCAATCGCTTCACCTCAAAATGGAGATTGTACGAAAAGGGTCAAGGGGGAAGGATGGTGAGGCAAGCTAACATATTTTTTTGGAAAGGCTTAGTTTGGCTGGGGGGGAAGACAAGTAAAGTGGGGACACGACCAGAGAGTGTAATGTGAAGAAAATACAAAAGAAAGTATTTCTCTAAACAGCACATGGTTATGTGCAAGGGACATGGGGGGGCGCTGTGGTCTAAACCACTGAGCCTCTTGGGCTTGCCGATCAGAAGGTCCGTGGTTTGAATCCCCACAACGGAGTGAGCTCCCGTTGCTCTGTCCCAGCTCCTGCCAGCCTAGCAGTTCAAAAGCACGCCAGCACAAGTAGATAAATAGGTACTACTGTGGCGGGAAGGTAAACGGTGTTTCCAGGCGCTCTGGTTTCCATCACGGTGTCCCGTTGTGCCAGAAGCAGTTTAGTCCTGCTGGCCACATGACCAGGAAAGCTGTCTGTGGACAAACGCCGGCTCCCTCAGCCTGAAAGCGAGATGAGCACCACAACCCCAGAGTCGGCCACGAGTGGACCTAATGGTCAGGGGTCCCTTTACCTTTACCCAGGGTGGATGGGGCTACCCAGTCAGGTGGGCAGCAAATTAATGACAAATTTGTTATTATTATTATTAATCACCGAATTAGATGGCTTTAAAAGAGGATTAGTCAAATTCATGGAGGATAAGACTATCGGTGGGTACCAGCCCCCATGGCAATGTTCTGCTTGCCCTGTTAGAGGCTGGGTGACCCAGGAGATGGGTTGCTGGGAATCGCAAGTGGGGAGATGGATGCTGTTGTGCTCAGGTGCTGGCAGGGGACTTCCAGGTGGGACATCCGCATGACCACCATGACAACAGGATGCCGGACGACAAGGGTCTTACGCTGTTACGACACAACACCACCTTGCAGCCTCTTGCAGACTTGCTAAGCTACCACTAACTAACGCATCATCAATTCTAGCAGTGGAGATAAAACACAGCTTGTAGCCACCAGTGGCCCTCTCCTATCCCGTGAATTTCTCTAATCCTCTTTCTTTTTTTAGGTGCGCATTAAAATGAAATTTTATTTGCTGACAATTTGTGCCTTTTGGGGAGGGGGGGAGCCTTTTGCAGCTTCTTCACTTTTTTTTTTTTTAATAATTTTTATTAAAGTTTCAATAAAAAGTTGAACAGAAAAAACATAAAAAAGAAATACACAAATACGCAATACAAATTCCAAAAAAAGAAAACAAAAACAAAAAACAAAAAACAACAAAAAAAGAGACAGAACAATTAAAAACAATATCACCTTTTCATTTCCCTTTTTTAAATTTACTTATTTTCTGGACTTCCTCATACCTCCCTCTTTTGTATTCCAGTCCAAATTGTTCCTTCAGCAATTTCTTTTCCACTTTTTTAATCCCAATCTTTATTCTTAGTGTAATATAGCATTAAAAATTTACCTCTTAAGTACCAAATTTCCCTTTCCTTAAACTTCTTTAATCCTGATCTTTAATCTTCGTCTGTCTTATAATTTTATCCTGTACAGCTGGAAACCACTTATTTTCAATCCAACATCACTCTAACATTCCTTAATTTTGCAATATTTCTGTAGGTAGTCTTTGAATTTCTTCCAATCTTCTTCCATCGCAGCTTCTTCACTTTGTGCTTGATGATTCTGTTTCTCGTTTTCTTGGCCTTCATGACCTTGTAACGATCAAAATCTGACATCTTGGCTTTCTTCTTCCTTGCTTCGATTTTTTTGTGTCCATCTGGTAGTCTTCCGCTTCTTGTTAATGTTTCCCTTCTCCCAAGCAGCTCTCACATACTTTTGACAAGGAAACTTGAGAACAGAGTCAGTCAGCTGCATGCGCTCGAAGGGCGTAGCTTACCTTCTGACACCTCTGCAGGGACCACCTGCTAGTGCCCTGTTCTGATCAATAACATCCACAATCGCTACCGGCGCTGTGGTCTAAACCACTAAGCCTCTTGGGCTTGCTGATCAGAAGGTTGGCAGTTCGAATCCGCACAATGGGGTGAGCACCTGTTGCTCTGTCCCAGCTTCTGCCAACCTAGCATTTTGAAAGCATACTAATGCAAGCAGATAAATAGGTACCACTGCAGCAGGAAAGTAAACGGCGTTTCCATGTGCTCTGACTTCTGTAACAGTATCCCGTTGCGTCAGAAGCGGTTTAGTGCTGCTGGCCACATTACCTGGAAAGCTGTCTGTGGACAAACACCAGCTCCCTCGCCCTGAAAGCGAGATTAGCGCCGCAACCCTATAGTCACCTTTGATTGGACTTAACCATCAGGGGTCCTTTACCTTTTTTATGTGCAAGGATTAATTCTCCTTCAAGAGAAGGAGGTTTTTAACATTTGAGGATTTTGTGTTTGAATATTTTGCTGGAAGCCGCCCAGGGTGGCTGGGGATACCCAGTCAGATGGGCAGCAAATAAATAACAAATTATTATTATTATTATTATTATTATTATTATTATTATTCACTGAATTGGATGGCTTTAAAAGAGGATTAGACAAATTCATGGAGGATAAGACTGTCGGTGGGTACCAGCCCCCATAGCGATGCTCTGCTTGCCCTGTTGGAGGCTGTGTGACCCAGGAGATGGGTTGCTGGGAATCACAAGTGGGGAGATGGATGCTGTTGTGCTCAGGTGCTGGCAGAAGGCTTCCAGGTGGGACATGTTTTAAATAATTTTTATTAAGATTTCAATAAAAGTTAAACAGAAGAACATAAAAGTTAAAATACAAAAACACACAATACATAATCCAAAAAGAAAAAGAAAACACAGAAAACAAAATACAAAACAAAAACTAAAAACAACAACAACAGAACAATTAAAAACAATATCACTTTTCCATTTCTGTTTTTGAATTTACTTATTTTCTGGACTTCCTCATACCTCCCTCTTTTGTATTCCAGTCCAAATTGTTTGTTCAGCAATTTCTTTTCCACTTTTTTAATCCCAATCTTTAATCTTAAGATAATATTTAACACTTAAACTTCTTTAATCCTAATCTTTAATCTTAATGTAATATAACATTAAATTTTTACCTCTTAAGTACCAAATTTCCATTTCCTTAAACATCTTTAATCCTAATCTTTAATCTTAGTCTATCAATAACTTTAACCTGTACAGCTGGAAACCACTTATTTTCAATCCAACATCACTCTAACATTCCTTAATTTTGCAATGTTTCTGAAGATAATCTTTGAATTATCTTGGTTTTTTGTTGTCAAAGTACACCGCAGATGTCTGATCTCTCTGGAGACCTAGAGATATGACAATAGACTGCTCTGCCTCCTTCCTTTTAGCAAAGGGACATGACCTGGAAAGCTGTCTGTGGGCAAATGCCAGTTCCCTCAGCCTGTAAGTGAAATGAGCGCCACAACCCCATAGTCGCCTTTGACTAGACTTAACCGTCCAGGGGTCCTTTACCTTTACCTGCAGTCGCTACCAGCTTGCCCACATGTGGTCAAAAGGAAATATAGGCAACTCATCCAATCTCAACGTAGCGTTTGAACACCATGATGGCCACCTGATGAGCCGACGGTGGCGGGGAGAAAGAAAGAGGTCTAATCCTCTTTTAAAGTTGGAGGAAGTTCCGTAGTTTGCGCAAAGAACTCCTTTCTTTTATCTGTCCTGAATTTTCCAACGTTCAGCTTCATCAAACATCCAGGAGTTCCAGTGTTGTGAGAGAGGGAGAAAAACGTTTCTCTGTCCACTTTCTCTGTGCCATGCATAGTTTTATAAACTTCTGTCACGTCGCTTCTCCTTTGCCTTTTTCCTAAACTAATAAACCCCAAATGCTGTAACTTTTCCTCTCAGGGGAATTGCCCAATCTCTTGGATCATCTTGGCTGCCCTTTTATGAACCTCTCCTAATTTTACAATATCCTTTTTAAGTTGAGGCGACCAGAACTGTAAAGTTTCTGGGTTTTAGTATTGGACTGGATCGTCGTTGTTGTTTTTCTGCTGACGCACCTGAGAAGCAGTGCTTTTTAATTACAGCGTATTTTAAATCCCGCATTTTAACAGTGCCGTGCGGTCTTTGGCAAACTGCTTCGAAGCCACCTTTAACAAATAAAGATAATTTCAAGGCAGCGCCTTAGAGAGGCTGCCTTGCTTTTTTAAAGATTCAACCCCGCTAGCAAGCTCTGCCGCAGTTTGATTTGGGGCCTCGCATATCCAAAGCCGGTGCTTCTATTTTTTGTTTTGTTCTTCTTTTACGAGCTCCACTTCCTGGCAAGAAATAAAAACCCTCTCAAAGCTGCTTGCGATAAAATACTGACAGAATAATAAAGTGGCAAGAAATAAAACAGAGCAGCCAAAAGTGTTAAAAAAAACCCAAGTCAGCTCTGCTGAGGCAGGCAGCTGATAAAAGTCTTCCTTGGAAGACTGAATTGGCCTTCAAAGGCTGGGGAAGAGCAGGATTCTTGCAGAGTCTCTCTCAGCAGTGTCTCCCCAAAAGCAGGGGCCACAAGGACCCTTCCCCCCGAGGGCCACATTCCCCTCTGAAAAGGCATCTAGGGGCCACATCCCAGCAGGAGGCAGGGCCAGCAGGAAGAGTGGGTAGAGCAAAAAATGTACATTTTTTTGTACTGTAGCTTAGTTCATCTATAGCCATTGGCAGCCCTCTCCTCCACAAATTTGTCTAATCCTCTCTTTTTTTTTTAAGACATAATTTTTTATTGATTTTCACAGGTTTTACAAATTTACTTATATTTCAATACAGTCGTACCTTGGTTGCTGAACGCCTTGGAACTCGTACATTTCGGCTCCCGAACAATCAAAAACCGGAAGTGAGTGTTCCGGTTTTCAAACGATTTTCAGAAGCCCGATGTCCGGCGCGGCTTCCGATTGGCTGCAGGAGCTTTCTGCAGCCAATGAGAAGCCGTGCTTTGGTTTCTGAACATTTTGGAAGATTGCTCGACTTCCGGAACGGATTCTGTTCGACTTCCAGGGTACAACTGTATATGTTTTTCTTAAAATTGTTGACTCCCCACCCTTACTTCCATGGTGTTTTTATTCCACCTTATACCTACTGTTTTATATGACATACTTTAATCTAATACAAATTAACCTCAATAATAATAAAAATATTTATTTATACATACATACCCCGCACATCTGACTGGGTTTCCCCAGCCATTCTGGGAGGCTTCCAACAAAACATTAAAAATTACATTAAAACATCAGTCATTAAAAACCTCCCTAAAGAGGGCTGCCTTCAGATGTCTTCTAAAACTCAGGCAGTTGTTTATTTCCTTGACATCTGATGGGAGGGCGTTCCACAGGGCGGGCGCCACCACCGAGAAGGCCCTCTGCCTCACCATTGTTTTCATCCCACTGCTCATAATTCGGACGCTGCCCGCATTTTCATTTGTCTACGGCAGTTCTTCAAATAGTCGAGTCCAAGTTGGGGGATATCGCTGCAGGAAGGAGTTTCACAGTTTAACTCTGCGCTGCGTACAGAAGTGCTTTCGCTTTTGCATCCTGAATCTTACGGCAGCGTCCGGTCTCCAGGCCCCAGCTGACTCCCGAATGCGCTCCTTTCTCTCCGCAGGGCAAGAGGTTTGAGATCCTGCCCGACGGCTTGCCCTCTGCCCGCAAGCTCACCTACTACACTGCCTGCCCCTTGCGCTCGCGGCACCTCCTGCAACTCCTGAGCAACAGCCACCGCCTCTACATGAACCTGCAGCCCGTCCTGCGGCAGATCAGGAAGCTGGAGGAGAGCGAAGGTAGGAACGGCCCTGTCTCGGCTCTTCTTTGCTTTGGCCTGTGTCTCTCGCCTGCCCAGGGTTCTAGTCCACAAGGTTTTGAGCAGCCAGGAGAACAGGAAGCTGACGTCTACTGAGTTTAAAAGTGCAGCTGTGGGAGTAGAAGCCACCGTGACCCCTTTTCTAGGGATGGGGGGACATGGAGGAGCTGTGAGATTATGGGGGGTGGGCTTGCTTGAGTTGTAAAGGGAAATAAAGGTAAAAAGTAAAGGGACTCGGGTGGCGCTGTGGTCTAAACTCCTGAGCCTCTTGGGCTTGCCACCAGAAGGTTGGCAGTTTGAATCCCCGCAATACTGTGAGCTCCTGTTGCTCTGTCCCAGCTCCTGCCAACTTAATAATAATAATAATAAATTTTATTTATACCCCGCCCTCTCCAGCCAAGATCGGGCTCAGGGCGGCGAACACCCAATATAAAACCAAATTGATTGAAATACAACTTAAAAACAAGATTAAAATATAACATTAAAACATTTAAAATACAGCCTCATTCCAGTGGAAACTCAAATCAAAAACTTTTTTGGGGATGAAAACGTCAAGTCTTCACCAAGGCTAACTATCCAGACTGGTCCTACATGGGACAGAATAAAGCCAAGGAAGTCCTTAGCAGTGTGAAAGCACGCCAGTGCAAGTAGATAAATAGGTACCATTGCAGCAGGGAATCAAATTGATTCCAATTGATAACCCAGTTGGCGGCTGGAGAAAGAGAGGGGTGTGGTGCTGTGTCTCTCCCCTGACTCTCCCCGGCTTTCCTCCCCAGAGAAGAAACAGTACCGCGAGTCCTATATCAGCGACCTGGAGATGGACCAGATGGAGAAACGTTCCCGCGCGAGCGGCAGCAGCTCCGGGAGCATGAAGCACAAATGCCTCTCCCGCCTCTCGACTGCCAGCCACAGCAGCTCGCACACGTCGGGAATCGAGGCTGACCCCAAGCCCAGGGGCGAGCAGGGGGGCGAGGATGACTTCCTGCTGCCCTCTGCCCACCACAAACTGAGGGCCTGCAGCTCCCTGACCAGCCACGGCAGCTCCCACACTTCGGGCGTGGAGAGCAGCGAGAAGGAGCGCCTGGAGGAAGAAGACTCCTCCCAGGAGGACGGTAAGTCCGGCAGCAAGGGCAGCGCCGAGCCTGCGGGGCGGGCCCCTCCCTTTGGGGACGGATGGGCTGGTTGTATTTCCACGCTGTAGTTCGCTCAGCCGAACGCCCACAAAAAAAGCACGTAGGGCATAGGATGTAAATCAGATCACCCAAAGGCCTGATTAAAAAGGAACGTTTTTGCCTGGCGCCTAAAGGTGTGTAATGAAGGCGCCAGGCGAACTTCCCTGGGGAGAGCTTTCCACAGACAGGGAGCCACTGCAGAGAAGGCCCCGTTCTCGTGTTGCCACCTTCCAGACCTCTCGATGAGGGAGCATACGAAGAAGGGCCTCAGATGATGTTCTCAGGGTCCAGGCAGGTTCATATGGAAAGAGGCGGTCCTTGAGGTATTGGGGTCCTGAGCCGTTTAAGGCTTTATAGGTCAAAACCAGCACTTGGAATTGGGCCTGGAAACAGATTGGTAGCCAGTGCAGTCGGACCAGGATCAGTGTAAAATGCTCAAACCATCTTGCTCCGGTGAGCAACCTGGCCATTGAATTCTGCACCAGCTGAAGTTTCCGAACCGTCTTCAGAGGCAGCCCTACGTGAAATGCATTGCAGAAATCTAACTTTGAGGTTACCAGAGCACAGACAACAGTAGTTAGGCTATCCCTGTCCAGATAGGGGCGTAGCTGGGCCACCAGCCAAAACTGATGGAAGGTCACCTGAGGCCACCTGAGCCTCGAGCGACAGCAAAGGATCCAGGAGTTCCCCCAGGTTGCGAACTTGCTCCTTCAGAGGAAGTGTAACCCCATAACAGAACATCACAAATCGTATCGTAAGACCTTTATTGGCATCACATACAACATCCAAAACAAATCAATACAGAATTTCCACTTCCCCAGTGGCACAAAACATTTGCTAAAAGGAAGGAGGCAGAGCAGTCTATTGTCATATCTCTAGGTCTCCAGAGAGATCAGACATCTGCAGTGTATTTTGACAACAAAAAACCAAATAGAGATATTTAGCCACTAACTTGGTGAGCTCCTGATGATTCCCCAGTAATAGAAAATGTATGACCTCTGACTCTGGTTTCCAGTTGGGGATGCAGAGTTGATCTAGAAATTGCTGGCGGAGACCAGCATATAGTTTACAATGAAGAACCAGATGTGTGAGGGTTTCCACCAGGTGGTCTTCACCTGGGCAAGTTCTTTCTCCTTCCACCCTGCCTGAGAACCTTCCCCAAAGGAAGTTTGATGGGTTTGAATTAAACCTGGCCAGCGAAAATGCCCTTCTTTCTTGAGGGTTAAGCAGAAATTCAAGCTAATGATGGTTAGTTTCATGTGCCCAAGAAAGTTGAAAATAAAGAGGGGAACATGTTTTCTCTGCTGCTACTGTTAGTTCTTGGCTTTCAGTTACCGAACATCACGTTCTTGTCTCCATTACCGAACATCACAAATGCAGAATAAACCCTATAGGATTGTTGACAAGTGATCAGTGAAACAATTGCAATCTATGGTCAACGAAGAAACAACTAAAAATGGGGAAAGGGTTAAGCACCCCTCCAACTGCAGTTTCTTGGTTTCTGGCTGCAGCCTTGCACCTCTTTTCAGTTTTTGGAAAGATCGCAGTCACGTTTCTTGTCTGCTTTGACACAAAAGCATCTGCAAATACGGTACAATGAAAATGTCTTTGTTTTTCCAAAGCCCACATGTATGAGGGTGGGCAGGAACCGTATTTAGGTTCAGTGCAGCCCTAAGCTACTGAAGGTAATGGGGCCCTTTATATGTCCAACTGTCCTTTGTCAACAACAAATTGTCACTGTTTTTTGTGTTGAATATATGCTATATGGTCATTTATGGACCCAATAGGTTTCTAAAGCCATTTGCACATGTTGCCCTGCAACCAGTCCATGCAGAATGTAGGCACCATATATATAGAAATGAGCAAACCAGTGATATTTTAGGGAGCAGGCTAGCAGGCGGGGCCCATGACTTACATCATAGGAGCCTACACAACATAAAACACTGTAGGTTTTATTTTAATTGGTTTTTATCTTATAGTTTGGAAATGTACATCCAGGTTTTTTTCCTTTAAATTTTTTGGGGGGCCTCCAAGAGAGTGGGGCCCTAAGCTATAGTTTGTTCAGCTTATACAGTCATACCTCAGGTTACAGCCGCTTCAGGTTGTGTTTTTTCAGGTTACAGACCGCCGAAACCCTGAAGTACCGGAATGGGTTACTTCCGGGTTTCGGCGGTCGCGCATGCGCAGGAGCGCTAAATCACAATTTGTGCATGTGCAGAAGCGCCGAATTGCAACCCATGCGTGCGCAGACACGGGTTGCAAACGTTGCAGGTTGCAAGCGTGCATCCCACACGGATCACGTTCGCAACCCAAGCGTCCACTGTACGTAAATCCTGGATGGGGGAATCCCAAGGTCCTCTGCATGGGGGATGAGACGATGCTCTGCTGTGTCCTCCGTGCTCTTCCCTGTACTGCAGCCTCCCTTTCCCACTCCCATCTCACACCCCTCCATCTTTGGTTCAGAAATAGAGATGCTGGTCGATGACCCCCGAGACCTCGAGCCCACGAGCGAAAGGTCCCTGGACGACGTGAGTCCCGACGTCTGCATTTACATCACCGAAGACATGCTCATGGCCAGGAAGTTCAACGGGCACTCAGGTAAACCTCCCAGGAGCTCGGCATAAGCAAGGAAGCGATTAATAACAACAACAACAGCAATTTATTATTTGTACCCCGCCCATCTGGCTGGGTTGCACCAGCCACTCTGGGCGGCTTCCAACAGAATATTAAAATACAATAATCTATTAAACATTAAAAAGGGATGCGGGTGGTGCTGTGGGCTAAACCACAGAGCCTAGGACTTGCCGATCAGAAGATCGGCGGTTCGAATCCCCGCGACAGGGTGAGCTCCCGTTGCTCAGTCCCTGCTCCTGCCAACCTAGCAGTTCGAAAGCACGTCAAAGTGCAAGTAGATAAATAGGTACCGCTCCGGCGGGAAGGTAAACGGCGTTTCCGTGCGCTGCTCTGGTTCGCCAGAAGCGGCTTAGTCATGCTGGCCACGTGACCCGGAAGCTGTACGCCGGCTCCCTCGGCCAATAAAGCGAGATGAGCGCCACAACCCCAGAGTCAGCCACGACTGGACCTAATGGTCAGGGGTTCCTTTACCTTTACCTTTTTATTAAACATTAAAAGCTTCCCTAAAGAGGGCTGCCTTCAGATGTCTTCTAAAAGTCTGGTAGTTGTTTATTTCCTTGACATCTGGTGGGAGGGCGTTCCACAGGGCGGGTGCCACCACCGAGAAGGCCCTCTGCCTGGTTCCCTGTAACTTGGCTTCTCACAGCGAGGGAACCGCCAGAAGGCCCTCGGCGCTGGAGGCTCGGCAGTAGAGTGTCTGCTTTGCACACAGAAAGTCTAGGGTTCGTGGAAGGGACCCCCGAGGGTTATCCAATCCACCTCCTTGCAGTGCAGGAATCTCAGCTAAATCTCAGAATCGCTCCCTGCCCGGCAGCGTCTCCAGAAAAGACTCGTGTCTGGAAACCCCAGAGTGCCGTGACTCAAAATCAGGCAGCTTCCTATTTGAATCAGCTCCTTCTTCAGAACATCTTCAGGTGGCGATGGGAAACACTTCCTGCCCCTAAAGCCCAGGGAGGATGAAATTTAAAGGATATTTAGTTAAATATGCTAAGATAATTTAAATAGAAATACTTGCAAATACCAGATTGGCCTAGGATTTAAACATGTGATTTTATATAATAATATGTTTAAAGTTTATATGAAAATAAGTTAATTGACTTAAGTAAATTTTATGAGAAATTAGTCTTGGAAAACTGTTACAATGATATACATGGAAATTCAGCCAGGGGGATTTGAGGAAGTCACCTAACAATGTTAATAATAGTGGAATAATTACAGTTAAGATTTATGTGTGTTTGTTTGTTTATAAATTTGGAAAATCAATTTTAAAAATTTGCAAATAAATAAAGCCCAGGGGAACTGCTGCCAGTCAGTGTGGGTAATGATGAGCATTTGGCAATAGCCTCGGCTTGATCAACTCCTGCCCAGAAACCAATGTCCCCACTGTGGAAGGACGTGTGGATCCAGATTTGGCCTCCACTGTCACTTATGGACTCATTGTTAAAACCGTGTCTATGGAAGACAATCTTACTCGGCTACAAGTGTTGGCCAAAAAAAGAATACTGAGCTAGATGGACCAAGAATCTGTCTTGGTATGAGAATAATAATAATAATAATAATGATAATAATAATAATAATAATAATAATAATAATAATAATAATAAATAATAATTTATTTATACCCCACCCATCTGGCTGAGTTTCCCCAGCCACTCTGGGCAGCTCCCAATCAAATGTTAAAAACAGTACAGCATTACATATTAAAAACTTCCCTGAACAGGGCTGCCTTCAGATGTCTTCTGAATGTCAGGTAGTTGTTTATCTCTTTGACATCTGAAGGGATGGCGTTCCACAGGGCGGGTGCCACCACCAAGAAGGCCCTCTGCCTGGTTCCCTGTAGCCTTACTTCTCGCAATGAGGGAACCGCCAGAAGGCCCTCGGCGCTGGATCTCAGTGTCCGGGCTGAATGATGGGGGTGGAGACGCTCCTTCAGATATACGGGACCGAGGCTGTTTAGAGAAAGTTTCCTACATTCTTAAATATCACAGAATCACATATTTGTAGATTTGGAAAGGGACCACAGGGGTCATAAATTCCAAGCCCCTGCAATGCAAGAATATTTCTCCCCACCCGAGACTCGAACCCACAACCCTGAGATTAAGGGTCTGCCGACTGAGCTATCCATCAGAAATCAAATAAACATCTTTGATTTCTTCTGAGAAACCCTGCCAAGCTATCGAAGAAATAATACACAGGTGAGGTTGTATCCGGCTATGCCATGCTCAACAAAGGAGAATCGTAGAATTGCAAAGTTGGAAAGGGGTACTAGGGGTCATCTAGTCCAACCCGCCCTCCCAGCAATGCAGGAATCTGAACATAGTGCACTGCTCAGCAAAATTCATTAAACAGGGATAAATAACCAATCCGTGCCGAGTTGAGATTTCCCAGGAAAAATAAGTAATAAGCAAGAGCTACATAATCTCACCATCCATTTGAACTGTAATGGCTACAGTCAGTTTAATCAATACCCTGAAACTGAAACTGAAATTGTGTTTTGTCTTAAAAAGCTATCGGATGATAAAAGAGTGGACGGGGTCTAATATCACATTGGCACTTCTTGTTCCAAGGCGTGATAAATGTGGACCGTCTCTGCACAAAATGGTTTTCGGGGATATATTACCAGTTCTGTCTCTTGAGCCACGTTCGCCCATTCCCACATTCTGAAAAAGCAGGCAGATGGTGGCAAAGCAATTGGATTTTTCCATTACGCTAAAAAGCAGGCTTCTGATGTACTGTTCCCTAAGGGGTGCTTAGCGGTTCTGTTAAGAACTGGGCCGCCCTTGAATAATGACGAACCTCGGCTCTTTGCTTTCTTGTTTCCAACACAGGATTAGTCGTCAAAGAAGTCAGTTCGTCCACTTCCAGCTCTTCGGAGACCGTGGTCAAGCTTCGTGGCCAAAGCATTGATTCATTGCCCCAGGTTCGTAAGTTCTGCACGAGTCCATAAAGTTCTGCATCCGAGGCCATAAAACCATAGAATTGTGGAGTCTCTAGTGCAGGGGTCAGCACACTTTTTCAGCAGGGGGCCGGTCCACTGTCCCTCAGACATTGTGGGGGGCCGGACTTTATTTTTTGGGTGGGGGAATGAACAAATTCCTATGCCCCACAAATAACCCACAGATGCATTTTAAATAAAAGCACACATTCTACTCCTGTAAAAACACCAGGCAGGCCCCATAAATAACCCAAAGATGCATTTTAAATAAAAGGATGCTTTCTACTCATGTAAAAACACGCTGATTCCTGAACCGTCCGCAGGACGGATTTAGAAGGCAGTTGTGCCGGATCCGGCCCCTGGGCCTTAGTTTGCCTACCCCTGCTCTAGTGCAGGGATGTCAAACAGGTAGATCATGATCTATTGGTAGATCACAGGGTGTCTGTGGTAGATCGCTGGACCCTCCCCCCACCCCACAAAAGCTCAACAACTTTGGTAGATCACTGCCAGTTTTTTTTAATAGTGGGAGCAGATTTCAGTCTCTTGAAAGCTGCCTGCTCTAGGGTTTCCTTAAGCTAGTGGTTTTCAGCCCGTGCGCCGTGGCACCTTGGGGTGCCTTGAAGGATGGTCAGGGGTGCCGTGAGCAAGACTGGCCTCTTTCCTTCCCTCCCTCCTCTGATGCCCTCTTGCGTCTCTGCCTCCCGAAGGCTTGCAGGGCTGTTTGAGTTTTTTAAATTTTTTATTAGTTTTTATTAAATATTACAAGCAAAGAAAAAGAAAAAAGAAATAGAAACAAAAATCAATACATAACACGCAGACTAGAAAAGAAAAGAGACGAAAGCTAAAAGAAAAGAAAAAAAAATACTTTTCATAATCAATAATGCCAAATTTATACTTCGAACATTACTATATATATATATATATATCCTAGTTAAAATATTCTAAAAGACTTCCACCGCATTCACCACACGTCTCTTAGTTTCTACTTCACCTTTACACCTGTTCTTCAGTCACTCCTTTTTCTCGAGTTCTTTCATAGTCCATCAAATCTTTGTGTTCTCTATATTCTTCACAAGGTTAGTCTAAGCACAACCAAACTTTCGTATTTGAGGCTTGCAGGGCTGTTTGTTGCCGCAGCAGCCCTGGCTGCAAGCTCCCCAGGCGAATGGTGCCTCTGGGGCTGGCCAGGGGGTGCTGCTTGCCAGCAGCTAAAGCAGCCTTAGAGTAAGCAAAGGAGGGAGGGAGCCCAGCCAGCCAGTCCGCCATCCCTTGCTGTTGGGAATGGACGGACAAGTCCCAGGCCTCTGTGGGGGAGTGTGAGGAGGCACCTCTCTTTGGGGATGCTCAGAGACCAGGGGCGGCGGCAGCAGCTGCCCAGAGGACTCCCAAGGAGAGGGGAGAGGAGAGGAGGTGGAGGGAACCCTCCACAAGGGAGGGTGTTCGAAAAGGGGTGAGGGGCTGCCAGTTCTGCAGGCAAGGGGGGGAATCTAACTGGGCTCCTGAGCCCCACAAGGGAGCCACAGAAAGAATGTAGTTGGTCAAGGGAGCCGTGGACTCCAAAAGGTTGACAGCTTCTGCCTGAAACCCTTCGATGGTTATATTTTCTGAGAATCCTCCGGAAAAATAATCTCTCAAAGGACCTGTTGATGGCATTATACCATTGTACTGTTGAGAGTGTATTAACTTATGGTCTCTGTGTGTGGTTTGGGAGCTGCACGGTCAGGGAAAAACCAATGCTGTCCAGGGTTGTAAAGATGGCGGAGAGAATAATTGGGTGCACTCTTCCCACCTTGGATCAAATCTATGCTTCCGAGTGTCATAAGAAAGCTGCAGAGATAGCGCAGGATAGTGCGCACCCCGGAAATGATCTCTTTCAGCTTCTGCCTTCTGGAAGAAGGTACAGGGTTATAAAGACTAGGACTAGCCGCCTGAGAAACAGTTTTTATCCAAATGCGATTTTGGTTTTGAACGCAGTGTAAGGTAGTCTCTATGGGAGTATATTGTATTTAATTATGGGGTATCATCAGTTTTATTGGGACGCGGGTGGTGCTGTGGGTTAAACCACAGAGCCTAGGGCTTGCTGATCATAAGGTCGGCAGTTCGAATCCCCGTGACGGGGTGAGCTCCCGTTGCTCGGTCCCTGCTCCTGCCAACCTAGCAGTTTGAAAGCACGTCAAAGTGCAAGTAGATAAATAGGTACCGCTCCGGCGGGAAGGTAAACGGCGTTTCCGTGCGCTGCTCTGGTTCGCCAGAAGCGGCTTAGTCCTGCTGGCCACATGACTGGAAGCTGTATGCCGGCTCCCTCGGCCAATAAAGCGAGATGAGCGCCGCAACCCCAGAGTCGGCCACGACTGGACCTAATGGTCAGGGGTCCCTTTACCTTTAAGGTAGTCTCTGTGGGAGTATATTGTATTTAATTATGGGGTATCAGAGTTTTTAGGGGGCTAACCAGGCTGGGATAGCAGGCTTGTTGGTTTTTGAAGTTCTGATGCGGATTTTTTTCAGTTTCCTTGTTCTGTATGGGACAATGACAATAAAGATGATTGTTTCCTGTTTCCTGCAGACGGCCTGCCGGAAGCCAAAGACCTCCACTGACCGACACAGCTTGAGCTTGGACGACATCCGGCTCTACCAAAAGGACTTCCTGCGACTGGCCAGCCTCTGCCAGGAGACAGCCCAGAGCTACACCTTCGGCTGTGGCCACGGACTGGCCGAAGAGGGCCTCTACTGCAACGGCTGCTTAGCGCAGCAATGCATCAACATTCACGACACTTTCCCCGTCAAGAGGACCAGCAAGTACTTCTCTCTGGATCTCGCCCACGAAGAAGTCCCGGAGTTTGTCGTCTGACGCTGCCTCTTCAGAAACGCCTCCGGAGCTGGGTACTCGGGGGGGAGGTTGACCCAAGAAAGAGGACCACAGATTGCCTGGATTATTTTTGGTGCCATAGCAGGGGCATATGGAGATATATATTCCCCGTCAGTTTTTCTTCTCGGATACTACACAGATCCTGTGTGTTGCACTTTGACAAAAATGTGCCTGTCCCAAAGGCGGTTTCTTTCTGAATCGATGTCCGCGGTGGGATTTGCTCTGGAAACACGGCGGTCTTCTGTTCTCGGAAAAGGGGAGGCCAGCCTTGAGCACTTGTTGGCTCTCTCGTTTTGACAAGAAAAACAGATGCACAAAGATTGGCTTTTTAATTTTATTTGCCTCACGCCAAGCTGCCGTCTTTCTTCCGCGCTTCAGGTGGCCGTGGCTTCTTCCTGCGTCAACATTTTGCAGCTTTCTTTGGGTCGGCCGTTGTGGCATCGATGCTGAAAGCGAGGACACCAGTCTCTATAGTCTTCTTTCTCTCCCCCCCCCAACCCTTTTTACTTCCTGCACTGTGTCAAGCCAAAGAAATCGTCCCAAACGGGAAGCCATCGAGACCACAGGTGTGAGCAATAACTGACCAAAGGGACTTCGTCCTCCTTCGGTCGAGAGGCCTGGGGAAGGGCGGCAAGTGTGTCACGATGCAGTCGGGCCACCATTTTCCTGTTCTTCCCCACCGAAAGGAAAAGGACTGCGGTGACATCATCTCCCATCTGATATTTTGTGTTGTTTACAAAAGAAAAAGGGGAAGAAAAAAACAGGCCTAAAAACCGATGTTCAGAAAAGTGGGATTTTGAAAGCTGCTGGAAGCTTTTTCATTTGAGGTGGAAACAACCTCATGAACAGATAATCTGTCAGGATGTAGCAATAAGGTTTGCTGACCAAAGTACCTTAAATTTGAGAGAGAGAAAGAGAGAGAGATTATATATAAAAAATGCGTATATAAGTATAGAGAGGAGTATTTGTTTATTGTATGCTTGAACTTGCAGATCTCCCGTTTTACGTTTTGTTTTTCTGTTTTAAATGCCTTTTGTAGAAAAAGTTAACTACCCCCCCCAACACCCCATGTTACATATATAGACAATCTTATAAGCTCTACTTACACACAGGGAAGAAAACTTGCTCCCCTTTTCTTTTTGCTGTCGAGGGGGGGGGTGTTGTTGCTGCGTCGTAAGCATGGCGTCTTCCTCACCCCCATAATATATCTTTGCTGTTTTCTTTTTTTAAACTGGGTCTTCTGTGTATCCCTTCTGCCATCCTCTGACCACAGGCTCGTTAGGAGAATAGTTTTGCCCCCTTACCATTCAGCATAGCTCTTATAAAACAAACACGCCAAATACTTTACAAATACAGTAACATTTGTGGGCAGCAAACGCATCTTTGACCTGACCTCCTATGTGCAGCTATAGCAAGATTGCATCTTACGTGCGTTGAGCTTGCACGATTTCGACCATACGCGGTCGGAGGCAGACCGGTTGGAATCGCGCACCTGAACTCCAAACGAGGTAGAGATCTTTATAGAGCTCCTTACGTTCTCCGCCTTGCTTGAGGGGCAAGGCCTGCTCAGGGCGCCACCTTGGGGATGCTCGTGCAAGATCTCGCAGGGCCATCTGGGTTCGTGCGAGATTTCGTGTGAGCCTCCCAGAGCCAGTGTTCTGGGCTGGCCTTCATCCCCAAGTTAAGACAGAGAGCTAAGCTGTCTTAAAAGCTTTTTTTTTGCTGCTGGATCCGTGTGGTTTACCCGGCACGAAAGGAGCTTTTAATCTCTCTGCCTTACTTGCACACACCTGGTAGCTGCAGACGCGACTCCAGGGGTTTAGGTATATATGATTTCCGTGCATACGCAGAACCCTTGGAACCAAACCTCCACGTAAGATGTACAATCTTTATTAGTCTTCCGTGGAATAAAATAGCGCAAAGGTATGTGCACTGCCAGAGAGCTGGAATTGGCCATGACTTCTGCTTCGTGACCCAAGCAGTAGCAAACATATTTCGGGGGGGGGCAGCCCCATATTCTGTGCTGAGCAGTGTTCCCCATAACCTGAACTTGGAGCCGAGAGCTTTAGAAGGTGACGCTCGGCTTCTCCGTTCTTCTGGAAAAGTTGTGCCATTCTCCAAGGGGAAGGAGGCTGGTGTTCAGAGGATGGCCATGTTGGAGTTACGTGTTTTCAGTAAACGGGTGTGGGTTGTCCCCTCTCTTCCCAAGACCTTCAGCCATTCTGCGGGAGCGGGGGAAGCAAAACGATTTAAGTTTCTTAGCACGATGCCTTTTAAAAAAAGCACGCGAACAAATATTTTTTGAGAGGTTTTGTATCCACAGCCATACACCATTGCCATATTTTGATACACTTGTCTTTTTTCTAACTGGAGCCTTCTTAAATATATATATGTACCTGTATATATATATTATTTTATAAAGCTGAAAGCAAGGATATTTTTCTAAAGAGGCAGAAAATTTCCATTCTTTCCTTTCCCTCCCCACCTTCCCCCTGTTTTGGTATCCAAAGAGGCTGACCAGCTAATCAGTATTAACAGTTGAGCCAAGAGAAGTCTCAAGTTGGGCACGTCTAGATTCTGCCAATTGCTTCAGATGATCTTTCACTGGTACCTGCGCTCCTCAGCATGTCAGCCCAAGATGTTTGCAGCTTCCTTTTGAGATTTTGCTTTGTGATACAGGCAGGGGTGTGCTTGTTTGTGTGTCGTAAAGCAGCAGTTGCAGTGAGACTGCACGTCCTTTATGTTGTGCTTTGCCATTGGCACTGCCCGTTTGGCACAGGTGCCCTCCCTTCTCCATAGCATTCTGGTACCAGCCGTTGCAAATTGCAGACTCCACCCCTGGCAGGCCAATCTTAATCCCTCCTCAGCCAAGGGTTTGTCTTGCCCTCACCTGGGGATTCAAGCACCTGGTAGGCTGCAATACACGGAGAGTGGACCGTGTTGGGCTTGGAGGACTGTACATAAAGGAGCAATGTTGTCGTTGCTTGCCCTGTTCCTCGCTTCCCATTGGACAGCCCTCTTGTCATTTGACGCACCATCAGAATTTGCCCGCCCAGATCTGTAGACAGAGGCTGGATCTAGGTGAGACAAATTTCGGCAAGGAACGAGGCTGACCTTTCACTCTGGTGTGGTGGTCAGAGTGCTTGAGAAGGGCAGGTGATATTACCAATAAGCTTGACTGGTTTACCCTGGAGACTTTATTTTGGAGAAGGAAGAGGAGATTTTCTGAAATTAGCCGTTTCCCAGTCTCCGGTGAATGCCCCAGCACTGCACGATCGCACAAGTCAGCCATCGCGGTTTGCATAACACTTTCCTCTGTGTCTCTTGAGACACAGGTAATAACAGCGACCGCTCACCTGACGCGACCCTCTCGTCCGTCCCAGATGCATGGCTGCAGCCAAATTCCTTGATTCCAATTCCTATCGATCAGCTTTTTGTCGTTGCTGTTCCTGAGCTGAACTTCTGAACGATCTAAGGCAGCCTTTGCTAACCTGGTGCCGTGCAGAGGTGTTTAAACTACAGTTCCCATGAGCTTCCAGCATCATGCTGCCATGCAGATGGGAACTGCGGTCCAAGCACCTTTGCACGACACCAGGATAGCCAAGGCTGATCTCAAGTCATAATATCAGGCGGCAGTCAATTTGTACGGTGAAACTGCAGGCTGATATTAAATGCAGATGCGCACACACATCCGGATCTAATCTGAGTTGGATTCAGATGAGCATCTGTGTCATGGAGGAACACCTGTGAAGTCGTTATGCAGTGATGAGAATTTTCCTCCATAGGGTCTAGCCGCATGTGAGGGCCAAGTCTCGGCACGCTGACTCAGCCGATTTGAAACATGAGGGAGGTGAGCTCAAAAGTGCCTTATTCCCAAATGCCACAGGTGGACACACGGCTTCAGCTGTGCTTGCCGTTTGGCGAAGTTTGAAGCCGCCTCCGTCACCCAGCCTGTTGTCTTGCGTCCGATCAAAAATGGAGAAGCTCTGTAGATAAAAACAGTTCTTGCCATTAGAGGGCAGTATCACCCTGGCGACTGAGCGGAGGAATGTTCCGGATTTCGGTTCACTGCTGTGTTGACGAAGGCGAGTGTTGCGCCTTGCGAGACTGAGCTGCGTGATTGGACAAGCCATCTCGTTTCTCGTCTTTCTGGCTTTTGGTGTAGAAGTAAAGATGCTCTGTGGAAATCATCGGAAGCCGTATCTCACGGTCGCACAAAAGCCGAGGCTGGATCTGTGGGTCTGTGTTGCCGCTGCTTAAAATGAGACTTAAAACAACAACGACAGTTGACCTGGTGTGCGGTCTGTTGTCTGGCTTCTGTGTGATAACACTTGCCTTGCGGGGAACGCTCGCTTTGTTTTATAGAACCAGCTGTGAGGGTCTGTGTGCGTAAACTTTCAATTTATTTGGACGGTTTCAGCTGAAAACTCACTGCTTGTGCGTAAGTCTTGCATGGCGGCATAAGCCAGGGACAGAGACAATGAGTGCAGAGGGAATTAGACGCATATGCAGAGAGCCCGCCAGGAAAAAGTTGCCTTTGTGGGTCCAAGCAGCGTCTTCAGAGATGTGCTGCTGGATCCCAGTGGATGTCGGCGGTGTGACAAATGTGTGATTTGTTCCTTCCCGATCCCCACAGCAAATGGAGGCAGAATTGCCCAGCTGGTTCTAAGGGTGGGCAAGGCCTTCGGATGGCAGCAGGGCCTGCCAGGTAGTGGCACCGTCCTTGAGAAGCCCAACCTCACACCTGAAGAGAGGTCAGCTCTGGGAACGGGCCCGCAACTCGGTGCTTGCATCCAAAGCAGCGCAAAGTCTCTTCTTCCGTTTCGATTTGTGCCGTGGGACGTCCCCCTCGCCTGCACCCTCCCCAAATCTGCTCCGGATTTAGCAGACCAGGGAGGGGGGGAAAGTGCCAAGCTAACTCCTTGCCCGAAGCGGACGAGGGACTCAGCACCACTCTGGATATGCACGCCTCGCATCCCAGCTTCTAACCCTGGCATCTCCAGCGACCGGATCCCAACTTGCAGGGCGGAAAGCTGCTGCCAGCCAGAGCGAGACACTATATTCCCAGGTAGACCAGTGGCTTGGCTCAGCGTGGTTGAAGGCAGTCTGTTCACACTTCTGCCTGCTTCATGTCTAAAGCGTGGATCTGATTTTCAGAGAAGGTGCCTTACAGGGAGTCAGGCCAGCTCAGAATTCCCTACACCAGCGTTTCCCAAACTTGGGACTCCAGCTGTTGATGGACTACAACGCCCATCATCCCTAGCTAGCAAGGACGGTCAGGGATCATGGGAGTTGTTGTTGTCCAAAAGAAGCTGGAGACCCGTGTTGGGGAAACACTGCTCTACACTGACCGGCAGTAGCTGTCCGGGGGCTCGGGCAGCGGACATTCCCAGCGTGACCCAGAGGTGCTGCTTGAAATTGCACCTGAGACCTTCTTTCTGCAAATCACTGGGCTTGGCGGCCTCTAATGCGCAGGGATGCTCAAACTCCTCCTGACCCCTTCCTCAAAAGGAGGCGTGTTGGTTCCTTGCCACATGCCCTCCCCTTTCCATCAGCAAAAGACTTACGGGGTGGAGGCTGCATGGAACCAACCCCTGCTCCACTGCTCCTTTAGACCTGAGCAAACCAGAGCCGCAGAGGTCCCTTCCGGGGTCACCGGGGGCACGAACATCGTGGCAGCCTCCAGGGTCCTCACTGTGCGATGGGGGGCGGCACTGAATTGTGCCACTGGGGAAGATAGCCTTTGGCCCGTAACGCGTTGGTGTGGTTTAAAGGAAGGGGGTATGGAAGAAGCAAGTCCTTTTGTATTATAGATGTCCAAAGGAGGCCATATGCTACCAGTCTGTATTTTTATATATATCTCTATCGTATATACTTTTTGCATTTCTGGGAACTCTTTACCGGGTCTGGGTGGCGCCCCGGTTGCTGTCGCCGCAGACCCCCAGCTCCAAGCGCTGCACCGCTCAGACAAGCCCCTGCTCCTTTCTGTGAAAGGCTCTTCCCCGTCCGGGCGGTGGGCAGTGGTGCGCCAGCAGCCGGGAGCAACGCGCTGAAAGGAGCATAGCCAATTTGCGTTTGTCACGCGGGACGTTTGCAGTGCGCGGCCTTCTGTTCGAAGAAATGACAATAAAAGTCGCAGTTTACATTGCAGTAGCTCCTCTGGTCTTTTTTTTGAGCGGAGCGTCTCCCTCCCCACACTAAGGGGGTGGTGGGGAAACCCAGCCGTCAAAATAGCACATACATATCTGCATTCTCGACTGGCGACCCAGAGAGAGGTGAGTCAGAGGAGAGAAGGTGGAGCCATAGAGTCTCCTCGGGCTCGTTAACACCTTGGAGATCCAGCATAACAAAGAGGGGCATGTTTGCTGTTGTGAATTCTTCCTTAAGTCCTGAGGCAGCCATAGGAAAGCTATAGTCCCTCTTCCTCACTTATTCACATAAACTGTGGAACTCTCTGCCACAAGAGGCAGGGATGGTGGCCACCAACCTAGATGGCTTGGAAGAGAATTAGACAAGTTCTAATTCTGAATTCTAATCTAAGAGTGGTTGGGGAAACCCAGCCAGGTGGGCAGGATATTATTATTATTATTATTATTCTTATTATTCACAGAGGAGAGGGTTATCAACGGCAACCAGCCACAAAGGCTAAGCTCTGCCTTCCCAACTGGCCACAGCAACGCTTCTGAATACCATTTGCTGGAAACCACAGAAGGGGAGAGTTGCTCTTGTTTGTTTTTTTGTTTTGTTTTTAAATTAATATTGAACTTTATTAAGTACAAATTAGAAAAACATACATATTTACAACAAAAGAAAATACAAAAGAAAAAGAAAATACATATAACCAAGGAAAAAATTAGAGAATATTTTATCTCTTTTCATATTTACAGTTATTTATACCTCTATAAAATGCTATTCACAATAAAGGAGTGAAGTGAAAGGTAAAATATCAGAACAAAGAAAAAATAAAGAAGTAGAAAAAGATCAAAAGTGAAAAATTTTAAAAGTAGATAAGTATTCACTATACGTAGGCATTTCCAATCTATATTTATATTTGATTGTATAATTTCATCTTGCTCTTGCATTTGAATCCTGCTTTCGGGTTTCCCACAATGGGCATCTGGTCAGCCACTGTGAGAACAGGACGCTGGACTCGATGGGCCCCCTTTGGCCTGACCCTGCAGCCAGGCCTCTTCTCCCATTCTTAATGTGAATGTCTCCCTGGGTGGACCTGAAAATGATGCTTGCTTTATATAGAAGGACCTTCCATGCCAAACTCTGCATCTGCGAATAGGGAAAACTCTCTTCAGAGGAAGTGATTTGGCTGCCTGCTGCCATCTTGTGGCAGGATGCGGCCACGAGAATCTGAGCAGCCCAGCTTAGAAGCTGGATGAGTGAGGAGATACTTGAGGGCATGACGGACAGCCAAGCACATGTTTCATGGGCATATCCCTGGTTTGGCCTTTACTTTTGCCATCAGAATGAGGCCTCTAGTGGAGCTCCTGTAACTTCACTGTGGATCCCTAGATGGCGATGGAGGGCAAGGATTCTGAGTGGCAGCCCTAATGCACTCCCTGCCTTGGTGATTGACAACTTAGTCTGGCAGGGGCTGATGGGAGTTGGAGTCCAGCGGCACCTGGCGAGCAACAGGTTGCTTTTCCCCATACGCAGGACGTTGTCATTAGCATACTGAAGCTCTATGACGGAAGTTATGGTAACCTTACTTTTCATTTTCAGCCTGCTCAGATTAAAGAGCTTTCCATCTGTCCAATATATGATTTCTACTCCGGTGGGGAGTTTCCCTTCGACAAAGTGTAGGATCATGGCAATGAAAATAAGGAATAGAATTGGGGCAATAACACAACCCTGTTTAATACCTGATCCCACTGTTTGTTGCTGTCATTATCATGGAGGAGCCGAAGGATGTTCACAAACTGATCTGGGCAGCTGATTTTCAGAAGGACAGTCCACAGGGCAGTGTGATTTACAGTGTCCAAGGTCTTAGTCAGGTCAATAAACGCCATGTACAGCGGTTGGTTTTGCTCTCTGCATTTTCCCTGAAGCTGTCGAGTGGTGAAAATCATGACTGCTGTCCCCCTAGAAAGTCAAAAACCATTTTGGGATTCAGGAAGGGTAGCCTCGGATATAGTTAGGAGACGGTTTGCTAAGATCCTTAAAATAATTTTGCAAGCTGCAGCTACTAAAGAGATTGTTTCCACAATCCATTCTATCACCTTTAAAAAAAAAAAAAGATTGATAATTTTGGCATCCCTAAAGTCTGCTGGCATCTCCTCTCTCTCCCATATTTTTTCGATGGTGTTGGAAAGTGTCAATCACTTTTCCTACCCTCATTCCACATGCGTCAACACTGATGCCAAAATCCAGCATCACCTGAGCTCTGTAAGTGCAGCTCTCTCCCAACTGAAGCGCAGAGTGTTTGAGGATTGGGACATCCACAGGGAAACCCAAATGCTTGTTTGCAAAGCTATTCTACTAACAACTTTACTGTATTCTTGTGAAACATGGACCACATATAAACAACATCTCCAGCTCCTCGAAAGACTCCATCAACGGTGTCCCCGAAAAATTTTACACATCACTTTGAAAGATAGGTGAACTAATGCCAGTGTACTGGAAGAAGCAAAGGTCACCAGTGTCAAAGCAATGATTCTTCAACATCAACTTCGCTCAACTAGTCATGTTTTTCAGATGCCTGATGATCGTCTTCCAAAGCAACTACTCTATTCCCAACTTAAAAATGGAAAGCATAATGCTGGTGATCAACAAAAAAGGTTTAAAGACTCTCTCACGGCAAATCTAAAAGAATGTAGTATAAACACTGACAACTGGGAAACACTGACCTGCGAGTGCTTCAGTTGGAGAACAGCCTTGACCAAAGGTGTCATGGGTTTTGAAGATGCTTGAACTCAGGACGAAGGGGAGAAATGTTCTAAGAGGAAGGCATGCTTGGCAAATCCACACCGTGATCATCTCTTGTCTCCTGGGTCCCCTCCTCTCCTGCCTCTGAGTCTGGACTGCTATCTGCCCCAGCCTCTTCCCGCTCACTAAACCCTGTTGCCTCTTCAACCTCCGACACCACCTCCTCTCAGTCTGCTCCCTCTTCTCGCTCTGACCACTCGTCACCACCCCGCCACCAGTCCCCTGGCTCCATGCCTTATTCCTTTGGGGGGGGGTCCCAAGCTGGTCCCTCCCACCACTCCTCTGCCTCCAGCCAGTCCACGGCAGTTTTCCAGCAACTGCAATACGGACGCATTGCTACCTCCAGCTTGAGTCAGAGCAAACTAGTAGCCATTGATTGCCCTCTCCTCCACAAATTTGTCTGTTCCTTTCTTAAAGGCAGGGACGCGGGTGGCGCTGTGGGTTAAACCACAGAGAATAGGGCTTGCCAATCAGAAGGTCAGCGGTTCGAATCCCCGTGACGGGGTGAGCTCCCGTTGCTCAGTCCCTGCTCCTGCCAACCTAGCAGTTCGAAAGCACGCCAGTGCAAGTAGATAAATAGGTACCGCTCCAGCGGGAAGGTAAAAGGTGTTTCTGTGTATTGCGCTGGTTCACCAGAAGTGGCTTAGTCTTGCTGGCCACATGACCTGGAAGCTGTACGCCGGCTCCCTCGGCCAATAAAGCGAGATGAGCGCCAAAACCCCAGAGTCGGTCACGACTGGACCTAATGGTCAGGGGCCCCTTTACCTTTACCTTCTTAAAGGCACCTGGCTGGGCGGCCATCATTGCTGGTTAGTTGCACAAGGCCTCCCACTTTGCTGTTGTGCAACCTGAATTTGCCAGCGCATGACTGAATGCCACCCCAAAATAGCATCAGTCTGGCAGATCCTGAAGACTCCCACCCCTCTTTATGTTGGGGAGATTGTAACCCCGTTAACCCCAAAGCAAACCAGCCCTCTCAGTTGCTTGTCAGGTGTTCTCTAATGCACTGCCTGCCTGCGTTGTTCTGCGCTATTGATCCCCAGACACACATGAATGTACAGCAGCCCTCTGACAGATGACAGATTCCTTTTCCCTCCTGTCTTCCTTGCAAAGTCTCCAGTCCCCACTGACAGGTTGCCTGCAGTCAGCCAGGGAGCAGGGAGCAGGTTTCTTCAGCTGAATGACCCTGGCTTCCATAAGGCAGCAGAAGGGTGTTTGCCCAGAGCTGGCAGATCAAAGGAGGGAGATGTGAATTTTATTCAGCGGGGAGATGGAGACATGAGCTGCTTCAACAGTTAGAATGCCAGGCGTTTTTCAAGGAAGGAAGATTCCCAGAAGCTCCCGATCCCAAGGATACGATGGCAAGGTTTTTAGCCTTTTGGCTTGCCGATCAGAAGGTCGGCGGTTCGAATCCCTGCGGCAGAGTGAGCTCCCGTTGCTCAGTCCCTGCTCCTGCCAACCTAGCAGTTCGAAAGCACACCAGTGCAAGTAAATAAATAGGTACCGCTCCAGCGGGAAGGTAAATGGCGTTTCCATGCGCTGCTCTGGTTTGCCAGAAGCGGCTTAGTCATGCTGGCCACATGACCCGGAAGCTGTACGCCGGCTCCCTCGGCCAGTAAAGCGAGATGAGCACCGCAACCCCAGAGTCGGCCACGACTGGACCTAATGGTCAGGGGTCCCTTTACCTTTTATCTGTAATACAGTGTAATCAATTCCCACCATCCCTGCCCACTGGTCTTGCTAGCTAGGGATTATGGGATTTGTAGTCCAAAAAACAGCTGGAGTCGCAAGTTTGGGAAGCAAGGGTATAGATCTATCGTTTTGACTTTTTCCTGGCCCTCCTCCCATTTGGATGTATGTTTCTTGCCCCCCACCCCCTTAAATCCAGGGTCTCTGGTTCTCCACACACACACACACGCCCAACCTGTTCAGAACTGCAGACCCAAAGGAGGACTCGTGGGAGAGGTTGGGTGCAGAGAGAGCTAAGAAAGATGTCCCAAACGTCAAGAGTGGTAGACTTGCAGCAAAGCAGCCTGCTGTGTCTTCCTTGCCTTTATGGGCACAGCAGAAGGAAAAGATTTATGTCATTGCATGTTTATAACAGGGACGCGGGTGGCGCTGAGGGTTAAACCACAGAGCCTAGGACTTGCCGATCAGAAGGTCGGCAGTTCAAATCCCCGTGACGGGGTGAGCTCCCGTTGCTTGATCCCTGCTCCTGCCCACCTAGCAGTTTGAAAGCACGTCAAAGTGCAAGTAGATAAATAGGTACCACTCCAGCGAGAAGGTAAATAGCGTTTCCGTGCCCTGCTCTGGTTTGCCAGAAGCGGCTTGGTCCCCCTGGCCACATGACCCGGAAGCTGTACGCCGCCTCCCACGGCCAATAAAGCGAGATGAGCGCTGCAACCCCAGAGCTGGTTATGACTGGACATAATGGTCAGGGGTCCCTTTACCTTTACCTTATGTTTATAATACATTCAAAACGCTGTTTCTTGACTATTGTAGGCGAGTCCCAACTGGGCCAGGACTTGCCATTGCATCACTGGCCCAGATGAGGGCATAGGGGGCAACTGCTCAAATTTTACAGATAGTTCTCTTTTCTGGGCTCAGCACCCGAAAACCACAGATAAGGGTAGCATCAAAGCAAGCCAATTAGCTTATATCAAAGTAAGTGAATATGCACATATATGAGCTCATTGCTACAACTACCAATTAACTGTGGGGTTATCTTGACTGCCAATATGGTGTTTGCAGGGCATCTGGAATAGTTCACCTTTGGTTCAACGCACCACCTCACGCACCCCAACCACTGACCCACAGCGCCCCTCCAGTTTTATTTATACCCTGCCCTCCCCAGCCAAGGCCGGGCTCAATTAGTGCCATTGCCTTCCGTTAAGAGTTTGGGTGTAATCCTTGACGCCTCCCTTTCCACGGAGGCGCAGGTTACAGCAACAGCCAAGGCGACATTTTTCCACCTTCGCCGCGTCAAGCAGTTGGTCCCTTACCTTTCCCGCCCCGACCTGGCCACAGTGATCCATGCGACGGTCACCTCCAGGCTTGACTACTGTAATTCGCTCTACGTGGGGCTGCCCTTGAAGCTGTCCCAGAAACTCCAACGGGTGCAGAATGCTGCAGCGAGACTCCTCATGGGGTCTCTGCCATGGGAGCGTATTCACCCAGTGCTTTTCCAGCTGCACTGGCTCCCAGTGGAGTACAGGGTCAGGTTCAAGGTGCTGGTTTTGACCTTTAAAGCCCTTCACAGACCTTCGTACCTACGGGACCACCTCTCCCGGTATGCCCCACGGAGAGCCTCAAGGTCCATAAATAGAAACACTCTAGTGGTCCCGGGCCCTAAGGAAGTCAGATTAGCTTCAACCAGAGCCAGGGCCTTTTCAACACTGGCCCCGGCCTGGTGGAATGCTCTGCCTCATGAGACCAGGGCCCTGCGGGATCTGATTTCTTTCCGCAGGGCCTGTAAGACAGAGTTGTTCCACCTGGCCTTTGGCTTGGAGCCAATTTGATTCCCTCCTCTCTCTCTTTTCTTTTCCTTCTCCTCCTGTGATGAGGCTGCATTTTAATATTTTAATGTTTCAATATTTTAATGTTGTATTTTAATCTTGTTTTTAAGTTGTATTCATTCAACTTGTTTTTATTATTGCTTGTTAGCCGCCCTGAGTCTGGCCTTGGCTGGGGAGGGCGGGGTATAAATAAAAATTATTATTATTATTTCTTGTTTTCTAACTCTTGCACCCAGCAGTTTCTGCATTCAAGCTATATTTAGCCCCACTTCCTCTTTATTTCCATAAGACGCTGTCTTGTGCTGAGCCCGGCCATCGAGTCCACCTAGCTCTGTGCTGTCGGCACGGGCTGGCAGCAGCTCTCCCAGTCCTACCCGGCGATGCTGAGGATTGTGCCAGAGGAGCCACTGCCTGGTCTACTCCAGTTTAGCAGATAGCTCAGTCGGTAGAGCAGGAGCCCCTTAATCTCAGGGTCCTGGGTTCAAGTCCTGCCTTGGGCAAAAAGATCGGGGGTGTGTGTGTGTTGGACTAGATCACCCTTGTGGGGGGTGGGACCCTTCCAACTCTACGATTCTAATCTCAGGGAACATCCCTTTCCAAGGAACCCAGCGAGATGCCTTCTACTGAGCGAGTCAGAGCATGGGGTCTGCCCGGCTCAGTGCTGTCTGCACGGGCTGGCAGCAGCTCTCCAGGATTTCAGGCGCGGGAGAGCACAGCTGAGCAGAGAACGAGTCTGCAAGGGAGAAGCATCACGCAGCAGCTCGAGGAGGAAGCGGTAGTTGCCGTGTTTCCTGTACAACGGGGAGCTGATTTCACACACACACAGAGAGAGAGAGAGAGAGAGACTGAGACTGACTGGGTGGGGACTCGCATCTGAGGCTCAGCTCAGCTCTCTAGCGATCCAGCTGTTGCTGCTACTCCCGGCTCTGGGACTCAGGAAAGGAGGGGGGCATTTTGCTTCTGACCACATCTGGATCCAGGAGGGGAGGAGACGGACTCCGCTGTGCGCTCCGGTTTGTGAAATCTTCATCCAGGTAAAGGAGAGGGCGAAAGCCCACTAAACGTGCTCGGGGGGGGGGGGTGTCTCTATCCCTTTTTTCCCTGGGCTGTAGGTTTTCTTCCTTTTTCTCCAACACGATGGTTAAGGGGCAGCCTCGTTTCCTATGCATGCATCTGATCGATCGATCGATCTCTCCAATTTCCCACCTTTGGGTTTGTGGCGCCTCCAGGCGCAAACGGGGTTTTCACAAGGGACTGGGGTGGGCTGACAAATCCTTGCAAGCAAAATATGATCCTCCGTTTGGGGAAGGGATCTTGCAAGCGGGGAATGTGTCGAGGGAGGGAGTCTAATAACACGTCTCTCCCCGCCAGTGCAAGAGAAATTGATGGGAATGTGGGTGGTGGTGTTTTTTCATTCAGCCAGAGAACAAAACACACAAACACACACACACACTTTACGCCTCAAAGACTCTTTGCAAAAACTGCATTTAATTTAATTTGGCGTCACTCCGGAGTGGTTGCATCGCCAGCTCTCTGCCTAATTTGTAATGCACGTGAATTATTATATATATATTTTTAAAAAACACCCTCCCCTCCTTTCTGCGAGGGATCTTCCTGGGTGGGCGAGGGACCCCTTCCCACCTGGATCTGTTTGCAATCTCTTTGTTCGGAGCAAGTAGCGTTTTCTGGCATGCCTGGACTCCCCTCCCATGTCTCATGCTGGGGATGATGTTGATCCGGAGAGTCTTGTCTGTCTGATTCAGATACTGAAACTCATCGCAAGCATTGGGATCCCACCCAATATGTGTATATATTAAATCCTTCTGTTCGGCTTTGTTTAAAGTTGTTTCCTCCTTCTCCAGCTGGCAAAGCTGTCTTTTTCAATTCTTTTAAGTTGGGGGGAGAGGAAAATCTGCGTATTGGCTCCTTCTTCTGGAAATATTTCTCTTGTGTTAGCAGCTTTTTAAATTTTATTTTTAGGCAGTGGTAGGTGGTATTACTGCTCTGATGGCAAACGGGTGGGCAGGAAAGCTGGCGAGGGTGGGCAGCTGTGTTCTGCTGGCAGCGTGCACGAAGGCAAGATTGCCAAACTGCCGAGAGAAAGACTCTGGTGTTTATTTTTTTTTAAGATGGGTGGATGGATGGACAGATAAGCATTAAAACTGGGTGGGCAGATTGAATGGGCAGTCTGACTCAGGGCAAACCAGCCCAGCCTACTCTTTTACCCCTCACCTCCACCCCACCAGACCATTCATAAAATGACCTGGGATGGGGACTCTACAGGATGTTGACATTGTGGAAGAAGCCCAAGCCTTGCAAAAGGGTGAGTGGCCATTGACAAAGCAGGTCATGCCACAGGGTCCAGCCTCTGGGAACAAAGACTGAATTTAGAAGACTTTGGCCTGCCTGCTAATCCTGGATGAATGAGATCTGGCCTTTCTCCTGCCTTTCATTTTTTTTAAATCATTTTTTTAAAAAAAGAACAAAAACTGGAGATCAGCTTTTCAAGCAGCTCCACCACAAATATATGCACACACACACACACACACACACACACACACACCATCATCCTATAGAACAAGGCAGAACAGTCCAAACTTCACCTTTCTACTCCTTTTTCTTAAAAAGGAGGGTTGGGGAGAGATTAATTCTTAGGTGGGTGTAGAGTAGAAGATGGTTGAACCCAGGTCTCTGAGATGGGGAAACGCTTTGAATTCTGGTTTCGTAAGGGGCAGAGATCTAAGAAGGAAGAAGCAACTGCAGGGAAAAGAGAAGTGAGCTCTAGCAAAATAAGCATCTTTTGTTTTGAATGCTGAGAACTCAGCTTTGCAGAGGTGAGGCAGGGCAGGAAGAGGGGAGGCAGATATTGTGACTCTCAAGATCGGAGGCAGAGATGGGAGTGGGAGGGAAGAAACTCGGGTGCAGATTCAACCCCCACGTTTATGAGGCAATTAAAAAATGACACCCCCTCCGCCTCGTTTGCCGCCCCCCATTAATTTTGCGCTAATTGACTGTTACAACCCATAAAGCTCAATGGTCCTTAGCCTCTCCGCTCCCAAGTTCATCCCAAGACAAAGATACCTGTTGTCTCTTAGGAGGAGAGTTTTATTAGGGCCTTGGAAGGGGGGCGGTCTCTGCTTTATTTAAAAAGAGCCTGGGAACCCTTTTGCTTCTCGGCAAGGATTGCCTGGCCAGGTTCTCAAACTTGCTGGTCCCGTTGACCTCTCCTTCAGTCCAGCCACCATCCAAAAGGAACTCATCAGCTGTTCCCTGGGGGGAAAGACCAGCCTGTTATTTCAGGGTGCATGCTCTCCGTGGGGTGGTTTGGCACTGCCAGTTGTCTGCGTGGATCTCGAAATGGCCACATCTGCCTCTTGATTTCTGATTTCGCGACGGGAGGTCCTATACCACACCCATTCGGCCGCTCCTTCCATATTAACCGGATTTTATGGAATCCTCTGATTCAAATCCTCTTTTGTGCCATATGGCCATGCATGGAACTGAAATGCAATTGGCTTAAAGATGAGGTAGAAAGCCACTTGGCTTCTCTGTATTTCCTCCCCTTTCTGCTTTCCAGAGATGCTTTGCATCACCTCGGTGGGCGTGGCGTGCTCTGAAAGCCTCCATAATGCAGACAGTGGTAGAGGGTTTTTTTGGTTGGGGGGGGGGAGCGGACAGCTAAGGAAGGCTTGATAAACATTTGTAAAATATAACTGCTCTGGAGAAAGTAACAACTCTCCACACACCTCTGCTGGTTGCGTCTCATAGTAAAGAAAAGGTAAAGGACCACGGACGGTTAAGTCCAGTCAAAGGCAACTAGGGGGTTGCAGCGCTCATCTCGCTTTCAAGCCGAGGGAGCCGGCGTTTGTCCGCAGACACTATACCTGAAGGAGCGTCTCCACCTCCATCGTTCTCCTGGACACTGAGGTCCAGCGCCGAAGGCCTTCTGGTAGTTTCCTCACTACGAGAAGCCAAGTTACAGGGAACCAGGCAGAGGGCCTTCTCGGTAGTGGCACCTGCCCTGTGGAACACCCTCCCACCAGATGTCAAAGAGAAAAATAACTACCAAACTGTTAGAAGACATCTGAAGGCAGCCCTGTTTAGGGAAGCTTTTAATGTTTAATAGGTTATTGTGTTTTAGTGTTCTGTTGGAAGCCGCCCAGAGTGGCTGGGGAAACCCAGTCAGATGGGTGGGGTATAAATTATTATTACAATTATTATTATTATTATTATTATTCCGGGTCATGTGGCCAGCAGAACTAAACCACTTCGGTGCAATGGAACACCGTGACAGACACCAGAGCGCATGGAAACACCGTTTACCTTCCCGCCGGAGTAGTACCTATTTATCTATTTTCACTGGTGTGTTTTGGAACTGCTAGGTTGGCAGGAGCTGGGACAGAGTAACGGGAGCTCACCCCGTCACGGGGATTCGAACCGCCGACCTTCTGATCGGCAAGCCCAAGAGGCTCAGTGGTTTAGACCACAGTGCCACCCATGTCCCTGCTTCTCATAGTAATTCATGTTGGGATGGCCCAATTGATGGGCCCCCAAAGTGCCCACATGACGGGGTAATGACAAGGATTTGAAAAGCTGTAGGTCTGTGATAGAGCATCCGCTTTGCAGGCAGGAGGTCCCAAGTTAATTCCCCAACTTCTCCAGGTTGGGCTGGGAGAATAAACCAAGGGAAACTGCTGCCAGCCCGTGTAGGCAATGCTGGTTAAGATGGGCCAGTGATATAAGGCATGTCCCTTATGGGGATCAAACCTGCAACCTTGGCGTTTATCAGCATCAGGCTCTAACCAACTGAGCCAATTTTATTCTAATCCTAAAAGAGGATTAGCTATGAATCCATGGAAGTGGGAAGATCTACCAAAAAAAAACAACAAATCTCCCGAACTGAGTGGGCCTATGTGGAAACTTTTATTGAGCACAACAGCGCTGGATTGGTTCACTGAGGTCACCTGATTTCCTGGACCAGGAGGATTCTGGGTTGTGGTAGTAGAACCCCAACTTGAGGTCTCCAACTGGTGGCCTTGCGGACATCTGGAGTAGAGGAGTGGTCTTGGGTTGACTACAACTCCCATCATCCACATCCAGCTTAGCCAGTGGTCAGGACTGATGGGTGTTGTAGTCCCAACAACATTTGGAGGGCACCAGGTTGGAGAGCGATGGGAGAGAGCCTTGGCATGTAGCTTCCAGGGCTTCTGGTTCTGATCTCCCCCTGGGCAGATGCTGGAACAGATTTTCTAAGTAGTGGCTTGCTAATCTACTGATATGCGTCTTGTGGAAGTCCTATACAGAACCTGTTTTGCGGGCAGAAGGTCCCGGGGGTCAGTCGCTTGCGTCTCCCGTTAAAAGCATCTGCAGCTGAGGGCGGGAAATGTCTGCTCCTCTGCCCAAGGCCCTGGAGACCTGCTGCTGGCAGTCCGAGTGGGCAATAGTGGGCTTGTCTACCTAATGTAAGGAAGCTTTTTGTGTGAATCACCATGTTAGAAGCTAAAATGGGAACAGGCTTGTGCCTGTAGCCCCTGATTCAATGCTGTTCCTGCGTATCATTTCCATAGCTCTCTTAATTTGCTAAGTGCTGTGTGGGCCTTACAGCTTCATGGGGTGGTCCAGCGGTCTGACTCAGTACGGATGTTTGGGGGGAAGTGACCCAGCTCAGCAGGAAGAGGTTCGATCCTCCAGGTAGGGATGGGAACGACCCCCCTGCCTGAAACCACAGGGCATCACACCCACAGCGCCACCCGAGTCCCTTCCAACATATTGTTGTTGTTGTTGTTTAGTCGTTTAGTCATGTCGGACTCTTTGTGACCCCCTGGACCAGAGCACGCCAGGCACTTCTGTCTTCCACTGCCTCCCACAGTTTGGTCAAACTCATGCTGGTAGCTTCGAGAACACTGTCCCACCATCTCGTCCGCTGTCGCCCCCTTCTCCTTGTGCCCTCCATCTTCCCAACATCAGGGTCTTTTCCAGGGAATCTTCTCTTCTCATGAGGTGGCCAAAGTATTGGAGCCTCAGCTTCAGGATCTGTCCTTCCAGGGAGCACTCAGGGCTGATTTCCTTCAGAATGGATAGGTTGGATCTTCTTGCAGTCCATGGGACTCTCAAGAGTCTCCTCCAGCACCAGAATTCAAAAGCATCAGCCTTTTCAGAAATTGACAGGCGAGCGAAGGGATTTCCTTCAGACGCTGCTCAAAAGGCCACACCTGCTCTGCCGGCCAACGCACTCTTGGAGGAGAGTCTAGACGAGCGCAGAATGGAGAGGGTCCCACAAAGACAACTGTGGCTCTGGCAGGGAAGCCAGAAAGCAGAGGGCCATTGCAGACCTGGTCAAGAGCGTCACGCGCTTGACGTCTTGGAGGAGGCTGAGATGTGGAAGTCAGGATTAAGCCCCTGATATTGAAAGAGAAAGTTGGTTTACATCGGAAGCAGTAGAAACACACGCCAGCGACGAGGCCCTGTTGCCCCTGGATAATAATAAAGGGTTGTGCCCAATGATGTTTCTCTTCTTCTGCCTGCACAGTGGGACTTCCTCTCCCCCTATGCCTCCCCCAAATGTGTACTGGGGTTCCCCCAACCCTTTGGAGCAAAATTGGGAGAGATAAAGCAAACATGCAAGAGAAGGAAGAGGAAGTCCTGTGGTCTGCGCAGAACATCCTTTTGCTAATGGGGTGACTTCGTTGCATCCAGCCGTGTTCTGAGCAGATGACACAACACTGATGGCAGAAAGTGAGGAGGAATTAAAAGAACCTTTTAATGAGGGTGAAAGAGGAGAGCGCAAAATATGGTCTGAAGCTCAACATCAAAAAACGAAGTTCATGGCCACTGGGCCCATCACCTCCTGGCAAATAGAAGGGGAAGAAATGGAGGCAGTGAGAAATTTCACTTTCTTGGGCTCCATGATCACCACAGATGGTGACAGCAGCCACAAAATTAAAAGATGCCTGCTTCTTGGGAGAAAGGCAATGACAAACCTAGACAGCATCTTAAAAAGCAGAAACATCACCTTGCCAACAAAGGTCTGTCTAGTTCAAGCTATGGTTTTCCCAGTAGTGATGTATGGAAGTGAGAGCTGGACCATAAAGAAGGCTGATCGCTGAAGAATTGATGCTTTTGAATTCTGGTGCTGGAGGAGACTCTTGAGACTGCAAGAAGATCCAACCTCTCCATTCTGAAGGAAATCAGCCCTGAGTGCTCCCTGGAAGGACAGATCGTGAAGCTGAGGCTCCAATACTTTGGCCACCTCATGAGAAGAGAAGACTCCTGGAAAAGACCCTGATGTTGGGAAAGATGGAGGGCACAAGGAGAAGGGGACGACAGAGGACGAGATGGTTGGACAGTGTTCTCGAAGCTACCAGCATGAGTTTGACCAAACTGCGGGAGGCAGTGGAAGACAGGAGTGCCTGGCGTGCTCTGATCCAGGGGGTCACAAAGAGTCGGACACGCCTAAATGACTAAACAAATGCTAGTCCTATGCGTTGAGAATATAAGAGGAGCCAGCAGGATCAGGCCAGTGTCCCACCTAGTCCAGCATCCTGTTCTCCCAGTGGCCAACCAGTGGGAAATTGGGAAGCAGAATTCGAACATAAGAGCAACTCTCCCCTCCAGTGGTTTTCCGCAACTGGGATTTAGTAGTATTGCTGCCTCCATCTGTGGAAGCAGAACACAGTCATTGACTTCAGTGGGTCTACTCTGAGTAGGACTAGCATTGCATACCACCTGATATCTCTAGAAAATATCACCACCGTGACTTATGAACTAATCACCTTCTATGCATGTCCCAAGGCGACTGACGAACCCGCAATCTAAAACCCCGCTAAAAATAGTTTTGAAAACAGAAGAAAGCAACAACTAAACTATAGGTTTAAAGCCGTGCAAAATGAACACCTTAAGTCGGAGACCTTTTCATCCTGGAAAAGCTTGTCAAAGCGGAAAAAAGGTCTTCCATTGTTTCCGGAAAATGCAGACAGCACCCGGCTGTCGTAGCTCAACAGGGTTAGATGAGCGAGATCGGAACTCAGGGCAGCAATTAGCAGGGAAGGAAATTATCCGCAGGTGCTCAGAAGACACAACGCGGCATGAAAATGCCCAGTTTTCAGATGTCCACGTCAGTGTCTGCCCTGAAAACAGCCTGCAAATTGTGCAACGGCCGTCTTTCCAGTCTTCCACTAGGTCCGTGGTTCTTGAACTTTTTTTGGTGCCATGAACTCAACTCAAAACTATAAAAAGCATTATAGAAGAAGAAGAAGAAGAAGAAGAAGAAGAAGAAGAAGAAGAAGAAGAAGAAGAATTTATACCCCGCCTCCCCGGCCAGAACTGGGCTCACGGTGGCTAACACAAATAAAATTACAATAAAATGTAAAAGGAAAGGAAAAAACAGTTAATTAAAATACAGGTTAAAATATGGGTTAAAATACCATTTTAAATGAAGCCTCATTTTAGTAGCAGCCCATAAATCAAAACCTAAAGGGGAGGGAAACACAAGGGTCAGACTGAGTCCAAACCAAAGGCCTGGCAGAACAGCTCCGTCTTGCAGGCCCTACGGAAAGATGTCAAATCCCGCAGGGCCCTGGTCTCTTGTGACAGAGCGTTCCACCACGTCGGGGCCAGTACTGAAAAGGCCCTGGCCCTAGTTGAGATAACTAAAGAACTACTAGACTGTAATCGATAAAAATAACAGCCAAGTGACAACCCATAAAACAATATATAAAAGACCATGCAAAAAGACTGAACTGAGCAACCAAGTCACATAGCAGAATATAATATCTGGATTTTCAATCTTGTATCTTTTCCCCCATCTCTGTTCCAAAAGAGTATGTGTCACTGAGTGCTGGCACTATTTTCGCCCCCGAGGCTGGTTATAATGGGATCTTTCTAACAGCACACAGTTTTCTGTATCATCAAGTTCCTCCATGCCAGGGCTGGGGCTGCTGGATCTCTGCTCCATTGTTCCTTGTGAAATCAGCGTCATTTAAGGAGGGGGGAAAAATCTCATTTCTGTTTCTGCAAGTGGTGGCTCTCTTCAGAGGGACAGGGAGTTGGCAAACAGATGCTATTCAAAGTATGTTCTCTTGGATCTAAGAAAGCAAAAACATAAATGAATTTTGTGGGGCTCGATGGGTCATCGGTCTGATTCAATTTATTGTAGTTATGTGAACCACCCGATAGTGTGTTGCAGATCACTCTTAGAGAATCACCTGTCATTTTTTTTTTAATCACAAGTACAGGCCCTTCCCTGTGTCCCTATTTTTCCAGGGACAGTCCCGGATTTACAGACGCCATCCCTGTTTCTAATTTGTGCTTATCCTTAGGACATAGGGACGCAGGTGGCGCTGTGGGTTAAACCACAGAGCCTAAGACTTGCTGATCTGAAGGTCGGTGGTTCGAATCCCCACGACGGGGTGAGCTCCCGTTGCTCGGTCCCAGCTCCTGCCTACCTAGCAGTTCAAAAGCACGTCAAAGTGCAAGTAGATAAATAGGTACCGCTCCAACGGGAAGGTAAACGGTGTTTCCGTGCGCTACTCTGGTTCACCAGAAGCGGCTTAGTCATGCTGGCCACATGACCCGGAAGCTGTACGCCGGCTCCCTCGGCTAGTAAAGCGAGATGAGCGCCGCAACCCCAGAGTCGGTCACGACTGGACCTAATAGGTCCTTTACTTATCCTTAGGACAGGGGTAGGAAAACTAAGGCCCAGGGGCCGGATCCGGCTCAATCGCCTTCTCAATCCGGCCCGCGGTCAGTCCAGGAATCAGCATGTTTTTACACGAGTAGATTGTGTGCTTTTATTTAAAATGCATCTCTGGGTTATTTGTGGGCCACAGGAATACATTCATTTTTTTCCTCCAAAATATAGTCCGGCCCCCCACGAGGTCTGAGGGGCAGTGGACCGGCCCCCTGCTGAAAAGGTTTGCTGACCCCTGCCTTAGGACATCCCTATTTTCATCGGAGAAATGTTGGAGGGTGTGGAGTTATGTGACGCCTGAGATAAAAAGAGACAGCCTTTAGAAGACATCTGAAGGCAGCCCTGAACAGGGAAGTTTTTTAAATGTTTAATGGTTTATTATGTTTTTATCTATTTTGGAAGCTGCCCAGAGTGGCTGGGGAAACCCAGTCAGATGGGTGGGGTATAAACAAATTATTATTATTGTTAAATTATTATTATTATTATTATTATTATTAACATTCCTATTTTCATCAGAGAAATGTTGCAAGTTATGCAATTGCAGCTAATTTTAAGACTTATTCACAACTTCCTTCCATTTACCTTTGCCTGGAAAGAACGGTGCAAAAGTTAAGTTTGGATAAGTCCTTAGTTTCACCCTTTCAACTTTCTAGATAAATAGCTCTACGCTAGAGCAGTATATCATGGAACTGGCCAGAGGGGAGCTGACACTGGATTCCATCTTAAGTGATGCCCAGTAAATGTTACTGACCCGAGCAGGAACAGTGACTATAACCCTATCACATTCAATATATAGAAGCATAGAATTGTAGAAGTGGAAGGGACCACGAGGGTCATCTAGTCCAGCCCATGTGGAACTCGAACCCACAACCCTGAGATTAAGAGTCTCGTGCTCTGTATCTGCAAATAGACAGTTGCCAAGAAAGTCCAACAGAGTCACATTTGACGTCAGGAGGAGAAACTTCCCAGAAATGAAGGGAGTGGGAAAGAGGAAGTTGAAAAGAAAAGACGAAAGTAGTTAAATCTCTCCAGAGGGCTGGAGGGCTATTCAGTTATAATTGAATTAATTATTTCCATCTGTCTACACAATGGAAGATGCAGGGCGGATTCCTGTATCCGAGCAAACTTTCGCAGGAAGCAAGTCTGAGCAACTGAGGTCATGATATCAGGCAAAGTTCTGGGCCTTATTGACAAATGAAAAACAAACTATCAGGTTCGGTTGGGATCAATCCGAGAGGTCATAAAGAACTCAGAAGTGAAATTGCTTCCAAAAAAGTAAAGTGACTATTCCCTAATTTCAGCTTCCATGTCTGAGGAATGGAAAACATGTAACAGCAGTTACCGTATTTTTCGCTCTATAAGATGCACCAGACCACAAGACACACCTAGTTTTTGGAGGAGGAAAACAAGAAAAAAAATATTCTGAATCTCAGAAGCCAGAACAGCAAGAGGGATCGCTGTGCAGTGAAAGCAGCAATCCCTCTTGCTGTTCTGGCTTCTGGGACAGCTGCGCAGCCTGCATTCGTTCCATAAGACGCACACACATTTCCCCTTACTTTTTAGGAGGGAAAAAGTGAGTCTTATAGAGCAAAAAATACGGTATTTAAAAGGGATTCAGGAGGTATCCGGGAAATTACAGGTTGGTGAGTTTAATGTCTGTTGCAGGAAAACCCGTGAATAGCACAATTAAAGATAGATTCCCACGTATATAGAAGAAGAAGTCTTGTTGAAGCAGAACCAGCATTGCTTCTGTAAGGTTAAGACCTGTTGCATTGGGAAAGGGATTAGAAATGAAAGCGTTGCTATAACAACGCCGTTATACACATCTGTGGTGCAGCTGCATTTGGAATAACTCACCTCAAAAAGGGTATTGTAGAGTTGGAAAAGGTTCAGAAAATGACGGCTCAAATGTTCAAAGGGATGGCGAGGAGGAAAGCTTGCAGCATTTGGGGTTTTTTAGTTTGGAGAGCAGGCAAGTAGAAATTTATGAAATTATGCATGGCACAGAGAAAGTGGATGGAGGAAAGGTTTTTCCTCCCTTTCTCCAAACACTAGGGCTGAATCTAGACATATATAAAAAAACACTCTGGAAAAATGTTTTTTAAAATATATTGAATTTGCCATTAGCTCACCATCGCCATCTAGTGTCACCTTTGTATAATGCACTTAAACTGTTATATTTGCAGCTGTAGAGCTGAGTCCTAGGGTCCTACATCCTGGGTCATTGTACGTGTCGGTGAAGAGCACATAAGTCTGCCCACCCCATTATGCCCCGCCATGCGCCCTTCCAAGTCCGAAAAAGGCCTGCACATGCACAGCTGGGCATTCTTTGAATGCATGCGAAACTGGTGTTGCCTGTACATCTTCACGCATAGCAGGGAGTTAAATTAGAAGGAGACAAAGTCATAAGGCCACGTTGTTCTACCTCAATAGAAGACTCTCTGCATCTCCAGAGGTGTTACGCCTTTGAAAACCTTTTCTGGAAGGAACCACAAGCCACCTGAGAACAGGATGCTGGATCTGAGGGGCCTTGGGTCTAATCCAGCCCGACTCTTCTTTTGTTGCTGTGCAGAATGACATCCTTCTGTACCAGGTGGCATGCACACATTCCATTCCTGTTGGGACAGGGCTTCTCCTCCTCCTCCTCCTCCTCCTTCTCCTTCTTTGGCAATCACCTGTAGCTGAGTAAGACTGTCTTCCATATACAGTGGTAACTCGGGTTACACACGCTTCAGGTTACAGACTCCACTAACCCAGAAATAGTGCTTCAGGTTAAGAACTTTGCTTCAGGATGAGAACAGAAATCGTGCTCCGGCGGCATGGCGGCAGCAGGAGGCCCCATTAGCTAAAGTGGTGCTTCAGGTTAAGAACAGTTTCAGGTTAAGAACGGACCTCCGGAACGAATTAAGTACTTAACCCGAGGTACCACTGTACACGGTTTTAACAATGAGCCCGTAAGTGACTGTGGAGGCCAATTCTGGATCGACACGTCCTTCCACGGTGGGGACATTGGTTTCCGGGTGGGAGTTGATCATGGTGTGGATTTGCCAAGCGTGCCTTCCTCTTAGCACATTTCTCCCTTGCGTCCTGAGTTCGAGTGTCTTCAAAGCCCATGACACCTTTGGCAAAGGCTGTTCTCCAACTGGAGCGCTTGCAGGCCGGTGTTTCTCAGTTGTCGGTGTTTATACTACATTTTTTTAGATTTGCCTCGAGATGGCAGGCATTGCAGGGAGGAGGCGCTTTTGACCATTCCCTGCATGCAGAAAAACAGCTCATCAGGGACCTGCTAATCTACCAGGTGATGCTGAAGTTCTAAATCAGCATGTGATTTCCAGGAATAAAGAACGGGGCAAAGGGGTTTGAACAGGAGTAGCCAACCTGGCACCCTCCAGAAGCTGTCAGACTACAACTCTAGTCAGCCCCAGCCAGCAGGACCAATGGTCAGGGCAGGGGGTTGGAATAAATGACCTTCAGGGGTCCCTTGCAACTCTACAATTCTATGATGCTCTTATTCTCTCCATCTGAAACCAGATTTTTCCACTTAACAGGAAACAAAGGAGAAGGGGGGGGGAATGTGGTCTTCATGGGTAGCATCCTTTATTTTATTTTTTTAGTCATTGCAGACTCAACAAAAGCGTTGCACCTTCCCTCAGGAGGCTTCCCTCCGGCAACGCAGCCTCTCCGTGCGAATTCTCCGAGGGCTCCAGCAATTGTTGATAATTGTGTTGCGTCTGCATTGCTAGACGCAGAACGCAACCTGGTCTCCCGAAAGCCCAGGTGGAGACTTCCATGAGACTTTGCCCCGGCGGCCTCTCCGTGTCGGGAAAAGCTGAGCTCTCCGGATTAATAATTTTCTGCACGCTTGCTCTAATTTGATTTCCGTGTTTCCCCAGTGTCCGAGAGCGCTTGCAATATATCCACCGCTGTGTGAGTTTCAGAACCGTACTGCGTGCATCACAGAAAGTTGGGCATAATATGGAACTTGCCGAAATGTCCAGCTTTAGTTTTAACTGAATATGCTGGTTTCTAGTCCCTAAAATACTCGCTGACTTATGAGATACAGTGGTACCTTGGTTCTCAAACTTAATCCGTTCCGGAAGTCCGTTCCAAAACCAAAGCGTTCCAAAACCAAGGCGCGCTTTCCCATAGAAAGTAATGCAAAACAGATTAATCCGTTCCAGACTTTTAAAAACAACCCCTAAAACAGCAATTTAACGTGAATTTTACTATCTAACGAGACAATTGATCCATAAAGTGAAAGCAATAACCAATGTACTGTATAATAAAATAAGGCAGTATTGCAGAAGATAAAAATTAAAATTAATTTTTTTTCTTACCCGCATCGATGATAGTCATTGTTTGGATGGGGGGCTTTTATCCATTTGCGCATTCACACAATCAAGCAGTAGCTGAACTGGGTTCCACACAGTCACAAAAACAAATTAACCAAAAAAGCCTCAAAAACAAAAACGCAAAATAAATAGCAAAAACAAAAGCGCCAAACTTCATCCGTTCCGGAAGTCAGTTTGACTTCTGAAATGTTCGAAAACCAAGGCGCAGCTTCTGATTGGTGCAGGCGCCCCAGAAACAATAGCCGACAGCCGCATTGGGCGTTCAGCTTCCGAAAAACGTTTGAAAACCGGAACACTTACCTCCGGGTTTTCGGCGTTTGGGAACCAAGGCGTTTGAGTGCCAAGGCGTTTGAGAACCAAGGTGTACCACTGTATCTTCAAGAGAGCAAACTTTTAAGGCGTTGGACGACATAAGGAAGGCTGAGAGGAGGGTTTTGTGGCCCGGGCAGCCCAGGACCTCCACACACACTGCCAAAACAATGCTAGGGGCAGCAGTAATTTGTCTTCACCTCCAGAGGTGAACTCCATTGTCTTTCGAGACAGATGGATGTCAGCAACAGTTCTTGACCGCAATGATAGGCTTGTGCTTAGTGCCAGAAGCTAGAGAGGGGCAGAGCGGGGGGGGGGGGGCAGGCTTCAGAGACTAGTTAGGAACATGGGAGCCCATTTCATACCAAATCAGACCATTGGTCTATCTAGCTCAATACTGCTGGCACTGACAGGCAGCAGCTGTCCAGGATTTTCAGACAGCCTACCAAGAGATGCTGAGGATTACAAATGAAAACTCCTGCTGCATGCAAGGCTGATACCCTCCTGTACTGAGTCATTGCCAGCCCTCCAGGAAACATTCATTTGCAAGGCGTTAGGAGCACTGGAAACTGCCTTATATTGAATCAGACCCCGGGTCCATCTAGCTTGCTACTGCCCACACTGGCTGGCAGCACCTTTAAGGAAGGGTTTCCAGAGTTGTAGGCGACCCGAACTTTGAAGACCCGAACTTGAGATGCCTGCAACTGAACACAGGGCCTTCTGCACCCAAATAATCAAGAGCCTTGTGAAAGATGGGCAGAGCAGGAGGAAGCAGCGGGGGTTGACAGAGTGGTATAGGCACCACCACATCTACAGCTCTACCGCCCAGCCAGATGGGAGGGGTATAAATATTATTACTACTACTACTACTACTATCCTGGAATGCCCCTATTTTCCCCGCCAGTGCTGCCACCGCAAAGCTTAAGGAGGAGGAGGAGCTGGCGCTTGTCCTGAGGAGCAGCGGCACTGTGATAGCATCCCATGGCCTCTCCATGGCTGCTGCTGCCGGCCTCTTCCCTTGGGTAGCTCATAGCAGCTGCTGAAGAGCGGGCAGGGAGGAGGAGAGGCTGCTGAGGCCCAGCCTTGCATGATATGCCAGCCCTAAGGTGCAAGCAGAGGGCAGGGCTGCCCCGGGTGGGAAGAAAGGGGAAGCAGAGCACAGGGAGTCTTCGTTTTTCTGAAAAATAAAAACTTTGTGTGTCTGCATCTAATCATGCCCCTTTCTAAAATACAGTGGACGCTCGGGGTGTGAACGTGATCGGTGCGGGAGGCACGTTCGCAACCCGCAGCGTTCGCAACCCACATCTGCGCATGCGCGAGTCGCGATCCGGCACTTCTGCGCCTGCGCAAAGCACCATTTAGCACTTCTGCGCATGCGCGACTGCCGAAACCTGAAAAACGCAACCTGAAGCGGACCCGGCATGAGGTTTGACTACATATTTTGGTGTTTGTTTTTCTTTCTGTAAATCTACCAAGGAACAAAATTAAAAAAAAAAATAAATGAGGGGTTTTTTCAGGATGGTGGAGGGCTTGTGTGTTGCGCCCCGCTGGTATCATGGCATTAGCCCTTCTTCTGATAGGAAGTACTGGGAGGGACACAGAAAATGGGGGGTCTAAGAGGGTCAGTTTGGGGGCGAGGAATGAGGAATGTCCTTTTTTTCATCTGAGGAATGTTGGAGGGTATCCGACTCCTTTGTTCTTTGGGTCACAGCAGGCAGGCAGGGCTCTTGGTTTGCGAAACTCTCAGGCTTGCAGAATGCAGCGTGTTGTCTTGATGAACAACACTCGGGTCCTGCCCTATATCCTCCCGCTAACTTGTGGGTGAGTCAGTTAATTCATGGTGCAGTCGGTATTATTTCCTGTGCTTGTTTATGAGAATACACACACGCCCAGAAAGTGGGGAGGGAGGAAAAAAGCGCAGCTTAACGCGATCACAGCTGTTTATAATGGGAGATGATGTCTCGCTTCTAAACTATTTGCAAAGCCTTCTATTAATTGGATTACACAGCTCAGATCGGCAGTTTTATCCCGGGATGCCGCCGCATCTGCCCTACCAGCCACGCAACACATTCATAACGGAGATGTTTAAACAGAAGCCAAGTCTTCTGAGATTACCACCCTTATTTTTCAGCGTTCGCCAGGAATCGGTTTGGTCTCTTTGGGTTTCTATTTTTAAGCAATTCAGCCTTTTATCTGAAATAAAAATTTGAAAGGTGGTGGTGGGAGCCATCACTCCTTCAAGAAACAAAAAAAATGAAATAAAATAAAATAAAAAATGAGTCATTAAAAAAAAAAAACCCACAAGACGTTCACCCACTCGCCTCGTGCTGTTGCTATGGCAATTTGGCTCTGCTGTGCAAGATGGTCTTCGAACTTTTCCCCAAACATCACCCGGGGCTGATTGACACAACTGCAATATGGGCTTTCTCTCCCCCCCCCCCCCCGCCTTTGCAATTCCATGTGGAGGCTTAACGTCTGCCAGGAACGCAGCGTTTGTGGCTAGCTGGTTGCACCCGAACAGAACTTCGCGCTTGGCAACTAACTCCCGGCTGCCACCGAAAAGGATAATTAGCGTTGCTATTCAGCTTTTCAGCCCCAAAGGGCCCCTGAAAACAGTGAGCAGCATATTTAAATCGGCATCGTCAATCAATCAAGAGACAGAAAATACAGGATGGCAAAGACCTGGGAAGGCTGCACAGAGCTGTGTCGTTGGCAACTTACATCAGCCTTTCCTGGGGCAGGCAGGTGTGGGGGACTCCCTGGTCCTGAATGGGGCAACTGTGCCCCTGAAGGACCAGGTGCGCAGCCTGGGAGTCATTTTGGACTCACAGCTGTCCACGGAGGCACAGGTCAATTCTGTGTCCAGGGCGGCTGTCTACCAGCTCCATCTGGTACGCAGGCTGAGACCCTACCTGCCTGCGCACTGTCTCGCCAGAGTGGTGCATGCTCTGGTTATCTCCCGCTTGGACTAATGCAATGTGCTCTGTGTGGGGCTACCTTTGAAGGTGACCCGGAAACTGCAACTAATCCAGAATGTGGCAGCTGGACTGGTGAATGGGAGCGGCCGCCGAGACCATGCATGATTTTATAAACTCCTACCATGCAACCCTAAGGGACGCGGGTGGCGCTGTGGGTTAAACCACAGAGCCTAGGACTTGCCGATCAGAAGGTCAGTGGTTCGAATCCCCGCAGTGGGTTGAGCTTCCATTGCTCTGTCCCAGCTCCTGCCAACCTAGCAGTTTGAAAGCACGTCAAAGTGCAAGTAGATAAATAGATACCACTCCAGCGGGAAGGTAAATGGTGTTTCCTTGTTCTGCTCTGGTTCGCCAGAAGCGGCTTGCTCATGCTGGCCACATGACCCGGAAGCTGTACGCCGGCTCCCTTGGTCAATAAAGCGAGATGAGCGCCGCAACCCCAGAGTCAGCCACGACTGGACCTAATGGTCAGGGGTCCCTTTACCTTTACCTTACCACGCAACCCTATTACTCGCCTTTTTCTCAAAGCTAAAAAGTCCCAGGCTGCAAGCAACTTTTCCTGACAGAGGCAGCTAAATCTGCTCTTGGGTGTTAGCTTGTGGCAGTGCAAGGAAGCAGGTGCCGACTCTGCAACGGCTGCTTCCACATCACTGTGTGGTTGGGCTGCTGCTTCCTCTTCTGGCGACTTCCTCCCTCCATTCATCAGAGCAGCTAGACAGGAACCAAATACCTGCTCTTGACAGTATCTCACGGTGGGGGTGGAAGTCCACCAGGCGTGGTCCTCTGGGATCTCACTGAATGGCCTGGTACCTTAAGTGATGATGATGATGATGATGATGATGATGATGATGATGAATACCCTGCTCATCTGGCTGGGTTTCCCAAGCCACTCTGGGCAGTTTCCAGAAAAATAAATACTGTATTCTTCCGTGTATAACACGCCCCCGTGTATAAGACGCCCCCTATTTTTGGTGACTCCAAATTAGGAAAATGGGGGGTGGCCCCCAGAGTTGTTGAACTTTTTTAGGGGGGGTTGTGCCTACCCAATTAGCACAACGACAGCAAATCAACACCAGCCCTCACCGCAGCAACCAATAACATGCCAAATAGCCTCTGGCAATCTTAGGCTCATGGCAGGTAAAGGTACCCCTGACCGTTAGGTCCAGTCGCGGACGACTCTGGGGTTGCAGCGCTCATCTCACTTTATTGGCTGAGGGAGCTGGTGTACAGCTTCTGGGTCATGTGGCCAGCATGACTAAGCCACTTCTGGCGAACCAGAGCAGCGCACGGAAACGCCATTTACCTTCCCGCCGGAGCGGTACCTATTTATCTACTTGCACTGGCGTGCTTTTGAACTGCTAGGTTGGCAGGAGCAGGGACCAGGTAACGGGAGCTCACCCCGTCACAGGGATTCGAACCTCCGACCTTCCGATCAGCAAGCCCTAGGCTCTGTGGTTTAGACCACAGCGCCACCCGTGTCCCAGGACAGTGGTAGCCAGTGCTTTTTTTTCTCTAAAAAAAATGTTTAGGGGTACTCTCATTTTCCTACTCATATTGACATACTGCCCCTCAATGAGGCCAAAAACACTGGTGGTAGCCAACATGATGTAAATTATGTAGTTTTTTTTTTCATATTGTGAGCCACTTTGGGCATGGCTTTAACTAGGCTTTCCATATTTCAGAAAGTGAAAACCCAGACACAAAAGTTGGTGAGTTGGTGAGCTTTTTCTTTTTTTCTTTTTTGGCAAAGTTGTTGGCTATGTCCAGGAAATTTCCGATGTACGGCAACTCTACTTTCGCTATGCAAAGGTTGTGGGTTCGAGCTGCCCCCTGCGTTGCAGGGTGTTGGACTAGATTACTCTTGTGGTCCCTTCCAGCTCTTTGATTCTCTGATACTCCTGTGAATTTTGGATAATATGCACATCTTTGCAAGCGATTTTCTCCTAACCTAATGCGTTTCCACATTGTTTTCACTCCTTCTGCACACATCATTCGGCTGGGGAACTGAGGCACAAAATTTGGAGGTGTGTCCTTACCATCAGGGCAGCTGTGTTTCAGTTTGCCTCTCATTTGGGGAAATGCAAACTAGGGATGTTAGCACACAAATGTGAACAGAACCAAATTTCTCCCTCAAATGCCACAATTTGTGCTTCCACCGCCCGCCCCCCCGAATATTCATCTTCCCTGGGTGGCCCCACTAGGCTCTAGCATTGAGAGAGGGAGAAAGGAGCTTTTCTGCATCCATTTCCCCTTGATAATTTTGGTTGTCCTTTTCGGCAGCAGACTTTAGGAGATGTGGAGGGCGGAAATGTGTGGGTTGCTTGCTTCGTTTTGGTAAATTGTCGCCGTCGTTTGACACGTTCTTCGGATGTACATATTTCCTGCAATATACTGCTGATTATATCCGAGATAAGGTCTTTGAACCCTGTTGTGAAGCCTGTCCACCCCACAGCCGCCCGATAGATACACACAGACATGCCAGTTCCTTTAAAAAAACAAAATTATAATTATACCATATTTCATTTCATCTTTTCTTCTGGTTGACTTCCATTCCTCCTCAAAGCGGTTTCATTTACATCCTTTTATAAACTGTTTCCTTCTCTCTTTTGTAGTTCCAATTCTCCCCTTATCTCTTTCATTCAAATTTCAGTTTTTACACACACATGCCAGTTCCGTTGGGTGGGCCCCACATTCAAGAGGGGAGGAACCCAACACATCAGCCACAAAAAAACAAAAAAAGGAAGGCGATGTGGAGCACGGGTTATAATCAGAGTCATTTCCAGCGTTTGCAAAAACGAACTTACAGATAAGCCCTTAATCTTCTCAAGCGCTACAGCTAACTCTCCGCCACAGGCTGCCCCCATTTTTAACCTTCCTCGTTACAGTTAGATTCGTTGCGGGAAATCTCGTTGTGCCTGCATTCTTGCATTCCTGCAGGTGGAATCTGTGCCCGGACTTGGTACTGGCGACACTTACCGCTAAGATCAGTGTGACCGACAAAATGGGGCAGAGTGGGGCAGCTCTCCTCAGGCAGACAATTTGGGGGTACCTTTCAGACCTTTGGGTGGTGCCAGGGGGCAGGGGCAGCAAGCACTGCCCCTAGAAAGGAGCTCGTCCCCTGCCCACTTGCCCTGCATTTATGGGTTACACTACATAACAGATATGTTGGCTCCCAGCACGTTTCCGAGCACAATTCAAAGTGTTGGTGCTGACCTTGAAAGCCCAAAACAGCCTTGGCCCAGTATACCTGAAGGAGCGTCTCCACCCCCATCATTCTGCCCGGACACTGAGGTCCAGCGCCGAGGGCCTTCTGGTGGTTCCCTCCCTGCGAGAAGCCAAGTTACAGGGAACCAGGCACAGGGCCTTCTCGGTGGTGGCGCCCACCCTGCAGAACGCCCTCCCATCAAATGTCAAGGAAATAAACAACTACCTGTCTCTTAGAAGACATCTGAAGGCAATCCTGTATGGGGAAACTTTTAATGTTTGAAGTTTTATCGTGGTTTTAATATTCTGTTGGGTGCTGCGCAGAATGGCTGGGGAAACCAAGGCCGTTTAGGGCTTTAAAGGTCAGCACCAACACTTTGAATTGTGCTCGGAAATATACTGGGAGCCAATGCAGATCTCTCAGAACCGGTGTTATGTGGTCCCGGCGGCCGCTCCCAGTCACCAGTCTGGCTGCCGCATTCTGGATTAGTTGTAGTTTCCGGGTCACCTTCAAAGGTAGCCCCACGCAGAGCGCATAGCAGTAGTCCAAGATGTGATCCATTGCGGCTTACGGTTCTCTGATGCCACGAAGGACCCAAGCCGCCTTCTGCTCCAACCCAAGTCCGCTTCGATTCCCAGGTGGCTCCGTCCCAAGGTGTGAATGATGCTATAATCCTGAGAAACAGGGCTGTGAGCAGCAATGGGACTTTTGCTGCTGGCAGCGAGAGCTGCTCTTTTTGAAAGCTTCCTGTTGCTCGGGCAACACACAGCACTATTCTGTGGGTGTCTAGCAGGTGAAGGGGGTGGGGAAGCCACCCGGCTGTGAGACTGTGAAATGTTGCGGCGTTTTGCAGCAGGTGTGGCACATTTGTGAGTGTGTAGTCTTCGTAGCAAGGTGTCACAAGCCGGAATCCAAAGCAGAACGGCCTGGATTCAGCAGTCGGTGTACAATTCAGATCTCACACCAGCGATAACTCACAGTTAGAGAAAGGAAAAGAGAGACATAGGTTCTTTGTTCTGCTTTTTTTAGAGCTGGGGTCACGGTGGCCTAGCCCCAGAATCTATTTTCACAGGTTCCACAGGGGATCCAGTGAAGAAATATCAAAGAAGTTTCCGCCCCCCCCCCCCAGAAAAATTAGAAACTAGAAAACCCAATGTAGGTTTGTTGGTTGTTGTTGTTTTAATATAATGTTGGCAGCTAGATTTTTTTAAAAAAACAAAACCCTCATCTTCTAAACATGTGCAGAGTGCCTGTCCCTCTTTGGAAATTTGAGAGGAATTGACTCCCAGGGATCCTTGAGGTCGCATTTCTGAGTCTAACCTGATCTGAGGGTGATGGTACCCTACCTGGAAGCCCTATTTATGTCATCTTGGCCTCAATAAGAAGCCTCTTAGTGACTGTGGCCACCATCACCCATCAATTTGATCACCCTCTCCCTACCAAGAAGCAGTGACTTGTTCTTTTTTCCGCTCTAAGTCCAAGAAGAAACAATACCTCGCTGAGAGGGAGAGGGAGGGAGTTGGCAGTGGTGATGCAGAATGACTAGCTGCCACAGGCACCCGGAGGCTTCCCACCGTGTGAAGCCTTGTCTGTGGGCTCTTAGGTGAATTGAAACACAGCCCAGAGTGAAATATATATCAGACACAATCTTTCCTGGGCAAAATACAAGACCCATCAAAACCAACAGAGTGGTTTCAATGGGATTTTGATTAGGATCGGTTGCCGAAACAAAGGCATGGCAAGCACGCAAACTGAATTACCGGAGTTTTGGATTATTCCAAGTTAACATTAAGGCTTTATTGAGTTGCACACCAAATGGCTCTAATTGTTACAGCAGCCCATTCGTAGGCAACTCTTGATCAGGAAATGCATGAATTGCAAAACGGGAAACTTGATTTGCATCAGTTATTCAATTTGCTCCCTCTCTCTTTTTCTACTTGGTTATTTAAATCACGCCGGCAGCCCGTGCCAAATTCAGGTGCGCCAAGTTTTCTTACTTTTGCATAATTCGGGTTCTGCACAGGAGAGGAACGCAGAGTTCCACTGGACTTTGGGGATCTTCCCAGTTTCCATTGCATGCCCTACTTATTTTATGTCTACTGTGATCTAGCGCTGATGGCTTGCAAACAGCAATTCGCCCAGCTAGGATGATGTGGAGATGCCAATGGAAAAATAATCACTATATTGTAAATAGTCCCATTGGTTGCTCTCATCTGGTGTAGCCAGCCAGTCAAAGCCATTTCCTAGGTGTGGCTGCTGTCTCCTTCCTTGTCGTTTGAAACTGCTAGTTCAGATCCTGCCAAGCTTGCTCCATCTTCCTTCAGGTATTTGAACCATGGAATTGTATCTGCTGGTTATTTGCAACACTAAGTTCAAAACCTTGCCAACAAAGGTCCGTATAGTTAAAGCTATGGTTTTCCCCAGTAGTGATGTATGGAAGTGAGAGCTAGACCATAAAGAAGGCTGATCGCTGAAGAATCAATGCTTTTGAATTATGGTGCTGGAGGAGACTCTTGAGTCCCATGGACTGCAAGAAGATCCAACCTCTCCATTCTGAAGGAAATCAGCCCTGAGTGCTCACTGGAAGGACAGATCCTGAAGCTGAGGCTCCAAGACTTTGGCCACCTCATGAGAAGAGAAGACTCCCTGGAAAAGACCCTGAAGTCGGGAAAGATGGAGGGCACAAGGAGAAGGGGACGACAGAGGACGAGATGGTGGGACAGTGTTCTCGAAGCTACGAACATGAGTTTGACCAAACTGGGGGAGGCAGTGGAAGACAGGAGTGCCTGGCATGCTCTGGTCCAGGGGGTCACGAAGAGTCGGACACGACTAAACGACTAAACAACAACAACAAGTTCAAAACTGAAGGGATTTTTCAGATGGAAAGCAAGGTACCACATTCCTGGATGGAAAGTTAAGAAACTCTGGCTTTGTTGGCACAGATCCCACCCAAGGTTCCTCGCAAATGCTTTAATTATCCTCCACCAAGTTAATCACAAACACACACACACACAGGCTTCTCTTGTTCAGAAGTGGAGCTCCTGCGTCGAGGCAACAGGAGGTTCCGCTTCTGGCTGGCGGAGTGGAAACGGCGCTGGGAAAGCGTTGATCTCGTGGGTCTTGTCTGCGCTGCTAAACCACTTCCAAGAGAAGGAAAACTCTCTGCCGTTTGATGCGTAGCTTCCTTCCAGCTGAGCAGCCTGCAATTCCCACCGAACGCTCACTAAAGAGAGATGCAAAGAGGATCGGTGTTAATATATTGCGGATAGTATTTTTGATGCTGGGGAATCTTCCTGTCTTTGGGGCAAAAGGGATGTTTTAACAAGCAATGGGGGAGAGGACTCCAGTGAGCTTGTTTCCTCCTGCTCTGGAAGGTAGGACTCGAACTCATGGCTTCGAATGAAAAGAAAGGCGATTCCGACTAAACATCAGGAAGAACTTTCGGACAGTAAGAGCCAGTGGCGGATTTATGTACAAGCTAAACAAGCTATAGCTCAGGGCCCCACTGTCTTGGGGGCCCCCATAAAATTAAAGGAAAAAACAAACTGAATGTACATTTCCAAAAGGGACGCAGGTGGCGCTGTGGGTTAAACCACAGAGCCTAGGACTTGCCGATTAGAAAGTCTGCAGTTCGAATCCCCGCAACGGGGTGAGCTCCCCTTGCTTGGTCCCTGCTCCTGCCAACCTAGCAGTTTGAAAGCACGTCAAAGTGCAAGTAGATAAATAGGTACCGCTCCAGCAGGAAGGTAAACAGCATTTCCGTGCGCTGCTCTGGTTCGCCAGAAGCGGCTTAGTCATGCTGGCCACATGACCCAGAAGCAGTACGCCGGCTCCCTCGGCCAATAAAGTGAGATGAGCGCCGCAACCCCAGAGTCGGCCACGACTGGACCTAATGGTCAGGGGTCCCTTTACCTTTACCTACATTTCCAAAATATAAGATTAAAAAAACCAAAAAAATAAAACCTACATACAGCAACAGTGTTTTGTGTTGTGTAGGCTCCTATGATGTAAGACATGGGCCCGCCTGCTAGCCTGCTCCCTAAAATATCACTGGTTTGATCATTTCTTTATATAGGGTAAGTGACATGGGTGGCGCTGTGGGTTAAACCACAGAGCCTAGGACTTGCCGATCAGAAGGTGGGCGGTTCGAATTCCCACGATGGGGTGAGCTCCAGTTGCTCGGTCCCTGCTCCTGCCAACCTAGCAGTTCAAAAGCACCTCAAAGTGCAAGTAGATAAATAGGTACCGCTCCGACGGGAAGGTAAACGTGCGCTGCTCTGGTTTGCCAGAAGCGGCTTAGTCATGCTGGCCACATGACCCAGAAGCTGAACGCCGGCTCCCTCGGCCAATAAAGCGAGATGAGCGCCGCAACCCCAGAGTCGGCCACAACTGGACCTAATGGTCCGGGGTCCCTTTGCCTTTACCTTTATATATAGGGTGCCTACATTCTGCATGGACTGGCTGCATGGAAACATGTGCAAATGGCTTTAGATACCTATTAGGCCCATAAATTACGATATATAGCATATATTCAACACGAAAAACAGCGACAATTTGTTGTTGACAAAGGACAGCTGGACATATAAAGGGCCCCATTACCTTTAGTAGCTTAGGGTCTCATCAAACCTAAATCCGTCCCTGTTAAGAGCTGTTTGACAGAGTTTTCTTGTACAGTGGTACCTCAGGTTACATACGCTTCAGGTTACAGTCTCCGCTAACCCAGAAATAGTGCTTCAGGTTAAGAACTTTGCTTCAGGATAAGCACAGAAATTGTGCTCCGGTGGCGCAGCAGCAGCAGGAGGCCCCATTAGCTAAAGTGGTGCTTCAGGTTAAGAACAGCTTCAGGTTAAGTACGGACCTCCGGAACGAATTAAGTACTTAACCTGAGGTACCACTGTTCTTGGACCCAGAGTTTGGCATTTTTGCACTGCACACTCGTCATTCCCAGACCTACACACTGGGGCTACTTACATGGGGGGGCAGGAAGGATGGCTGGACCCTTCTCTGTGCGCCCCAGTGTTGATAGCGCCTGTCCCCATTTGCGGCTCAGTCTCAGAGAAGTTCCCATTCCCAGCCTTATTAACTGAACCCTGAAGCACCCAGACAGATTGGCTATAACCTGGAATGCGGCTTCCCTCTTCCAAGCCGAGACTGGGTTGCGTTTCTCAACTCGAAAGAGCGCCGGAGGCTACAATAGTACAATTTAGTTCCGTTTAATTGGCATTATGTGGGTCATCACCCCTACAGGCACAGAATTAGCAGAGGGACATCGTCGAGAAACCTACTTCTCCAGCCCGTCGGATTTTAGCAGCTTCAAAAGTGAACCGTAACCAAGCCTGCCGGTATTGGTTTCAAGTTTCTATAACCTGTTGCGCTTTTAAAAGATAAATAAATGATAAATAAATGACTATGCAGAATTAGATAAACTAACAGGAAGGATTCGAAACCGGCGAGACCAGAAATTCATGGAAGACTGGAGTAAATTTACGGACTATTTGAAAAAGTATTTGTGAAGAACAGACGACGTTTGTAGGGTTGCAAGAAGTTTTGTGAGGAGAATTATTAGAAGTATTGGATAAAGGGGAGGGTGATTTGTTAAGAGATGTAAAGGCAGTATAAAGTTAAGAAATGCATAAAAAGTGGTTAAAACGGTGGATCATCAGAGGTGCTGATGGAAGTCTAAAAAGATTGCAGAAGTGATAGGTTTTGTGGTACACTTAATAATTTATATGTTAAAATCAATAAAAAATATTATTTTAAAAAAGATAAATAAATAAATAAACTTGGGTGTCTTTAAAAGGCGATTGTTGTCATCGTGGCTCTGCTCTGCGTGAGCTTTTGGAGGCCTCTGAATACCAATTGTATACCAGTTTAAAAGGCTGTGCGCTCAGATCCTGCTTTCGAGTTTCCTATATAGCCACCTGGTTGGCCAGGTGTTGAGCTAGATGGGCCTTGGGCCTGATCCGGCAGGGCCCTTTGTTGTTTAGTCGTTTAGTCGTGTCCGACTCTTCGTGACCCCCTGGACCAGAGCACGCCAGGCACTCCTGTCTTCCACTGCCTCCCGCAATTTGGTCAAACTCATGCTGGTAGCTTCGAGAACACTGTCCCACCATCTCGTCTTCTGTCGTCCCCTTCTCCTTGTGCCCTCAATCCTTCCCAACATCAGTCTTTTCCAGGGAGTCTTCTCTTCTCATGAGGTGGCCAAAGTCTTGGAGCCTCAGCTTCAGGATCTGTCCTTCCAGTGAGCACTCAGGGCTGATTTCCTTCAGAATGGAGAGGTTGGATCTTCTTGCAGTCCCTGGGACTCTCAAGAGTCTCCTCCAGCACCAGAATTCAAAAGCATCAATTCTTCAGTGATCAGCCTTCTTTATGGTCCAGCTCTCACTTCCATACATCACTAGGGCCCTTCTTATGGAGCGCTATTGCAAAAGCAGAACCTCCATGCCCAGGGACAGTCTACCTCTGAATACCAGTTGGTGATTACAGCAGCTAGAGAGCGGCTGCAGGCTTCCCAGTATCACCTGGGAAGTATCACCTGGCTGGCCGCTCTGGACCTAATGGACCCCTTTTGGGCCTGATCCAGCAGCATGGATCAGGTTCCTAGGTTCTGCTCTGGATCTGCTGGCAGATGGACTCCTATAAAGTAATCCTGGATGGAGAGAAGCTTCTCTTCTCCCTTCCTCCCTTCCTCTTTCTCTTTCTCGGTAGTGGCACCCGCCCTGTGGAACGCCCTCCCACCAGATGTCAAAGAGAACAAGAACTACCAGACTTTTAGAAGACATCTGAAGGCAGCCTTGTTTAGGGAAGCTTTTAATGTTTAATAGACTATTGTATTTTAATATTCTGTTGGAAGACACCCAGAGTGGCTGGGGAAACCCAGCCAGATGGGCAGAGTATAAATAAATTATTATTATTATTATTATTATTATTATTATTATTATTATTATTGGCTGCTCACCACGGTAAATAGCACCAATCCTGGCCCAACCGCCCGGGCTGCCAATTAGTTTCCAGGCCCAATTCCATACCCCACAAGTGTCCTGGAAAACCGGGTCATCCCATTTTTTTTCCTCACGAGACGACGGCTGCCATTTGGGGCACCATGATCTCGCACAATTCCGTGCCGCAATTCCCCTTCTGAAAAAGTGCTTTGGTAGGGCCGCATCCTGATTTGAGGCTTGAAATAGTTGGGATGGTATGACTTTCAGGTGAAATCAAGTACAGTCATACCTTGTGTTACAGACGCTTCAGGTTGCACATTTTCGGGTTGTGCTTTGTGCATGCGCAGAAGCGCCAAATTGTAACCCGTGCATGCGCAGCCGCGGCGCTGCAGGTTGCAAAGGCTGCAGGTTGCGAACGTGTCTCCCGCACGGATCACATTCGCAACCCGAACGTCCACTGTACATCTTTCTAGTCCACATAAAGTGTTGTTTCCCATACTGTGTGGTTTGAGGTGTAAGAAAATAGCAGAACATTTAGACACATGTTAGAGGTAAGACAGAACCTTAAAAAAAAACAATTGTACATGGGATAAAGCTATTAATGATAAATTAACATGTTCCATTAAAGTAAGACGGGGAATATGCAGGAGAAATTATTCTGAGGAGATGGAGGGTTTTTGTAGAATTTTTACTGTTAAAACAGAAAGGGGTCAAACCATCGCAAGAGGTGTTGAAGTTTTGGGAGGTCGGATAGTTACAATGGAATGTTCTCATTGGTGGGGTGCACATTTTTGTTCTTATTTATGTATGGTTATTACTTTGTAAAAATAATAAAATTAAAAGAAAAGGGGGAAGCAAAATTGTATGAAATTTGGGTTATAACAATTGATGTTGGGTGAACTGGAAGTCACTAGTTTGTTGAACTGGAATGTACCATTTTTTGGCTCTATAAGACTCACTTTTTCCTCCTAAAAAGTAAGGGGAAATGTGTGTGCATCTTATGGAGTGAATGCAGGCTGCACAGCTATCCCAGAAGCCAGAACAGCAACAGGGATTGCTGCTTTCACTGCGCAGCGATCCCTCTTACTGTTCTGGCTTCTGAGATTCAGAATATTTTTTTTCTTGTTTTCCTCCTCCAAAAACTAGGTACGTCTTGTGGTCTGCTGCGTCTTATAGAGCGAAAAATACGGTAGTTTTTGAGTAGCAAATGGAGCTTTCTATAAAGAAAAAATACATCGTTATTATTCAGGTAGGTAGCCGTGTTGGTCTGACGCAGTCGAAATAAATTTTTTTAAAAATAGTCCAGTAGCACCTTAGAGACCAAATAAGTTAGTTCTGGGTATAAGCTTTCGTGTGCGAAAAGCTTATACCCAGAACTAACTTAGTTGGTCTCTAAGGTGCTAGTAAAGGTAAAGGTAAAGGGACCCCAGACCGTTAGGTCCAGTCATGGCCGACTCTGGGGTTGCGGCGCTCATCTTGCTTTATTGGCCGAGGGAGCCGGCGTACAGCTTCCGGGTCATGTGGCCAGCATGACTAAGCCACTTCTGGCGAACCAGAGCAACGCACGGAAATGCTGTTTACCTTCCCGCCAGAGTGGTACCTATTTATCTACTTGCACTTTGACGTGCTTTTGAACTGCTAGGTTGGCAGGAGCAGGGACCAAGCAACGGGAGCTCACCCCGTCACGGGGATTCGAACCGCTGACCTTCTGATCGGCAAGTCCTAGGCTCTGTGGTTTAACCCACAGCGCCACCCGCGTCCCATCTCTAAGATGCTACTGGACTATTTTTTTAATTTTTAATTTTGATTATTATTATTAAGTACCTATTCACAGAGCTCATAGTTACACTGTGGAATGTGCTCCCCGATTTACAAAGTTATGGAGACCAATGTGCAGTAGATGATTCTGGATATGGAAAATAAGAACCTGAGGCTGCCGAGGCTATCTCAGGGCAGGCTGCCTGCCCCCTGCGTCTCCTCCTACAGCTCCCTGCCCCTCAACATCTGCCGCCCGAGGCAGCTTCAACATTGGGCCTAATGGCAGGGCCGGCCCCCTGTGCGTACATCCCTGTAATAACAGGACAGGCGACGTGGTTGCTGTATTTGAAGCCTTGACGGGGGCCTTTGCGGCTGCCGTGCTCCAGGTGCCGAGTGCCAATTAATTAATTCGCCTTTGGAGCAGATACCTAATTAAAGCAGTCCGAAAGGCTTCTCGCCAAGGGGACAGTCATTCGGGCAGCTCCTTTTGTCGCCGCTGATGTCATCCCTGGAACGGATCCCACGGGCCTCTGGGCCAGGTGCGAGTTGCCTTTGTCTGGAGACTACTAAAAATAAAACGTCAATAGAGAGTCGAAGGCGTCCTCCGAGAAAATGACGCAATTTGGCCGAGGGAAGAGAAAGTTCAGGCTATGTTTCCGACAAGGAGGCAACCCCGGGCTGCCAGGAGTTGGGTTAGGAAGCGAAAGCAGCAAAGAAGTCGACATTTGAGAGCTGGCACTCACTTGGGTGGTGCATAGCTGTCAACATTTCCCTTTTCTTGCGAGGAATCCTATTCGGAATAAGGGAATTTCTCTTAAATAAAGGGAAACGTTGACAGCTATGGTGTGGTGTGCCTGCCTTGAGTCATTCTCTCACATATATATATATATATATATATATATATATATATATATATATGTTTTACATTTTGGTTTTACATTCAAACACAAAAGACAATCATAAAATGTAGAATTCTCTGAATTCTCAGACTTCCTTCCTCCCCTCCATGGAGTCCGCAAATCATCACATTCCACTGCATATCATATCGTCCTCTATTTGTCCACAAAACTCAACTTTTCCCACAGTTCTTTTGCACATTGCAAGTGTTATTGCAGTGCCATTAATATTTGTAATTGTTTACAGTGTTCTTTCAACTAGATTACGAATTTCCCCCAGTCCTTACTGAAGTTTTTATCATCCTGGTTTCTGATTTTTTTTCCAGCCATTTTGGTGTAGCCCATTGGGTCCTTGGGTCATTCTCAGTTGCACAGAATCCTAGAGTTGGTAGGGACACCAAGGGTCATCTAGTCCAACCCCCTGCAAGGCAGAAATCCTGAAGAAGCATCCTCACTCCCATCGTTCAGCCCGGACACTGAGGTCCAGCTCCGAGGGCCTTCTGGCGGTTCCCTCCCTGTGAGAAGAGAAGTTACAGGGAACCAGACAGAGGGCCTTCTTGGTGGTGGCACCCACCCTGTGGAACGCCCTCCCATCAGATGTCAAGGAAATAAATAACTCTACAAGTTTTTGTATACATCTGAAGGCAGCCCTGTTTAGGGAACTTTTTATGTTTGACGTTTTATTGTGTTTTAAATATTTTGTTGGGAGCCACCCAGATTGTCTGGGGCAACCTAGCCAGATGGGCGGGGTATAAATAAATTATATTATTATAATATAATAATAAATTATAATATTACAGTGGTACCTCGGGTTACATATGCTTCCAGTTACAGACTCCGCTAACCCAGAAATATTACCTCGGGTTAAGAACTTTGCTTCAGGATGAGAACAGAAATCGTGCTCCAGCGGCGCGGCAGCAGCAGGAGGCCCCATTAGCTAAAGTGGTACCTCAGGTTAAGAACAGTTTCAGGTTAAGAATGGACCTCCAGAACGGATTATTCTTAACGCAAGGTACCACTGTGTATGCTGTTTTAAAAGCTCACATCACTCATGCCCACAGGCAAGCCATATACCCCTTTAAAAATAGTCCCAGAATGTAGAGCTCAGCTTCTGAAAACCATTTCCAATAATCTGAAAAACTGGAGTAGAATTATGCAAGAGAAAGCATGCAAGAATAGTGAATTCTATTGGGTTTTAGCTGGTATGTCAGGACTGAAGCCTATAAGGGTATTTCACCTGCATATCACGTGTTTAGATTAGGATGAGCCATCGTGCACCCAATTTAATTCATGCGGATTTGCCATATACTGGTTTTTTGTGTGTATTTTGTTTGGCCATTATCCTAGCTGCTTTGGAATTTGAAAAGTGGATTATAATCAGACTCAGACATGGAATGAGCCAGGCCGGTAGAGGCTTGGGGTTGTTTCTTTCGGCCTTGGTGTAGGCAAGGACCGCCTGGGAGCTGGATTTAAAAGCCAGGCTTCGTTTCCATAGCAACCTGGAGAGAGAAATGACCAGCTACCCAAAGAGGTCAGTTGCTCGAGAATGGATAAGACAGATCTGAAATCTGCGGAGGGCTGCCTTCCCAGCCTGACAGAGCAGCGAAGGGTCGCAGCCCCACGAGTGACCAAAGCGAAAGAACTCAATGCCCTCACTTTTCTTGACAGGGGTGGAAATGGAGAGACAGGGCCATCAATGAACAAATTGCTGCAGCACACCTCTGGCAGAATAGCAGAATTGTAGAGTTGGAAGGGACCATCCAGGGTCATCTAGTCCAACCCCCTGCAAGGCAGGAATATTTCGCCCAAGGTGGGACTCAAACCCGAGATTAAAAGCCTCATGCTCTACCACCTGAGCCACCAAGGCAGATATTGGCAAGAGATCACCAGCAACCAGTGTCTGACATGAAAACCTTACACATGCCAACTGGGTGGCCCACCATCTCCCACCCTCCAGGGCTGCCTTTCTCAACCTGCAGGTCACCAGATGTTGTTGAACTACACCTCCCATCACCCCTAGCTAGCAAGGCCAGAGCTCAGGGATGATGGGAGTGGTAGTCCAGCAACATCTGGAGACCCACAGGTTGAGAACCGCTGCTCCAGAGTCTAAAATTCATCTCCGACACTTAAACAGAAGGAGTTTCCAAGGGCAGCTGCTGGCACACTAAAAGCCCAGGTCTTCTTCAGCAATGAAATGGGCCTTCGGGTGAGAAGCCATCTGCAAGAGGCCCTCTCTGGCAGAGCGCAGTGGGGTATACATGGGGTGATACGATCTTTTAGGTTACACCTTGTTCTCTCTTCCCCCCGCCCCATAAACCCTCTCCAGACTGCCAAAGTGGGAGAGAGGGTTGCTAAGGGTTGCCAGATGCTGAGCCGGAGATTGTGCTTTGAAAAAGTCCAGAGGTTAGCTGTATAAGTAATAATAATAAAAGCGAAACAAAAGAAGTGCCATGGTCAGATCACTTCCTGGTGCAACAGGACTTCTCTGCGACCCTTCCCCTCTGCAGGGAGGTGGGACTAATTCGGATGGTCCGCCCCCGCCACTTAATGGATCCAAATGGTTTCCAGAGAGTGGTAGGGGATGCTTTAGCCCATGTTGATGGCCTTTCAGATGATTCCCTGGTGGCCCGCTGGAATGCGGAGTTAACCAGGGCTATTGACTGTCTGGCTCTGAAGCGCCCTCTCCGATTGCATGGAGCCCGGACAGCCCCATGGTTTTCCCCGGAGCTGAGGGCGATGAAACAATCACTGAGACGGCTAGAGTGCCAGTGGTGGAAACTCATTCTGAATTAGACCAGACACGGGCTAGAGCTCAACGTCGAGCCTACTAAGTGGCGACGAAGAAGACCTTCTTCACCGCCTCTTATTGCATCTGTAGAAAACAGCAGCAGGAGACTCTTTCAGGTGGTTCGCAATCTATCGGAACCACCTTCGTCACCGGGGCTGGAAGGGACCCCAAGATCTCCTGCAATGCTTTTGCAAAGTTTTTTGCAGATAAAATCACTCAAATTTGGAAGGAGGTAGACTCCACCGTGAGAGCAGGGCTGGGGCAGGAGAGTGCTAGAGTCGCACGATTTCTGTTCTCATCCTGAATCAAAGTTCTTAACCCGAGGAACTATTTCTGGGTCAGCGGAGTCTGTAACCTGAAGCGTATGTAACTTGAAGAGTCTGCAACCCGAGATACCGCTGTCATCTTCTTCTTCTTTGACGATGGCTCGTAGCCGAGTAAGATTGTCTTCCATAAACACGGTTTTAACAATGAGTCTGTAAGTGACTGTGGAGCCCAATTCTGAATCCACACGTCCTTCCACAGTGGAGACATTGGTTTCCAGGCAGGAGTTGATCACGGTGTGGATTTGCCGTGTGCCTTCCTCCTAGCACGTTTCTCCCTTGCGTCCTGAGTTCGAGTGTCTTCAAAGCCCATGAGTGTCTTCAAAGCCCATGGTAAAGGCTGTTCTCCAACTGGAGCACTCACAGGCCAGTGTTTCCCAATTGTTGGTGTTTATATTACATTTTGTTAGATTTGCCTTGAGACAGTTTTTAAACCTCTTTTGCTGACCACCAGCATTACGCTTTCCATTTTTAAGTTCGGAATAGAGTAGTTGCTTTGGAAGACAATCCGGCAGGAAGGTAAACGGCGTTTCCATGCGCTGCTCTGGTTCACCAGAAGCGGCTTAGTCATGCTGGCCACATGACCCAGAAGCTGTATGCCGGCTCCCTCAGCCAATAAAGTGAGATGAGCGCTGCAACCCCAGAGTCGGCCACGACTGGACCTAATGGTCAGGGGTCCCTTTACCTTTACCTTAACTTATATGTGTGCATGCACCATTAGGAACTGTATTGTTGATAGAAATGAAATGCGTCTCACCATAGCACAGGGCAAAGCACTGACAGTTTCATGGCAGTCACGGCCACACAGCCGTTCCACCTTCTAAGATTATACAATGATCTTATAATTATGCGATAAGAATTATTAGGGATTAATTTCTAGGATTAAGGCAGATGGCCACGCGTCGCCTTTTCAGCCAAATCTACTGTTTTCTGTGCACCGGGAAATGGTTTGGTGTGTGCCAATAGCTTTCGGAGGGACTTGTGTTTTCCTTGGAGCTCCATTGCGTGCAACAGAACTTGCCCACCAACCTCTCGAAACCAAAGCACCTTGCTTTTTCAGTGTTCCTAAATGCATACAGAACTTCTCCTTGCTCTTCTTCCCATGCCTCTTCTCCAGAGTGACCTCGGGAGCCAGTCCTCAGCGGCTGACTTCTCTTCCTCTGATCGGCTGCAATCTGTGCAAAGGTGGGAATTCTTCTCTCAGTAAAAAATATTTTCTTTCCTGCTGATCGGGCATCTCTTAGCAGGACAGGCCCTCTGCAAACCAGAGCACAGCCCAACGTGTTGAGGTGCCTCAGGAGAAGATGGAGAAGATTATAGCCTTCTTCAAACATCTGAAGGGTTCTCACAGGGAAGATGGAATAAGCTTGTTTCCTCCTGCTCTGGAGGATGGGACCCCAACCTATGGATTCAAGGGACAAGAAAGCAGATTCAGGAAGAATTTTCTGAAAGCAAGAGCTGTTTGACAGTGGAACAGACTCCTTCGGAAGACGGTCCTTCCTTGGAAATGACCACCTTGGGATCCCTTCCAAAACTGCAGCTCTTTGATTCTCGCCCTGACCTAGCCACTGTGATCCACGCGACAGTCACCTCCAGACTGGATTATTGTAACTCGCTCTATGTGGGGCTGCCCTTGAGACTGACCCAGAAACTCCAGCGGGTGCAGAATGCCATGGCGAGGTCCTCGCTGCAGGATCACATTCACCCGGTGCTGTGCCAGCTGCATGGCTCCCAGTGGAGTACAGGATCAGGATTAAGGTGCTGGTTTTAACCTTCAAAGCCCTATACGGCCTAGGACCCTCGTACCTACGGGACCACCTCTCCTGGTATGTCCCATGGAGGACCTTACGGTCTTCAAACAAAAACATGTTGGAGGTCCCAGGCCACAGGGAGGTTAGGCTGGCCTCAACCAGAACCAGGGCTTTTTCGGCCGTGGCTCCAATCTGGTGGAACTCTCTGTCACAAGAGACTAGGGCCCTGCGGGACTTGACATCTTTCCGCAGGGCCTGCAAGACAGAGCTGTTCCACCAGGCCTTTGGCCAGGGCACAGCCTGATCCCCTCCTTTGGCAATCCTCACAGAACTCTAGCCCAATGGTTGCCATTAATTTGATTTGAACTGATTTTATAATGAAATGATTTTAGAATGTTGTATTATTTTACTGTTGATAGCCGCTCTGAGCCCGGCATCGGCTGGGGAGGGCGGGATATAAATAAAATATCATCGTCATCATCATGTCACCATGCAGGTAATATTTTCCTCCAGAGGACATTCTTCGGTACCATAGATAAAGGTTCTGTCTCGTTCTGCCATTGAGCCACCTCCAGCCTTGCCACCAGCAGAGGAGAAATCATTTCCTTAAACAACAGGTCCTTCTTCATTTCCTCTAACCAACTGAGCAACACCAGCAGAGGAACTGAATGTGTATCCTGCCTCACAACGGCTGAGACTCACCCAAATATCTGCTGCCAAAACAATTATGTCACCAAACAGCTGATCAGAGCCGACAGCAAGCCCTCAGGGAAGTGCTTCCTTCGCTGGCATGGTTTGAAATCAAACCACGTGGGCAAAGGGAGCAGAGTTTGTGGCCATCGGCCGGCTGGCAGCGAGAGGGGTGGCACCAGATCCTAATCTCGGCTCTTCTTCATCACATCCAGCTTGGTCCTCTTCTTAAAACCGCTCCAGTGTTCATCTGCATCCGCTCCAGACTCTTGGTGTGAAAGGATATAATAATATAATAATAATTTATTATTTGTACCCCGCCCATCTGGCCCAACATGCAACAAACCCACAGCCCTGAGATTAAGCGTCTCATGCTCTACTGACTGAGCTATCCAGCCCTGAGTCCCATGAGGCTTACTCCCAAGTCAGGGTGTGTAGGATGGCAGCCGAAGAGGGTTGAATTAGGCCCTGTGTTTCAAACTCTTTTTAGTTCCTCATTCCCTTTTAAAAAATATAATAAATGTCTCCTTTCCCATACCTGCTAAATCGCAGCAGCAGCTCAGCGGGCACACAGCTTGCTCTCTGGACAATGCCTACCTTGTCCTGCCAACAGCATTTCCACAACCAGATCCTCTGTAGCTTAGTGAAGGAGTTACTGTTTCTCTAACCGCCTCTCTGGTGTGCAATAACAAGCAGAAACAGGCATCCTTTTGGAATACCTTAGCAGGAGATTGTAAAGTTAAGATGAGGTTTTGCTTCAGCATCAATGGAACCTTTGCATTCGTTTGCTTGGTACGTCTGATTTTGTCACCATGCTAACTTTTGCTTCGAAACCTTAAACAAATTTGCCCTTTTTCCGGTGCATTAACGATGTTTTGTGCGCATGATAGAATCACTTCCATGCATTCAATACTTGTTTGTGCCTGCAAAAGTTTTTGCAGTGGACATACTTCTTCGTCTCTGGTCCATGCACGTCACGTAGGCTCCTGCTAAAACCCTGCAAGTTTTTACAATAATATTCCAGTTTAATTTTTGTCCTCTTTTCATTGCACAGAGCACAAGGGCGCCCTTCACCTCAAGGGCAATAAAGGCTTTACATTGGGGAAGCATTGCAGGACATGTAAGCAGACTGATAAATCAATCACTAAATGCACTGGTATTGCATCAATGACAGTCTGGAAGGGCCAAAAATTCCCATATCTGATTTGGGAGCTGGGTTTGCAGAAGACAGAGGAAAATACAGATTTTCCATATCAGAAAATAATTTTAAAATTTGGTTTTAGATGATTATGGAGGCTTTCATTATAGCAATGCCCAGCCCTGACCTATGAAGACTCTAGTATAGCATATTGTCTCTGTGGCTCTCGGGAAATGAGCGCAAGCTAACAAAATGAATTTCAGTAGGGACAAACATAAGGTTCTGCACTTAGGCAGGAAGAACCAGATGCACAAATATAAGACGGGGGGACACCTGGCTTACTAGCAGTACATGTGAAAAGGATCTAGGGGTCTTGGTGGACCACAAGCTGAACATGAGTCAATCGTGTGATGCAGCAGCAAAAAAAGCTAACGCTATTCTAGGCTGCATCAACAGAAGTCTAGAGTCCAGGTCAAGGGAAGTAATAGTACTACTCTATTTTGCCTTAGACTACACCTGGAATACTGTGTCCAATTCTGGGCACCGCAATTTAAGAAGGAGGTTGACCAGCTGGAAGGTGTGCAGAGGAGGGCAACCAAGATGATCAAAGGTCTAGAAACTAAGCCTTATGAGGAGCTCTTGAAGGAGCTGGGTATGTTTAGCCTGGAAAAGAGGAGACTGAGAGGAGATATGATAGCCACATGGAGGAGGGAGCATGCTTGTTTTCTCCTGCTCTGGAGGGGAAGACTCGAACCCATGGCTTCAAGTCGCAAAAAAGGAGATTCCAAAAAAAAACATTTGGAAAAGCTTTCTGACAGTAAGAGCTGCTCAGCAGTGGAACAGACTCCCAGGAGAGGTGGTGAACTCTCCTTCCTTGGAGATTTTTAAGCATCTGTCCTGGATGTTTTAGTTGAGATTCCTGCTTTGCAGGGGGTTGAACTAAATGACCTTTGGGGGTCCCTTTCAACTCTAAGCGTCTATGATAGGGGGTCGCGCCATCCCCTTGTTCCTTTCCCTTTTCTTTTTTATTGAAGATTTGGTGTGTTACAATACAGTCATACCTCATGTTACGTCCGCTTCATGTTCTGTTCTTTCAGGTTGCGTCCCGCGGTGACCCGGAAGTACCGGAAAGGGTTGCTTCCGGGTTTCGCCGCTCGCACATGCACAGAAGTGCTAAATCGTGCTTTGCGCATGCGCACAAGCGCCAAATCATGCCGCGCACCTGCGCAGATACAGTGCTTCAGGTTGCAGGCTTTTCATGTTGCGAACGGACCTCTGGAATGGATCCCATTCGCAACCAGAGGTACCACTGTACAAGCAAATAAGCATGGAAAAAGAACATATAGCCTCTCCACTTTCAGTATGAGATACTATTATCCAAGATATTGCAGGGAAAGAGAGGAGAGAGATAGGTGTGCAGGGGGGATAATGATCTTTTGTTCTATTGCATAGTGTTTGCGCCGGGATTTTGGGGTCAGTGTCATGCGGCATGGTCCTTTATTTGTATAGTTATTTATTTTTGTTGGCATAGCAAGATATTGGAAGGTCCAGATCTTGGTTTGTTGTATTTACTTGGTTTGCAGTATGGTTTGTTTGTGTGTGTATAGACCACCAGTGCCAAAATGTACCTACTAGGAAAATTAACCAACAAACTTAGACTAGCACTGGGACAAGCAAAAGAGGTCCGTTTTAGCCGGACGTGACTCCCCTTTATCCCATATCCAGAACAACAAGACAAAGCATACGAATCAATGCGTTTGGTCCTTTTCTGAACTTTCACCACCCTCTTTTCTGCAAATCCCTATCATTCTTATTTACATATTCATGAGCAGGAGTTGCAATGCCATTTTGAGGCTCACGTGACCAATCATAGAATAGAATCATAGAATCATAGAGTTGGAAGAGACCACAAGGGCCATCGAGTCCAACCCCCTGCCAAGCAGGAAACACCATCAGAGCACTCCTGACATATGGTTGTCAAGCCTCTGCTTAAAGACCTCCAAAGAAGGAGACTCCACCACACTCCTTGGCAGCAAATTCCACTGTCGAACAGCTCTTACTGTCAGGAAGTTCTTCCTAATGTTTAGGTGGAATCTTCTTTCTTGTAGTTTGGATCCATTGCTCCGTGTCCGCTTCTCTGGAGCAGCAGAAAACAACCTTTCTCCCTTCTCTATGTGACATCCTTTTATATATTTGAACATGGCTATCATATCACCCCTTAACCTCCTCTTCTCCAGGCTAAACATGCCCAGCTCCCTTAGCCGTTCCTCATAAGGCATCGTTTCCAGGCCTTTGACCATTTTGGTTGCCCTCCTCTGGACACGTTCCAGTTTGTCAGTGTCCTTCTTGAACTGTGGTGCCCAGAACTGGACACAGTACTCCAGGTGAGGTCTGACCAGAGCAGAATACAGTGGCACTATTACTTCCCTTGATCTAGATGCTATACTCCTATTGATGCAGCCCCAGAATTGCATTGGCTTTTTTAGCTGCCGCGTCACACTGTTGGCTCATGTCAAGTTTGTGGTCAACCAAGACTCCTAGATCCTTTTCACATGTACTGCTCTCAAGCCAGGTGTCACCCATCTTGTATTTGTGCCTCTCATTTTTTTGCCTAAGTGCAATACTTTACATTTCGCCCTGTTAAAATTCATCTTGTTTGTTTTGGTCCAGATCTCTAATCTGTCAAGGTCGTTTTGAAGTGTGATCCTGTCCTCTGGGGTGTTAGCCACCCTCCCAGTTTGGTGTCATCTGCAAATTTGATCAGGATGCCCTTGAGTCCATCATCCAAGTCGTTGATAAAGATGTTGAATAAGACCGGGCCCATGACAGAACCCTGTGGCACCCCACTAGTCACTCTTCTCCAGGATGAAGAGGAACCATTGATGAGCACCCTTAGGGTTTGGTCAGTCAGCCAGTTACAAATCCACTGAGTGGTAGCATAGTCAAGACCGCATTTTACCAGCTTCTTTACAAGAATATCATGGGGCACCTTGTCAAATGCCTTGCTGAAATCAAGGTAGGCTACATCCACTGCGTTTCCTTCATCTACCAGGCTTGTAATTCTGTCAAAAAACGAGATCAGGTTAGTCTGACATGACTTATTTTTCAGAAATCCATGCTGACTATTGGTGATCACAGCATTCCTTTCTAGGTGCTCACAGACTGTTTGCTTAGTGATCTGCTCCAGAATCTTCCCTGGTATTGATGTCAGACTGACTGGGCGGTAATTATTTGGGTCCTCTCTTTTCCCCTTTTTGAAAATAGGGACAACATTTGCCCTCCTCCAGTCTGCCGGGACTTCGCCTGTTCTCCAGGAATTCTCAAAGATGACTGCCAGTGGTTCTGAGATCGCATCTGCCAGTTCTTTTAATACTCTTGGATGCAGTTCATCTGGCCCTGGAGACTTGAATACATCTAGACTAGCCAAGTATTCTTGTACTATCTCCTTAGTTATTCTGGGCTGTGTTTCCTCTGCTGAATCATTTGCTCCAAATTCTTCAGGTCGGGCATTGTTTTCTTTATCGGAGAAGACTGAGGCAAAGAAGGCATTGAGGAGTTCAGCCCTTTCTGTGTCCCCTGTTTGCATTTCACCAGCTTCTCCTCTGAGTGACCCCACTGTTTCTTTGTTCTTCCTTTTGCTACGGACATACCCATAAAAGCCTTTTTGTTGCTTTTAACCTCTCTAGCAAGCCTGAGTTCATTCTGTGCTTTAGCTTTTCTGACTTTGTGTCTACACGTGCTGGCTATTTGTTTGAATTCCTCTTTGGTGGTTTCCCCCTTTTCCATTTTTGTACACATCCTTTTTTAATCTTAACTCAGTTAAAAGTTCTTTAGATAGCCACCCTGGCTTCTTTAGGCACCTTCCATGTTTCCGTCTCATTGGTATTGCCTGAAGTTGTGCTTTTACTATCTCCCTCTTAACAAACTCCCAGCCATCATGAACTCCCTTTCCTTTTAGTTTTAGACCAAACGCCTCCAGGCTGTTGTGAGCTGTTGTGCCTGTTAAATCTTTGCTACTTGCCAACATTCGAGGGAGAAAATCTGCGAGTGCCTGAAAATAACATAAATGTCATCTGTCAACGTTCCAGTGCGGGGCGTCTCGCTTGCCATCAATTAGCTGGCTGTCCAGATCTTGTTTAACTAAGCAGTGCTTCCCATCCGTTACAAAGTTCTGTTTCCCATTTTTCTTTCTCTTTTTTCTTTCTTTCTTTGCCAGCTAAACAATCCAGAGATCTTCCATTACGGAGTTTTAAAAACCTCCCAGTACTTTTAATAGCACATTTGAGCCTTTGCAGAATGAATATTTCCCCTCCTCCCTTGAAAAAGGGCAGTGAAAAACCAAGAAGGCTTAAGCTGAGCTAGAGCTTTCTGGAGCATAAGCCCAAAACCTCTTTGCAAAAAAAGCTATACAGTGGTACCTCGGGTTACATACGCTTCAGGTTACAGACTCCGCTAACCCAGAAATAGTCCCTTGGTTTAAGAACTTGGCTTCAGGATGAGAACAGAAATTGTGCTCCGGCGGCGTGGCAGCAGGAGGCCCCATTAGTTAAAGTGGTGCTTCAGGTTAAGAACAGATCTCCAGAACGAATTAAGTACTTAACCTGAGGTACCACTGTACTAAATTATAGGATGCAGCAATCAATCAATCAATCAATCAATCAATCGACGGTCCTGAGAGATCTGCATTGGCTCCCAGTACGTTTCCAAGCACAATTCAAAGTGTTGGTGCTGACCTTTAAAGCCCTAAATGGCCTCAATCCAGTATACCTGAAGGAGCTTCTCCACCCCCATCGTTCAGCCCAGACACTGAGGTCCAGCGCCGAGGGCCTTCTGGTGGTTCCCTCATTGCGAGAAATGAGGTTACAGGGAATCAGGCAGAGGGCCTTCTCGGTGGTGGCACCCGCCCTGTGGAACGCCCTCCCACCAGATGTCAAGGAAATAAACAACTATCCAACTTTCTGAAGGCAGCCCTGTTTAAGGAAGTTTTTAATGTTTGATGTTTTATCGTGTTTTTAATATTCTGCTGGGAGCCGCCCAGAGTGGCTGGGGAAACCCAGTCAGATGGGTGGGGTATAAATGAATTATTATTATTATTATTATTATTATTATTATTGATTCAAATGGTTCTTTTGTATGTTGCAGAATTCCTACAATGAGGGCACTTTCCTCATCGGAAATAATCTGTAATCCAGCCTGCTGGCAAGGGCTGATGGGAATTGTAGTACAAAACATCTGGAAGGCACCAAGTTGGCAAAGACTGGTATAATCTGTCCGTTGAGCATCATATGCTAGGGCAGTGATGGCCAAAGCTGGCCCTCCAGCTGTTTTGGAACTACAACTCCCATCATCCCTGACCACTGGTCCTGTTATCTAGGGGTGATGGGAGTTGTAGTACCAAAACAGCTGGAGGACCACGTTTGGCCATCACTGTGCTAGGGCCATGATAGGATAGACCTCTGGAAGCCACGCTTGGCAGTGTGTAAAGCGGCCTACGTTCTGAAGGAGAAGACAGGTGGTATCAGCTCTCGAACAGCGGAACTGGTCTGAAAGCACAGGGGTGTGTAGCAAGCTGCAATTGGAATCCACCTAGCCCAGTATTGTCTGCACTGACCACCAGCAGCTGCTCCGCAGGATTCGAACCTAGTACCCAGAAACCGGATCAACATCGGGACATTGTGAGAGAACACCGTATATTTGAAGCTCCGTAGTATCACTCTGAGTCGTGGCTTCCCGCCAAATGACCCTGGGAGCTGTAGGGTTTTTTTAAGTTGCTAAGTTTTGTTAAGGATGCTGGTGGCGCTGTGGGTTAAACCACAGAGCCTAGGACTTGCTGATCAGGTCAGCGGTTCGAATCCCCGCGACGGGGTGAGCTCCCGTTGCTCGGTCCCTGCTCCTGCCAACCTAGCAGTTCAAAGCACATCAAAGTGCAAGTAGATAAATAGGTACCGCTCCAGTGGGAAGGTAAACGGCATTTCCGTGCGCTGCTCTGGTTTGCCAGAAGCGGCTTAGTCATGCTGGCCACGTGACCCGGAAGCTGTACGCCAGCTCCCTTGGCCAATAAAGCGAGATGAGCGCCACAACCCCAGAGTCAGCCACGACTGAACCTAATGGTCAGGGGTCCCTTTACCTTTAAGTTTTGTTAAGAGACCTCTTGCCTCCCAGGGAGCTGCAATTCATAGAATCACAGAATTGGAAGGGACCTTGAGGGCCATGTAATCTGACCCCCTGAAATGCAGGAATCTCAACATGTGGTTTCCCGTCCAATCTGGAACCACCCTGGACCCTGCTTAGCTTTGCAAATCGTGTTCGCGATTTCACTGCTGCGCCCCTAGGTGGTTCGATTCCCAGAGTTCCCATGAAGAGGAACTGATTATTAAAACCCTTTTTGAACGGTGGTTCCTGGAGCGGGAATAACAGCTCTCAGCATTCGCAACAAACTAGAACTCCCAGGATTCTTTTTTGGTGGTGGGTGGGGAGCCATGACTGTGCAAAGTCATATCGTAGCGCTTTAAATGTATGCTGCAATTGCAGTGTTCAAATGAGGTTGCTCATCTGAGTTTTTATGGTTTTTCCTGTCTGTGTGCCCAGAAATAAGTGCAACTGTCCTGTTTCCACCTTATCTTCTCTGTTCCTCACATGCAGATCTCTGGTTTTGAAACGTCTTGCTTCCGACTGCTCAAACTCCCATCGCCTTTCGGCATATTTTGAATTTTCGGGGGGGGGGGCGGGAATTCCTCTGAAGGTGGGAAAGAGAGATCGAGATTGGAACTCAGCGCTGCCAAGTCAGCAAGAGTCACAATGCCCTCCTTGTTTCTGAGACAAGGAAAAACATACATCTATTTCTTTTGACCTGCGGAACGGGGTGGGGAGCTATTCCTTCTCCTCTCTTGCCAAACCCTTTTGAAACCTCGCTTCCCTGAGATACGCTGAGCAAACCATCGCCCTACGCCAGCATGCTAATGAAGCCGTCTCCATGGAAACGGGCTCATTACCACTCATTTTTGCTGGCCCCTTTCCAGTCGGGCTCCGCTCGTCTTTCAAAATTTCAAACCGCACATCATAAATAAAAAAGAGATTATATTTTATTTTATTTTATTTAAAAAAATGCCAAGGGCTGAGAAAAAAAGAAAGAAAGCAAAAAGCTGAATGTGAATCGACTTCCTTGTCCCCATTAAGAAACCTTGTCAGTTCCAAAAAAAGCCGGAAGAATTTTTTGCTAGGCTTGGTGGGAGAAGATATTAAGAAGACAGACCAAAGATTATATCTGTATGCAACAACAGCAGCTAGAGTTTTGATAGCCCAAAAGTGGAAGTCACAGGAGATTCCGACTGTAAGGGAATGGCAGATAAAGTTGGTCGAATACGCTGAAATGGCAAAATTGACACACAGAATTCGCAATCAGGAGGAGACGAAGTACCAAAAAGAATGGAGTAAATTTATAGTTTATATAAGTGAGAACTGTAGAAATATGAAAACGTTGGCAGGATTGAATTAAGTCTTATGTCACGCTGTAATTCTTAACCAATGAAACTGTGAATTATAGATTGGAATAAGAAAACTTGCGGAAGGGAAGGACGGAAGTCAACGGCTCTATGGAGCATAAAGTAGGATATATGTAATAAGACTTGATGTTTTTGTTGGTTGGTGTTGGTGTTCTTAAATCTCAATAAAAAGCATTTGGAAAAAGAAAAAAGAAACCTTGTCGGAATCCCCAGCGAAAAAAAGTCAAAATACCAAACAGAAATCTTAGAGGGTAGAACAAAACTTTTGTCTAAAATGTACGACTGTTTGCTCGAATGGAACACCAAGGATGAAAGAAGTCATGATAAAATGGGCAGTCGACTTTGGTTACAATATTGAGTACAACAACTGGGTAAGACTATGGAAGGAAGGTATGAGGTTTACAGCGTGCTCCACCTTAAAAGAAAACCTAGGGGAAATGATGTACCAGTGATATATTAAAGTGTAAGGGGACCCCTGACCATTAGGCCCAGTCGTGGCCGACTCTGGGGTTGCGGCGCTCATCTCGCTTTATTGGCCAAGGGAGCCAGTGTACAACTTCCGGGTCATGTGGCCAGCATGACTAAGCCGCTTCTGGCGAACCAGAGCAGCGCACGGAAACACTGTTTACCTTCCCGCCGGAGCAGTACCTATTTATCTACTTGCACTTTGACGTGCTTTCGAACTGCTAGATGGGCAGGAGCAGGGACCGAGCAACGGGAGCTCACCCCGTCGCAGGGATTCGAACCGCCGACCTTCTGATCAGCAAGTCCTAGGCTCTGTGGTTTAACCCACAGCACCACCCGTGTCCCTTGGTGATATATTACCCCAGTTAAATTGGCAAAAATGTACAGATTGAGTAATAAAGCCTGCTGGAAGTGCAAATTAAAGGACGGCGAATTCTACCATATGTGGTGGACATGTGAAAAGATGAAAAAGTTTTGGGACTCGATATATAATGAGTTGAAAAAACTTTTCAAATATGCATTCCCAAAGAAACCGGAGGCTTTTTTATTAGGGATAATAGGAGAGGAAGTGAGAAAAGAAGACCGTAAATTATTTCAGTACGCCACGACTGCCGCTAGGATTCTCGTGGCCCAAAAGTGGAAATCCCAGGAGATCCCAACCATAATGGAGGGGCAGACAAAATTATTTGAATATGCAGAATTGGCAAAAATGACCTCTAAAATTCGAGACCAAAAAGTGACAAAGTTTGAAGAGGAGTGGAGTAAATTTGTTGTGTGCATACGAATTAATTGCAGAAGTTTAGAAACTGTAGCAGGGCTAATATAAATCCTGTGATGGGAATAGAGGGCAAATATGAATCTGTAAGAGAAGACGTAAATTAGGAAAACCGAAGCAGGGCAGGAGGGAAGTCCGGGCGCGAAATTGTGCAGGGTAAATAAGACGACACAAAATGTTGAATGTAAAAGTTTAAATTTTATTTATGTTTGTGAAAATCAATAAAATGCATTTGGAAAAAAAAGAAAAGAAACCTTGTCAGAATCCCAAAACATCCCAAGTGCTTGGAAGGAGAGGGAGGGGAACAAATGCAAAATGTGGTTTTCAAAAGTTTTTTTCCAACCTTGATGCAAGGGCTTGGCGGGCAGCAGGTAGCCAAAAACTGACAGGTGGAGTATTGCAGGTAGACTGCGCCTAAACATGGAGGTTCTATTTAACTCTCATCTCCGGGCTATTTTTCCTCCATGCGGGAAGGGAAAAGCCATTTAAGCTAACAGTGACTCGGACAGGAATGTGAAGGAACCGCTAGGCTAAGCTGGCCTCCTCTTCTAAAGATTTGTGATACGGTACGTTACAATGTTTAAGTTGCTGTCATGTTTAAAACTACGCTTGACATTAGTTGCAACACAGGCTTTGAAGTTTGAAACGTCTTCTTCTTTTCCTCTTATGTGTTTACTTCCTTGGCTCCCGTGCGCGTCCTCTGTTTGGGTTCCCTCGTACATTTCGCTTACTTTTCAAGTATACACACATATATAAATTGTAAACAGGCGGAATTTTGCCTTCGTTGGAAACCAGCAGTAATGAGCCTTTTGCAAATCCGATTAAACGTTAGGAAGAACAAATACAAATTTATTATTTCAGTCGCAGACCAGTTCCAGCTCACATACAGTATCAGGGAAGTCATAAAACACGATAGGGAGACCCCACAGCTAATTCTCCCCTGGCCTCCTCGCTGGCCCAAGTAGGACCAATTCAGCCAGCTAGCCCTGGTGATTATCCAATGCTTATTTCCCCTAAATTGATTTTTGATTTTTATTGTTATTCATGTTTTTATACTGTATTTTATGCTGCTTTTATAACTAAGTGGTTTATATTTGTTGTTAGCCGCCCTGAGCCCGGTTTTTGAACCAGAAAGGGCAGGGTATAAATAAAAAATTATTATTATTATTATTATTATTATTATTAATTTTGCAATTGGGTATAACAGGGACAATACAGATATAACAGCAGTTAAAAATATGTAACATAGAACCAAAACAGAACCAAATAAACGTAAGTCTTATAAGTCTCTGAAAGTCTTGGTAGACTGTGCAAGTCTCTGAAAGAAGCAAGGGGTCAGATTCTTATCTGGTGAAAACAAGCTGTAAAGCTTTGTTTTATGATGTCCAACGCTGCCGAAGTGGTCCACAAACAGACGTAGTGAACAGTGATTATATATATAAACATATATATATATAGTTTTCAAGAGAATCCATCAAGAGTGCATATTTTGTGACTTTCAGTGATTTATAAGATTTCTGTTTATTTGGTTTTGCAGAGAGTGCATATTTCATATATTTCATACTGTTCAATGTTCTGTATACATTATATAAAGAGTTTATATTGACATCGCATTGGTCATTGTGTTGCCTTGGATATTACAAATAAAAATTTCGACCGGTGCTGGGGTGGGAACCTGTTTGCCATCGCCCCATTTTGGGACGGTGAATTCCACAGGTGGGCACCCCATTGTGCAGGGTTATACCGGTTGAATTATGACCTGCCATGCAGGTGTTAAAGGCCCAGGGGCTTTGCTGGGAGGGGAGGTGACAACTGAGGATCAGATCTTAAACAGGACCACCTGCCAGCAGTAAAGGGGAGGAGAAAGTAATTAGCCAGCTGGAACCTATATAGAGAACAAAAGGCCAGGCCAAAGTTTCCTTTGCAAAGCGAGCGGGGAGCATAGTCCTTGCAGAAACCCCCAATTTCCCTATCCAGATCTTCAGTTTCTGTGAGTGCGTGAAAACTCTCAACCTTGTTGCTCTGTAATCTCCTTTCTCTACAAGAATCTGGGTGCTTTTATTGCAAGGAAAGGTGGGTTTGCAAGCATGCCGGCGTCCCACAGGTGAAGTTGGTGGAGAGTGTGTTAGGAATTTTATGGTCTTAGATATATGGTAATGTTCATAACCGCACATACATAGATCAGCACAGGAAGACCAACCTGGAACCATTTTGATTCCTAAACTGACCAAATGTTTTCTCTGCAAGGTCAAAATGGAAAAGCCTCCCCATTGTCTCTTCCTTCACAAATCCTGTCTTAAGGGTATGTCTGTGTTTGAATAAGGGTGTGAGCCTTATCATTACAAAAGACTGGCCAGGCTCCTCAGGCAATCCAATCAAGTAACCTGTCAGACAGGAAATAAACAAGGATAGGAGAAAAACAACATGCAAATGTTCTGTTTTAGACCACCTTTTCTGTGATGTATCTGAGAGGTGGTCTTAGGTTACACCCCTTCTGTGATGTATGTACTGTATAATGTTTCTGGGGGTGGTCTTGATCTAGAGGATGGGAATTTCAAAAGTCTTTATAAGCCCTTGCACAGCATTTTTGTGGGTCCTCCTCCTTTTCTGCATGTGAGGGGAGCACCCTGTTGCAACAGATCAATAAAGATCAAGCTTACTAGCTGCTTTGCTTCTCAATATTCTCTGGTTGGCCTCTGTTATTTTCTCCTACCAATAGGGAACCTACGTAAGGACTCTATATGGGCTCTTGGATACCCCATAAGGGAAAAGGGCATATTTTTATTTACAACAAGAGGCATGCTAAGCCAGCCTTTGCCAATTTGGCAGCCTCTGGAGGTTTGGGACTACAACTCCCATCGGCCCCAATTGGCAAAGGCCGCCTCTAATATAATAATACCGCCTCCCGGTTTGCCCCACGGACAGCCTTAAGGTCCATAAATAGCAAGACCCTAGAGGTCCCAGGCCCTAAGGAAGTCAGATTAGCCTCAACCAGAGGCAGGGCCTTTTCAACACTGGCCCCAGCCTGGTGGAACACTCTGTCTCATGAGACCAGGGCCCTGCAGGATCTGATTTCTTTCCGCAGGGCCTGTAAGACAGAGTTGTTCCGCCTGGCCTTTGGCTTGGAGCCAATTTGATTCCCTCCCCCTCTTTCTTTTTTCTTTTTCCTTTCTCCTGTGATGAGGCTGCATTTTAATATTTTAATGTTTCAATATTTTAATGTTGTATTTTAATCTTGTTTTTAAGTTGTATTCATTCAACTTGTTTTTATTATTGCTTGTTAGCCGCCCTGAGCCCAACCTTGGCTGGGGAGGGCGGGGTATAAATAAAAATTATTATTATTATTATTATTATTAATATGTAGTGAAAGTGGCTTGAACACCAAGCTGCATTTGTTGCACGTTATTTTATGCTCTTGCTTCAAACCGGACGGGGTTCGTATGCTGCCTGGAGAACTTGCATTATGAGGGGGTGGGTGAAAGCAAAGGGTAAACCTTTTTTGCGGCTAGGAGTGTGTGGTCAGATGACTTCCGTTACATTTCAGAACGTGCACCTCCCGTCTTCACCTGTAGGATGTCTGCCTGCCTCCGGTCCAATGATCATTGACATAAACCAGCATGATTTGTGGCCAAAGTGAATGCCCCGAGCACTTAAACCAGGAGTCAGCAAACTGTTTCAGCAGGGGGCCGGTCCACTGTCCCTCAGAGCTTGTGGAGGGCCGGACTATATATTTGGGGGGGGGGGGGATGAACGAATTCCTATGCCCCACAAATAACCCAGAGATGCATTTTAAATAAAAGGACACATTCTACTTGTGTAAAAACACAGTGATTCCCGGACCATCCGTGGGCCGGATTTAGAAGGCGATTGGGCCGGATGTGGCCCCCCGGGCCTTAGTTTGCCTACCCATGGCTTAAACCTCCGCCTGTGCCTCTGCAGACCTGAAAACGTTTCTTGGGCTGCCTTTGATGCGAGGCAGGTGTTGCTGGTTTTGCAGCTGGCTTTTAACGCACACAAACCAAACTGTTCTCGAGATCATTGTGTTCTCTTCCTGCTTCTCTGCCCCTGTGAATACTTTCGTTTTATTTTATTGCATGAGTGTACTGTGGGACTGTTCAGGGTGGCAGGAGAGGATATATCGTTTATTAATATCCTTCCTAACTTGTGCTAGCAGGTTCCTTAGCAGAGCTTACATTCCCCTTCTCACGCACAGCAGGTAGCTGGTTGCAGGCTCGTGTGAGCTTCTCACTATTATACAATTCAGTCTGTCTCGGATAAAGCCCTAAACGGCCTCGGTCCTGTATACCTGAAGGAGCATCTCCACCCCCATCGTTCAGCCCGGACACAGAGGTCCAGCTCCAAGGGCCTTCTGGCGGTTCCCTCATTGCGAGAAGTGAGGTTACAGGGAACCAGACAAGAGGGCCTTCTCGGTAGTGGCGCCCACCCTGTGGAACGCCCTCCCTTCAGATGTGAAGGAAATAAGCAGCTATCCTATCTTTAAAAGACATCTGAAGGCAGCCCGTTTAGGGAAGTTTTTAATATTTAATGCTGTATTGTTTTAAACACTTGATTGGGAGCCGCCCAGAGTGGCTGGGGAAACTCAGCCAGATGGGTGGGGTATAAATGAAAAATTATTATTATTATTGTACGTTCCTGCTAGCTGAGAGCTAGCAGAGCAGTCCTAGCTAAAAGCTGGTCAAACGAAGAAGGAAGTAAAAAAACAGAGTGTGCTGCGTGACTCATCCTTTTGTTACCTGGAAAGGTAAGGTCACGCCCACCTTCTATCACATGCAAAAAGAAGGATGCTCCAGCCAGGAGGAACAGGAAGTTTTTGACTGGCTGGACTAACCATTCCCATGCATGTCTTTTCTAACATTACAAGGAATGTTGTACTTGACTGCTTCTCATGGATCACATCCCACAAGTACCACCATTTTTCTTCCAAGGGTCTCCAGGTGGCCGTGCGAAATAGGTCTTTGGGATGCTCCCCAGCCACACCCCCTCTCCTCAGGCCCCGCCCCTCGGCTTGAAGGACAAGGCTACCAATGGCCACTGAGCACAACAGCTGTGTCTTTCCTCTTCTGTTGGAGGCAGTGGATCTCGGAAGAGCCACAGCCGGGAATGGCGGGTTGGGAGAGACAAAGTCCTGCCCGCGGACTTCCCTTTGGAGCTCCTGGTTGGCCACTGTAAGAACAGGGTACTAGACTGGCGGTGCCTTCGACCTCATCCTGCAGCCAGGCTAACTTTCCTACCGTCATGCGGGACATAATTGAGATTGAGAGCGAATCCTGACAAGACAGAAGTACTGGTTTTGGGGGACAGACAGGTGTGGAAGACTCCCTGGTCTTGAATGGGGCAACTGTGCCCCTGAAGGACCAGGTGTGCAGCCTGGGAGTCATTTTGGACTCACAGCTTTCCATGGAGGTGCAGGTCAATTCTGTGTCCAGGGCGGCTGTCTACCAGCTCCATCTGGTACACAGGCTGAGACCCTACCTGCCTGCAGACTGCCTCACCAGAGTGGTGCATGCTCTGGTTATCTCCCGCTTGGACTACTGCAATGCGCTCTATGTGGGGCTGCCTTTGAAGGTGCCCCGGAAACTACAACTAATCCAGAACGTGGCAGCCAGACTGGTGACTGGAAGCGGCCACCGAGACCATATAACACTGGTCTTGAAAGACCTACATTGGCTCCCAGTACGTTTCCGAGCACACTTCAAAGTGTTGGTGCTGACCTTGAAAGCCCTAAATGGCCTCGGTCCAGTATATCTGAAGGAGTATCTCCACCCCCATCGTTCTACCCGGACACTGAGGTCCAGTACCGAGGGCCTTCTGGCGGTTCCCTCACTGCGAGAAGCCAAGTTGCAGGGAACCAGGCAGAGGGCCTTCTCGGTGGTGGCGCCCTCCCACCAGATGTCAAAGAGAACAACAACTACCATACTTTTAGAAGACATCTGAAGGCAGCCCTGTTTAGGGAAGCTTTTAATGTTTGATGTATCACAGTATTTTAATATTTTTTTGGAAGCCGCCCAGAGTGGCTGGGGAAGCCCAGCCAGATGGGCGGGGTATAAATAAATTATGATTATGATTATGCCTTTGTTTAGCTCTGATGAAACAGATTCCGATTGCTTCCTTCTGCTTTTCTGCGGGCGGGCAGTTCGCACTCTCTTTCGGGTTATAAGCTGTTTCGAGCACTCTTTAAACGTCACGCCTTAGGCTTGCAGCCTGCTCAGGGGTCTGTAAGGTGAAGGGTGGGCAATCAATAATAAAAATAATAGTTAATAATATTATTGGGGGTGAGGCGAGGGGGGAAAGGATCTCCCCAGGGGCTGGTGGGAGTTGTGCTTCAAAACATCTTGTTGGGGGTGGATAGCAGGGCTTAGACACATCCCACATGTGCCATTCTCTTTGATTCTACAGGGCTTTGCTTACTCTTGAGGAGTGAACATCCTCGGCTCGGATCATCTCCACAGAATATCACAGGGGACACTGACTTCAGGTGAATTGCCCTCCTTCATTTTCTATCTAGCGCGTGGGACCCTGTGGGTTTGGAAAAAAAACATTCCAACATTGCAGAGGGTTGTACTAGATTTTCACTTTTCTAAAGGCTTAAAGGATGGTTCTTAATTTTCCTTATTGATAATGTTCTTGTTTTCTCTTTTTGGCAAACCACTTTGACTGTGTTTTTTTTAAAAAACAGTCACGCGGCGTATGAATTTTATGTAATAAGTAAAATAAAAGAAGTCATCTTGGGAATCCTGCTGTCTAATCTCAAAACACATCGCGGGAGAGAGCTGGTTGTGTTTGAACCAGGGGGAGGGCCTTCTCGGTAGTGGCACCCACCCTGTGGAACGCCCTCCCATCAGATGTCAAGGAAATAAACAACTATCTGACTTGTAGAAGACATCTGAAGGCAGCCCTGTTTAGGGAAGTTTTTAATGTTTGATGTTTTATCGTGTTTTTAATATTCTGTTGGGAGCCGCCCAGAGTGGCTGGGGAAACCCGGTCAGGTGGGCAGAGTATAAATAACAAGATTGATTGATTGATTGATTGATTGATTGATTGCATCAGCATAATGCCCTAATAGGTGAGCTTGGATGCATTTTCTCAAAACTCACTTTACTTTTTATACATATGAGTTTACAAGAATCCTTCTCTGCAAGCTAAGTGTTTTCCCAAGGTGAGTTTCCGTTCTCCACCAGCTAAGGTACTTTAAAAATAAAAATAGTGGACTAGTTTCTTGCAGCCCATGAAACCAAACTGTAGTACAGTGGTACCTCGCAAGACGAATGCCTCGCAAGACGAAAAACTCGTTCCACAAGACGAATTTCCCTATGGGCTTGCTTTGCAAGACGTTTCGTCTTGTGAGTTCTTGCGAGTTTGTTTCCTTTTTCTTAAAGCCGCTAAGCCGTTAATAGCCGCTAAGCCGTTAATAGCCGCTAATAGCCGCTAATAGCCGTGCTTCGCAAGACGAAAAAACTGCAAGACGAAGAGACTCGCGGAACAGATTAATTTCGTCTTGCGAGGCACCACTGTATTTGCATCATTATTAATCACCCTCCCCTCGCTCAGATTCCTCTTCCTCCGAGGATGGCTTTGCAAGCCTAGCAGTTTATTAGCTCCCTGATGGATCACCTTGATTTATTCTCTCGTTTTTTGCAGCGCACCGGGAAGGGCAAGCACCCGCAGGCCCACGAGGAAAGTTCAGATGGCCAGCAACAACACCACCAGCATAGCGCAAGCCAGGAAACTGGTAGAGCAGCTCAAAATGGAGGCGAACATTGACAGAATAAAGGTAAGACCCTGCAAGCAATTTCTTGGCTCAGACAGATGGCTTAGGGCAGACATAGGCAGCCTTCGGCCCTCCATATGTTTTGGCCTACAACTCCCATGATCCCTAGGGAAATATACTCGGAGTCGAGAGTGGATTTCATGCTCTTTATTCAGCTCATAGTGGTGAGAAGGAATGAATGTTCCCCCAAAATATCTGCTTTATATACATTATTTACACAAATGATTGGCTAATTCCGGGATTCTCCTGTAGGCCAATCAGGTTGTGGATTTACTTCCACCTGGAGCTGGATTGGGTGGCTCCTGCGGAGCAATCATACTGCTGCATTGTTCTAGGACCAATCAGACTGCTGCATTCTGAATCCTATTGTTCTAGGACCAATCAGACTGCTGCATTCTGAATTCTATTGTTCTAGGACCAATCAGACTGCTGCATTCTGGATCCTATTGTTCTAGGACCAATCAGGCTGCTGCATTCTGGATCATATTGTTCTAGGACCAATCAGACTGCTGCATTCTGAATCCTATTGTTCTAGGACCAATCAGGCTGCTGCATTCTGGATCATATTGTTCTAGAACCAATCAGGCTGCTGCATTCTGAATCCTATTGTTCTAGGACCAATCAGGCTGCTGCATTCTGAATCCTATTGTTCTAGGACCAATCAGACTGCTGCATTCTGAATCCTATTGTTCTAGGACCAATCAGACTGCTGCATTCTGAATCCTATTGTTCTAGGACCAATCAGGCTGCTGCATTCTGAATCCTATTGTTCTAGGACCAATCAGACTGCTGCATTCTGAATCCTATTGTTCTAGGACCAATCAGGCTGCTGCATTCTGAATCCTATTGTTCTAGGACCAATCAGACTGCTGCATTTTGGATCATATTGTTCTAGAACCAATCAGGCTGCTGCATTCTGGATCCTATTCAACTCAGTAAATAACACCTAGCTAACAGGACCAGTGGTCAGGGATGATGGGAACTGTAGTCTCAAACATCTGGAGGGCCAAAGGTTGCCGATGCCTGGCTTGGGGAAAGGGGATGTTGTTGATTTTTTTTGGAGCAGCTTTGGCCCTGCAGAAGTTCTTGGGACTACAACTCCCATAAGCCCCAGCCAGCATGGGGATGGTGGGAGTTGGAGTCCGTGGAATTGGACGATTCAGGACAGCGCGTCATTAAACGGTGGAACTCGCTGCCACAGGAGGCAGAGATGGCCGCCATCTTTGATGGCTTTAAAAGACAACTAGCAAAATTCATGGAGGAGAGCGCGATCAAGGGCTATTACCCACAGTGGTTCTGCTCTGCAGAAAATGAGAGCGGTCTTCTGTTCGAATCCGGCCTGAGGGTTCCTCATTGGGGCATGTGTTCGGCCACTGTGAGAACAGGAAGCTGGGCTAGATGGGCCTGATCCACCAAGCTCATCATATGTTCTTATCTTAAGTAGACTGGCTAGAATTTGCAACGATAAAGCGACCCCACCCCCGCCATCCAGGGAGAAATCTGGGGTGTTGGGGTGTTGGACAATCAGGAGTGGATTTCTTTTGTGACAAGACCATGAGCTCCCTTCAGCTCTGGTAAAAAAGTAAAGGTAAAGGGACCCCTGACCATTAGGTCCAGTCATGACCGACTCTGGGGTTGCGGTGCTCATCTCGCTTTATTGGCCGTGGGAGCCGGCGTACAGCTTCCGGGTCATGTGGCCAGCATGACTAAGCCACTTCTGGCGAACCAGAGCAGTGCACGGAAACGCTGTTTACCTTCCCGCCGGAGCAGTACATATTTATCTACTTGCACTTTGACGTGCTTTCGAACTGCTAGGTTGGCAGGAGCAGCGACTGAGCAACGGGAGCTCACCCTGTCACGGGGATTTGAACCGCTGACCTTCTGATCGGCAAGCCCTAGGGCTCTGTGGTTTAACCCACAGTGCCACAAATTCCTGGGCTCCGAAGTCTATTCATTTCAAGAGTAGATCTTTTGTTCCTGGTTCTAGTTGGCGGATATCAGGATTAAAAAAACAACAACACCAGATCCTGCAAGCCTGGCGTCTGCCACCCGTGTCTTGGTAAATGAAATTTGGCCCATGTGTGCCAGCAAATCTTCTTTCTTCTTCTTTGGTGATCCCTCGTAGCCAAATAAGATTGCCTTCCATAAGCACGGTTTTAACAGTGAGTCCGTAAGCGACAGCGATTCCACCGTTCAGGCACGCCCTCGATTTACGAATCCTCAAGCCATTTCCATTGCATTGCCACGTTGTGGGAACTTGGCTTGGCTCGAGTTACCATTTCCTAGCTGCATTTTTCTGGTTGTTCTTTTGTTAAATGGGGTAACCTACCCTGCTATCCATGGACAGAAATTCAGAGAGCCTTTGTGTTAAAATGTGCTAGATGGCTGCGGCTTGCTGCTTTCTCCCTGCGTTACTGTGGCAACAGCAAGCATCCTTCACCGTGGCTTGGCATACTTAGAAAGGGGTCTCGGCCAGCCTTGCGTTATCAAGGGGTTGCTTGCTATTACACAAAAACACATACGTTGCAGGCTGGACTTGGGTTTGGGAAATTTCCCAAGGTGTACCTGGCGCAGACGAAGAACATAGGAGAAAATCCATTCCATTTGCCTTTAAAGGCAAACCTACCCAGCTCAGTTTCTGAAACCATACCTGAGCCAAAACACAGCCGTCCTTTGAGATTCACACTTTCTGAATTTTGCAATGTAGCTCTCCCGCCAACGAATGTGTGCCAAAATGCCTTATTGTGGGGGGAACTGCAAAATGACATGTGCTGGACAAAATTGCACAGCAAAATTGGATGTAGCGTGAAACAGGAGCACGAAAACGCTGATAATTTTTCATGAGGGCTTCTTAAAAAGAATCGGCAAACAGATGTGGAAATGTGAGGAAGTGAAGATTGGAAAAATATGTAACGGAGAAGTTAGAATGAAGAGATTTGCCTATCCCTTGTGTGTCTGTCTGTGTCTTCCCCACTGCAGAGAGTGGGGATTTCAACGAAGGCATAGTTTGCACAATGCGGTTTTTTGAGAGATCAGCTCCCTGAATTTTGGTTTCCACTCTGGTTCATTTGCAGGGGTGGGAGGGGAAATGAGGCCGAGGCTAGCACGGCTCTGGGAATTACGAAATTTGGGTAAAAGAGGGAGAGTGGCAAGATTCATTTTGCCACTAGGAAGAGAGAAGGGGTGTTCCTTATATTGGGAGCTGATCCATTAGGGCAAATGGGGCACAGCCCCACCCAGCCAGTAGAGTAGTGGCAAATCCAAAAGGACAGGACCCCATCATGATACCGTTGGATCAATCCATCAACATCTGATGGATGATTTAGTAGGATTGGGTCCGGCATCACTTTCCCTGCCCGTGTGTGCCAGTATCCATGCTCAGCAGAGTTACATCTCGACGCAGCTGCTGCCTTGGAAGTGTCTTCAAGGTTGAAGGTACACACAGTAGGCCATAAACACTCATGGATGCCATAAAGATTCAGTCAAGTGCAGAAGTTTACTTGACAGGCATAAAAGCATATTGGTAGCAAATATATACAGTAATATTAATAATAATTAGGGACGCGGGTGGCACTGTGGGTTAAACCACAGAGCCTAGGACCTGCAGATCAGAAGGTCAGTGGTTCGAATCCCCGCAATGGGGTGAGCTCCCATTGCTTGGTCCCTGCTCCTGCCAACCTAGCAGTTCAAAAGCACGTCAAAGTGCAAGTAGATAAATAGGTACCGCTCCGGCGGGAAGGTAAACGGCATTTCTGTGCGCTGCTCTGGTTCACCAGAAGCAGCTTGGTCATGCTGTCCACATGGCCCTGAAGCTGTACGCTGGCTCCCTCGGCCAATAAAGCGAGATGAGCACCACAACCCCAGAGTCGGTCACGACTGTACCTAATGGTCAGGGGTCCCTTTACCTTTACCTAATAATAATAATTAATAATAAAATTATTTATACCCCACCCATCTGGCTGAGTTTCCCCAGCCACTCTGGGCGGCTTTCAACAAAACACAAAAATATAATAACCTATTAAACATTAAAAGCTTCCCTAAACAGGGCTGCCTTCAGATGTCTTCTAAAAGTTTGGTAGTTATTTTTCTCTTTGACATCTGGTGGGAGGGCGTTCCACAGGGCGGGTGCCGCCACCAAGAAGGCCCTCTGTCTGGTTCCCTGTAACTTGGCTTCTCGCAGTGAGGGAACCGCCAGAAGGCCCTTGGAGCTGGACCTCAGTGTCCGGGCAGAACGATGGGGGTGGAGACGCTCCTTCAGATCTACTGGGCTGAGACCGTTTAGGGCTTTAAAGGTCAGCACCAACACTTTGAATTGTGCTTGGGAACGACATGGGAGCCAATGCAGGTCTTTCAAGACCGGTGTTATGTGGTCCCGGCGGCCTCTCCCAGTCACCAGTCTAGCTGCCGGATTTATTGCAGTTTCCGGGTCACCTTGAAAGGTAGCTTAGAGTCCAACAAGACTCCAAGACTCACTCATTCTCTGCTTCCCTCACCGCAAGGCTCAAGCAAGAGACTCACAACAAGTTACAAGTTGCACAGAACCTTTGTTATCAGTACTTCCTGCGACACTGCACATGTCCAAAGTACAGTTCCCACAAAAAATGTCATTTCATAGACCAAACAATCTTGACCTTCTGCTTCTTTGTTTGTGGAACAAATGATTCTCACACACACAGAGAGAATACCCAACAGATACTCACAACCACGGCTTCTCACAGCCACCGCTGTGAGATTACGCAATAAGAACATAAAAATAACCTGCTGGATCTGCCCAACGGCCCATCTAGTCCAGATCCTGTTCTCACAGTGACGAACCAGATGCACGTGCGAAACCCGCAAGCAGGACCTGAGGACAAGAACCCTCTTCCCTCCTGAGTCTGAGATTGTGGAGGCAGAGAATAGCCCTCTCCTCCATGATCATGTCTGATCCTCTTTTAAAGCCATCAAAGTTGATGGCCATCACTGCCTCCTGACAGGAAAAGGTCAAATTTTTGCTTTTCCGGGAGGTCAGCAAGCCTCACCAGCAGGGGATCAATGGTCACACTATGTGCCTCTTCATAAAAGGGACACCTAAAGAACAAGTGCTCTGGGCTTCCTATCTCCCCCAATAAACAGGCGCAAAATCTCTGAGCATATGGGACTTTTTAAAAAAGGATCCTTCCAGGACCAGCGAGGGCAGAGCCAAGCTTCTGGCAAGTGTAAAAGCCCTTCTTGCATTTTTGGATACGAGAAAGAAGAGATATGCTCGCTATATATCTCTCGATTTCTCCAATTTTATAGTCAGGGCACCTTGAGCAGTCCTGTTGTCTCTCGGTGTCTATGATTCTTTGCTGCAGGAGGGTAGATTTCTGTTGCAGTTGGAGGAAAACTCACATTGACTTTGTGCAAGTTGAGAGTCCATTAATATCTAGAGACGTTCGTACCTACGGAACTGCCTCTCCCGGTATGCCCCACGGAGAGCCTCAAGGTCCATAAATAGCAACACCCTAGTGGCCCCAGGCCCTAAGGAAGTCAGATTAGCCTCAACCAGAGCCAGGGCCTTTTCAACACTGGCCCCAGCCTGGTGGAACGCTCTGCCTCATGAGACCAGGGCCCTACAGGATCTGATTTCTTTCCGCAGGGCCTGTAAGACAGAGCTGTTCTGCCTGGCCTCTGGCTTGGAGCCAATTTGATTCCCTCCCTCTTTCTTTTTTCTTTTCCTTTCTCCTCCTGCGATGAGGCTACATTTTAATATTTTAATGTTTTAATGTTGTATTTTAATTTTGTTTTTAAGTTGTATTCATTCAACTTGTTTTTATTATTGCTTGTTAGCCGCCCTGAGCCCAGCCTTGGCTGGGGAGGGCGGGGTATAAATAAAAATTTATTATTATTATTATTATTATTATTATTATTATTATTATTATTAGAGGGTTTCAGGTCTCCATCTTCTGCCTCCGTGGGCTTCCTTGCCCAAGTAGCTGCTCTTTGAGAACTGCTTTCCGGGGAACTTGACCTCCTCTCTCTCTCCTCCCAGGTGTCGAAAGCCGCCGCAGACCTGATGGCGTACTGCGAAGCCCACGCCAAAGAAGACCCTCTATTGACTCCCGTCCCTGCTTCAGAAAACCCCTTTAGAGAGAAGAAGTTTTTCTGCGCCATTCTGTAAACCTCACAGGAGCCTGTGACCCCAATTTGGGCCGCCCTGGACACTGATGTAGAGATTTTTTCAGCAACGTGGACGTGTTTCCAGAGTCCACCCAATTTAAAACATAAAATCAAAATGGCCTGGAAGTTTACAGAGAAGTGCATGATCAAAAAAAAAAAGAAAACGGCTGCCTTCTTGGGAGAATGGAATGGTGATGTTGCTCTACGTTACGAGGCTAAAGATCTTGACATCTGCAGAGTTGTCTGGAGAGGGAGGGGGGAATGTGTAAAAGAGTAAAATTGATGTCCACTTACGCTCTTGCCAGACAAAAACCCTTTTGTCTTTTTCTTTCCAAAAAAAAAGAGGGTTGCGCAGAGCGTGGTTGAAAAGGGTTGTGTATCTGTGTGTGTATGTACATAATATCCTTATTCCTTTTTTGTGTCCCCCCCCCCAAAAAAAATGTCACTCAGTTATTTATGTTGAATCGTAAAATTATCGCAGCAGGTTAGATTTATTCCGATGTTCCTTAGCATTTGGGTCTTGTGTGTATGTAGCATTTTTAGAGTAGCGCCGCGCGAGGGGGACAGGGGCCCAGAATTGCAGTTGCTGTTCAGCCTCGGCCAATTTTGTTCTTTTCAAAGGATTTAACTAAGGATGTGCCATAGCTTCGGAAGGGCCTGGGAGGCCGCCGTGTACATTCCCGACGTAGTTACTATCACTGTTTTTCTAACACTTGTATTTGGTAGCTTTTTTTTTTTTTTTTGTTCTGCAAGTAAAAACTGTATGTTGTGATTGATGGGGCATTTTGACTCGTCCTTTTCATCTCCTTGTATCGCAGACTTCTGTGCTGTTCCTATGGTGCCGTTACAGTGAGCATCATCAGACTGCAGATAGTTCTATAGGCAGTGGTCACCATCTAGGAAGGCAAAGCTGTCCCCATGTCGGGGATGCTTTGCTGGGCTAAAGCAGCGGTTCCCAAATTTCGGGGGGCTGCTGCTCCCTTGGTTCTCTAAAGATATCCCACTACCCTATAGAAAGCATTCAGAATACAGTGGTGCCTCGCAAGACGAAATTAATCCGTTCCGCGAGTCTCTTCGTCTTGCGGTTTTTTCGTCTTGCGAAGCACGGCTATTAGCGGCTTAGCGGCTATTAACGGCTTAGCGGCTTTAAGAAAAAGGAAACAAACTCGCAAGAACTCGCAAGACGTTTCGTCTTGCGAAGCAAGCCCATAGGGAAATTCGTCTTGCGGAACGACTCAAAAAACGGAAAACCCTTTCGTCTAGCGAGTTTTTCGTCTTGCGAGGCATTCGTCTTGCGGGGCACCACTGTAGTGGCTTGCACGACCCACCAAGGATGATAATAGCACAATAAAATTCGACACACATTTGCACATTCAGAATCCACCCAAAACTATGAATTAACTAAAAAAAAGGGGGGGTGAGCCTGATCCAGAGATACTAGTTTTTCAAAGTCTGGTAGTCATTTCATAAAATCGTAGAGTTGAAATGGGCCCTCCTGGGGTCATCCAGTCCAACCCCCTGCAATGCAGGAATCTCAGCTAAAGCATCGCTAAAGCATCCAGGACAGATGGCCCCCCAACCTCTGCTTAAAAACCTCCGAGGAAGGAGAGTCCACCACCTCCTGAGGGGGAGTGTTTTACTTTTGAGCAGCTGTTGCTGTCAGAAAGCTCTTCCTGATGTTTAGCCGGAATCTCCTTTCTTGTGACTTTAAGCCATGGGTTCGAGTCCAGAGCAGGAGAACACATCTTCCATGTGACAGCCCTTGAGATATTTGAAGATGGCTATCCTATTTCCCCTCAGTCTCCTCTTTTCCAGGCTAAACATACCCAGCTCCTTCAACCGTTCCTCACAAGGCTTGGTTTCCAGACCCTTGATCATCTTGTTCTCCCTCCTCTGCACACCTTCCAGCTTGTCAACATCCTTCTTAAATTGTGGCACCCAGAATTGGATGCAGTATTCCAGGTGTGGTCTGACCAAGGCAGAAGAGAGTGGGACTATTACTTCCCTTGATCTGGGTACTATATTTCTGTTGATGCAGCCTAGAATAGCATTAGCTTTTTTTGCTGCTGCATCACACTGTCGACTCATGTTAAGCTTGGGGTCCACCACGACCCCTAGATCCTTTTCACATGTACTCCTAGTAAGACAGGTGTCCCCCATCCTATATTTGTGCATATGGCTCTTCCTGCCTAAGTGCAGAACCTGACATTTGTCCCTACTGAAATTCATTTTGTTAGTTGGCGCCTGGTTCTCCAATCTGTTTAAGGCCATTCTGAATCCCGGTTCTGTTTCTATGACATACACAGCTCATTTGCCCCTCTGCCGCTCCCTTGCCTCTTAGCAGGCCCACTAGGCAATCCCACCACGCCCAGAGGGGTGGAACTGTCCACTCTTGAACCACTGGGCTGGTGGAAGAGGGTGCCTTGTTTCCTCCCAGGTTTGTACGACACGATAGACAAAGTACAAAGCGGGAGGGGGCTGGAGGCTCCCTGGATGAAACGGGCATTGGAAGAGAGATTATTAGAAGCATCTGTAGCTGCCGCCAGCTCTGATGGCTGTACAGTGAGGGGAGGCAGCATGTGCTTTCTCATCTTGCTGGCAATAGGGGGAACCCACAAGAGCTGGTGATTGCATCCAACTTGGATGGCTGTAAAGCATTAGGTTCATGGAAGACATGGGGCAACCTTCTCCTTTTCTTCCTGGGAAGAGGGTGGGGAGAAAGAGAGACCTGGCTGAGGCAAAGGAGAAGAACAACCTCTGCCATCCTGGCCTGGCGGGAGCTGTAGCGCAAAACATCTGGAGGACACCAGGCTGATGAAGGCTGATCTAAATGTGTCCTGGTAGCAAATAATAATTAAGAGCTGGACCATCAAGAAGGCTGATCGCCGAATAATTGATGCTTTTGAATTATGGTGCTGGAGGAGACTCTTGAGAGTCCCATGGACTGCAAGAAGATCCAACCTCTCCATTCTGAAGGAAATCAGCCTTGAGTGCTCACTGGAAGGACAGATCCTGAAGCTGAGACTCCAATACTTTGGCCATCTCATGAGAAGAGCAGACTCCCTGGAAAAGACCCTGATGTTGGGAAAGATGGAGGGCACAAGGAGAAGGGGACGACAGAGGACGAGATGGTTGGACAGTGTTCTCGAAGCTACCAGCATGAGTTTGACCAAAGTGCGGGAGGCAGTGGAAGACAGGAGTGCCTGGCGTGCTCTGGTCCAGGGGGTCACGAAGAGTCGGACTCGACTAAATGACTAAACAACAACAATAATAATTACAGTGGTACCTCTGGTTGCGAACGGTTCCGGAGGCCCGTTCGCAACCTGAAAAGAACGCAACCCGCATCTGCAGGTCACACTTCGTTGCTTCTACGCATGACGTCATTTTGCGCGTCTGCACATGTGCAAGCGGCGAAACCCGGAAGTAACCCTTTCCGGTACTTCCGGGTCACCACGGGACGCAACCTGTAAACACTCAACCTGAAGCAAACGTAACATGAGGTATTATTATCATTTATTTATTATTTATATCCCGCCCATCTGGCTGGTTTCCCCAGCCACTCTGAGCGGCTCCCAATAAAAGATAAAAAATACATTAAAATATTAGTCGTTAAAAACTTCCCTAAACAGGGCTCCTTCAGATGTCTTCTAAATGTTAGGTAGTTGCTTATTTCTTTGACATCTGATGGGAGGACGTTCCACAGGGTGGGCGCCACCACCGAGAAGGCCCTCTGCCTGGTACTCTGTAACCTCACTTCTTGCAGGGAGGGAACCGCCAGAAGGCTTTTGGCACTGGACCTCAGTGTCCGGGCAGAACAATGGGGGTGGAAATGCTCCTTCAGGTATCCTGGGCCGAATCTCTGCTCCTTCGAAAGTAACACCTCCAAGAAAGATGGTCCTTGTGTGCTCCATATCCATCTTACCGTGCCGTTATCAGCAAGCATCTATTATAATAATTTGTGGGAGCTTCGTCTCGATATGACAAGCTCGCCACAGAGAGCTGCGAGTTGATTCCTTCTGCAAAAAGCCCTCTGCTGGATAGTTTGGGCAAAAGCCCACTGACCTGATAACCACAGCAACTCCAGGGAAGGAAGGAGGTTGTGGCACAGAAGAGACGCCTCATTTTTTGTCTTGGATGTAGGATATGAGCTACGAAGACCCAGGTTCAAATCTCTGGAGCCGTTTGCTCTTGGTGCAAAAACAGCACAGTGAGGATTCTCTGACCTGAAATCACGTTTATGAGCAGCGAGGAGATGTTCAAAACAGTTCCGCAAGGCTTTATTTAGACTAGCATTTGTATCCTCCTCTTCAGCCAAAAAGGCTCCCAGAGTGGCTTGTTTACATGTCTGCTCAGAAGTAATGCCACTTAGTTCAATGATGCAGAAATATTAGTTGTGGACATACAGCTGCCATCTAAGACAGCTTTGGCTTCTAAATGATGAAGTATAAGATCTGAAAGTTATGAGTGCCATCCTTTGGAGTGGCTTCCAGGGTGGCTCCTATAAAAATCCAACAACAAAATATAATCCAAACCAAAAAAACTATTAATTTTTTTCATGTTCTTTTCTAAAATAAAAACAAGAGTGAGCTTTAACTCCACCTGTCCAATAAATCACTCTAGAAAATGGATCAGATTTTTAAAAATCGATTTAAATCTTCATTGACATGAACTATGGAATATCCTCTTTTGAAAAATAGGGAAAACCTTTGACTCCATCCCACTAGCCAGATGCTGTTAGCAGGATTTCTTGAAACACATGCAAACAAAAGAAAAATCCAACGTTGCATTCCTGTGCACTTAAAAATCTAGGCAGCAGGCAGATATTCAACAGGGGAAGCTTTCGTCCTTCCTGTTGCCCTCCGTCTGCCTAAAAAGCCTTTAAACAAAACCTTTTTTTTAGAACAATCACTGTTGCCCCCAAACCCATGATTGTCCCCCCTGATTTTTATGGTTGGCAAAATAAAAAGTTTGAACTGGCCCCGGAATCCAGCCCTCCGCCTCCCTCTACACGTTATAAGTCTATGGCGCCTTCCTCCTCAGCATCCCTTTCCTTCCTCACAAGCCTCCTCCACCTCTCGCCTCTATTCGCCGGGGCGTCTGTCAGTCAACGTCTTCAGCGCCTCCTTCCCGCTCGCTTCCCCTCCTCTCTTTAAGTCGCGCCCATTCTCACCTCCGGCTCGCCCCGCCCACTCGGCTCGGCACGAGCACCGATTGGCCACCGCTGGCTTATAACCCCCTCGCAGCTCCGCCCACTCCAGCCTCTGCTGCGCAGGCGCGCTCAGCCTCTCGCCGTCTTCTTCGCAGCGACTGAGGCGCTTCTCGCTGAGGCGGCGGCGGCGGCGGCAACCGAGCCGGGCAGAGGCTCTCCCGAGGCGCGGCGCCATGTTCCGGCGGAAGCTGTCAGCGCTTGACTACCACAACCCGGCCGGGTTCAACTGCCGAGGTGAGGCGGCTAGGCCCAAACTCTCGTCGGCGCCTTTCCTCTCCGTCGTGGCCGGCGGCTCGCCCCGCAGCGCGCATGCGTGCGCACGTGCTCCCCTTAGCGCCGCCCCGTGGCCGTCTTGGCCACGCCCCTTGGCGCCTTTGGTCTTCTTCCTCTCCCCCTGCCCCCATCCCAGCTCGGTTCACACGTTACTTTGACTCGCGTGTGCTGTGCTCAATTCACGCACATTAATAATATTTATTTATTTATTTATTTATAAATAAATAAATAAATAAATAAATAAATAAATAAATAATTTAATTTATTTATCCCCAGCCACTCTAACCCTAACCTATTAAACATTAAAAGCTTCCCTAAACAGGGCTGCCTTCAGATGTCTTCTAAAAGTTTGGTAGTTGTTGTTCTCTTTGACATCTGCTGGGAGGGCGTTTCACAGGGCGGGTGCCACTACCGAGAAGGCCCTCTACCTGGTTCCCTGTAACCTCACTTCTCGCAATGAGGGAACTACCAGAAGGCCCTCGGCGCTGGACCTCAGAACGATGGGGGTGGAGACGCTCCTTCAGGTATACTGGACCGAGGCCTTTTAAGGCTTTCAAGGTCAGCACCAACACTTTGAATTGTGCTCGGAAACATACTGGGAGCCAGTGCAGATCTCTCAGGACTGGTGTTATGTGGTCTTGGCGGCCGCTCCCAGTCACCAGTCTAGCTGCCGCATTCTGGATTAGTTGTAGTTTCCGGGTCACCTTCAAAGGTAGCCCCACGTAGAGCGCATTGCAGTAGTGCAAGCGGGAGATAACCAGAGCATGCAACACTCTGGCGAGACAGTCTGCGGGCAGGGAGGGTCTCATCCTGCATCCCAGATGGAGCTGGTAGACAGCTGCCCTGGACAATTATTATTATTATTAGTATGCACCTAATTTATTATTAATGTTGCAATACATACCGTATTTTTTGCACCATAACACTCACTTTTTTCCTCCTAGAAAGTAAGGGGAAATGTCTGTGTGTGTTATGGAGGGAATGCCTACGGGTGGCAGGGGGGATCTGCTGCAGTTGTGAGCAGAGGATCCATGGTTCCCCTTCCTTCCCTCCTCCGTGGCTCGCTTTGCTGTTTCAAAGCGGGAGAAGAGCCGCTGAGTGGGGAGGAGAGAGGGACAGAGAGCCTGCTTGCTTTAAAGGAGCAAAGCGGGAGAGGAGAGGAGCCTTCTCCCCTTATACCCCTGTTCTTCATTATTAGCAGCATCCTTCTCCACCCACCCCACGCGTGCTCCTTGTCCCTTGAGTGCTTTTCCTTCCCTCCCCACTTAAAACGTGGTTACAAAGCATGGATCCTCAGGATTTTTGCATTGGGCTACTCCAAACTCACTGTCAGATCACATGTCTGTGGCCACAGCATGAACCACAAAAATCATACATCCACTGTTTCATTTAGAATATTTTTTTTCTTGTTTTCCTCCTCTAAAAACTATGTGCGTGTTATGGTTGGGTGCGTGTTATACAGCGAAAAATACGGTATATTAAATCTTTACATATTGATACATATACGTTATAGTCGTAAATTCATATTTTCACATTTCATTATGCACTATCATTTATCCATTTCTTATTTCTTGCCCTGTGTCTTCCCTCCACCCGTGTGTGACTTCCTTGTTATTATTTTGTAACTTTATTATTGAGATTGTAATTTTGTATCTTAATAAATAAATATTCAATCTTATATATCTGCTTAGCTTAACTTAACTTCCCTGTGTGGTGCGCTCAGTGGTCAGTCGAGGGAAGTGCTCTGATACAGTTTATTGTTATTATTATTATTATTATTATTATTGCTATTGGATGGTGCATGCTATAATTATAGTATTGGAATGTGATTTTTTTGTATGTTGTTATATTTCCTGTTGTTTTGTTAGGTTATGAAATTGTTTCTGTGTTATTTTGCTATGATATGAAATTGTTTTTGTAGTGTTTGTTTGAAATGAATCTGTTTCTTTGTTGTAAGCCAATTTGAACATGTTTTTTGGGTGCAAAAGCTGCATACAAATAAAATGAATGAATGAAATGAAATACATTTTCTTTTAATGTGTTCAAGGGTCTTCTGGTACATCCTCTGTTAGTCTGCTTTGTTTTCTTTATGCAGTTCACCCTTCAGCCCAGGGCTTTCCAAACTGTGTGTCGCAACACGTTAAGTGTGTCAGCTGCTGTGCGTGGGGGTGTCACGCAAACGCTCCCTGCTTTCCTGGAAAGGGGTTAGTTTAACCTCCGGTTTGCTAATAAAACTAAATTACAAAATGATGCTTGTCTAAAAAGTGTGTCACCGACATGAAAAGTTTGGAAAGCTCTGTAGTGGCATAAATCCTTGGGTGGATTCAATGACTTGGGATAGACTTTGACATCACCAATGTGACTTTATTAATCTGTTATCACAGATGAAACTGAATTTCGAAACTTTATTGTTTGGCTTGAAGACCAGAAAATCAGACACTACAAAATTGAAGACAGAGGGAATCTGAGAAACATCCACAATGCTGCAGAATGGACAAAGTCCTTTGAAAAGGTAGTACTTCTTGAAACCTTAGTTGATGCTAACAGTTATTATTTCCGGTCTGGAAATGCTTATCAGTGTGATCTGTCAGTGGCAGCTCCTGCCCCAAGACCCTTTGCTGTGAACAATGTCACATGACCATGTTTGTGCTTCTGCATTCCTTTGCTTTCTTGCAGAGGCAAAATGCCCAATTCACCATTTCTTTGAGAACATAAACAGAGCTGTGCTGCATTAGGCAAAAGGGACCATCTAGACCAGGCTTTCTCAACCTGTGGGTTCCCATATGTTGAACTACAACTCCCATCACCCCTAGCTAGCAGGGCCAGAGCTCAGAGTTGATGGGAGTTGTAGTCCAACAACATCTGGGGACCCACAGGTTGAGAACCGCTGATCTAGACCATGGGAAGGCAAACTAAGGGCCGGGCCAATCGCCTTCTAAATCCGGCCCGTGGACAGTCTAGGCATCAGCGTGTTTTTTACATGAGTAGAATGTGTGCTTTTATTTAAAATGAATCTCTGGGTTATTTGTGGGGCATAGGAATTCGTTCATTCCACACACACACACCCCAAAAAATATAGTCCGGCCCCCCACAAGGTCTGAGGGTCAGTGGACCGGCCCCCTGCTGAAAAAGTTTGCTGACCCCTGAAGACAGCATCACTGTGGCCAGACAGGTACCCCAATTGGAAACCCAAAAGCAGGGCCCAAATGCAAGACCACCCTCCCCTCCAGCAGTTCCCAGCAGCTGATATTCAGAAGCATTTATTGCCTCTGACAACAGGTGTAGAACATACCCATCATGGCTTGTAGCCATTGAGAGCCTTTTCCTTTATCTGTGTTAGATTTATATCCCACCTTTCTTCCATGATGAAGTTCAAGGTGGCATAGATGAGGATCCCAAGTGATCACCCATTCTGGCATTGGCCAGGCGTGTTTAGCTGCAGACAAATTGTTGCAGGCCCAAGGCAAGGGTGTGGTTTGTGTATGCAGTTTGTGTGTTGGCCCTTACAAACAGATAAATGTTAGGTTTACCCAGGCGAGGAGGAGCAGCAGCAGCAGCAATTTTCTATTTCTGCCCCCCTCCTCAATTCCTTAGTGCTACCCTCCAAGTCAAGATGCCCATTGCCTGGGAAGCTGCTCTCCCAGACAAACCTGCAGTGTTTGTTAATTTCTTATGAATCATCGAAGGTTCTTAGCTCAATCTTCTTCTTATTTTTCACAGTACCTTAAAGATGTGAATTGTCCCTTCAACATCCAAGAGCGACAAGAAACAATTGACTGGCTTTTGGGACTGGCAGTCAGGCTTGAGTATGGGGACAACGGTATGTTTGACTTTTCACTCTCCCTTGTCTTCAAAGGCAGTATAGATCCCTTTCCTTTGCAGTTCTGTTTTTCAAGCTGAGCCAGAAAGAGGCCAGAAAGCACGTGCCAATTAACAATGTAATTTACTCTTAATTTGTGGCTGTAGTTTTTTAAGGTGCATAAAGGGAATACTCCTTTATTTCATTCCAAGGCTAGAGTCTTTAAAAGGGCAACACCTTGCCTCAGAGTGAGTGTCGTTGATCTCAATAAAATGTGCCTTAGGGAGAAAAGCCCAGGATTGTGCTGTAACTCTTCTGTTACGGCTTAAGCCTTATTTCTTACTTTCTCAGTTGCCCGAACAGTGTTGAATCTCGTGCCATTGCTGCAAGAGGTGTAGGGTGAAGGGAACTCACACAAGGCGACATTAAAAGATAAAGGAGTCTGAATGCGGAGAGACTTCACATGTCTATATCGCTTGGAAGTTAGCAGGATTCAGTCGCTAGGCATCAGCGAGGCCACGAAAGCTAGAGGCTCAAGCACACCCAAACTTTTCCAGTTCAGAATAAGTCTGTTGTGTAAGGCTGTAATCTTGAACAAATCAATTTGGAAGCCACCTGAGTTCTGTCATCATCAGTGGGACATTGGCTTGAGAGAAGTGGGCTTGAGAGTCCAGAGATTTTTGACTCATAGTTTTGCCCTTGATTATGCGCAAGCCTGAGTTTTCTATCACACTCAGTTACTGCATGTGACAGACACTCAGGATTGGGAGCCTGGCTCTCTGTCAAATAGCTGCAAGGGGGGAAACATGAACTCTTTCCCTGCCCCCAATAGCTTTTTCTCTGAAACCACCACCCCAGCTATTGCTGTTGGGGTTTTTTTAACCTGGCCAGCCCACGGAATCCAGGGTTTGCAAGGAACAGCAAAAGAGAGTAGAGGAAAGTTTTAAGGGCACATAAATTCCCTTTGTCTGCCTGCCAGTTCTCCACTTTGCCAGTTTGCAACTCTTTGCTGATACCCACATTGGGTTCTTTGCCAAATGTATAGTTTTGGCCTCACGTTTCCCTGCGTTTGGGCCGTGCTTCTCAGTTTCCTGCATTGTTCAGAAAATCTGTTGTTTTCTTTCCATGTTCAGCTGCTACTTAAGTGTCATCACTTTTATTAGCAATTGACAAGCTTCTGACGCGAAGGCTGCGGGCATCTTGGACAGCTGCTGCCGTTCTGTGCACAAGCTGTTCTCACGGAGAAGAATAGTTCAGTGCCTGTTTCCTTTGTTGGCCTGGGGCTGCTTCCTTTCATTTTTAGCTCATCCATAGTCCTCTAAAACCCCTTTGTCACTCACGGGCCAGAACGGCTTTTGTTTCAACAGCTGACAAGTATAAGGACTCCACGCCTGAGGGGGCGAAGAACGCAGACAATGCATCTAAAAATGCAGAACCCCTCATCAACCTGGATGGTGAGTGAAAAAGCCACTGTATTTCATGCCGTGAAACAGGAGAGTGTCTCCAGGGCCAAATTCCCTTGGGGGTTGGTAATCTTTCAGGACTTGCATGCAGGCAGTGGGTGGGGCCGAGGCCAGCGGTGGGAGGGGCCAGGGCCAAAAGTGGGCGGGACCATCCTTTCTCCCCACACACCTTCCCCAGGCTGCCAGGAAAGGGATAAATCGCTTTTACCAAAGGTCTGAACACCAGGAGATCCCCTCCCCGCCAATTCCTTCAATTGCTCCATCCATCTCCGCTTTCTTCCGGGCTTTCCCCACCTGCATGAAATTAGGCTAAGAGCCACAGGTTCCCCCCTCTTGCTGTAAAAGGTGGCACCTGGATTAAGCAATTCCAAAGAAAATTTCATGCTGTTATTATTTTCAAGGGGAATCAACTTGTGTGTGTGCGTGTGCTTTTCCACAGTAAACAACCCTGACTTTAAGGCTGGTGTGATGGCTTTGGCGAACCTCCTTCAGATCCAGCGTCATGATGACTATTTGGTGATGCTCAAGGTTAGCTCATTAGCAGCCTGTTCTTTCTTCATAAATACAAACTGCAGTAGATTAAAAGTGGTTTTTAAAATGGTTTGTACAAGCATGCTGACCACTCTCCTTCCCCCAAAAAAGATGCTAAACGTGTTAATTTTTTTATTTTAATTGGTAGCCTAGAATGAGTTTGGGGTGAGAGGTTTTGAAGAGGAAGGGGACTTGTAGGGCATATTGTCCAGCCTCTGTCCTTCACCCTTTACGAATCACTGACGCTTTCGAAAGTCCTCTCTTTAGCTACTCCTGCACACCTTTCAGTGGCAGGATAATTACTTATTCCAATTACCAACTGCATTTAAAGCTAGGAAACCATTCCTAATGTTGATCTTCACGCTACCATCCTGTCATTGAAAGGGGTGCTTAAACATATATTTTAAAAAACTTCCTGCCATAAGAGCAGTTCATCTAAGAGAGAGCTTCAGAAGTTTCCCAAGTAACTGACTCCCGAGTTGTGCATCTCAGGCCAGTGTGTGTTTACTCACAAGTAAGCCCTGCTAGCTTCATTCTGTGGGACTTACTCAGGAGTAAATGTGCTGTGGCCCGGCTCCTGCTTCAGGTAAATGTAGGTTTGCTGTGAGGTGGGTGGCCCTTGCATTGAGGCTCCTGGTCTCTGCCCTCGGGGAGACTCCAGCTTGACAATATTTTTGTCCCTTCTCGACAAGTCAGCCCCTTTTCCATAGTCAACGCTGAAATCCATGTGGTATTTAAAGGCATGTTTCAAGGTCCCTCCAAAGGTAAAGGCCCCCACAACTCCGAGCTCCCCCTGACCCAAAGCCAGACTTGGGTCAAAACATCCCTGCATAGGGGGGGTCTATCCAGCCCCCCGTCTCCAAGCCAAACTGGACTCCATCTCTCCAAATCTGACTTTTTCCAGGTTCATTCATCGAATCCAACAACTCATATTCCTGCTGGGCCACAGTTCCCTCCATCTCTGCCACCCGAGGTCCAGCAACAACCTCCTCCCTCATCTGATCTGTCAAAGCACATTCCTGGATTAATTCCTGAGTGGGTTCTATATAGGTACCCACTGCCTGTCCAAAATTTCCGATCGCAACAGTCATCAAATCCATCTTCGCATGTAACTGTTCCAATAAAGCACTTGTCTTGCAAAAGGCAAGCACCAGAGCCTCCGAGTACATTCTTGTTCAAGGTCGAAGTCTGGTCCCACAATCTATTGCAGCTGCAAAGCTCCCCAGTTCGGTTTTAATAACAGTTTCACAAGCTCCCTCTAGGGGAAACAATTTCTATTTGTATCCATCTTTTTTTTAATTTTTTTAAAGCAGATCTAGCAACAAAGTTTTCCTTTTTCAGATATTTTGTCAATATTTTGTTCCTTTTAAATGCGAAGGGAACAATGGAATCAATATGTTTCTCTTCTTTTAACTATCTGTCAAAAATGTTTGTCCATAGTCAATGAACTTCCCCAGAACGTCTGTCCTGACACCCCGCTCCCAGGTTCAAGACGGTGGAAAATTGCCTTTCTTTACTCTCTCTTCTGCAGGTTTAAACAGTCTAAAAAAGGTTCCCCCCTCTTCTCCTGCTTCCAAGGGGGGTTCAGTAATTTTAAATGATGAATATTTGATCCTTTACAGACGACTTTCTAAACTCTAGCTTGCCGTGTCTTTGCTTCAATCTATCTACAAAAGCGGAAGGCGGACTTCCTGTTTAGACCTTCCCGCTTCAGTCCCAAATTAAAAAAAAATTCTTAATCGAATTTTCCGTTCTACTCACGGGCAGTTGTTTAAAATCCAGTTGTCCACAGGAAAACGTCAGCGCTCTCCGGCAACAGCAATGCGGCTTCACTCCGTGAAAGAAGCAGTCGATTCAAAGCACCGCGCCACTCACCCCATGTTACTCCGGATCCCCGAAAACCGGGTTTCCCCGCAAGGTGCCAGCCGAATCCCATGTCCACAGGCTTCTCCCGCCTGTGGTTTTTAATGGGTCTCCGCCTCGCCGTGGCAGTTCAGACCCTGTTTTCCACGGAGCGGATTCCTCCCGATCGGAGGAAATCCGCCATTGCCAGAGGTGCCAACCCGGAAGTCCCATTTTTTCCACACTCTAAATCATCCCTCTGCAAACTGGTTTTCCCTCTGTAGGTTCTGGGTACACGTGGAAATACAGCAGGTGGGGAAATGTACATCGCCTCTTGGTCACTCACAGTCACCTCAACCATGAACAAATGCTGTCGTCGGGATTTTTTAAAATGCACGTTTACTGTTTGTGACATCTTGTTTGGCCTGAGAGGCAGCAGCTTAAGGGGCAAGAGCTTTTGTGCCTGAAAAATCTCACCCGTTATTTCCTCACTCCCACCTCTGCTCCCAGGAGCTACTGCAGAATCAAATATGGCCAAGTGGAGGAAAAGGAAAGGGAGTGTATTCAAATACTAGGGTCAGTTGAAACAAAACTTGGCCACCTCTTAGGAAGGCACAATCTTCGAAGACAGCGCTGACTTTTTTTGGTGTAAGTTCTTCACAGTAAGGATCTCCCTCGCCCCTTCCAGTTTAGGCACCATATGCCCTGATCTCATTGCATCATTTGCCACCGTATGTCATGCTGGCTTCTGTAAGCTCTTCCAGATCATCCTGGGCCAGAGGGATCCCCCAGCACTTACATGGGCTTTCGCCTTCTTTTTCCTTCCCAGGCAATTCGCATCTTGGTTCAGGAGCGTTTGAGTCAGGAGGCTGTTGCCAAGGCAAATCAGTCCAAAGAGGTATGTCTAACTCTCTGTCTCTGTACAGCCGGTGAACCCTTTGCCTCAATTACGGCCACTTTCAATGGCTTGAAAGCCCTCTACGTTAATAAAGCTGGCAGGGTCTGAAACCAGCAACAGCCCAGGCGATCCTGCGCAGAAAGGATGCAGAGAGAAGGCCGCCTTTCAGAAGTAGCCACATTACATGACAGTTACCTTAAATGAAAAGCACCTCTTTTCAGAGAGGTGCCTTCTACACCTCTAAACATAGTAAAGGTAAAGGGGCCCCTGACCATTAGGTCCAGTCGTGGCCAACTCTGGGGTTGCAGCGCTCATCTCGCTTTATTGGCCGAGGGAGCCGGCGTACAGCTTCCGGGTCATGTGGCCAGCATGACTAAGCCGCTTCTGGCAAACCAGAGCAGCGCACGGAAACGCCGTTTACCTTCCCGCCGGAGTGGTACATATTTATCTACTTGCACTTTTGATGTGCTTTCGAACTGCTAGGTTGGCAGGAGCAGGGACTGAGCAACAGGAGCTCACCCCTCACGGGGATTTGAACTGCCAACCTTCTGATTGGCAAGTCCTAGGCTCTGTGGTTTAACCCACAGTGCCACCCGCGTCCACACCTATACATAGTTGGTGTGAATGAGCTAAAAGCACTCAGAAACTCCTGTGGCACAAGCTGCTTTTAGCAGCTCATGGATTTGCATAGGAGTGCCATGGGCACAGCCCCTCTCCAGAGCTGTGGAGCTAAATAAATGCCGTATTTTTCCGTGTATAAGACTAGGTTTCCCTCCCTAAAAAATAATGTCAAAAATTAGGGGGCGTCTTATACTCTGGGCCATCTCCCCCCATTTTCTTAAATCTGAGTCACCCAAAATAGGGAGCATCTTATACACGGCGTCTTACAGATGGGGAAATATGGTAGTTCTGTAATTGAACAAAAGGATTGCTGGAATTAATGCATCCATGAAAATAGTCAGACCAGGGGCGCAGCAGGCAGCCCACAGCGGAGTGCATTCAGAGAGGGAAGAGTCACACTGTGTTCTGCTGTTTTAACATCTCTTACTGAGATCAGCCGCTGGCAGAGTAGGTGGAGGTCAGCTGATAAAATTCTTCCTAGGCAACTCAGTGGCTGCTGAGCAGCTGGCTGCGCTCAGAGACCACATTGCCGATTAATCTCGCTTGACAGGTTCCCTCGTGGCAACTTGCCCTGTGCGAGAATAATGCCAGAGCCCTTCTCTTGTCTCCTGCCTGAGACCACCAGACCCATGATCCTTGGGCGGTAGCAGCGAAGGCTATGAGCCCGATGCAGTAGATTAGCTGGAAATTAGCTGATAAAGGGGAACCGGTTTTAATTGGGGAAGATGTTGGGTTTTTTGCTTCTTGCTGTGAAATCGCACGTGGCACTTGTAACAAGTAGGGGTACGTACGTGTGGTGTTTTGACTTGCAAGTCCTCTCTAGCTTCCGTATCTTAAAAGCTGCGGGGGAAATCACAAATCACCTCTCAGCTCCAGCTTGCAGACTTCCAAAAGGCATCTGTGAGAATAGGCCATTGGAAGCAGAAGTGAGGAAATGCTGGTCATCAAAGTAGCTAGCAACTGGAGCGTCTTATTTTAGGATTTGCAGGACTTGAGTTGAGTAAATGGAATCAACAGCACTGATGACTTGGATAGATTCGGTTGTTGAAGAGAAGGCATAACACTTTTCTCCCTTTTCTTTCCCCAAGGGCTTGCCTGTCACCTTGGACAAGCACATTCTTGGCTTTGACACAGGAGGTAAGAGAGTGCGCTTCAATAGAGCAAATGTTCTTGGGGCGGGGGTTTCTGTGCACATCCTTTGAAGAGACCATGGTTTGCATGCTTGGCAAGTTTGGATGCATGATCATCATGTTGTGTGTAAGATTGTCACAAAGCATGTCGCACTTTCCTCTTGCCCTGCTGCGAACAGGATTTGTATTTTAATCAGTGTCCTGCTGTTACCAAGAACTGTTAGGGAGCATTGAGTCGCCAGCCTCCTCTCATCCTTACATACTTGGGAGAAGATACTCTCTCCGTGAGAGTAACTTACTAAAACTATTTCAATTAAATTAGTGGAGAGAACGCTTCAAGGAGGGCGTAATCCGTAGTCCTGGGTCAGGGCTAGCCCTCCTTTGGAGGCACAGAACACCTGGGAAAAGGGTAGTTTATGGGGGAAATAGGAACCCAAGGGAACGGGAGCATATTTCCTGTTTCTTTTCCCCCCATCCTGCCCAAGGCAGGGCAAGTTGAAGACCTCTCTAATCAGTGTTGGATTTGTGATGGCATCTCGCCCCGATTTAGGGAGAAGGGAGCCCAGGAAGAGCTAGTTCCAGAAAGGAGTGAGTGTGATGCCCTTCTCTCTCCCGCTTTTAAAGCCAGTGTTGGATCAGTGCCCCTCCCAGCTCCTCAAATGCATGGGAACCATGTAAGGAGATGCCACTGTGTTCACCTGCAACTGGTGGAGAAACACCGACCTAGAGAGGCGTGTTCACAAGCCAGAGTTCAGCCCCTGAGATTTTACTCGCCTTCCTGGTATGGGATGCTGCACTGGCGCTCTGCCCGTCTTTTGGGAGCTGGGCACCAGGGGATATGGGGCCTTTGCTAGCCAAAGAAGCCCTGCAGTCCATCCAGGTGTGTCTTTCCATTATCACCCAGCCTCAAGCTGGCAACCCAGCCAGATGGGCAGGGAATAAATATTTAAACTATTATTATTATCCTTGCTTTAGTTCACTCTGGTGCTCTGTGGCAGTGCTACAATTTGTGGACATCCAGTTTAGCATGGAAGGGTACTTCTTCACACAGCGCTAAATAAATTATGGAAGAGGTAGAGATGGCCAAAGTTGGAGGACTTTAAAAGAATAAGGCTGTCAATGGTTGGGTTCCCTCTACTGTCGGAGGCACCATTCCTCTGAATAGGGAGGTTTTTAATGTCTGATGTTTTATCACTCTTTTATTATTATCATTCTGTTGGGAGCTGCCCAGAGTGGCTGGGGAAACCCAGCCAGATGGGCGGGGTCTATATAATAAATTATGATGATGAATATCAGTGGCTGGGAATAACAGTGGGGAGAGCATTATTGCACTCACGTCCTGCTTGCGAGCTTCCCATTGGGGCACCTGCTTGGCCACTGTGAGAACAGGATTCGGCCCTAGACTGGCCTTTGGCTAGATCCAGAAGCAAAGCTCTTCTTAATGTCGTTGTCTGTAAGGCTCTCCCATATCGGTCTTTACAGCCACAGCAAGTTCTGTAACCTTCCCGCAGTTTGCCTTCACCCCCAAAGGTGCCGTCCTCCATTGTCTCCCGAGAGAGACGGATGCAAGGGTTGCTTCAGCTGCTCTTGGCCTGAGGCATCATCAAGCCCCCTTGTCTTGTAGAAGAAAGAAAGTTAGTTTCAGGGCAGCTGACTGAGCTTAAGCACTTAGGGCTCGGCTCCAAAAGTAATGGCGAACTAAAGCTTGATCAGCCCTTTCCTTTTCCTCTTCCCTTCTGCCCCAGATGCCGTTCTCAACGAGGCCGCCCAGATCCTCCGCCTACTGCATATAGAAGAGCTCCGCGAGCTGCAGACGAAGATCAACGAAGCCATCGTAGCGGTCCAGGCGATTATTGCCGATCCAAAAACTGACCACAGACTGGGCAAGGTGGGGAGATGAGCAAGCAGGCAGGTTCCTGGCTCCCCAGCTGCTGCTGCTGCTGCTGCTGCTGCTGCTGCTGCTGGCCTCGCCCTTCGGGGAACTCCTCCAAGCTGAACCTCGCATGCAGTTGAGAAAAAAAGGATACGGCTGCCGTGTTTGGAAAGAAAACAAGGGCAGCTGCCAGCACATCCGCTCCATATCATTTTTTTCTTTACGTGAATAAAAGCTTGGATTAAACCGATCCAAACCGTCATCCTTTAGTGCGAGGCTGCCAAGGACAACAGGAGCTGCCGCAGTCCCTCCACTTTGAGGGAGTGTGCTCAGAGAGCGTATTGCATGGGATAAGTGATGCTCTGAATTTCCAGGGCCTCCACCTCAAATGTGGAGTGTTCCTTTTACACACACCCCCTCTGCATTTCATTGTGCTGAGAGCGGGAGAAGTTCCCGGTAGTCGTGTCAAAAACAAAAAGCCTTGAAACTGCCCAGGAAAATTTAGAAAATTTATTATTTTTATTATTATTAAATTCATGGAGTAGCCTAGAAAAGACCAGAAGTTTCAGTCAGGTGTTGGCACATACACCTCACTCGCGCAGAGCCCTGGGGGGGTGGGGAGGGTAGATTTGAGCCAGTTCATTCTAGCATATTCTCATATAAATACTAAAAACAGTCAGAAGAGGCGAGAGGTGGACGTGGGCATTGGATTTTGCAAAATACCCTTTGCATGGCTCTTAAACTACTTCCACCTTTCTCGTACAACCAGAGCTCTTTAAAAAACCAACATGGACTTCTTAAGGCACTTTTGCAGAAGCCATTCCCGTACATACAGATAGAGTCCCTATACAGATTGCTGCCACGCCACCCGTTTAAAAGCAGAGAGTCTCTTGTGTTTTCTAATAAAATAACAATAGAGTAAGGATAAATGTATATGTTCATAATTATTATTTTTTTACAAAGTTGCTCCCATCAGCAAAAGGGTATAGCACCATTTCATCTTGGCAATACATAAAAAAAATGTTTTCAGTTAAAAAAAATACAGTAGTAAAAAGATTTGAGGTATAACTTAAAAAATACTGGATAATTTTGCTCTAAGTTAAACCGCTTAATTCCCTTCAGTACATATTGCTGGTTGTCTTCATGTAGTTGGGAGAGGGGTCTTTTGCACTCTGTACAATAATATCTTCTCAGTGGGAGTCTCCTTCCAGCTGCCTCTCCCCCCCCCCCCCCGGTCATTTCTTCTGCCCCAAGTACCAGTAGCTTATTTTCTTCCTGCAAAAAGAGAAGCAGCAAGGGTTAACTTGAAGGAAGACAATTCTTAAGGTAAAGAAGATGCAAACTCCTTCCTGTCCCTCCCAGCTGTGTGTGTGTGTGTGTGTGTGTGTGTGTGTGTGTGTGTGTGTGTAGTTCATAGGTGGTGATATGCCTCTCTGATGGCCAAAAAACCATTTTTTCTCTGCCGAATAAAAGATATAAGTTGACGCACTTCTGAGGAGGCCAAAATGTTCTGCGAAAAACATCCTACCCTTGCAAGGTTTTTATAACTTGTTGCAAGGCCCCAGTTTTGGCACCGTTTAGTTTTTAGCTGGATCTTCCTTTTCACTCACTGCCCAGTCAGGAATCCTATCGATGTGCTGAGTTCACAGCACATTTCTGCTAGGAATCCCACAGTGCAGATCTGATAGGAATTAATCAGATGTAGAGGACGCGGGTGGCGCTGTGGGTTAAACCACAGAGCCTAGGACTGCCAATCAGAAGGTCAGCGGTTCAGATCCCCGCGACGGGGTGAGCTCCCGTTGCTCAGTCCCTGCTCCTGCCAACCTAGCAGTTTGAAAGCACGTCAAAGTGCAAGTAGATAAATAGGTACTGCTCCGGCGGGAAGGTAAACGGCGTTTCCATGCGCTGCTCTGGTTCGCCAGAAGCAGCTTAGTCATGCTGGCCACATGACCCGGAAGCTGTAGGCCGGCTCCCTCGGCCAGTAAAGCGAGATGAGCGCCGCAACCCCAGAGTCAGTCACCACTGGACCTAATGATCAGGGGTCCCTTTACCTTTTTAGAGGTAAATTGCCCTCAGTCCTGGCTGTTTCCTGTTCTACTGCACTGTGATGTCAGCAGCAAGAACAGTTTTGCAACAGCCCTGAGAAAAATCACTAAAAAGAAGAATTTTCCCAGGGAGCAGAAAATGCTTGTGGTTAAGCAACATACATTTCTGGCAAAACCCCAGATCTTACCTCCTGGGCAGTATGGGTGAACGGCTGTTATTCCATAGAGATGTGTTCGCTGTTCTGGAAGATATTCACCTGTAAAAGCACCACTGTCTTTGTTCACAGCTATGACGCCATCCCTGAGCAGAAAATTGGGGAGGGAAAATGGTTTTCATCCAGGGCAACATCATTCCTTCAAGAGCAGTGGCTAGATTAAGAGGCATAATGATGAAAAATGACCCCAGCTAATGCAAGACTCTTTTAAAGTGTTGTGAGTGGTCAGAGTTAAGTCTGACCCCCTCAACTGGCCCAGGTTCCCCAAACACCAGCGGGTGAGCCATTTTTTGAGGCCTGATTCTACAGTTCTTCCCAAGACACTTTTCCTGTGCAATGCAGGAGATGACAAACTCTCCCGTGTAGTGACTTTTTCACATCCGGAATGGTTGGGCCAAGTGTGTGGATACCTTCATAGTGCGAGAAGAACATCAACCCAAACTTGCAGGTCACTTAAGGTGGAATCAGCTTTATGTTGAAAAAGGCTTTTCTCCCAGCCTTTGGGACCTACCTTCTCCAGTCCGTGTGGTAGAAGTGATTGGCGTAGCTCACGATGCTGAAGGGATAGTTGAGGTGGTTCTGGATGACGCGACGCCCCGTCCCGTTAGGCAGTGCGCATTCCAGCTTCTTGGTTCCTTTTTCCAAACCAAAAAGAGGGAGAGTTAAATTGGGGGCATTCTCTTCCTTGCTCAGGTCCATAATTGCAAATACCGTATTAGCCTGAATATAAGCCGCACTTTTTTCGAAATGTAAAAAGTGAAAGTGCGGCTTATATTCGCGACCTTACAGTATGCAGCCAGGAGCGTGGCAAACCGGCGCCCGCCCTGCGCGTAGCCCCCTGTCCTCTTCCCCCAAGGCTGGGAAGGGAGAGAGCGAGGAAGGGGAAACACGCACCACGTCTCCCCCCCCCCCCGCCACCAGTATGCAGCCAGGAGCAGCGAGGAATGAAGTGGCTTGTATTCGGGTATTTTGTCTTTTCCCCCACCTCCAATTTTAAAGCTGCAGCTTATATTTGGGTGCGGCTTATATTCGGGCCAATACGGTAGATGATTTGGGTTGCAGAATTGGGCTGACCTTAAGTGAAGGACTGACTTGGGCATCCCTTTTTTGGGGGGGGCACATTGTGAGTGGAGCATTAGCCTAAAAAGACGGACTGTGGGCAGGAAGCGCCAGAATGCTTATGGGAAAGGGAGGGAGGTGTCTTTAGTTAGGTGATCTGTAACAGGAGACAAGCGTTCCTGAAATATCATTTTCCTAATGCCTGCACATCACCTTTGTGTGTCCCAGGTTATGGTCTGAAGCAGGCTTCCTCAACCTCAGCCCTCCAGATGTTTTTGGCCTACAACTCCCATGATCCCTAGCTAGCAGGACCAGTGGTCAGGGCTGCTGGGAATTGTAGTCTCAAAACATCTGGAGGGCCGAGGTTGAGGAAAGCTGGTCTGAAGGTTCACAAAGCCACCACCTTGCTGAGCTAAGCAGCTCCAGGTCTGGTCAATGTTTTGAGTGGGTTAGCGCCTGGACGCAATCTGGCTTCCATAATGGAGGGAAATGGGGTATAAATGCAAGGGAATAAAATAAATAAAATACGCCGCACAGTCAGATCCTTTCTGGTTTTTAAGAGCACACTCTCAACCTTTATAGTCAAGGTTTATACACACAGGTTTCAAGGAAATAAATGAGGTTCTGTATGCAGGCAACCCAATTATGTTAACATAAAGTGCAGCCCTGAATGTGGTAGATCTTGACTGCTGGGTCCTTAAAAGCCCGATTGTGATTCCTGACCCCCTCCATTTCTCTCCGTGAAATGCCCCTTACCTGCATCTGCCCAGCAAATCAGTTTGGAGAAGGGGTCGAAGGTCAAGCCATTGGGCAGCCCAATGTCTTGGTTGACCAAAATCCGCCTGTGTTCCCCAGTCACAGTGGACGTCTCGATTTTGGGCGCTTCGCGGTTCCAGTCCGTCCAGTACAGATTCCTGGAGGGAGATGCCAAGAGCAACTACGGTTGGCTGCGCATCAAAGTGGTTACACAAACAAAGTGAGACCCGAGATTCGTGTGCTGGCTACTCCCATTATTTCGGGAAGTTCCTTCATCACCTCTTCCCAGGTAGGGGTCAACAGCTGTCATGGACATGAAACAGGCACACACATACCAGAACCAAACCTACACTGTAATTATTTTATTGGCTTCAACTGAAAAGCTTCTTCCACAAATTACAATGAAGTTTCCTGCATTGCAGGGGGGTTGGGCTGAATGACCTCTGGCGGTCCCTTCCAACTCTGTTTCTATGACTCTGTGAGTGCCTGGGAAAGCTTCTGTGAGCACCTCTTGCACTTGAGGAATTCCTGAGATCTGCACCACTGGCTGACTCCCTTTGAGTTTTTGGAAAGAAGGCAAAAATGCTTTTTGTTGTTGTGTTACCAAACCTCTGGGGATTAATACCTGCTGGTTAGAGTGCTGGTCTTGGCATCTGACTTCTGTTTTGCTTTTTTACAGTTGTAACAGAAAAAGGGGGGAAACAAATAACGACGGGGACATTTTTTTAAAGGTTAAAAAAAGATAATAGACCATGGGACGGTTAAGTCCAGTCAAAGGCAACTGTGGGGTTGCGGTGCTCATCTCGCTTTTCAGGCCGAGAGAGCCGGCGTTTTCCACAGACAGCTTTCCAGGTCATGTGGCCAGCAGGACTAAACCACTTCTGGTGCAACAGAACACCGTGACAGAAAGCAGAGCGCATGGAAACGCCGTTTACCTTCCCACCACAGCGGTACCTATTCATCTACTTGCACTGGTGTGCTTTCAAACTGGCAGGAGCTGGGACAGAGCAACGGGAGTTCAGTGGGTGGTGCTGTGGTCTAAACCACCGAGCCTCTTGGGCTTGCTGATGAGAAAGTGGGCGGTTCGAATCTTGCTAATATAAGCAGTCTGAATAGGCATCAGAGTGAAACTGACAGTGCTGGTGAGCTGCTATAGCTAAGGGACCAAACACTGAAAAGCCCCCTGGCTGGATCTCTCCTCTGCCTGTAGCCTCGGCTCTCCAATTGCAAGTAAGATGGGGATAATGACAATACAGTGGTGTCCCGCAAGACGAATGCCTCGCAAGACGGAAAACCCGCTAGACGAAAGGGTTTTCCGTTTTGGAGGTGCTTTGCAAAACGAATTTCCTATGGGCTTGCTTCGCAAGACGAAAATGTCTTGCGAGTTCCTGCGGGGTTTTTTCCTCCCCCCCCTTTTTCCCAAGCCGCTAAGCCGCTTAACAGCTGATCCGTTAAGCCACTAAGCCGCTTATCAGCTGATCCGCTAAGCCCGCTAAGCCGCTAATAGCGCTAATCCCCTAAACCGCTAATGGGCTTGCTTCGCAAGACGAAAAAACTGCAAGACGAAGAGACTCGCGGAACGGATTCTTTTCATCTTGCGAGGCACCACTGTACTGGTCTACCCTACAGGGTTGTTGAACGGGTAACAAAATAATGAGATTGCACTTCAAAATTATTACCTGTACAACCCTGTGCATGTCTGCTCAGTGATGATGTGGCACAATGGGCCAATGTGTCTGGCTGTTACCCAGAAGTCATTCAAACCCACCCAGGGGCAGCTGTGGCCAGGATTCCTGCATTGCAGCGGGTTGGACTAGACTGGAGATCCCTTCCAACTCTATGATTCTATGATAGAGGGGTTGCTCCATCCCCTTGTTCATTTTGCCCTTTTATTTTTCCCATTGTTTTTTAAATTGAAGATGTACTGTATTTTTCCTTGTATAAGATGCTCCCATGTATAAGACGGCCCATATTTTTTTTAACCCCAAATTTAGAAATTAAGTTGTTTAGCTTTTTGGAGTGGGTGGGGGAGGTCACTTCCGCCAGTCGCTCACCCGCCTGCCCACCACTGCCTATCACACACCTCGCCGCAGCTGCCAATCGTCTGCCCGCTTGCCACCACCAATAGCCCACCTGCCCACTTGCCGCAGCTGCCAGTTGCCTGCCCGCCTCGCCACAGCCAGTTGCCAGCAGGCCTTGCCACAGCCACCAATCACCCGTCCAATCGCCACTGCCAATCTCCTGCTTGCTACTGCCATTCATCGCACGTCCCCCCTCTGCATTCACTATCTGTGTATAAGGTAAAAGGTAAAGGGACCCCTGACCATTAGGTCCAGTCGCGGACGACTCTGGGGTTGCAGCGCTCATCTCACTTTACTGGCCAAGGGAGCCTGCATACAGCTTCCGGGTCATGTGGCCAGCATGACTAAGCCGCTTCTGGCGAACCAGAGCAGCGCATGGAAACGCTGTTTACCTTCCTGCCAGAGTGGTACCTATTTATCTACTTGCACAGGTGTGCTTTCAAACTGCTAGGTTGGCAGGAGCTGGGACCGAGCAATGGGAGCTCACCCCGTCACGGGGATTCGAACCGCCGACCTTCTGATTGGCAAGTCCTAGGCTATGTGGTTTAGACCACAGCGCCACCCGCGTCCCTATCCGTGTATAAGACGACACCCAATTTTTGCCTTTTTTTTTTTGCAAAAAGCATCGTCCTATACACGGAAAAATATGGTAAGTTCAGCGTGGTTACTCTCAAATAAGTAGGTATAAGATTGCAGCCTAAAACCCGCACAAACCCTGGTTCATTTGCGTTGTTTTGCAATCGATGCAAAAACGGCAGAAGGAGATGCTCTTCAGACTGTGTCATTGTCACAAAACGACTTCAGAAATTTCCCTTCTGCTTCTCTGTGGGGCCTGCCACTCACCCGTGAATGGGATCCACCGTGATGGCACGAGGGTTGACGAGGTCTGTGGCGAAGAGGACGCGGCGCTCTGTGCCGTCCAGCCGGGCACTCTCAATTTTGTCCAAGCCGCTGTCTGTCCAAAACATGGTCCTTCGGAGGTGGTCGATGGCGAGGCCTTCTGGACTCATCAGCCCTGCGGGATGAGAAGTCCAGAAAAGACTTTGATGGAGGCTCAAGGATTCATTGACCTCAAGGTTTTAAGAAAGGGGTACAGCCTGCATGTTCATCATGCCACTTCCAGGTTTCTGGGAAGTGAGAAAACCTATAAAAACCATTATGCACAAGAGCAGTTTGCACAATCCAATAAGGAATTGCGCAATGCAATTCAAAACAGTCACAATTAGAAGAGTTTGGATTTGATATCCCGCTTTATCACTACCCGAATGAGTCTCATAGCAGCTAACAATCTCCTTTCCCTTCCTGCCCCACAACAAACACTCTGAGGTGAGTGGGGCTGAGAGACTTCAGAGAAGTGTGACTGGCCCAAGGTCACCCAGCAGCTGCATGTAGAGGAGCGAGGAAGCGAACCCAGTTCACCAGATTATGATTAATTGCACATTTATTCAACATCCAGTTAAGACTGTTTAGCTTAGCTAATTCAACAAAACTAATGATCCAGCCTTACCAGATTTCCGAAGCCCGATAGTCTGGCACACCTCAAAGTCCTCCCTGCCTCTTGGTGCCCCTCAATGAACATTTCAGAAATGCAGCCTGGCATTTACAAAGCACACCTTCAACTGCTGCAAAATACCTATTCTGCCCAACCCACCCACCTGCCCTGGGCATTGCATGTGATAGGTGCGTCCTGCACTTATCCTGCTTCCTCCAGAACAATCCCTGGAGATTTGCAGACTCCTTCGGAGCAAAAATCTGCCAAGTTTCCCTTTTAGGGGAAGTTTCCTGACTTTGCAAATATGAGCAGGGGTGGGGGCAGTATTTCACAACCTCCAACGTGGACTAGGAACCCAGAGGAAGCGAGCCACATACCCGATTCCAGTTTGTCTTTCATGGCAGGAGTTTCGAAAAGTCAAATGAAAAAAGGAACACTCATAAGGTAAAACTACATTTCCATTCAAGTTATCAGTAGCAACAGCAATATAATTTAATTTTTTTAAAAAAAATCTATTTAAATCACTTTATATTAAATTTTCCACGACGTACTGCTTAAAAAGGGTGGTGCTGTGGTCTAAACCAAAGAGCCTAGGACTTGCAGATCAGAAGGTCGGCGGTTCGAATCCCTGCGACGGGATGAGCTCCCGTTGCTCGGTCCCTGCTCCTGCCAACCTAGCAGTTCGAAAGCACGTCAAAGTGCAAGTAGATAAATAGGTACCGCTCCAGCGGGAAGGTAAATGGCATTTCCGTGCGCTGCTCTGGTTCGCCAGAAGCGGCTTAGTCATGCTGGCCACATGACCCGGAAGCTGTACGCCAGCTCCCTCGGCCAATAAAGCAAGATGAGCGCCGCAACCCCAGAGTCGGTCACGACTGGACCTAATGGTCAGGGGTCCCTTTACCTTTACCTTATTGCTTAAAGAACAAGAAATTTTCACATACCCGATTGGATAATCGTCTCTGGTTCTGCCCCTTGTTCCAGACTCGCCCGGCTTATGGTCCTTCCAGCAACATCCGTCCAGTACATCATCTTCTCCCTGCAGTCATAGTCAATCCCCACCACGATGGAACCCTAGAGGGGACATATACACACAGAGGAACAGCCAGACATTGAGGCAAGGCTATTATCAGCTTCCAAGAAATCCAAGAAATCCGGTCGCTATTTCCTGCTTCTGGCACTTACAAGGAACCACCTGCTTGCTAGATGAGTTGTCAATAACTGACTGCACTGGTTTAATTTAGCAGCCAATGCGAAAAACACTGAATATGAACACTCTTCAGAAACTGGGTTTTGCCCCTCAAGTCCTTCTAAGTCTGGGCTTGGGCCAAGCAAAAGCATTAGTTAGGCAAAGAATTATAGACACCGAGCGACAACAGGGCTGCTTAAGGCGCCCTGACTACAAAATTGTAGAAATCGAGAGAGATATAGTTGCACCAGCAGCATCTCTCTTTTTTCTTGTATCCAAAAATGCAAGAAGGGCTTTCACACTTGCCAGAAGCTCGGCTCTGCCCTCGCCGGTCTTGGAAGGATCCTTTAAAAAAGTCCCATATGACCAGAGAATTTGCGCCTGTCCATTGGGGGATATAGGAAGCCCTGAACACATATTTTTTAGATGTCCCTTTGTAGAGAAACCATTGACCCCCTGCCGGTGAGGCTTGCTGACCTCCCAGTAAGGCAAAAATTTGATCTTCTCCTGTTAGGCAAAGACCACAAGACGACCCGGATTGTCGCCAGATTCTGCGCACAGATCTGTAGGCGCAGACCACCCCCCGATTCATTCTAGTTTGTTAAGAAAATTCCCAAACCCGGATCCATGGGCGACGTTGGATCATTTCTCTAAGGTAGTCTATTTTAAAGTTTTTATGTGTTTATATGCCTATTGCACTTTTAAAAATCCATTGTTGTATATTGTTTTAAATGTTTGTTTTGCTATTGGGATTGTAGTTCCATTTGTGTTCCTCAAGCTGGTCTCTGACCGTAATAAATTTCATGTACCCTGAATATGCATTTCAACTGGGCATTCAACAGATTCAGGTGTTTGCCTCAGACATAAGAAGAGGCTGCTGGATCAGGCCAGTAGCCCACCTAGTCCAGCCTTTTGGAAACCAACACGCAGGACCTGAGTACAAGAGCCTCCTGTGGATTCCAGCAACGGGGATTCAGAATCATCTCTGCCTCCAACTGCAGAGGAAGAGCAGAGGGCTAGTAGCCGTGATAGTCCTCTCCCCCATGAATTTGCCTTGTGGGAGGGAGTTCCACAGTTTAACTCTGCGCTATGTGAAGGATGACTTCCTTTTATCTGAATAATAATAATAATAATAATAATAATAATAATAATAATAATACAGTGGTACCTCAGATTACAGACTCCGCTAACCCAGAAATATTACCCCAGGTTAAGAACTTTGCTTCAGGATGAGAACAGAAATTGTGCTCTGGCGGCGCAGTGGCAGTGGGAGGCCCCATTAACTAAAGTGGTACTTCAGGTTAAGAACAGTTTCAGGTTAAGAACTGACCTCAGGAACAAATTAAGTACTTAACCCAAGGTACCACTGTAATAATAATAATTTATTATTTATACCCCGCCCATCTGGCTGGGTTTCCCCAGCCACTCTGGGTGGCTTCCTACAAAGTATTAAAATACAGTAGTCTGTTAAACATTAAAAGCTTCCCTAAACAGGGCTGCCTTCAGATGTCTTCTATAAATCTGGTAGTTGTTTTTCTCTTTGACATCTGGTGGGAGGGTGCTCCACAGGGCGGGCGCCACTACCGAGAAGGCCCTCTTCCTGGTTCCCTGTAACTTGGCTTCTCGCAGGGAGGGAACCACCAGAAGGCCCTCAGCGCTGGACCTCAGTGTCTGGGCAGAACAATGGGGGTGGAGACGCTCCTTCAGGTCTACTGGACCGAGGCCGTTTAGGGCTGTAGAGGTCAGCACCAACACTTTGAACTGTGCTCGGAAACGTACTGGGAGCCAATGTAGGTCTTTCAAGACAGGTGTTATGTGGTCTCGGCGGCCGCTCCCAGTCACCAGTCTAGCTGCCGCGTTCTGGATTAGTTGCAGTTTCCGAGTCACCTTCAAAGGTAGCCCCACGTAGAGCGCATGGCAGTAGTCCAAGCGGGAGATAACCAGAGCATGCACCTACATTCTTCCTACATTCAGCTTCATTACATGTCTACAAGTTCTCGCATTATGAGAGATGGGGGGGGGGCCTTTTCTCTATCCACCTTCGTGCATGATTTTATGAACTTTGGCCCAAAGCTTCTGAATGTCACTAATGCACGATAAATGCAAATCGGGACGCTGGATTAGAAATGCACTAATAGCCTGTGTCTGTCCGCTCCCTGCTGTGTTTTGTTTGTTTGGGGGCAGGGGGGAGCACCCTGGAAAGAGCCCTGCCACAGGATCAGGCCAGTGACTCTTCTAATCCAGCGTCCCGATCCCACAGTGCCCAACCAGATGCCCCAATCATAGCTGTCAACTTTTCCCTTTTCTCGTGAGGAATCCTATTCAGAATAAGGGAATTTCCCTTTAAAAAAGGGGAAATGTCGACAGCTATGGCCCCAATGGAGCACTTTGGGTATCCTTTCTCAGGCGCCAAAATGTCCTGGCTCGGCCCTGCAAATAACTCCAAAAATATCAGCACCTTTTACCATTCAATTCCGTGTATTCTGTCCTCCCTCAACACACACATACACAGTTTCTTTGTTAACTTTCTGTTTGAGAGCAAGAAAAGTGTTTCAATGAGTCCACGATCTCCAGAGAGCTGCATCTTCGGGAAAAACTTTTGCTCAACTGGTGATATTCTTCCCTGCGGAAACGCTGGAGGTCCTGCTCTCTCTCTCTCTGCCTGTTTTAATTTTCTGTGAATTTGCTCGATTCCCCACTGGGCTGGGGTTTTGTTTTATTTCACGTTTTAAGTGCTCTCTCTCTGACCATGAAGAGGTGGTCTGGAGGACAGCGGCCTTTCGGTGAAAACAAACCACCCCCCCAATAGCTTCCTGGAAGCTTTGTTTGCCAACACTTCTTGGCTGGGAGCTCCTTAAAAATCTGGGCAAATAATATTAACCGTTTGAGAGGAATAGTCTCTGAGTGGGATTCTTCAGAGCAGTATTTAAAGGCACAGGAAGGTTTGTGGAAGGAAGGGGAAATGGATCCCAGACCTTTTCCCATGGTGGGACCAGAACCCAATTTTGAAAGCTGTGTGTCAGTGAGACAACTTTCACTGTGAAATCTCTCTGTCTCTATTTTCTTCATTTTAACAGCTTTCAAGGGCATGTACTCAAAAAGGGTTTAAGTTGTGAAACATATTGGGGGGTGTTGCAGGAATTTATGTATAGGTTGGGGGGGGGTTGCCCCTCCAGCAGATATCATGCACATGCAGCCCACTACCAAAACCAGCACAATCGCTTTTGTGACTTTTGTGATTTGTCCCCACAAACACTTCATCACAGTTTCTTCCTATCTATTCAAAGGGCCTCTGCTGCACGATACCAAATGTAAGAATTCACTGATCAATGTATCTCTGTACTGGCTCACTGGGAAAACTTCAGAAATTCATATAGACATGTAAGCTCAGCTACTCAGCAACCCCTCTGCCTGAGGGATAATTCCTGGCATCCTGATACCTGAGTGCCAGACAGGTAGCCATTCCAGAAATAACAAACCCAGATGAAGACAAAAGGGTGGGAAATAGGGAAATGTAAAGATCTCTTTTGTTACACTCCATGGGTGTTTGGTGGAGGGCAAGGAGAACCATGGGGCAGGGTCCAGGATGCTCAGATTACTGCCACCAGACCTCCGCTTTCATGATGTAACCATGATGTATTAGTGATGTAGTTTTGGGGGGTGTAACATGGGGGTCAGCAGCTAATAAAAGTTTGGGCTCTCTTTTGTTCGGGGCTTCCATCTTGTTCCACCTTGTGGCAGGTGGGAGTCCTGTCGCGACAGTCTTCTATAAAGACCAAGCCTACTGGCTGCTGTTTTGCTCTGGTATTCCTGGCTGGTGTCCTTGTTTTTTGTCCGAGGGAGCCTTCAGATTTCTCCGTTAACAGGGGGGATAAAAGATATGAGGCATAGCTAGGCGCCTTAGGCTTCCTGTTAATGATGTCTCCAAGATATCTGAAATATCGGGGTACAATCCCACTAGAGTTGGCATATAGTGTGATAAGCTGATATATCACAAAAGTTGTTGAGGGTTTTGGGGGTTTTTGGCAAAGTTTTGCCCAAAGGTGTTCAGCTTTTTTGGCAAAATTGCAAAAATCAATAATAAAGTTTTGGAGCTATTTTTAAGGTAAATTGTCAGGAGACTGCTGACATGGTTTGCCATATATCCAGATCCAGATTTTCTCGGGCATTTTTTAGCAATTTCCACCCGGATGCTGTTTCCAACTGCAGTATTCTAGATATGTCTGGGAAATTCCAGACTTTTGGCACCCCTAGTATTTCAGACAACCTCTTTCCATGTCTAAAGACCACATGGGTTTGTGCATGTTCTGTGTGCAACCACGCAGCATCCTTGCACCCTGCCGTCAACATCTGTGGAGGCAAAAAGGAGTTAGGGCCGTATCGCTAGTGAACTTTGTGGTGTGATGCGGATTTGAACCTGGGCCTTCGACACCATGGTCCAACGTCCTACAGCTAGCTACCCTGATGTGGCTACGTCGCTGCGGACATGAGGCCATTCTGTTTCAAAATATATCTGGCTTCTACAGTGCCGAATTTACATATAAGCTAAACAAGCTAAATGACAAACCTAGACAGCATCTTAAAAAGTAGAGACACCACCTTGCCTTCGAATGTCCGTATTGTAAATCTATGGCTTTCCCAGTAGAGATGTATGGAAGTGAGAGCTGGACCATAAAGAAGGCTGATCGCCGAAGAATTGATGCTTTTGAATTCTGGTGCTGGAGGAGACTCTTGAGAGTCCCATGGACTGCAAGAAGATCAAACCTATCCAATCTGAAGGAAATCAGCCCTGAGTGCTCACTGGAAGGACAGATCCTGAAGCTGAAACTCAAATACTTTGGCCACTTCATGAGAAGAGAAGACTCCCTGGAAAAGACCCTGATGTTGGGAAAGATGGAGGGCACAAGGAGAAGGGGACAACAGAGGACGAGATGGTTGGATAGTGTTCTCGAAGCTACCAGCATGAGTTTGACCAAACTGCGGGAGGCAGTGGAAGACAGGAGTGCCTGGCGTGCTCTGGTCCAGGGGGTCACGAAGAGTCGGACATGACTAAATGACTAAACAACAACAACAAAACAAGCTAAAGCTTAGGGCCCCAGTGTCTTGCAGCCCCCAAAAAAATCTAAAGAGAAAAAACAACTGGATGTACATTTCCAAAATATAAGATAAAAAACAAGTAAAATAAAACCTACATACAGCAACAGTGTTTTGTGTTGTGTAGGCTCCTATGATGGAAGTCATGGGCCCCGCCTGCTAGCCTGCTCCCTCAAATATCACTGGTTTGCTCATTTCTATATACAGTGGTACCTCTGGTTGCGAACGGGATCCGTTCTGGAGGGCCGCCGCGGGACGCAACCTGAAAACGCTCAACCTGAAGCAAACGTAACATGAGGTATGACTGTATAAGGTGCCTGCATTCTGCATGGACTGGTTGCATGGCAACATGTGCAAAAGGCTTGAGATATTAGGTCCATCAATTACCATATAGCATATATTCCACACACACAAAAATTTGTTGTTGACAAAGGACAGCTGGACATATAAAGGGCCCCATTACCTTCAGTAGCTTAGGGCCTCATCAAACCTAAATCTGTCCCTGGGCTTCCAACATCATGATACTTCCAAATGCAGCAAGGAGACCCAGGTTCAGATATTATTATTATTATTATTATTATTATTATTATTTATTTTTATTTTATTTTTATTTATACCCCGCCCATCTGGCTGGGTTTCCCCAGCCACTCTGGGCGGCTTCCAACAAAACACTCAAATACAATAACCTATTAAACATTAAAAGCTTCCCTGAACAGGGCTGCCTTCAGATGTCTTCTAAAAGTTTGGTAGTTATTTTTCTCTTTGACATCTGGTGGAAGGGTGTTCCACAGGGCGGGCGCCACCACCGAGAAGGCCCTCTGCCTGGCTCCCTGTAACTTGGCTTCTCGCAGTGAGGGAACCACCAGAAGGCAGATCTGCACTCAGCCGGGAAGTTCATTCACCACAGCATCCTAGATTTTTTCCACCTCCAGAGATGTGGGCGGCAGGTTGGGGAATCCTGCATTGCTGCGCACAGGGTCGGGGTTAGCCTGCCTCTGCTCCCCACATGTGGTCTTTTGACGTGGGAAGAGGTGGTCTGAACTGAGGCCTTGCCAGCCCTCCCACCCCCAGAGCCACCCATTCCTCCTTTGTCCCCCACCCACCCTCACCCCCCAGGAAAAATACTTTACATGCAGGGAGAGCAGGGTCTTCGCTGCCTCCTTATGAAGCCTGGTGCCGTTCAGTGGCAGGTAGCCAATTTGCTGGCCCTGGGCGTACAGCAGGAACGTCCCGGCCGAGGGCGGACTGACGTCGGGGCGCGGAGAGGGACGGACAGTCGGAGGGGCGACGCTGGGCAGGCCTGCGGGAGAATCGAAGAGTTGGAAGGGACCCTGAGGATCATCTGGTCAACCCCCTGAAATGCCGGAATACGTAGTTGTCCCATACGGGGATCAAACCTGAAACCCTGGTGCTATCAGCACCGCGCTCTAACCAACTGAGCCACCCAGGTGGAGAGGCAAAAGGTGTTACATGGCTCAGAGATGGTATCCAAAGGACTGTGTGTGTTCTTACTGCCTACCCTACGAGATTGCTTGATGGGCCTTCCCTGCACAGCCCCCGCCCCTTTCTTCCGATTCAGGGTTGGGAGGGTGCAAGAGGGTCTTTTCTATACCAGTCTTACCTGCTACTTTCCCCAGCCTCTTATCTGCTTTTAAAAATTATCACCGGTTATACCCTCTGGAACTCCCCGCCTCTTGACACCTTTTTACTCCTTTTGGCACCTGCTAAAAACGTTTCTGCTTGGACAAGCCTGTCTAGATACTTAGCATGCTGGCGTGTTTTTTATTCTATTGCTCGTTTGAAATTAACGCCGCAACGGTTTTCACTAACATTCTCGCTGTGTCATTCTTTTTGCAAACGACTTGGCGGTTTTCCGCAATCAAGCGGGATATAAAACTGGTGTGTGTGTAATTAAGTACCGTATTTTTCCGTGTACAGTGGTACCTCGGGTTAAATACTTAATTCGTTCCAGAGGTCCGTTCTTAACCTGAAACTGCTCTTAACCTGAAGCACCACTTTAGCTAATGGGGCCTCCTGCTGCCACCGCCCGATTTCTGTTCTTATCCTGAAGCAAAGTTCTTAACCCAAGGTACTATTTCTCGGTTAGCGGAGTCTGTAACCTGAAGTGTATGTAACCTGAAGCGTATGTAACCCGAGGTACCACTGTATAAGACTAGGTTTCCCCCCTAAAAAATAATGTCAAAAATTAGGGGGCATCTTATACAGTGGTACCTTGGGCTACAGGATGAGAACAGAAATCCTGCTCCGGTGGCGTAGTAGCAGAGGGGAGGCCCAATTAGCTAAAGTGGTGCTTCAGGTTAAGAACAGTTTCAGGTTAAGAACGGACCTCCGGAACGAATTAAGTACGTAGCCAGAGGTACCACTGTACATGGATAAATCTCTCTCCCCCCCCCCAACTTTCTCAAATCTGTGTCCCCGAAAATAGGGGGCGTCTTATAGATGGGGCCGTCTTATAGATGGAAAAATATGGTAAGTAAAAAAAAAAAGTGGCCCCCATAACGTTGACTAGAAGGGAATGTGGACCTTGGCTGGAAAAAAAAGTTCCCCCAGCCTTACAGGATTTCCGTCCATGGCTCCACCATGCCCATCCCCGTGTCTTCTGCCACGGACTCCCTGTCCGTCCACAAACAGCCATGCTGCCTGTGTTTGCCAAACCGCCTCCCCTGAAGGCTTTGCAGAGAATTGCTTCTGACGCCACAGCACTTACACGCGGGGGGAACTCCAGGCTCCGACCTCGTCCCTTGGACCTCGCGCCCATGTTCGTCCACACACCAGCAGTAGCCGCTGTTCCCGTGGCACTGCAAGGGGGTGAATTCGCCCAGGGCGTCGCACTGGGGCACGTACTGGTCGCCCCTCGGGCTGCCCCCGTAGTGCTCTAGAAGGCTCTGCCTCCAGCGCTCGCACATGGTCTGCGGCCTCTGGGTGGGCTCTGAAGGACGAACAAAAAAACCAAGAGGGTGTAAATCAGTGTTTCTCAAACTTGGGTCCCTGGCTGTTGTTAGACTACAACTCCCATCATCACTAGCTAGCAGGACGAGTGGTCAGGGATGATGGGAATCATAGTCCTACAACAGTTGGAGACCCAAGTTTGAGAGATGCTAGTTTTAAGTGACCCACACCAAGGTTTGCAAACCTGTAAAGAAAGAGAAATACTGGAAGGTCAGGTCTTCCCAAAACCCAGACTCCACCCCCATCGCCACTGAAGTCTTGCATTCAAATTCAGCAGATCTTAAACTTGGCAGCACCAAAAACTTAGCAGATATTACAGAATCATGACCCAGCGGTCATTCCTCCTCTGGTCAATACCTACTTTTGTGTTTCTATATTGCAAATCGCCCTGTGATCCCTGGATGAAGGGCAGTCTAGAAATTTAAGACGTCACTAATAAATAATAAGAAAAAGAAGTCCTCTGCCCTGCTCACATTTAACTTGGTGGTGTTTCAACCAGGTGTCTCCAAGCTGAAACTGCAAGGTAAATGCTGATGGACGGCTTTCGAAAGCAATATATATATATATATGGACACAGGGGGCGCTGTGGGTTAAACCACAGACCCTAGGACTTGCCGATCAGAAGGTCGGCAGTTCGAATCCCCACAATGGGGTGAGCTCCCATTGTTCAGTCCCTGCTCCTGCCAACCTAGCAGTTCAAAAGCATGTCAAAGGGCAAGTAGATAAATAGGTACCGCTCCGGCGGGAAGGTAAACGGCATTTCCGTGCGCTGCTCTGGTCCGCCAGAAGCGGTTTAGTCATGACCTGGAAGCTGTACGCCAGCTCCCTCGGCCAATAAAGCGAGATGAGCGCCGCAACCCCAGAGTCAGCCACGACTGGACCTAATGGTCAGGGGTCCCTTTACCTTTACCTTTACCTTACTGCTTAAAGAACAAGAAAGGTAAACGGCGGGAAGGTAAATGGCGTTTCCCTGAGCTGCTCTGGTTCGCCAGAAGCGGCTTAGTCATGCTGGCCACACGACCCGGAAGCTGTACGCCGGCTCCCTCGGCCAATAAAGCGAGATGAGCGCCGCAACCCCAGAGTCGGTCACGACTGGACCTAATGGTCAGGGGTCCCTTTACCTTTACCTTTATATATAAAATATATCATTCCCAACAATCATATAACATATTTTCTTATCTTATGCAACGTTTTGGACTTCCATCAACCACGTCTGAAGATTTTTCAATCTTTATCACTTAATCTACATTTCTTAATTTCCCTATTACTTTTAATTGTCCTTAACCAACAGCCAATCGCCTTCTCAATCCGGCCCAAAGACGGTCCGGGAATCAGTGTGTTTTTACATGAGTAGAATGTATCCTTTTATTTAAAATGCATCTCTGGGTTATTTGTGGAGCATAGGAATTCGCTCTTCTTTTTCCCCAAAAAAATATAGTCCAGCCCCCCACAAGGTCTGAGGGACAGTGGACCAGCCCCCTACTGAAAAAGTTTGCTGACCCCTATCCTAGACCCCCAGAGGAACAGCACCCACCCTTGTTTTCCCCAGATAGTTTAGCATAGCGAAGGGCAGGTGAGGCACTAACCTGGAGCCCTGCAAGTTGGTCGGGAAGTCGACGGCGGCACCCGGCTGCCGGGAATCTCCTTGCCATCTGTATCCACGCACCAGCAATACCCGGTGCTGCTGTGGCATTGCAGTGGCCTGTAGTTCCCCTGGTCATCACACTCGGGTACGTGGGGGGCCCCAGGGAAGGCAGCGCCTCGCTGGCTGGCGTACAGCCGCTCGTGTTCACAGCGGGTCATCCTCTGCACGCCCCCTACCGGCCGGGAGAAAGAATAATAGAATTGTAGAGTCGGAAGGGACCCACGAGGGTCATCTAGTCCAACCCTCTGCAATGCAGGAATCTCAGCTAAAGCATCCAGGACAGATGGCTGCCCAACCTCTGCTTAAAAGCCCGGTGCCTTAGGCTTCCTGTTAATGATGTCTCCAAGATATCTAAAATATCGGGGTAAAATCCCACTAGAGTTGGCATATGGTGTGATAAGCTGATATATCACAAAAGTTGTTGAGGGTTTTGTGTTTTTTTGGCAGAGTTTTGCCCAAAGGTGTTGAGCTTTTTTGGCAAAATCGCAAAAAATAAATAAATAATGAAGTTTTGGAGCTATTTTTAAGGTAAATTGTCAGACTGCTGACATGGCTTGCCGTATATCCAGATTTTCCCGGACATTTTTTAGCGATTTCCACCCGGACGCTGCTTCCGACTGCAGTATTCCAGATACCGTATTTTTCGCTCCATAAGACACACCTGACCATAAGACGCACCTAGTTTTTAGAGGGGGGATGCAAGAAAAAAAATACTCTTTAAAGGGAGCGCTGAGAAGAGCCTCCCGCCTGCATTCGCTCCATAAGACACACACACATTTCCCCTTACTTTTTAGGAGGGAAAAAGTGCTTCTTATGGAGCAAAAAATACGGTATGTCCGGGAAAATCTGGCCTGTGGCAACCTCTCTCCATGTCTAAAGTCCACATGGGTTTGTGCAGACAAGCCCTGCTCCTGCGTGCAACCGCGCAGCATCCTTGCACCCTGCCGTCAACATCTGTGGAGGCGAAAAGGAGTTAGGACCGTATCGCTAGTGAACTTCGTGGCGTGATGCGGATTTGAACCCGGACCTTCGACACCATGGTCCAACGTCCTACGGCTAGCTACCCTGATGGGGCTATGTCTCTGCGGACATGAGGCCATTCTGTTGCATGAGGAGGATTGGACACAGTCTCAGAGGGGAGCGCTGTCAGTGGGTGCTAGCCATGGCGTCTGCACCTCCACGGTTGGGAGGCAGCAATATCAGTGGCTGAAAACACAGGAGGGGAGAGGGCTCTTGAGTTCGAATCCTGCTTGTGGGTTCCCCCACAGGCATCTGATTGGCCGCTGTGGGGAACCAGGCAGAGGGCCTTCTCGGTGGTGGCGCCCTCCCTGTGAAACGCCCTCCCATCAAGGAAATAAACAACTACAGTGGTACTTTGGTTCTCAAACGCCTTGGTACTCATACACCTTGGAACCCAAACACTGCACACCTGGAAGTAATTGTTCCAGTTTGCGAACTGTTTTCGGAAGCTGAACGTGCTCCGCTTTGAGTGTTACGCTGAGCTCTGCCTGTTTTTGCTAATTATTTTGCAATTTTGTTCTTGCAGCTCTTTTTGTTTTGTTTTTGTGACTGCATGGAACCCAGTTCAGCTACTGATTGATTGATTGTGTGACTGCAGTACATTGTTTATTGCTTTCATTTTATGGATCCATGGTCTCGTTAGATAGTAAAATTCATGTTAAATTGCTGTTTTAGGGGTTGTTTTTAAAAGTCCGGAATGGATGAATCCATTTTGCATTCCTTTCTATGGGAAAGCGCGCCTTGGTTTTGGAACGCTTTGGTTTTGGAACAGACTTCCGGAACGGATTAAATTTGAGAACCAAGGTATCACTGTATCTGACTTTTAGAAAACATCTGAAGGCAACCCTGTTTAGGAAAGTTTTTAATGTTTGATGTTTTATCATGTTTTTAATATTCTGTTAGGAAACCCAGCCAGATGAGCAGGGTATAACTAGATACATTATTATTATAAATTATTATTACAACAGGCTGCTGGACTGAATGTGCCACTGGCTGATCCAGCAAACTCTTTTTACCTTCTTATGTTATCTTTGAACCAGGCTAGAAATTGAGGCCCTAACCCTTTCTGACTTCCTCATTTATCCCGTGTGCATTGTAGCTCTCAGTCTGGAAACCTGCCTCGGCCAGGACCTCGGGACCTCCAGCCAAGCTCCCCACCGGAAGGGCGCTGGGTGGTTGGGCAGCTGAAACATCACAATTGAGCAGAGCCAGTTCTCCAGCCCCTGAGGCCGTACCTGGAGAGCAGCGGAAGCCGTCGCCTTCGTAGCCAGCGAAACAGCGGCAGGAGAAGGAGCCGGGAGAATTGTAGCAATCGGCTGCCTGGTGGCACCTTCTCTCCGCACATTCGTCCACATCTGTGGAGGAGGAAGAAAAGACTGGGAGTATACAGGGAATAAATAGCCTGGGAAGCAGTTTGGACACAGGGATGTCCCAAGACGTATTGGGGTCCAAGGGAGCAAAATAAGAATTTTCCATCTAACTACTGTTGTCTACGCACTGGTAACCTCAAGGTTAGATTACTGCAATGTGTTATACGTAGGGCTGCCTCTGAAGACAGTTTGGAAACTTCAGCTGGTGCAGAATTCAGCAGCCGGGTTGCTCACCGGAGCAAGATGGTTTGAGCATATTGCACCGATCCTGGTCCGACTCCACTGGCTACCAATTAGTTTCTGGGCCCAATTCAAAGTGCTGGTTTTGGTTTTTGGACCCCAATACCTCAAAGGACCACCTCTTTCCATATGAACCTACCCAGACCCTAAGAGCATCTTCCCAGGGCTTTGTTTGTGTGCCTCCTCCTCAAGAGGTCCAGAGGGTGGCAACACGAGAACAGGCCTTCTCTGCAGTGGCTCCCCGTCTGTGGAATGCTCACCCCAGGGAAGTTCGCCTGGCGCCTTCATTATACACCTTTAGGTGCCAGGCAAAAACGTTCCCTTTTTTGGTTGACCTGATCAACATCCCATACCCTTCAAAATGTGGCTCTTTTGGGGGGGGTATTATTGGGTTGGGACGCGGGTGGTGCTGTGGGTTAAACCACAGAGCCTAGGACTTGCTGATCAGAAGGTCAGCGGTTTGAATCCCCGCGATGGGGTGAGCTCCCGTTGCTCGGTCCCTGCTCCTGCCAACCTAGCAGTTCGAAAGCACAAAAGTGCAACTAGATAAATTAGGTTCCGCTCTGGCGGGAAGGTAAACGGCATTTCCGTGCGCTGCTCTGGTTCGCCAGAAGCGGCTTAGTCATGCTGGCCACAAGACCCGGAAGCTGTATGCCGGCTCCTCGGCCAATAAAGCGAGATGAGCGCCACAACCCCAGAGTCGGCCATGACTGGACCTAATGGTCAGGGGTCCCTTTACCTTTATTATTGGGTTAGTGCTTTTGGGGGGGTAAATAGTCAGTATATAAATTTTACACATGCTTGAGAAGGCAGGTGTTCCCTTCCTGGGAGTTTGGCATCAGAAGCAAAGGCGAAAGAAATATCTTGAGCCCCTAAAATCTCCAGAGCCGAAAAGCCACTAAGCCCTGCTCTGATGTGGCTGGAGGCCCTCAAAAGACCTCTGTGACAAATGCTCTCTTGTTCCAAAAGTGGTACAGGGGGGAAACTGGCTCAAAGTTTCAAACGTCAAGTCCGAGAGGCAATAATGGACTCTCAAACTAATATTATTTAGAAGGTAATAAGTGATGGTGAGTTAGAGTAGGGAGAGAGAGAAAGAGAGAGAGATGAACGAGGCATCATTTTTAAAGCACATCCCCTTCAGACTGATAGGAAAAGGAACAGGTTTTTAGACCATTTTCACACACAAGAGAAAAAACGCAGGATGCACTCTTCACAAACGCCGTGGCCATGAACTGTTAGGGCTCTGCCTTCAGTTTAATCACTTGAGAGCTTCTATCTCCAAATAAATATATAAATAAGCAAAACCTCAATGTGTCATTTTTCTGGCAAATTCTTGAAGGATGGGAATTGTCGTCGATTTTATAAATCTGAGATACTTTGCAAGAACATGTTTAAACGGAATTGTGTTGAAATCATCGATTTCCTAATCATTCGAGGTCGTAATTCTAATCTCAAGTGTGATTGCTGTTCCAGTTCTGCGCCATCTGTGACATTTTATTTTGTTTATTGGTTCATTTCATTTGTTTGTATACTCCTGTGTCACAGTGAGTATATCAAAGTGGTTTTTAGCAATAAAAACACAAAACCATTAAGAAAGAAAAACGGACATCCATTAACCAATGTGGGAGGATGTATTCTTAATTAGCCGCATAGGCCTGGGGGAAAAGAAAAGTTTTCAGCAGGTTCTTAAAGCGTCCGCTGAATCTCTAGTGGGGGAGAGTTCCAGAGGACCAGACCGATTTCCTGCTGGTCTCGGAATCACCGAGGAAGGACAAGGCAAAGCCCAAGGCAAACCTCTTCTTCCACTTACCTGTGCAGTTGTGCCCATTGCCCGCGTAACCAGTGAGGCACACACAGCTGAACGAACCTCCTCCGTGGTAGACACATCGCGCCTGGTCGGACGGGGCGCAGGTGTGAGTGCCGTCTGTGCAGGGATCGGATGGCGGGGCAACGGCTGGAAAGGAATGAAAGCAGGAGTCAGCTATTATTGTGCAATCAATATTCTTGCCGCTGTTGTCGCATACCTAAATAATGTCCAACCTAGGACCGGACTCAGACCACGCCGCACGGTAACCCTCGGGACCAGCACAATTTCACTGGCAGAATTTCAACTGCGTGCGGTTGAAATTGCGCAAGTTCAATGCGTGTATGATGCGATTGGACCACACAAGAGGAATCTGGCTCCGGTTTGCTCTGCAACAGAGTGAAAGGATGGGGAACCTTGTGTGTGTGTCCCTCAGGTTGCTGTGCTAACTTTTCTCAGGATTTCAGGACATCCCACAGGGCTGCTCTCCGCAGTTGCAAAAGCATAGAAATCTGGCGCTGAATTCAGCATTTATTTTTGCTTTTAAAAAGTTACGTTTCTAGTCCTTATGGCCAAATTCAGGAGTGTCATATCCAATAAAATCTCAGAAGCCGAGAAGCCAACAAAGACCTTCCAAGCTTCCTTCTTTTCCAGATTAACACCATTCCACTGCATGCTTTCCTTCACAGCTAGCTGTAGCTGCAAATGGAGAGTTAATTGATAGCATGCCGGAAAAACCCCCAAAGTCAAATTTTCCAACTGATGTCAGCAGAAGCCTGGGAAAAAGAGGTTCCAGAGACTGTGGTATTTGTTACGCCTGCAAAGGCTGACATTCCCAAGACTTCCCCCTCAAGAAACAAGTTAGGCAATGATGAGGAATAGGCACAGACCATAATTAACAAGAGCACAGAGGTCTCACAGAATATGGTTATTGCCTGCGGAATTCAGCTTCCTGAGAAATGCTGCTATCCTTAGGGGGTGGGGAAACAACCAAGGGGCTAGACCTCATGGTTATCTCTGAAAGTGCATGCACAAAACCTGCTCAACAATAGGCCCAGTGGCTCATTGCACCAAATAGCTCCCTCAGCCTTTCCTCACAATTAACAAAAACTACAAAAGAAAGATAAAAATAGCAAAATATTGCAACTTAAGGTAAACAGTGCAGAGATTATCAATTTGCATAATAAATGCAGGTTACAGAATCCAGCCCCAGAATTTTTATTTTTTAAAAAGTATTTATAAGTGGCTCTGAGATTCTCTTGTGGGCGGAAGAAGCACCTGTATCAGAGAAGAGGACAGTGACAGAGGTGCCTCACAATGCCCTGTACCATTTCAAGATGGCAGGCATTGCGGGGAGGAGGCGCTTTTGACCATTCCCTGCATGCAGAAAAATAGCTCACCTGCTACTCTACCAGGTGATGCTGAAGTTCTAAATCAGCATGTGATTTCCAGGAATAAAGAACTGGGCACAGGGATTTGAACAGGGGTAGCCAACCTGGCACCCTCCAGAAGCTGTCAGACTACAACTCCCATCAGCCCCAGCCAGCAGGACCAATGGTCAGGGCTGATGGGAGCTGGAGTCCAACAAGATGCAAAATTCACCATGCCAGCCACACCTGGGGTGGAGGAAAAAGAAAGTCCATAACTGCCATGCTGAAGAGCAAGGAGGCCATCTGTCGTGGGTGCTTTAGTTTAGATTCCTGCATTGCAGGGGGTTGGACTAGATGACCCTCAGGGTCCCTTCCAACTCTACAAGTCTATGATTCTATGATGGAGCTCAAGGCCACTTTCAGAGACAGGTGGCTATATGGGTTTTTTTTATCTTGTATTTATGTGTGTTGTGAACGCCCTGAGATCTACAGACGGAGGACGGCATACAAATACCGTATTTTTCGCTCTATAAGACGCACCCGACCATAAGACGCACCTAGTTTTAGAGGAGGAGAACAAGAAAAAAATATTTTCTCCCTCTCTGCGCAGCGCCTCTCCAGCAAAGCGGGAAGAGAAATGGAAGGGGCTCCGTTTCTCCTCCCGCTTTGCTGAAGGGGCGCTGCGCAGAGAGCGAAAGCAGCGATCCCTCTTGCTGTTCTGGCTTCTGGGATAGCCATGCCAAACCTCTTCAAGGCAGGGGGAGCGTTCCAATAGCCACCGATCCCTCTCGCTCTCCTGGCTTCAGTGAAAGCTGCGCAGCCTCCATTCTCTCCATAAGACGCACACACATTTCCCCTTACTTTCTAGGAGGGGAAAAGTGCGTCTTATAGAGCGAAAAATACAGTAATCGTCGCAATAAAGTGAATTTGCACTTTAGGGACACAGGTGGCACTGTGGGTTAAACCACAGAGCCTAGGACTTGCTGATCAGATGGTCAGCGGTTCAAATCCCCGCGATGCAGTGAGCTCCCGTTGCTCGGTCCTTGCTCCTGCCAACCTAGCAGTTCGAAAGCATGCCAGTGCAAGTAGATCAATAGGTACCGCTCCGGTGGGAAGGTAAATGGCATTTCCGTGCACTGCTCTGGTTCACCAGAAGTGGTTTAGTCATGCTGGCCACATGACCCGGAAGCTGTACACCGGCTCCCTCGGCCAGTAAAGCGAGATGAGCGCCGCAACCCCAGAGTCGGCCACGACTGGACCTAATGGTCAGGGGTCCCTTTACCTTTAAAGTGAATTTGCAGGTGCATTCAACAGAGGTGCCAACAGAGGAAATCCCATTGCAAAAAACAGAAAGGGTGGTGGTGGCAACTGTTCCTTTTCCGAAACAGAACAGAGCCCGGACGTGCATCGATATATTGAGCCCACCCAGAGCAACGCAAACCAACTCCTCCCCAGACTGAAGCCAAGAGAAGACTTGTGCAGAAGACACACAAGTGTACATGAAATAAGGGGTCAAAGGAGGACTCCAGCTGGCCGGGCTGGCTCGAGACATTTCGGGAACCTGCGACGCAAATCCAAAACGACAGCCCCCCTCACACCAATCCACATGGGGCAGGATCCGTCAGGAGGCTCTCTTGAGCAAGCCTAACTGAAAGGATTTCTTGGCAGCTCAGCAATAGAAACCACGTTTGCAAGAACGCAGAGAGCAAGCAATGGGGACAGAGGCCTCGTCTCCTGGAGTTCCCAGAGAACTGCTGCCAGTCCGAGCAGCCAATACTGAACTGGATTGTTTTCTTATTCATTACACAAAAAATTATATACAGCTTGTTCGTTAAACGAAAACAAAAAAACCCTCAATGCAGTTTGTAAAAAGATAAAACCAGAAAATCAAAACAATTACAGTGGTACCTCTGGTTACGTACTTCATTTGTTCCGGAGGTCTGTTCTTAACCTGAAACTGTTCCTAACCTGAAGCACCACTTTAGCTAATGGGGCCTCCCACTGCCGCTGTGCGATTTCTGTTCTCATCCTGAAGCAAAGTTATTAACCTGTAGCACTATTTCTGGGTTAGCGGAGTCTGTAACCTGAAGCGTATGTAACCTGAAGGGTATGTAACCCGAGGTACCACTGTACAGCCATACATACAAAAATGAAAAGACTAAAACCCACATTAACTTTCTAAGCTTCTGGGGGAGGGCAGCTTTTCCCAACAGGAATGTTTTTAGCAGGCACCGAAAAGAGTAAAGGGAAGACGCCTGCGTGATCTCAACAGGCAGGGAGTTCCAAAGTTGCCACACTAAACGATCCAGACAAATGCAGAAAATGGGGATCATGTGGCACCAGCAGGAGTGCCAAAGAACAAAAGTACAGTGGTACCTCTAGTTGCGGACACGATCCATTCCGGGGTGCCGTTCGCACCCCAAAAGTCCGCCTCTTCCGTGCATGTGCGCAGTGCGATTGAGTGCTTCTGCGCATGCGCGAAGCACGCAGATTGCTTTTGTGCATACGCACAGTGCGCAGAACGCCTCTGCGCATGCGCGTGCAGCAAAACCCAGAAGTATACACTTCCGGGTTTGCATCGTTCGCAAGCTGAAAAGACGCAACGTGAACCTAACGCAACACGTGGTATGACTGTATAAGGCAGCTTCCAAATTCTCTTTTCCCCCTTTAATGGCAAAAGGAGCATCTTTGATGGCGCAGAATGCCAACCACGGCTAAGTCGAGGGATGCCACTGTCCACAGTCGCCCAATGCCGCCTTCTCCCCATCGCTTCCTGCCCAGATTTCGGAGTTTGCGCCTCCCTCGTTGAGGACACGCCTTCCTCACCAGGGACTAGCCCCTTACCTACACAAGTGGCCCGGTCCCCTGCGATCTGGTATCCACTGGGGCACTCACACCGGTAGCTGCCGGGCGTGTTGACGCAGACGGACTCCGGGCTGCACCTACTGCGGCCCTCTTGGCATTCGTTGACATCTGAGGAGGAGGAGAGGGGGGCAGGATGAATGGGGAGAAAAACGTTCGGGTCGATTCTTCCAGGCGGTTCCGGCATCATTTCACATTATCAGCTGCACAGCCGCCAACTCCCCAGCCCTCCACCCCCCCGGCCTCCCCCTCCCCATGGCTCGTTCCGGCCAGGACGTTCATCCCCCATCCAGCTACAAAAACATCACCAGAGCCAAACAGATCCAGATGTTTTCCAGGGAAAACAAAGTTCCAAGGCTTAACCTCTTAAGCGTGCTAAACACACACAGATCGGCTTCAAATCACTCTAACTGCGGGGGCAGAAGTTCCCATCCTTCGACCCCCCCCCCAAGCTCATTGGCGTAATGGCATGTTACATAGATTGCTATATTTTTATATAGGGAGAACATTCACAAATTAACTACAGTACTTCTCGCTTGGTGGTCATCCCTGCCTCCAGTGCATAGCTGTCAACGTTTCCCTTTTCTTGCGAGGAATCCTATTCGGAATAAGGGAATTTCCCTTTAAAAAGGGAAAACGTTGACAGCTATGCTCCAGTGGCCAGGAGTTCCACAGTTTAACTCCGCGCTACGTAAATCCTTCTTATTATCTGTCCTGACTCTTGGAATCCACACTTGGCCTTTTAGGCTCACTGGGTGCCCTTGTGGCAGTCACTATCCCTCAGCCTAGTCGCCCTTGCAGGGTCGTTGTGAAGGTAAGATGCAGAGGGGAGAGTGACGGGCGTTGCCTTTAGCTCCTTGATGGGAAAGTGGGAGGTCAAGGTTGGAGTAATAGTAACAGCAGCAATGCTTACCTGCACATTCCTTGCCATCACCCCAATATCCGGCAGAGCACTCGCAGCTGTAATCCAGACCAGACCCTGGCTGGCAGCGGGCTGTTGTGTCGCATGAGTGCGTGCCATCGTAGCAGGGGTTCAAGGTGACTGTCCCAGAATCCTCTACAGGTGACAAGAAAAGGAGAGTGTGTATGTTTTTTTAGTAATAATAATAATAATAATTTATTATTTCTACCCCGCCCATCTGGCTGGGTTTCCCCAGCCACTCTGGGCAACTTCCAACCAAAGACTACAAATACATTAAAACATCAGTCATTAACAACTTCCCTAAACAGAGTTGCCTTCAGATGTCTTCTAAAAGTCAGATAGTTGTTTATGCCCTTGACATCTAATGGGAGGGTGTTCCACAGGGCAGGTGCCACCACCAAGAAGGCCCTCTGCTTGGTTCCCTGTAACCTCACATCTCGCAGGGAGGGAACCGCCAGAAGGCCCTCGGAGCTGGACCTCAGTGTCTGGGCTGAATGATTGGGATGGAGACGCTCCTTCAGGTATACTGGGCCGCGGCCGTTTAGGGCTTTAAAGGTCAGCACCAACACTTTGAATTCTGCTCGGAAACATACTGGGAGCCAACGTACGTCTTTCAAGACCGGTGTTATGTGGTCTCGGCGGTAGTACAGCTTACATTAATTTTTATTAATTTTGTTCAACATCACATAATGAGATATCCAAACCAAGAAGCTGGTGTTCAGGCAATGCATGCAAAACAACAAACAAATAACCTAATTTCTTATCCCGGTTGACTGTTTCTATAGAAGTCGGTAAACGGTTTAAGTTAACCAGTAAGTGTGCAGAGAGTCTCCTATTTTCGTTTTTACCTGGGTAAGTAATATAAAGCTGTGCCATTCGGTGACAAAGGAGTCTTTGTGCTTCAGGCGCGGCACCAACGTTATTTTGTTATTTTATTTTTCCACGGGTGCTATTGGCCAGACTTCACACGGACAGGTTTTAAAAAGAAGATGCAGAAGGAAGTAAGGAAGACTCAGAGCTTGAGACCCCTCCCTCTGCCATCCCCTGTATTTTTTTGGGGGGGAGGGGAGCAGGGGGAATGGCTGCTTCGTTTCCATGCCACATTTATATCATATCCTTCCTCCAATGTTCTCAAAAGAGTATACTTGTCGTGGCCTCACTTTATTCTGACAGCAACCTTGCAAGGTAGGCTTGCATTATCTAGCCATCACAGGGTCTGCCTTTAAATACTGTTGTTGTTCTTTAGTCGTTTAGTCGTGTCCAACTCTTCATGACCCCATGGACCAGAGCACGCCAGGCACTCCTGTCTTCCACTGCCCCCGCAGTTTGGTCAAACTCATGCTGGTAGCTTCAAGAACACTGTCCCACCATCTCATCCTTTGTCGTCCCCTTCTCCTTGTGCCCTCCATCTTTCCCAACATCAGGGTCTTTTCCACGGAGTCTTCTCTTCTCATGAGGTGGCCAAAGTATTGGAGCCTCAGCTTCAGGATCTGTCCTTCCAGGGAGCACTCAGGGCTGATTTCCTTCAGAATGGATAGGTTTGATCTTCTTGCAGTCCATGGGACTCTCAAGAGTCTCCTCCAGCACCAGAATTCAAAAGCATCCATTCTTCGGCGATCAGCCTTCTTTATGGTCCAGCTCTCACTTCCATACATCACTACTGGGAAAACCATAGCTTTAACTATACGGACCTTTGTTGGCAAGGTGATGTCTCTGCTTTTTAAGATGCTGTCTAGGTTTTTCATTGCTTTTCTCCCAAGAAGCAGGTGTCCTTTAATTTCATGGCTGCTGTCACCATCTGCAGTGATCACGGAGCCCAAGAAAGTAAAATCTCTCACTGCCTCCATTTCTTCCCCTTTTATTTTCCAGGAGGTGATGGGCCCAGTGGCCATACTAGTTGCTAGGAATCACAAGTGCCGAAGAGGGAGGGGGCACTCAGTAAATAAAAAAGAAATTGTTATTTAGGGGAATTGAATTTAATTCTAAATTATATTCCGGAAATGTGGGAGATTTCAAGGGATCAAAAAAAAATATGGATGTACCGTGCTATATTAGAAGCAAAAAAAAAAGAACTTGTTTTGATGAATTGGAAGAGCCGCAAAAAGATTCCATTGAGCACATGGATTGATAATATGGACTGATTAGCTACATATGAATGAATGTCGACGCAAATTAAGAATGGATAAATATGAAGAAATCTGGAATGAATATTTAAACGATAAGGCGGATGGTGCTGGGAAGTGGGGGGAGGAGAGAGAAGTGGGGAAATATTGTTAAAAGGGTACAGTCATAGGTATATCGGTGTATTTAAATCTGAATTGTCAAATTGTGTTATTATTGTTATTGTGGTTTCTGTTGTAGTGTCTTTTGCGGTTGTTGTTTGTATCGAAAAAATGATTAAATACTTATTGTTTTTTTAAAAAGGTCCTGCTTTGGGGCAGCTGTCTGGCCACCGTGGGAACAGGATGCTGAACCAGGTGGGCCTTAAACCTCAAACAGCAGCCAGGGGCAGTTGTTTTTGCTCTTTCCTCTTCCTATGATACCCTCCTTCTGGTCGAAAGAGCACAGATCAAGAGTCTCCAGCTACAAATATCACTAGCAGCCAGTTCAATGGAGAGGTGTGGGAGACAGGTAGCCAGTTCTCAGTGAAGTGGTAAACCACATCAGACTGCCAATGTACGCTTAAATAATTGATTGCTCCATATATATCTATATCTCTATTGTTGTTGTTTAGTCGTTTAGTCGTGTCCGACTCTTCGTGACCCCCTGGACCAGAGCAGGCCAGGCACTCCTGTCTTCCACTGCCTCCTGCAGTTTGGTCAAACTCATGCTGGTAGCTTCGAGAACATTGTCCAACCATCTCATCCTCTGTCGTCCCCTTCTCCTTGTGCCCTCCATCTTCCCCAGCATCAGGGTCTTCTCCATGGAGTCTTCTCTTCTCATGAGGTGGCCAAAGTCTTGGAGCCTCAGCTTCAGGATCTGTCCTTCCAGTGAACACTCCATATATATGTATATCTATATACTGATATTGAAATACTTGAAAGACTTTGTTGTCACTTGTACAACTTGTATACAGTGAGATTACACGAGCACCCCCCACTCAGCTCCCTTAGTCTTAATTCCCCTCGTTTACTGACAGTTGCCCTGTTGTTATCTTTTCATTCAGCAGCCTAACAGCCCACGGATAGAAGCTGTTCTTTACCCTGTTGGTGTGACTAATCATGCTTCTAGATCTTCTCCCCGAGGGCAGGAGATCAAGAAAGTGCCGGCTATTTCATCCAGCGGATTCATGGGACAGCCCATAATATATTGTGCTGTATACACCACCCTCTGTAAAAGATAAAGGGACCCCTGACTATTAGGTCCAGTCGTGGCCGACTCTGGGGTTGCGGCGCTCATCTCGCTTTACTGGCCAAGGGAGCCGGCGTACAGCTTCCGGGTCATGTGGCCAGCATGACTAAGCTGCTTCTGGCAAACCAGAGCAGCGCACGGAAACACCGTTTACCTTCCCGCCGGAGTGGTCCCTATTTATCTACTTGCACTTTGACGTGCTTTCAAACTTCTAGGTGGCCAGGAGCAGGGACCGAGCAACGGGAGCTCACTCTGTCGCGGGGATTCGGCGCGGCCACAGAATGTTCGGAGATGTGTTAACTCCCGAGAGTGAAGGGGGCCTCTCTCTGAAAACCACGCAGGCAGGATCTCAGCCAGCCTGCAACACAAACCGCACATCTGATGTTACGAAAGCAAAACAGGACTGTTGCATCTCCTTCCAGAATCTTTGCAAGTTGCTCGTATGTCCCTCTCGCCGTGGCCCAGATGACCGGTTGTCCTCCCAACCATCTCCCCAGGTCCTGCAGTTGTGCAAACAGCTTCATCCTCCTTTGGCTATTTTTACAACCAGGTTATAAAGCGCTTGGATTACAAACTCGAGATCTGGAACTCATTTGTGCGCTTAAGGAAAGAGGGAGGGAGAGGAGGAGGGAGAACAACAAACTGCATCTTTTGTTTCTGGAGATGAAGCTGTGATCAGTAGACCACCCCAACTCTCTCTCTCTCTCTCTCTCCCCCCATGGGAATTCATACCTCTTGCCCCACAAACACTGAAATCACTTCATCGCTACCAGGAAGAAGCCTCATCCATTCTCCAGGATTGATCCGTTGGATAGCCATTTTCGCAGGTTGCGTTTTGCAAAACCCGGGAGACGAAGGAGAGGGCAAGCAAAAGCCCACAAAAGCACCAGCTTTATCATTCCCGCCCTGTGGAACACCCTCCCATCAGATGTCAAGGAAACGAACAACTATCCGACTTTTAGACGACATCTGAAGGCAGCCCTGTATCAATCAGTTTTTAATGTTTGATGTTTTATCGTGTTTTTAATATTCTGTTGGGAGCCACCCAGAGTGGCTGGGGAAACCCAGCCAGATGGGTGGGGTATAAATATATTATTATTGCAGTGGTACCTCTGGTTGCAAACGGGATCAGTTCCGGAGGCCCGTTCGCAACATGAAAAGAGCGCAACCCGCAGCGGCGTGTCTGCACACGCGCGGGTTGTGATTTGCCACTTCTATGCATGCGCGTGACGTCATTTTGCACTTCTGTGCATGTGTGAGCGGTGAAACCCGGAAGTAACCCTTTCCGGTACTTCCGGGTCACCGCAGGACATAACCTGAAAGCACATAACATGAAGCAGACGTAACATGAGGTATGACTGTATTATTATTCTCCACCACCCAAAAAACCATCCCCGCGGTGTCCTCTGTGGCCAACTCAGTGAAAACGTGGTTTGGGAATGGTGCAGATATGATACGATATGATAATCTTTATTGTCATTGTCCCATACATTGTCCCATACATCGAAATTGAAAAATCTACATAAAACCTTCAAAACCCAACAAGCCTGCTGTCAGGGCTGCCTCAAGTCTCAGCTCACAAAAGACCAACCCAGGTCCCTTTAAGTACAAAAGTGTCAAGATGCAGTTCATTGTCGCTGACATCCTAGCGAGCCCCACGTCTGCTACGCTTAGACCGCTGGAAGTCCCTCTGAACCCTGGCCCTCCTCTGCACTAATTCTAAGAGGCCTGCGCTGCTCCACCCTTCTCTCTTTCCTTCCGTGGTCCTTCTGCCCGCTGGGCTCGCTCTCCTGGACCTCTGACGCGAATTGCAGACTGCTCTTGCCCCCCTCCTGCGGGCCTCTGGGACCCAGCCCCTCCTCGGCTCCTGTACTCGCGCCTCAGACATTTGAACTGGCGCTGCCCAGCCTAACTTTCCTTTTCAACAGCCACTACCCCTTCACCGCCCTCCTGGGGAGGATGGCCGTCCCGACCTCCTCCTTTCTACTGCCGGAGCCGCTTCCCTGACACTGGAAACCCCACCCCTTCGCTGCACCTGGGTGGGAGGCTGGTCCGGACGCCCAGGCCACACCCTGGGACGCCCAGCTGGCCCCTGCCCTGACACTTCCCCTGGGGCCTCTGGGGCTTGACCGACCCGGCGCCCTTCTGGGAACCCTGATCTGGCTGGAAAGACTTGGTGGAATCTCTTGAGCCATTATCATCCTTCCTCGCTGTCCTGGATCCATCCCACGCTCCATCTCCTGCCCACCTCAGCTCCTCTGTCCAGAACCCTGACACCTGCCAACCTTGCAGATACCCCAACTCAAGCAGCCCCCTAAAAACTCTGATACCCAATTTTTAAATACAATATACTCCCATAGAGACTCCTTAAAGTAAAGGTAAAGGGACCCCTGACCATTAGGTCCAGTCGTGGCCGACTCTGGGGTTGCAGCACTCATCTCGCTTTACTGGCCGAGGGAGCCGGCGTACAGCTTCCGGATCATGTGGCCAGCATGACTAAGCCGCTTCTGGCGAACCAGAGCAGCGCACGGAAACTCCGTTTACCTTCCCACCAGAGCAGTACCTATTTATCTACTTGCACTTTGGTGTGCTTTTGAACTGCTAGGTTGGCAGGAGCTGGGACCAAGTGACAGGAGCTCACCCCGTCGCAGGGATTCGAACCACCAACTTTCTGATCGGCAAGTCCTAGGCTCTGTGGTTTAACCCACAGCACCATGCGTCCCAGGGACTCCTTACACTGTGTTTAAAACCAGAATTGCATTTGGGTAGAAGCCAGCAACTGGCATCTGGGGGCATATTGCCTCTTCCGTGAATCTGCCTGACCCGCTTTTAAAGACAACATACCTCCCAGGGGTCCAATCTGGTTGGTGACAGCATAGCGAAGCACGCTCTCCTCCTCGTTGTACAAGGCAAAGATGCGGTCCACGGTCAGCTGCTGGGCAGCGGGGAAGAGCCTGCGGTGATGGGCATGCTGGCACTCTTGGTATGTGATGTTTTGGTGCAGGCGGTAAGAGAAGGTTTGGCTGACATTTCCGGAAACAAGGGAATACTCCCGATAGGACGTGGACGTCACAACTGGGGAAGAGAGGAAAGGGGGAGTGCTGGGTTCATCTTAGAAAATAATAATAATAAAATTTTATTTATATCCTGCCCTCCCCAGCCAAAGCCGGGCTCAGATCAGCTAACAACAGTAAAATAATACAACATTCTAAAATCAATTCATTATAAAATCAGTTCAAATCAAATTGATGGCAACCATTCATAGCTGTCAACCGTCCCTTATTTGGTGGGAAAGTCCCTTATCCCAGCGCTGTGTCCCGCTGCTGTCCCTTATTGATGATGTCCCTTAAATTTCCCGGGTGTCAAAGGAAGCAGCTCCTCTCCCTCCCTCCCTGCCGGCCAGGGAGGAGGGAGGCTCCAACTGGGTTGCTTGGCTGCGTTGCTCACCCAATAAGGAGTCTAAGAATGACTGGGGGGGTGGAGCTTGCATGCCTTGTGCCAATCAAATTGGCCGCATTGCCTGGGGACTCGCCTTTGCTCAGCGCTTCCCAGCGGAGAGGTGACGGTGGTTTTCCTTGCTGCATCCCCTTTGCCAGGTTGCTGCGCTGTGGGAACCACCGCTTGAGGCTTCGTTTGGCTGCTGGTTGACTAAAATCTCTTATTTTGGCTGCTGATCCCTTATTTTCAAGGCTGCTGGTCCCTTATTTTCAAATCTGTAAGTTGACAGCTATGCAACCATTGGGCTAGAGTTCTGTGAAGAATTACCAAAGGAGGGGGTCAGGCTGTGTCTTGGCCAAAGGCCTGGTGGAACAGCTCCGTCTTGCAGACCCTGTGGAAAGATGTCAAGTCCCGCAGGGCCCTAGTCTCTTGTGACAGAGCGTTCCACCAGATCGGAGCCACAGCCAAAAAAGCCCTGGCTCTGGTTGAGGCCAGCCTAACCTATCTGTGGCCTGGGACCTCCAAGATGTTTTTATTTGAAGACCGTAAGTTTCTCTGTGGGGCATACCAGGAGAGGCGGTCCTGTAGGTACGAGGGTCCTAGGCTGTATAGGGCTTTAAAGGTCAAAACCAGCACCTTAAACCCGACCCTGTACTCCACCGGGAGCCAGTGCAGCTGGTATAGCACCAGGTGAATGTGATCCTGTGGCAAGGACCCTGTAAGGAGTCTCGCCGCGGCATTCTGCAGCCGCTGGAGTTTCTGGGTCAGTCTCAAGGGCAGCCCCACGTAGAGCGAGTTACAATAATCCAGTCTGGAGGTGACCGTCGCGTGGATCACAGTGGCTAGGTCAGGGCGAGAGAGGTAAGGAGCCAACTGCTTAGCTTGGCGGAGATGAAGAAATGCCGCCTTTGTTATAGCTGCAATCCGCGCCTCCATGGAAAGGGAGGTGTCGAAGATTACACCCAAACTCTTAACGGACGTTGCTGGCACTAATTGCGCCCCCGCAAGAGATGGGAGTTGCCCCCCAATCCCATATCGTCCCGTCCCAGCCAGAGGACCTCTGTCTTCAAAGGATTTAGCTTCAACCGGCTCCCACATAACCATCCAGCCACAGCTTCCAAACATCTGATCAGTGTGTCTGGGGCCGAGTCAGGATGGCCATCCATCAACAGATAGAGTTGGATGTCATCGGCATACTGATGGCAGCCCAGCCCAAAACTCCGGACAAGCTCCGGACAAAATCACTGCCTCCTCTACAGGTGTGCGTCACAGAATCATAGAATTGTAGAGCTGGAAAGGACCATTTAGGGCCATTTAGTTCAACCCCCTACAATGCAGGAATCTTTTGCCCAAGGTGGGATTCGAACCCACAACCTTGAGATGAAGAGTCTCATGCTCTACCAACTGAGCTATCTCAGTGGTACAGTTATGGCACTCACTCAGAAGTATGTCAGACAGCATGACAGAAAAAGAAAAAGCAGGCGTTGATATGTTTTGCTCTAAAAAAAAAATTAACAATTTAATGGTGGTTCATTCATATATTCCTTCCTTCCTTCCTTCCTTCCTTCCTTCTTTCCCCCCAGGACTTTCCTTTATGGTGTTTTGGGTGTTTATTGTTACAGATACTAAGATGCTGCTGCCCACCTTAAGTGAAAAGGCTAACATGACAGATTGCTTCCTTTTGAGCCCAGGAGGTGAATTGTTTTATTTACCGTATTTTTCGCTCCATAAGACGCACCTATTTTTTTTAGAGGGGGAATGCAAGAAAAAGGATATTCTTTAAAGGGAGCGCTGAGCAGAGCCTGTACGCATCCCAGGCTCTGCTCAGCGCTCCCTTTCACAAGCCGCGTGGAGTCAGTGACGGGCTGCCCTTCTCCCTCCTCAGGGAAAAGCCCCCAAGAGCTCCGCATGGCTCTTTAAAGGGAGCGCGGCTTTTGGGGGATTTTCTGGGAGGTGGGGGAAGGGACTGAGGGGCTAAGCCAGAAGCTAGAACAGGGAGATGGAGCGCTGTTCTGGCTTCTGGGATAGCTGCGCAGCCTGCATTCGTTCCATAAGACGCACACACATTTCCCCTTACTTTTTAGGAGGGAAAAGGTGCATCTTATAGAGCGAAAAATACGGTATTTAAATTTGCATACAGCCCTTCACCTGTAGAGCTCAGGATGGTTCACAGCATGAAAACACAAGATCAAAACGTAAAATGCACAATAAAAACACAAACAAGAACACCACAGATCAATAACACCCTTCCCACAAACACATTTAGAAGAATATGGGCTGCTAGCTCCAGCTAGGAACATAGGACACGATACGATAATCTTTATTGTCATTGTCCGATACAGAACAATGAAATTGAAAATCAACATCAGAGATTCAGAAACCAACAAGGCTGCTATCCCAGCTATCCCAGCCTGGTTAGCCCCCTAAAAACTCTGATACCCCATAATTAAATACAATACAAGCTTGCTCCATCTAACTCAGCCCTGCCTACGCTGACTGGCTTCAGGGCCAAGCGGGGATTTGAATTATTATTATTATTATTATTATTATTATTATTATTACTGACTGACAGTCTTGCTGGTTATGAGACTCTTCACAGAACACACTTTTTGCTGCAAACTATGTCTTTTTCCTGCTGAATAACTTTGGAATGCTCGGCGTACGAAATTTATAGATTCCTATTCGCGGGGGGAAAGACGATTTTGCAAAGTGCAAAACACAACGCAGCTTCTTACGGACAAACTGAGCCCGGGCTCGTCCATACCTGAATCTGAGTAGTGGTAGATCTCCTTGAAAGGTGCAATGTGGACGGTGAAATCCTCAGGGATGTAGGGCACCTGACCTTGAATTTTAGTCCGAACGCTGAGGTAATTCTCTGCATCCAGCCCGTCGGCGGTTTGCTTGACCGAAACCTTTTCCTCTCCAGGGTAGAAAGTGGCTTCAAAATGGTGAGTGAATTTAGCCCCTATTGTGGGGAGAGGGAAAGACCCGGAATATTTGATTTGTATTTATTTTAAAATTCTCTTCCTTACCCACCTTCTGCCATAAGATTCCTGGGGCAACATAACCAGCAACATACGATACGATAATCTTTATTGTCATTGTCCCATACAGAACAACGAAATTGAAAAATCTACATCAGACATTCAGAAACCCACAAGCCTGCTATCCCAGCCTGGTTAGCCCCCTAAAAACTCTGATATCCCATAATTGAATACAATATACTCCCATAGAGACTATCTTACACTGCGTTTAAAACCAAAATCGCATTTGGATAGAAACTGTTTCTCAGGCGGCTAGTCCTAGTCTTTATAACCCTGCACCTTCTTCCAGAAGGCAGAAGCTGAAAGAGATCATTTCCGGGGTGCGCACTATCCTGCGCTATCTCTGCAGCTTTCTTGTGACACCTGGAAGCATAGATTTGATCCAAGGTGGGAAGAGTGCACCCAATTATTCTCTCCGCCGTCTTTACAACCCTGGACAGCATTGTTTTTCCCCTGACCGTGCAGCTCCCAAACCACACACATGGTCCATAAGTTATTACACTCTCCACAGTACAATGTAACCATGCAAGTCAAAACAGCTTATACAATTATTAAAAGAATGTTCAACAAAAGCAATGCAGTCCAGGTAAATTGAAACGCAGAGCAACCTTAACTGCCAGGATAAACAGGTGTGTCTTTTGCACAGGATAGAGGCAGACAATGAAGGTACCGGGTGCAAGACTGTGGGGAAGGAGCCCCACAATTTTAGGGGCCGCCACAAAATCCCAGGCTGCCATTTCCCACCCCTCTGTCGAACTTAACGCCTGAGAAGTTCTGCAGAGAAGGAGCTCGCTCGGGCTGCCGGCGCTCAAGAGACAGCTTTTTCTTTCCCTTTGATACATTGCATTCTATTATCTTTCTGCAAAAGAGTTTGGGTTTTATTGCTTCATATGTTGCTAATAATAATAATAATAATAATAATAATAATAATAATAATATTTATACCCCGCCCTCCCCAGCCAGAGCCGGGCTCAGGGCAGCTAACACCAATAAAATAACAGTAAAAACATAATAGGGGGGCAAACCAATTTAAAGTACAGGTTAAAATGAAATTTAAAATGCAGCCTCATTTTAAAGGTAAAGGTAAAGGGACCCCTGACCATTAGGTCCAGTCGTGGACGACTCTGGGGTCGCGGCGCTCATCTCGCTTTATTAGCCGAGGGAGCCGGCTACAGCTTCCGGGTCATGTGGCCAGCATGACTAAGCCGCTTCTGGCGAACCAGAGCAGCGCACGGAAATGACGTTTACCTTCCAGCCGGAGCGGTACCTATTTATCTACTTGCACTTTGACGTGCTTTTGAACTGCTAGGTTGGCAGGAGCTGGGACCGAGCAACGGGAGCTCACCCCGTCGCGGGGATTCAAACCGCTGACCTTCTGATCGGCAAGTCCTAGGCTCTGTGGTTTAACCCACAGTGCCACCCATGTCCCTCTCATTTTAAAAGTAGCCCATAAATCAAAACCGTAAGGGGAGGGAAACATAAGGGTCAGACCGAGTCCAAACCAAAGGCCAGGCAGAACAGCTCTGTCTTGCAGGCCCTGCGGAAAGATGTCAAGTCCCGCAGGGCCCTAGTCTCTTGTGACAGAGCGTTCCACCAAGTAGGGGCCAGTGCCGAAAAGGCCCTGGCCCTAGTTGAGACCAATCTAACCACCTTGCGACTTGGGGCCTCCAAAATGTTGTCATTTGTGGACCTTAAGGTCCTTCGCGGGGCATACCAGGAGAGGCGGTCCCGTAGGTACGTGGATTCTATGCTTTAAAAAAAAAGATGGGAGGCAGGGTTCGTGAGGGTTGTGGCCTGGGGAGAGACCGGAGGGATGGGTTGAGAGGTCTGGCATCCCCCAGGCTTGAAGTTCCCCCACCCCTGGCCTTCACCCTCGCCTGTTCTCCCCGGGGACTCACCAGCGATCCTGAAGCCATTTTTGTAGCCCGGTTTCTCCAGAGCAAAAAGCCAGCCGAAAAATCCCCCGATGGGAGCCAAAGGCATCAGAGACCTGGCGGCCGGCTGAGGGATGTGGCTGATGGCCGTGTAGGCTCGCCCGTCGTTGCCGACAATGTAGGCATGCATATCCACTTCTCCAAAGCGCAGCGGTGTCCGGCCCACCAGCAGGTCTCCGCTCACCTTGCCGTTGAGACGGTGAGCAGCGCCTGAGAAAGCCAGAGGAGACTTTTAGCCAAAGCAGAATCATCACCAGCACCATCATCATTTTATTGTTTGTACCCTGCCCATCTGACTGGGTTGTCCAAGCCACACTGGGCGGCTCCCAACAGAATATTAAGAACATGATAAAATATTACACATTAAGAAGCTTCCCTGCGCAGGGCTGCCTTCAGATGTCTTTGAAACGTCAGATACAGTCATACCTCATGTTACGTTTGCTTCAGGTTGAGTGTTTTCAGGTTGTGTCCTGCGGCGACCCAGAAGTAACTGAACGGGTTACTTTCGGGTTTCGCCGCTCGCGCATGCGCAGACATGCAAAATGACGTCATGCGCAGAAGCGGCGAATCGCAACTCGCGCACACACAGACGCGGGTTGCGTTCTGTTCAGGTTGCGAACGGGCCTCCGGAACAGATCCCATTTGCAACCAGAGGTACCACTGTAGTTGTTTATTTCCTTGACATCTGACTGGAGGGCACCACCACCAAGAAGGCCCTCTGTCTGGTTCCCTGTAACTTCGCTTCGTGAGGGTAGGGTCTTAGCCTGCGTACCAGATGGAGCTGGTAGACAGCTGCCCTGGACACAGAAGTGACCTGTACCTCCGTGGACAGCTGTGAGCCCAAAATGACTCCCAGGCTGTGTACCTGCACACATATCTGTCAAGTGATATTCAAGAGCACAAGAAGAGTTTGCAGAATCAGGCCAGGGGCCCATTTATTTCAGCATCCTGAGCTCACAGTGGCCAACCAGATGCCTCAATGGGGAACCTGCAAGCAGGATTCAAACACAAGATCCACTACAGGTTTCCAGCAATTGGAAATCACCATTATGGCCAGTAACCACAGATACCACATGCTGATTCTATGAAGAATTCGACACTTTCCCCTAGAATTATATATTTGTAGATAGCTTCGGCTTGAAATACAGTTTGATTTATGGATTATATTTCTACGCCTCTTTTCATGCAGATGAATCCCAAAGCAGCTTACAAACAATGCGTAACATGATAGAACATCACAAACACAACGTAACTCATATGGAATTATTAACAAACCACCACTGAAACATCTAGAAAAACACTAGCAAGGCAACGACTGTAAAATAAGCTAAACATCAGAAATATAGCAAAAATCATATTACATGATTAACAAATCGATTGCAGTGTGTGTATAATATGCAAAACAATATTAACATGAACAAAATAGCAGCCCCAAAATAAACTATGCATTGTTGATACACGCACTTTCCACATCCTCATGACTTGCAATCTTTTGCTCTATTCAGCTCCTGAAAATATACCACCGATACATCATTTTCATCACAATTTTTAACATAATTTTTAAATAATTAAAAAAAAACTCGTCTTATACACAGAAAAGTATGGTACCTTCTGGCAAGCAGTGTCTTCCGTTCCCGTAGAACTTAGACTGGCAGTGGCAGCAGAAGCCTGTGCTGTAATCTGTGCAGAAGGAATGCAGGGAGCACTGGTGGTGGTGGTCCTCGCAGGTCTCCACGTTGGCAGTGCTGTAGGTGAACCCTAAATGAAAAAAACGCAAGTTGTTTTATATCTCAGAGGGAGCGGGCTGCCACAGCTGTGTCAACTTGCCCTCCCGCACAGAGCTCAGAGCTCGTCCTGTAATCCACCCCCTTTGGGCTCAGAATCTCACCTGGCTCTGGGAGAATCAGAAACCAGGAAGACCAACATTTTAATAAGGAACGGGGGGAATTTATAACTTATCTTAAAGACCATTGTAAACAGTGGAAGAAGACTGGAAGATTGGAAAAAATTTAAAGTATATCTTCAAAAATATTGTAATATTAAAGACTGTTAGAAAGATGTTGGAAAAAGAAAATTAGGTAGTTTTGGTAGATGTGACATAAAGGATTAAGCAAAAATGAGTTGATGAAATTGATGAAAGAGAGGAGGTTAAATTATAATACTTTAAATTAAACTACGTAAATGAAAATAAGGTTGGAAGGATTTGCTGAAAAAACGATCTGAACTAGAATACAAAATTGGGAGGTTAGAGGAGGTCAAGGAAATAAGTAAAGGAAAAAAGTTATGTAAAGGTTTAATCTGTTCTTGTTCTATTTCAATTGAATGTATTTTTATATCTTCTTTTTCTCTTTTTTCTCTTTTTTTCTTTTTTCTTCTCTCTCTGTTATTGTTATATTCTTTTTTGTATTTTGTATTGTTTTTTTCTTTTTGTAACTTTAAACTTGGAATAAATATATATTTTTTTTTAAAAAAAGTAAACAGTTAAAATCGTGAGTAGGATTGGAATATCCCTTGTAGCTTAATGGTGAATTTTGGATACAACAGAGAGCATCGGCTGAGAGAGATCATCAGGGGGTTTGGGCTGGGTGTCCATCAATATGCGGATGATACCCAGCTCTACCTCTCTTTCAAATCAGAACCAGTGAAAGCGGTGAAGGTCCTGTGTGAGTGCCTGGAGGTGGTTGGAGGATGGATGGCGGCTAACGGATTGAGGTTGAATCCTGAGAAGACAGAAGTTCTGTTCTTGGGGGAGAGGGGGCGAGCCGGTGTTGAGGACCTACATTGGCTCCCAGTACATTTCCGAGCACAATTCAAAGTGTTGGTGTTGACCTTTAAAGCCCTAAATGGCCTCAGTCCAGTGTACCTGAAGGAGCATCTCCACCCCCATTGTTCTGCCCGGACACTGAGGTCCAGCTCCGAGGGCCTTCTGGCGGTTCCCTCACTGCGAGAAGCCAAGCTACAGGGAGCCAGGCAGAGGGCCTTCTCGGTGGTGGCACCCGCCCTGTGGAATGCCCTCCCAGCAGATGTCAAAGAGATAAACAACTACCTGACATTTAGAAGACATCTGAAGGCAGCGCTGCTCAGGGAAGTTTTTAATGTGTGATATTTTGATGTATTTTTTATCTTTGTTGGAAGCCGCCCAGAGTGGCTAGGGAAAACCAGCCAGATCGGCGGGGTACAAATAATAAATTATTATTACTATTACTATTATTATAAAATAATTGGATTATTATAAAAGATGCAGGTGGGAATGATTAACAGCAGAACCCACAAAGGGGAGGAGGGAGCTACTAGAGATTCATTGGAATCTTGCTTTTATGCTGTATGTTGGGTATGTGACTGTATAATCTCTCTCTGAAAAACCAAATAAATAAATAAAAATGGGGTGGGGGGGAGAATCTCACCCGGTCTCCACAGGACATTTGACGATGCTAAATATTGGTTCACCTAGCCCAGCACTAGGGTACAATTTGCTCCCGGCCCAAGGTTCTTGTGTTAATTGTCAAAGTCCTAAACAACTCAGAATAATATAGCTGCAGAGATGGAGGGAGCCCCAAAGGTCGTTCCAAAGAAAGAGTTTTGACAGTGGAAAGGTCTCTCTCGGAAGGTGGTGGACTCTCCTTCCTTGGAGGTTTTGAAGCACAGGTTGGATGGCCATCTCTCAGTTGGGATTCCTGCATTTCATGGGGTTGGACTAGATGACCCTTGGTGTCCCTCTCAAGTCTACAATTCTACGATTCTATGTCTGCATTAAGCTACATTCCCAACTGACCACTGCGTTCTCCAGAAGCTCTGCAGTGGGAGCAGGTACCTTGAACCAATTCCAAATATTTTTGTATTTGAGGCACTTCCACTGAATATATGGAAGCTTTGCTAGGAGACCCACAGCTGGTTATTTGTCAATTCCAGGGGGTTGAGAGGCAATTCAAAACAAACATTTATGGAAAAATGGGATAGATATATGTTCAAAAATATAGTAAAGGTTCGCTATGTATGCTAGCATTCGATTGATGTTGGAGAGAAATTGAGTTGAGAAACAAGATGTATTATCTAACACACATTGATATAGGAACGTATTAGATAAAATGTAAAGAAATATACAATAATAAGACTAAATTCATTTGTAAAAAAAAAGAATATACAATGAGATTGACAGGAAGTCCGTAGAGTTTTCTGAAATGGTAGAGTATTTTGAAATGGCTTTGTTTTTTCTTTGTTTTTCTTTCTTTAGGTACATAAATTTGGCATATAAACTTTGTATACATGTTGGAAATTATGTTAGAATATGCCCTGTAATGTAATATGATAATGCATACATATGTGACATAAGAACGTTAAAAAAAGAAAAAGCCCACAGCTCCTGAAGCCAGCCAGAGCCAACTGCTCCGGGCTGCTGAGACTGCCGCCACTGCGTTTCCCGGGGACATTAGATGAAATCCGGGGACATGGAATTTGTCCGGGGAATTATTCGCAAATCCGGGGACTGTCCCTGGGAAACGGCGACATCTGGTTACCCTGGTGTACAGTTTCCCATTCCTTGTGAGCCTGCCCTGAAGGCAGGGAATTGGGAATGAGAAGGAGGTACAGGGAAGCGATACGATGGCCACCTTCCAATCTCTGGAGGGCTGTCTCGTGGAAGATGGAGCAAGCTTGTTTTCTGTTGCTCCAAAGGGTACAACCTGAACCAACGGGTTCAAATGACAAAGAAGGAGATTCCAATTAAACATTAGGAGGAATTTTCTGATGCCAAGAGCTGTTCAGCAATGGAATGAGCTCCCTCGGAAGGTGGTGGACTCTCCTTCCTTGGACGGTTTTAAGCAGAGGTTGGGCAGCCATCTGTCACGGATGCTTCAGCTGAGACTCCTGCATTGCAGAGGGTTGGTCTGGATGACCCTCAGGTCCCTTCCAAGTCGACAGTTCTACGATTACGGCCAATGATAAGACGGCTTCTTAAGCTCCCATTTTCACACGGGCCTATGTGCCGCCACCTGAGGACAATGCCGTCCGTTTTTTGTTTTTTTAATGATCTTAGAAGCAGCGGTTCTCATTCACCAGCCTCTGCTAGTCAGTTGGCATTCAACTTCGTTGACGCAACTCAGAGCTTCCAGGGTAGAAAAACCTCCGCCAAGCCCCTGGCTTCCCGCGCTCCCCTCTGAGGATCAGAGAAGGGGCATCTCTGAACACCCAGATGTTGCTGCACTGCAATTCCCACCATCCCCAAGACCGCTTAGCCAAGGGTCCCTGTGATGGCCTGGGATTCGGACTCGGATGCTGAACCTGAGGGATCCCAGCCTGCACAGGATTCCCCGCCTCCAGAACCAGCTGGGGCCTGAGCCTGAAGGGTCCTCACCTGTGCTGGATCCTCAGGTGCAGGCACCAGCTGAGTCTGCTCTGGCTCCTGAGGTGATGGAGGACCCATTGCCTGCAGGTGCTCCACTCTCAGCCCCGTCAGGGGCAGCCGAGGTTGCCTCTGGGTCCGGTCACCCTCCAGCCTCTCCTGAGCTGCAGAGGCTTAGGGCAGAGAGGCGGAGGGAACTAAGTTCCCGCAGGAGGAGTGCTCACCTCCAGGCCAGGAGAGGCGAGTCACCTGAGGATCGGGGCCACCCTATGCCTCGGGGCAGATAAAAGCCAGCCAGCCCCGGTCCAAGTTGCGGGAGCAACATTGTTAGTAGCCTGTTCCTGCCTGCACCCTGTCCTGCTCTTCTGCAAGAGTTCCTGACCTCACCCGACTCCCCACCTTGGACGTAGCTTCAGCTTGACGGACAGCCTCCATACCGCACCCTCGACCTCGGACTGGACTCGGACCTCGCCTCTCAGTTAGCCCCTGGGACCAGCACAGTCCCTGACCCTCTGTCTTCCTCTTCCCCACATCTCTGCGCACCACCCCAATCACACCATCAGGTCTGGCCAGATACGCAGCTGCCTCAGCTGACGTCTCTCAGCTGTGGGATATCCCGTTTCGTGTGGACGGAGAAGGGCTGTGACCGCCGGGTTCCCTGCGGCCACTAATGGCTTCTTAATTCTTCGCACGGCAGCTCTTGAGAGACAACAATCTAAATATCCGCAAGCTGGTCTGGAATGAGATCCCTGAAGGGCCAGCTGTCATGGCAGGCCAACAGCCGTCTCTAATGCACACCCTGCCCCAAAAACCACGAAGGGCGGCATTTGGCGATTCTCTCTGCCTCTCTGTCTATCGCTGTCTCTCTCAAATGCACACACTCTTCTGCAAACTCGTCCCCTGTCTCAGGACTAGAGGAGTTCATGCCTCGTGAGAATGTCAGAAGAGGCTGCTGGGTCCGGCCAATGGCCCATCTAAGTCCAGCATCCTGGTCTCCCAGTGGTCAATCAGATGATAATAATAATAATAATAATAATAATAATAATAATAATTTATTATGTATACCCCGCCCATCTGGCTGGGTTTCCCCAGCCACTCTGGGCAGCTTCCAACAGAATATTAAAATACAATAACCTATTAAACATTAAAAGCTTCCCTAACCAGAGCTGCCTTCAGATGTCTTCTAAAAGTCAGGTAGTTATTCATTTCTTTGACATCTGATAGGAGGGCATCCACAGGGCGGGTGCCACTACTGAGAAGGCCCTCTGTCTGGTTCCCTGTAACCTCACTTCTCACAGGGAGGGAACCGTCAGAAGCCCTTGGAGCCGGACCTTAGTGTCCGGGCTGAATGATGGGGGTGGAGACGCTCCTTTCAGGTATACAGGACCGAGGCCGTTTAGGGCTTTCAAGGTCAGCACCAACACTTTGAATTATGCTCGAAAACGTACTGGGAGCCAGTGTAGGTCTTTCAAGACTGGTGTTATGTGGTCTCGGCAGCCACTCTCAGTCACCAGTCTGGCTGCCGCATTCTGGAATAGTTGTAGTTTCCGGGTCACCTTCAAAGGTAGCCCCATGTAGAGCGCATTGCAGTAGTCCAAGCGGGAGATAACCAGAGCATGCACCACTCTGGCAAGACAATCTGTGGGCAGGTAGGGTCTCATCCTGCATACCAGATGGAGCTGATAGAGAGCTGCCCTGGATACAGAATTAACCTGTGCCTCCATGGACAGCTGTGAGTCCAAAATGACTCCCAGGCTGCGCACCTGGTCCTTCAGGGGCACAGTTACCCCATTCAGGACCAGGGAGTCCTCCACACCTGCCCGCCTCCAGATGTCTGTGGGAAACTCTCCAACCCCTCTTCCCCTTCTGCAGTTTTCAGCAACTGATATTTCAGAAGCACTGATGCCTCCAGCTGTGGAGACAGAACACAGCCATCCTGGCCAGTAGCCATCAATAGCCCTCTCCACCATGAATGTGTCCAATCCACTTTTAAAGCCATCTAGGTTGGTCGCCATAACTGGCTCCACAGTTATGAGTTCCACAGTTCCACTATGTGTGGCGGGGAAAATTCCTCTTTTTTACCCATCCTATAGAGCTGGACCATAAAGAAGGCTGATCGCCGAAGAATTGATGCTTTTGAATTATGGTGCTGGAGGAGACTCTGGAGAGTCCCATGGACTGCAAGAAGATCCAACCTCTCCATTCTGAAGGAAATCAGCCCTGAGTGCTCACTGGAAGGACAGATCCTGAAGCTGAGTCTCCAATACTTTGGCCACCTCATGAGAAGAGAATACTCCCTGGAAAAGACCCTGATGTTGGGAAAGATGGAGGGCAGAAGGAGAAGGGGACGACAGAGGACGAGATGGCTGGACAGTTTTCTCAAAGCTACCAGCATGAGTTTGACCAAACTGCGGGAGGCAGTGGAAGACAGGAGTGCCTGGCATGCTCTGGTCCAGGGGGTCATGAAGAGTTGGACACAACTAAATGACTAAAAACAACAACAACAAATCTCCCAACCTTCAGCTTGCCTGGATGCCCATGAATTCTAGTGTTAGCGCCTTCTGTCAAGAGTTTGGGTGTAATCCTCAACACCTCCCTTTCCATGGAGGCGCAGGTTGCAGCCACAGCAAAGGTGGCATTTTTCCATCTCTGACGTATTAAGCAGTTGGTCCTTCCCTTTCTCGCCCTGATTTGGCCACAGTGATCCACACAACGGTCACCTCCAGGCTTGATTATTGTAACACTCCACGTGGAGCTGCCCTTGAAGCTGACCCAGAAACTCCAGCGGGTGCAGAATGCCATGGCGAGACTCCTTACAGGGTCCTCGCCACGGGATCACATTCACCCGGTGCTTTACCAACTGCACTGGCTCCTGGTGGAGTACAGGATCAGGTTTAAGGTGCTGGTTTTGACCTTTAAAGCCCTATGCGGCCTAGGACCCTCGTACCTACAGGACCACCTCTCCTGGTATGTACCACAGAGGACCTTAAGGTCCACAAATGACAACACTTTGGAGGTCCCAAATTGCAAGGTGGTTAGATTGGTCTCAACTAGGGCCAGGGCCTTTTCAGCACTGGCCCCGACTTGGTGGAACGCTCTGTCACAAGAGACCAGGGCCCTGCGGGACTTGACATCTTTCCGCAGGGCCTGCAAGACAGAGCTGTTCCGCCTGGCCTTTGGTTTGGACTCAGTCTGACCCTTATGTTTCCCTCCCCTTATGGTCTTGATTTATCAGCTATTTTAAAATGAGGCTGCATTTTAAATTGCATTTTAACCTGTATTTTAAATTGGTTTTTTTCACCTATTATGTTTTTATTGTAATTTTACTGGTGTTAGCCGCCCTGAGCCCAGCTCTGGCCAAGAAGAGCGGTGTATAAATAAAAATTATTGTTGTTGTTGTTGTTGTTGTTGTTGTTGTTGTTGTTGTGGTACCTCAGGTTAAGTACTTAATTCGTTCTGGAGGTCTGTTCTTAACCTGAAACTGTTCTTACCTTGAAACACCACTTTAGCTAATGGGGCCTCCTGTTGCTGCCACGCCACCGGAGCCCGATTTCTGTTCTCATCCTGAAGCAAAGTTCTTAACCGAGGTACTATTTCTGGGTTAGCGGAGTCTGTAACCTGAAGCGTATGTAACCTGAAGCGTATGTAACCCGAGGTAGCACTGTATTATTATTAGGAGAGAGGGAGAGAAACTTTCCTCTGCCCGTTTTCTCTACTCCATGTGCATCATTATTTGACTTCATATATTTATTTAATCCATTTATATTCCTCCCTTCGTCAAAAGATCTCTGGGCGGTTCACACGACAAAAAATGCAAGACGGAAGCAGAAATAAATGGCGGAAACAAAACCAACAGAGCAATAATTCCCCCCTCCCGCAAACACATTTAAAAGGCTGCAGAAGAATAATCAGCCAAAGGCTTATTAACGAAACTGCACTTATTGCATTTGAAATTAATTCTGCTGCCTAGGAATCTCCAGTTTCAGAGACTGATGTCTGGCGTAGGGAGATGTTCTCAGGAGCTTACCGTCTGGGTCGAAGGGGAGGTCCTCGTCCACACCGACCACCCGTCTCCTGTGGCTGAAAGGAGGGGTGTCTGGGAAGCTTTCGAGAATAACTTCGCCCTCCGGGTAGTCTGGGAAGATGTCCGGGTCCATAGGGTCACTTGTGCCTTCTCCCTGCGGGGATAGGCTGTCCCCGTCTCCACGGCGCCTCAGCAGAACAGCCGTGACAGCCTCGATCGGGCTCTCGTACACTGGCGGCAGGGAAGGGGTCCTCGCGTTTTCTTCTAATACAGAAGGTGGCGTCAGTTGCTCTGCCAGGTACAGGAGGGCCGAATCCAGTTCAGAGTACGGAGGGAGGCTGCTGGGTGCTGAGTAGAGCGAGGTGGGCTCCAGTTCTGAGTCCAGGCTGGCGCCCGAGTGCCTTGGCTCGCTGTAGTCGACCTGCGCATCGGCGTTCGACGCAGCGCTGGGTCCCGGTCCGAGCGGCTGCCCAGTGGGCACCACGGGCAGGTACTCAAAATCGTCTTCACTGTCGTCGTAGAAGGGATCCGCGTAATCGAGGTTGGGGTCAGGGTATTCCGGCTCCAGGAAGTTGTGGCCGGTGGAGCTGGTCTCGGGGAGTTCCGGGGGAGCAGCGGGGAGCCCGCCGAGCGAGGCAGGGACCACATTGCCCAGCTGGGTGGCGCTGCCAATGTGGAAAGCCCAGACGCCAGGGATGCCCATGTTGCTCAGCCTAAAGGAAGGAGGAAGAAAAGGGCTTGATTAACCGTTAGGACATCAAGGGAGAACGGGAGGGTGGGCACCACAGAAATTTCCCATTGCCGGATTTTTAACCTCAACAAAGCGCTCAGCTGAACGTTTGTTTTCTCAGTCGAAGGATATTTAAAATCCCCACAGAGGAAATCAGAAGAAGTACCAACATTAAAAGACTGGCAAAATAAAATTTTTGAAACGAGTGAATTAGCAAAAATGACGTCAACAGAAATGCAATCTAATCAAAATCTCAAACAGGAATGGAAATGTATAGAAGAATACATGACCAAAAGATGCTCCAACAAGAATTTATTGATATGTATAGACTGATTTCACAAAGTTAAGTTAAGCTAAGCTAAACTAAGCAAATATATAAGATTGAATGTTTAATTATTAAGATACAAAATTACCATCTCAGTAATAAATTACAAAATAATAACAAGGAAGTCATGCACAGGTGGAGGGAAGACTCAGGGTAAGAAATAAGAAATGGATAAATGTTGGTACATAATGAAATGTGAAAATGTGAATTTACGAATATAATGTATATGTATCAATATGTAAAGATTTCATATATGTATTGCAACATTAATAATAAATAAATTAAGTGCAAATAAATAAATAAATAAAATTTAGCAGAGCAGCTATGCAACAAGGCAGGCTGGGAGCCTTATCTGAAGTACAGAAGCAGGTGTGTTACATAAGATTAGTTTTGAGAATCTGATCGTAGAATCAAAGAATTGTAGAGTCGAAGGGGGGCCCCCAGTGGTCCTCTATCCCAACGCCCTGCAACGCAGGCATCTCAGGCACCCCAAAGACTTTGCAATTCGAACAAGTAGGAGGGAAAAAACTCAAATACAAATAAAGTGGAAGTATGCAAAATGAAACGTTATTTTCCATCTTACTGTAGGTTTTTCTTCATTTTGATAAACAATTTTTTTTTAATGGTTTATTATTGTGTATATTTTGAATGAGGACACGGGTGGCACTGTGGTCTAATCCACTGAGCCTCTTGGGCTTGCTGATCAGAAGGTCGGCGGTTCGAATCCCCGCAACAGAGTGAGCTCCCATTGCTCTATCCCAGCTCCTGCCAACCTAGCAGTTCGAAAGCACACCAGTGCAAGTAGATAAATAGGTACCACTGCGGCGGGAAGGTAAACGGCGTTTCCGTGCACTCTGGTTTCCGTCACGGTGTCCCGTTGCACCAGAAGCGGGTTTGTCCTATTGGCCTCATGACAAGGAAAGCTGTCTGTGGACAAATGCCACATCCCTCGACCTGAAAGCGAGATGAGCGCCGCAACCCCATAGTCGCCTTTGACTGGACTTAACCGTCCAGGGGTCCATTACCTTTACCTATATTTTGAATCCCCTTCATGGATCCCTGCCTTGTCTTGGTGAAGGGGCTTGCCGTGCAGGGCCACCCAAGACAGACAGGCCATAGCTGAGAGTTTAGACTAAATGTGATCCACCTGGAGAAGGAACTGGCAAACCACTCCAGTATTTTGCCAAGAAAACTCCATGGACGTAAAAAAGGAGAAGCTTTGAGAAGAAAGTGAGAGTCTCCAAGGCATGCTCTGGTCCATGGGGTCACGGAATGTCGAACACGACTAAGACGACTAAACAACAACAACAATATTTTGAATAACATATATATATGGAGACACCAAAATCTTTCCAGCGCTTAGGGTCTCTAAAGATCTTTCTCCAGCCCTGAGGAAGAAGGGTGAAAGCCCAATGGCTATTGATTGACAACCTCCTTTTAAAACAAAGTAAAATAAAATAAAATAAAAACTTCAACATGAAGGGTGCGAATTCATGCAACAAGACCATTGTGGCTCCCACTGGGGCTGAGCAGCTGCCCCTGGGAGGCAGGGCCTGAGAGGCAACAGCCCTTTCCTGCTGCTACTCCTCTTCAGAAACTGGTATTCATATAGATTCATGGAACTGTAGAGTTGAAAGGGACCCCCAGAGGTCATCTAGTCCAACCCTCTGCAATGCAGGAATCTCAGCTGAAAAATCCATGACAGTGGGCCATCCAGGAGCATACAGACTTTGACTTGGCATTAGTTCAACATTCACGCTGTGCCTGAAGATTTGGGGCGGGGGCCAAAACTGAGAGGCAGCCTTACCAGCAGGGCTTACGGTCTAGTAAAACATGATTCGGAGGAAAGGGGGATTTTATGACAACCGACGAATCCCTTTGGGGCTTGGGGCCGAGGAATCTTGGCGCGTGTAATTGCCTTGGCGTGATCCCCGCGGACGAGCGAAAACAATGCGGTCCGGCTCCATCCCACACTAGCAAAGTCTGGATATCCGTGTCGGATGGGTCGCTTGGATCATGTTACTAATTGCAAACAGCAGAAACAGCTCTGCTGGAGAGGAGCTGGGAAGCAGCGATGGGATCCGGGTTGGCCACATGATCAAAGGACCGAGGCAATGGAGATCCAGATCACGGGGGAATTTGCTCTTCAGAGCTCAGCTTGGCAGACCTGAAATTCTCTTGCTCCTTCAACACCCCAAGTAGCCTCAAAAATATGCATGTAGTTCCTAAACAGCAACGGCACATGGCAGAATGCAATGCCCACTTTTCTAGGATCAGTAATGGAATAGGATGCCCATCTGTTGTGGATGCTCTAGTTGAGATTCCTGCATTGCATGGAATGGGACTAGATTACTGTCCCATCACCTCCTGGCAAATAGAAAGGGAAGAAATGGAGGCAGTGAGAGATTTTACTTTCTTGGGCTCTATGATCACTGCAGATGGTGACACAGTCATGAAATTAAAAGACACCTGCTTCTTGGGAGAAAAGCAATGACAAACCTAGACAGCATCTTAAAAAGCAGAGACATCACCTTGCCAACAAAGGTCCGTATAGTTAAAGCTCTGGTTTTCCCAGTAGTGATGTATGGAAGTGAGAGCTGGACCATAAAGAAGGTTGATCGCCGAAGAATTGATGCTTTTGAATTATGGTGCTGGAGGAGACTCTTGAGAGTCCCATGGACTGCAAGAAGATCAAACCTATCCATTCTGAAGGAAATCAGCCACCTCATGAGAGGAGAAGACTCCCTGGAAAAGACCCTGATGTTGGGAAAGATGGAGGGCACAAGGAGAAGGGGACGGCAGAAGACGAGATGGTTGGACAGTGTTCTTGAAGCTACCAGCATGAGTTTGACCAAACTGCGGGAGGCAGTGGAAGACAGGAGTGCCTGGCGTGCTCTGGTCCAGGAGGTCACAAAGAGTCGGACACGACTAAACGACTAAACAACAACAAACTGTGGCGATGACACAGGGTCCCCGGACGTCTGACGGTCTATTGATCCCTGTGCCACCACTGTGCTCGCTTCCCCGCTGCCACCAACCCGTTACTCTCGGGTACACACTGAGTCCAGACAGTTATTAAAATTGAACCAAATAAACAAGTTTATTTTATAAGTGTTAACAAGTTTAAGGTTTCTCAGATAATATTCTTGTCAGTTTCTTAGCTTTAGTTTCTTTACCGGCCTATACCTTCCTAATACTTTCTGACTGATTATATCAACTGTTTGACTGACTCCTCTTAACAGATTCTCTCACTCTCTCACATCAGACTAGCCCAACTCACACACTTATCCTCTCTCTCTCTTCTCTAACTCCAGACTGACTTCTTAACAACTCTAACTCTAACTCCTTCCCTTGGGTTCCTATTGGTTAATCATTTTACAGGGTCTTTTTGGTGGTGGCTCCCCATTTGAGAAATCCCCTTTCCTGGCCAGGTGCATCTATCTCCTTTGTTATTAACTTCTAAGAGGGGTTCTGAAAGGTTCCTGTTTGCTCGGGGTTTGATGGCTGAAAGATGCTGTTTCTGACAGCCTTGACCTTGTGAGCTTCTAAATTGTTTTCAGATGCTCTCAATTGTTCTTGCTTCTAAATTGTTTTCACTTGTTTTATTTTTATTTTAATTGCATGGTTTCGCTGCGTTCTTGTTGGCCGCCCTGGGCTCCCTTGGGAGGAAGGACGGGACAGAAATGCGATAATAAACAAGGCAGTGTTCAGCTGCTGGAGGCTGTAAATATCTCTGAACGCCAGTTTTTGGGAATCGCAGAGAGAGAACAGGCCAGGGGCCTGATCCAGTACAAGTATTCACATAGAGAGCTTCTCTCATGGACTTATTTCAGGAATGTTTGGACTGCTTGGCTTTTACATACTGAGTTGCACACGTCATTATTATTTGGGCATTGTATATATTGTCTAAGATTACTTTTTTGTGTGTATAATTTTTATTAAGTTTCCTTTTTTACAATTTAAAATATTCATTAAACAACCTTAAAACTTCCCTTATTCTCTTTCCATGGTTCAATTTGCATATCATAAATCCCTCCATATTTTACATAAACTAAACCATTCAGTATTCCATTATTACATCCATCAAAACTAGTTGAATTTATCTTAATGCTGCCAACATTTTCAAGCGTACACAGCTCCCCCCCCCCATATATTCAATCAACATTTTCCAATCTTCTTTAAAAGTATGTTCTCCTATTCTACGTGTTAGGTCCACAAGCTATGCATATTCCATCAGTTTAAGTTGCCATTTTTCTTTGGTTGAAACTTCACTCATTTTCCATTTTTGGGCTACCAAAACATGGGCCGCAGTAGTGGCATACATAAATAGCCTTTTTTGACACCTAGGAATTTCCATCTGAATTATCCCCAACAAAAAGGACTCTAGTTCGGTGGGGGGGTTTGGAAAAAAAGTACTTTTAAACCTTTTTTTCAATTCATTATGGATTATTCCCCAATACCCTTTTACCCTTTTACAGGTCCACCACATATATTATTATTTTCAGTGGCGTAGCGTGGGGGGTGCAGGGGGGCCGGCCTCACCGGGCGCAACATCTGGGGGTTAGGGTTAGGGGGCACAAATCCACGGATTAGGGGGCGCAAATCCACGGGTTAGGGGGCGCAAATTACTTGCCTTGCCCCGGGTGCTGACAACCCACACTACGCCACTGATTATTTTAGATGCCGTGTAATAAATACAAGGTGTTGAAATGCTGTACATGTTGGACCTTGGTTAGCGAGACCTAGAATCAAAGAATCAGAGGTGGAAGGGAACCTCCAGGGTCATCTAGTCTGACCCCTCGCAATGCAGGAATCTCAACTAAAACATCCATGACAGGTGGCTGTCCAACCTCCCCAGCCAGCCTGGCCAATGAGCAGGGACAATAGGAGTTGTAGTTTCAACGTGTTGTTGGTCTCCCAGCTTCCATGACCCTCAGGCAGCCTGGCCAATATTCAGGGATGATGCTCATTCCAGTGACATCTGCAGGGCGCCACATTGGTTACTCTCGAGTAGCAGCTGTGTGCCCCAGAGGTGTTCAGGGAAAGATAGATATCATGTTTGGGATATCAGGATGATGATGATGATTATTAGGACGTGGGTGGCGCTGTGGGTTAAACCACAGAGCCTAGGACTTGCTGATCAGAAGGTTGGTGGTTCGAATCCCCGCAATGGAGTGAGCTCCTGTTGCTCGGTCCCTGCTCCTGCCAACCTAGCAGTTCGAAAGCACATCAAAGTGCAAGTAGATAAATAGGTACTGCTCCGGCGGGAAGGTAAACGGCATTTCTGTGTGCTGCTCTGGTTTCTCCAGAAGCGGCTTAGTCATGCTGGCCACATGACCCGGAAGCTGTATGCCGGCTCCCTTGGCCAGTAAAGCGAGATGAGCGCCGCAACCCCAGAGTCGTCCGCGACTGGACCTAATGGTCAGGGGTCCCTTTACCACATTATTATTATTATTATTATTATTATTATTATTATTATTATTATCATCATCATCATCATCATTTTATTCCCCAGCCACTGGGGAACAAAATATTAAAAATACATTAAAACATCAGTCATTAAAAACTTCCCTAAGCAGGGCTGCCTTCAGATGTCTTCTAAATGTCAGATAGTTGTTTATTTCTTTAACATCTGATGGGAGGGTATTCCACAAGGCGGTCACCACTACCGAAAAGGCCCTCTGTAACTGTTCCCTGTAACTTCGCTTCTCGGAGCTGGACCTCAGTGTCCAGGTAGAACGATGGGGGTGGAGACGCTCCTTCAGGTATACTGGACCGAGGCCGTTTAGGGCTTTCAAGGGCAGCACCAACGCTTTGAATTGTGCTCAGAAACTTACTGGGAGCCAATGTAGGTCTTTCAAGACTGGTGTTATATGGTCTCGGCGGCCGCTCCCAGTCACCAGTCTAGCTGCCGCATTCTGGATTAGTGGCAGTTTCCGGGTCACCTTCAAAGGTAGCCCCACATAGAGCGTATTGCAGTAGTCCAAGCAGGAGATAACCAGAGCATGTACCACTCTGGAGAGACAGTCTGTGGGCAGGGAGGGTCTCATCCTGTGTACCAGATGGAGCTGGTAGACAGCCGCCCTGGATACACAATTGACCTGCAACTCCATGGACAGCTGTGAGTCCAAAATGACTCCCAGGCTGCGCACCTGGTCCTTCTGGAGCCCAGATAGAGCACTACATCAGGAAAGAATCCATGGAAGATCTTGCACAGGCTGTGGGCGAGGAAGAACTGGTGAAAGGAAGAGAACTGATGGGTTTCCTATCTGGGTGGCGAATATGCAGCCAAGTAGATAAGATGCCAACAAAGGTCCGTATAGTAAAAGCTATGGTTTTCCCAGTAGTGATGTATGGAAGTGAGAGCTGGACCATAAAGAAGGCTGATCGCTGAAGAACTGATGCTTTTGAATTCTGGTGCTGGAGGAGACTCTTGAGAGTCCCATGGACTGCAAGAAGATCAAACCTCTCCATTCTGAAGGAAATCAGGCCTGGGTGCTCACTGGAAGGACAGATCCTGAAGCTGAGGCTCCAATACTTTGGCCACCTCATGAGAAGAGAAGACTCCCTGGAAAAGACCCTGATGCTGGGAATGATGGAAGGCACAAGGAGAAGGGGACGACAGAGGACGAGATGGTGGGACAGTGTTCTCGAAGCTACCAGCATGAGTTTGACCAAACTGCGGGAGGCAGTGGAAGACAGGAGTGCCTGGCATGCTCTGGTCCATGGGGTCAAAAAGAGTCGGACACGACTAAATGACTAAACAACAACAACAGATAAGATGCCAGTCTAGGAATGAGAGGAGGGCCAGGGAGGCAGAGATTGCACGCATTCTCCGCAACTTTCTTCCATGACAGTTGTGCAAAACGCTGGGTGGATTCTGAGCCGCAAAAATAGCTGGCAGGCTGCAGGTCCCCTAAGCATCTAGAAGCAAACAAGATCTCCCTTCACAGCCCCTGAATGCTCCTCCGGCCGCGGATATTCGCACATTCCTCTCCCCTTCCCTCATGTCAGCCAACTCCAAGCCAGAGAACAGCTGGCATTTGATAACAGTGGGAAATGGAGACAGCAGCTGCGGTTTTACAGGCCCGGCTCCTCGAGTCGGTCACGTTTCAAGGAAATTTCTAAATACCCGCCTCCCCCTCCCAGTCCCAAAACTCCTTCTAATGCCAGCTGAGGCTGCTGCGAAGCATCGCTGCTGCAAATATCCAGATCGGGGTTTGGTAAGGGAAACGTACCCTGAGACTTTTTACGATGACCGGCTGTGCAATTAGGAAGCAGATTTGAGCTGGCAAGAAAAAGCCACAAATGGTCAATTGTTTAATTTACTAACAGCCTTGAAGATACAGCATTGACCTAGCTGGGGCACTGGTTTGACCCAGCAGAGTCCTTATGTTCTTATGTCAGGGTTCTTCAGCAGATACGTCATTACAGAATCATAGAATTGTAGAATTGGAAGGTACCCCGAGAATCATCTAGTGCAGGGGTTGGCAAACTGTTTCAGCAGGGGGCTGTTCCACTGTCCCTCAGACCTTGTGGGGGGCCGGACTATATTTTGGGGGGGAAATAAATGAATTCCCACAAAGAACCCAGAGATGCATTTTAAATAAAAGAATGTTTCCGAGCACAATTCAAAGTGTTGGTACTGAACTTTAAAGCCCTAAACGGCCTCGGCCCAGTACAGTGGTACCTTGGGTTACATACGCTTCAGGTTACAGACTCTGCTAACCCAGAAATAGTACCTCGGGTTAAGAACTTTGCTTCAGGATGAGAACAGAAATCGTGCTCCGGGGGCGCGGCGGCAGCGGGAGGCCCCATTAGCTAAAGTGGTGCTTCAGGTTAAGAACAGTTTCAGGTTAAGAACGGACCTCCGGAACGAATTAAGTACAGTGGTGCCTCGCAAGACGAAAAGAATCCGTTCCGCGAGTCTCTTCGTCTTGCGGGTTTTTTCGTCTTGCGAAGCAAGCCCATTAGAGGTTTAGCGCTTAGCGCTACAGTATTAGCGGCTTAGCCAGCTTAAAGATCAGCTGATAAGCGGCTTAACGATCAGCTGATAAGCGGCTTAGCATCAGCTGTTAAGCGGCTTAAAGACCAGCTGATAAGCGGCTTAGCATCAGCTGTTAAGCGGCTTAAAGATCAGCTGATAAGCGGCTTAGCATCAGCTGTTAAGCGGCTTAAAGATCAGCTGATAAGCGGCTTAGCATCAGCTGTTAAGCGGCTTAAAGATCAGCTGATAAGCGGCTTAGCCATCAGCTGATAAGCGGTTTAGCGGCTTGGGGAAAAGGGGGGGAAAGGAAAAAAACCCCGCAGGAACTCGCAAGACATTTTCGTCTTGCGAAGCAAGCACATAGGAAATTCCTTTTGCGAAGCACCTCCAAAACGGAAAACCCTTTCGTCTAGCGGGTTTTCCGTCTTGCGAGGCATTCGTCTTGCGGGGCACCACTGTACTTAACCTGAGGTACCACTGTATACCTGCAGAAGCATCTCCAGCCCCATCGTTCTGCCCAGACACTGAGGTCCAGCGCCGAGGGCCTTCTGGCGGTTCCCTCCCTGCAAGAAGCAAAGCTAGAGGGAACCAGGCAGAGGGCCTTTTCGGTGGTAGCGCCCGCCCTGTGGAACACCCTCCCATCAGATGTCAAAGAGGTAAACAACCACCTGACATTTAGAAGACATCTGAAGGCAGCCCTGTTTGGGGAAGTTTTTAATGTGTGACATTTTTATGTATTTTTAATCTTTGTTGGAACTGCCTAGAGTGGCTGGGGAGACCCAGCCAGATGGGCGGGATACAAATAAATTATTATGATTATGATTATGATGATTATTCAGGGAAGCCACCACCCCCAACTCTCCCCTCCCTTCTCCAAAGCACCAGATGAGCCCGGTGGCTGCTTACCTGTGTCTTGTGAGAGGCAGGGGCTGGCGGCGGCGGGACGATGAGCGCCGCGCGAAAGGGCTCAGGAGAGGGGCTGGCAGCAACAAAGCCCGAACTGAGCCTGCTTACAATGGCGGCCGCTTGAGCGCTAACGCTGCTACTGCTGGCGACAACAAAGCCCAGCCCCCTTCCTCTTGGCTCTAGGCAGGGCAGGGAGAAGCCAGGAGGAGGGAGGGAAGGAGGAGGAGGAGGCACCGCTGAACGCACGCGCTGGCGCAGCCCAAACGATCAGATCCATGCTGATCAACAAAGTGATTCCTGGACCATCTGTGGGCCGGATCCCGAAGGCAACTGGGCCAAATCCGGACCCCCGGGCCTTAGTTTGCCTACCCATGCAATAGTGCAATTCCCTGCAATACAGGAATATGCAGCTGTTCTATATGTTGATCGAACCTGCAACTTTGGTGTTATGGAACCTGGCATATTCCCAGTCCGCCTCCCCTGCTCTTTCATTCCACAATCGGACATGGGGGGGGGGAGTAGCCTCAGGGCTGGGCTGATTGCTAAAGAGGAGACCCTCTGGCCTCCTTGCTTTTATATTTTTCCGATCTTGAAGGCGCATGGTATCCTCCAGATTGGGCATCCAACGTAGACACAGTTTGTAAAAAAAAAGGTAAAGGTAAAGGACCCCGGATGGTTAAGTCCAGTCAAAGGGAACTATGGGGTTGCGCCGCTCATCTCGCTTTCAGGCTAAGGAGCCGGTGTTTGTCCACAGACAGCTTTCCGGGTCCCATGGCTAGCAGGACTAAACTGCTTCTGGCACAACAGAACATTGTGACGGAAACCAGAGCGCACAGAAACACTGCTTACCTTCCCCGCAGCAGTGGTACCTATTTATCTACTTGCACTGGCGTGCTTTCGAACTGCTAGGTTGGCAGGAGCTGGGACAGAGCAACGGGAGCTCACGCCGTCACGAGGATTCGAACCGCTGACCTTCTGATCGGCAAGCCCAAGAGGCTCGGTGGCTTATACCACAGCACCACTTGAGTTCACAGTTTGTACCCAGCTTGTACCACATGGCAAGAACACACGCCAGTCAAGGGCAGGACGCCAGCAGTCAAAAGAGTGACCTTAGCAAGTTTGCAACAACATCACCATCCGAGAAGGATGTTTTCCCACAGGTTTTCCACACAGTGCTGGCCTCTCTTTGAACCCAAATTTGGAAAGAGGGGCAGAACAGCACATATCACCCAGCAGACATGGCATTATCTAAGGAAACAGCCAGCTAACACAAACAAAGTTTGCATGCGACATCTGACACCAGATCCAAACCCATCTCCGCTTTCTGATAAGGCAGGCTGGCAAGCTTGTTTGGTGTCAGAGTGCAAGAGGTTCAAAAACAAATCTAACTTTTTGGCTGTGCAGCTTTAAACACAAATAAATCAGAAATTCTGCACCCAGAAGTGTTGGATTCTGCAACCTGTAATGAGCTGGGCAAATGTGCACAATTTTGCAGACGTTTCATCATTTGTTTTGCAGCTGTTGCAACATGGGGAAGCCTCACTCCCTGGAAATGTGTTCAATGAAAGCAAAGTTCTGTGGAGGGCAGATTCCGCACCCGGTGCCAATTCCTTTGTTTGCACACTGCGGTGGTTCCCAAACTGTGGACGACACCAAGTTATTCACCTCTGATTCACTTTTCCCCCAAACTAAAAATGCCGCCAAGCGCTGCACCCTTTCTCCAAAGGGGAGTCCTTTTGGGCAGAAAAGGACTGGTTCCTTCCCCTTGGTGGGCAAGCAGCCCACTGACCTAAAGGCCAGGCTCTCCCCCGGAATTTCCCTGCCAAACCCTTCAAAGATATCAACATTTGGCACATACTCGCAAACTGCAAAGGCAGAAGGAAAATACCGTATTTTTCGCTCTATAAGACACACTCGACATAAGACGCACCTAGTTTCGGAGGAGGAAAACAAGAAGAAAAATATTCTGAATCTGCGCAGCGCCTCTCCAGCAAAGCGGGAGGAGAAATGGAAGGGGCTCCATTTCTCCTCCCGCTTCACTAAAGGGGTGCTGTGCAGCTCTCCCTCTCTGTGCAGCGCCTGTTTAGTGAAGCAAAGTCAGAACAGCAAGAGGGATCACTGCACAGTGAAAGCAGCGATCCCTCTTGCTGTTCTGGCTTCAGCGATAGCTGCGCAGCCTGCACTCTCCATAAGACGCACACACATTTCCCCTTACTTTTTAGGAGGGAAAAGGTGCGTCTTATAGAACGAAAAATACAGTAAGATGTTTGGAGGTAGAACCAGACAGCACACCAGTTACTTACTGGTAGAGGTTCTTGACGGACTGCTCACTGCTGGTGACGCTGTGGTACGGCCCTTCCCGGCGCTGATAGTCCCCTCTGCTGAAGCCGACTCTGGCTGGCAGCTCCAGGTGGACGTTGTAGGATTCTTTGGGCCGCGTCCCAAAGAACTGGACCCCATCCTCGGGGTAGAGGAAGAGGGCATAGGCATCCGAATCGCTGTAGGCCAAGACTGCTTGGAAGGTGTTGTGCTGCGGAAGCAAAGTGCAGAGACTCAAAATCAGTCCTGTTCAGCTCAAAGGAGAGAACGGGCATCAGGTGTGGGGCAGGGGCAAACTAGGGGCATAAAGTGAGCTCCTGGTTGCTCATTTCCACACGGAGGTGTCTGCCAGTGCCAAACAGCTGATGAGCGCTGGCAGGAAAGCCGCACCCCCCCCCTCCTTGGGGATGGAGATGCTGGCTTTGAAGTCTGTTTGCAAGAAGCAGTTGGAGATTCAAGCCACTTTCTGCAAACAGGGCATCTTCCCCCTGCAGAGGCCTGGAGCCGGTCGCTCGCCTGCTCATTTGCAAAACTGACGCTGGACATCTCAAAACTGGGCATTAAAAGAAATGTGACTTTGTAACATAAAGTAGCACTATATGCATTGGCAGCTAAGAAGATCAGGAGAAAAGAACTACAGTGGTACCTCAGGTTACATACGCTTCAGGTTACATATGCTTCAGGTTACAGACTCCACTAACCCAGAAATAGTGCTTCAGGTTAAGAACTTTGCTTCAGGATGAGAACAGAAATCGCACGGTGGCGCAGCAGCAGCAGGAGGCCCCATTAGCTAAAGTGGTGCTTCAGGTTAAGAACAGTTTCAGGTTAAGTACGGACCTCCGGAACGAATTAAGTACTTAACCTGAGGTACCACTGTAGATAACATAGCGGTCAGTTGCAAAGGTGATTCGGTCATTTAGGCTGGCACATTCTACTTGAGAACCCCTTGCTATTCTATCGTATGCAACAAATAATTTTTAGGAGACGTGATCGTGGTTTATTGTATCTGCAGTGCCTGGTGTTTTTATGGTTAGTGTTGCTTTTCTTTTTGTTCCCATTGTGAATGATGCCCTGGCCTTTGGCTAGTGCAATAAAGCTGATGAGTATGATGATGATTAAAAGAAATAGATTGGTTCCTGCATTGCAAGGCCCTTTGGGGCGCTTCCAACTTCATAGTTCTATGAATCTAATCCTGAACCAGATACAGAACACAGCAGTGGCATGGTCCTAGATTATCAGATCAAGGGAGGGGTCGGCTTTGCTGCTCAACTCCAGTTAAGGAGTAAAGGTCTGCATGGGCAGATTCCATTTCTTCCGCTCCTCCTTTCCCAGAAGGCTGCTGCTCAAAACGCCCTGTAAAACTGCCCTGTTTGGTATCATTCATCTCCCTCCCGTCTTATCTCCCTGCCTTTTAATCTCGACTCAGCTGCAAGGAGGGGAAATAAATCCGTTTTCCTCCATTGGATTATCTCCCCCTCGGGAGCCGCAAGAGAGATTCCAGTTTTCACCCAAGCCAAAAGAAGCTCAAGAGACGCAATCGCCGATTCCCAAAAAAGGGAGAAGTTGTGGATTCAAGCTTGCTTGGAAACAGGCCCTCGGACTCAGCCCGGGCACGTGGGTGGAGGCTGGTTGTGAAAACCAATGAGGACGACACAGAACTCTGCACATGCTCAGAGGCACTTCTTCCTTGTCCTTAAACCTTCTCCTTCTCCTCCACACACACATTTTCCTTTCCCCGTTGACCCCTCCATTCTTTTTCAGGCCCAATCCTTTCCGTTTCCTTATATGCCTCATCGCCTTTAGATCAGGCTCTGGTTGAGTTGACCCCTTAAACTACAACCCTTGACGGCTGTGCCAAATTTAGTAGAGAAAAAAACCCTGCGTGGCAGAACATCTCTCCCACAATATTTCAGATGTGTGAGGATTTCCTCTCCTTGGCTATTAGACCGGCACTGTATCCTGTATCCTTTGGGGCGCCTCCTTTAGACCTTCCTCTTTCAACAACCCTTTGAAGCTGAGATCTTTCCCACCCAGCAATCATTTTGAAGATGTTTTTAAGGTGCGTTCTCATTTGTCGCTTGCGGCCCTGGGCTCGTTTTGGAGGAAGGAGACAGGATATACAATTGACTCTGTATGTAAGCAACAATTTGTTTCTTTTAAGTATTTATAAGCCGTCCTTCACCCATAAGGAGAGGCTGCTGGGTGAAGTCAATAACCCATCTAGAACAGCATCCTGTTCTCACAGGCTGCCCAGATGTTGTGGGAAACCCATATATATATATATATATATTAAATGTTCATGGATTTGCCAGGCAAACACGTACATAAATGTATGGGCCACATGTCTGAGGCAGTGCAGGAGGGCAGTCCTGGAGCCATTTTGGGTCCGAAACTGACCAAATGTTTTCTCTGCAAGGTTAAAGGAAAATGGAAAAGCCTCCCCATTGTCTTTTCATTCACAAAACTTGTCTTAATGGTATATCTGTGTATGAATAGGGTGAGCTTGTGACCTGGCTCAGGAACTAAGTATTTGTCACTACAAAAGACTGGCCAGGCTCCCCAGGATATCCAGTCAAGTAAGCATTAACAGGTAACCTGCCAGACAGGAGATAAACAACAACAGGAGAGAAACAATGCACTCAGATTTCTGTTGTAGACTGCCCTTTCTGTGATGTAGGTATGATGTGTCTGAGGGGTGGTCTTGGACTCCAGGGCGGGCAATTTAAAATGTCTATATAAGGGCGGGCACACCTTGGTTCTGGGTCCTCCTCCTTTCCTGCGTGTGCGGGGAGCACCCTGTTGCAACAGTTCAATAAAGATCAGGCTTATGAGCTGCTTTGCTTCTCAATATTCTCTGGTTTGCCTCTGTTCTTTTCTCCGACCGATGGAGAACCTGCAAAGGACTCTATAAGGGCTCTTGTGTCTCCCTTAAGGGAATAAGGGCAGATTTTCGTTTATTACACCTGCAAGCAGGATCTGAGCACAAGGGCAACTCTCCCCTTCTGTGGCTTCCAGCAACTGGGATTCAGAGGCAATGTGGTCTCCAACCATGGAGACAGGGCAAAACATCATGGCTAGTAGCCATGAACCTACCCAGACCCTGAAATCATCTTCTAAGGCCCTTCTGCTTCATGTGCCTCCTCCTCAAGAGGTCTGGAGGGTGGCAATATGAGAACGGGGCCTTCTCTGCAGTGGCTCCCCATCTGTAGGATGCTCTCCCCAGGAGAGTTCGCCTGGTGCCTTCATTAAACACCTTTAGGCTCCAGGCAAAAACATTCCTTTTTAACCAGGCTTTTGGTTGATCTGATTGACATCCTATTCCCTTTTAAAATGTGGAGGTTTTTGGAGGGGTGTTACTGGGTGGTTGTTTTTATTTTTATTAGGTATCGTGTGGGTTTATATCTTGATTTTATTCTGTGAACCGCCCTGAGACCCCCAGGTTTAGGGCGGAATAATAATAATAATAATAATAATAATAATAATAATAGGCTTGCTCTCCATGATAGCCTGGGTAAGAGGAGACTGAGAGGAGATACAATGGCCATCTTGAAATAGCTAAAGAGCTGTCATACAGAGAATGGAGCAAGCTTGCTTTCCGCTGCTCCAAAGAGGACCCAAACCGAGGGATTCAAGTTACAGGAAACAAGATTCCACTCAACATCAGAAGAACCCTTCCCTGGCCGTACTTTTCCATGACACAGCCCTGCGCCTTCATTGAGTGATTTTTACAAACCTGGTAAGGTGCCTTTGAACTGCAAGAGGCTCCTATGTACAAAGGACGCGGGTGGCTCTGTGGTCTAAACCACTGAGCCTCTTGGACTTGCCGATTGGCAGGTCGGCGGTTCGAATCCCCGCGACGGAGTGAACTCGCGTCGCTCTGTCCCAGCTCCTGCCAACCTAGCAGTTTGAAAGCACACTTGTGCAAGCAGACAAATAGGTACCACTGTGGCGGGAAGGTAAATGGTGTTTCCATGCGCTGCGCTGGTTCGCCAGAAGTGGCTTAGTCATGCTGGCCGCATGACCCGGAAGCTGTATGCCGGCTCCCTCGCCCAATAAAGTGAGATGAGCGCCACAACCCCAGAGTTGGCCACGACTGGACCTAATGGCCACACGACCCAGAAAGCTGTCTGTGGACAAATGCCGGCTCCCTCAGCCTGAAAGCGAGATGAGCGCCACACCTCATAGTCACTTTTGACTGGACTTTACCGACCAGGGGTCCTTTACCATTATAGTCATACCTCGTGTTGCGTTTGCTTCATGATACGTTTTTTCAGGCTGCGTCCCGCAGTGACCCAGAAGTACCAGAAAGGGTTACTTCCGGGTTTCACTGCTTGCGCATGCGCAGACGTGCAAAATGACGTCACGCGCATGTGCAGATGCGGCGAATCGTGACCCACACATGAGCAGACGCGGGTTGCGTTCTGCTCATGTTGCAAACGGGACTCCGGAACGGATCCCGTTCGTAACCAGAGGTACCACTGTACCTTTTACCTATGCACAACAGGTAACAAGTCCCGCCTTTGGCCCCGCCCACTTGTGCCTCAGGGCCCCTCCCACCTCTGGCATAAGGCCCCCAGGAAGCCGGCCTTGAGGGAACGCAACCCTTGACCTATTAAAGCTTCCCCAGCCCAAGAGGGTAGTTCTCTGCCCCGAGGAGCTTACAATCTGAAATGGCCTGGCGTTATTGTCTGGGGTGCTTCCCGGAGATGCGGAAGATCGACGTGTCGTGGTTGCCATCTGTTGTAAATAAAAATATGCCCTTTTTTCCCTTATGGGGTATCCAAGAGCCCATATAGAGTCCTTACATAGGTTCCCTATTGGTAGGAGAAAATAACAGAGGCCAACCAGAGAATATTGAGAAGCAAAGCAGCTAGTAAGCTTGATCTTTATTGATCTGTTGCAACAGGATGCTCCCCTCACATGCAGGAAAGGAGGAGGGCCCACAAAAATGCTGTGCAAGGGCTTATAAAGACTTTTGAAATTCCCATCCTCTAGATCAAGACCACCCCCCAGAAACATCATACATACATCACGTGAGGGGTGTAACCCTAAGACCACCCCTCAGATACATCACAGAAAAGGCGGTCTTAAAACAGAAATTTCAATATTGTTTTTCTCTTATCCTTGTTTATTTCCTGTCTGGCAGGTTACTTGATTGGATTGCCTGAGGAGCCTGGCCAGTCTTTTGTAATGATAAAGCTCACACCCTTCTTCAAACACAGACATACCCTTAAGACAGGATTTGTGAAGGAAGAGACAATGGGGTGGCTTTTCCATTTTGACCTTGCAGAGAAAACATTTGGTCAGTTTAGGAATCAAAATGGTTCCAGGTTGGTCTTTCTGTGCTGATCTGTGTATGTGCGGTTATGTACATTACCATATATCTAAGACCATAAAATTCCTATCATAGACGTCACCCTTCCTCAGGGACAGAGTCTCTCAGGAAGCCCACGGCCTCCTCCTTCACCGATAACCTTGTGTTTCCTGAGCAAGCACCTTCTGCACCCAAGAAGACCTTCGTGCTAGAGGGTATCAGCGTTATTGCGGGGCCGGAAGGCAGTGCCTGAGGCCGTCGTGGCCGCATGTCCAAATATGTGCCTGGAGATCTGGAATGCAGAAACTATGGACATCCCCGCTCCGGCTGATAAGGGTTTCGGCAAGAGCCTTTGGGGGATTTTCCTCTCAAACTCAAAAAAAAAGAGCTTTGCAAATGTTAAGTAAACAAATCAAAAAGATAGTATTGTTGGACGTAGACAAGGGCTGATCTCTGGCTCTGATGAAGCCATGGCTTTGTCAGAATGAAAAAGAAGTGGAAAAGGAGGGGGGGGAATCTCAAAATGTGTAGCAACCAATTTCACAGCATTCCCTTGAAAATAATTCAGATGTTCCTGACAGCCACAAGTTTTCCTCCAGAAGTGGTCGTGTTTGGCAATCTGAGACAAGCTGTCATTTCTATTGAGCTGCTTAGCTTCAGATAAGGAGGCGGCCTCACCAGCCCAAGAGCAAATCCAGCCTTTGGGCTATCTAAGCAGATAGTGTCTGCTCTGGCTGGCAGCAGCCCTGCAAAGCCTAAGGCCCAAGATTTTTGCTTCTGAGTAACAGCCACTGGAAACCACAGGAGGGAAGAGTTGCTCTCGATACAGCAGGCTGTTGTTTCATGAAGAAGAAATTCCTCTTTTGTATTTTTGGCTAATGTTTCTTTTATTTTGCTTTCTTTATTTTCTCTTTCTCGCTCTTTCCTCTCCTTATTCCTATGGTTCCTTTCTTTCCTTCTTCTGTTTTTGTTGTGTATCTTTTAGAGCTGTATTTTTATTCTGGGAAAATCTCAATTAAAAAATCTTATTATTATTTAAAAAACAAAACACTCAAAGAGGTTGACGAAAAAGATAAAGCGATAAAATGGTCACCCAGAAAAACGAACAGCAATAGTTTAAGACTTGCAGGAAGCTTAAGATGACAAGAGACTAAAAGCAGATTAAAGCTCACGCCAAGTTTCTAAACATACAAAAGTATTAAAACTAAAATGGAATAGCACTCACATTAACTTTCTAAGCATCTGGGTGGGCTCGTCTGAACAAAAATGTTTTTCGCAGTCACCAAAGAAAGTACAGTGGTACCTCAGGTTAAGTACTTAATTCGTTCCGGAGGTCTGTTCTTAACCTGAAACTGTTCTTAACCTGAAGCACCACTTTAGCTAATGGGGCCTCCTGCTGCCGCCACGCCGCTGGAGCACGATTTCTGTTCTCATCCTGAAGCAAAGTTCTTAACCTGAAGCACTATTTCTGGGTTAGCAGAGTCTGTAACCTGAAGCATATGTAACCTGAAGCATATGTAACCTGAGGTACCACTGTACAGTGAAGATGCCTGCCTGATTATCAAGAGGCAAGGAGTTCCAAAGGACATGATCTGCTGGGAATCTCTGGCCCGAGCCTACTTGCAATGCCTGGCATTTTCCCAGATTCATTTCAGCAGAGTTTCGGGAGGAGAGCATTCCCTGTGGATTCTTCCCTTAAGCAAACGAACAAACAGAGCACAGTGTACAAAAAATGAGTCTCGTTGCACAAGGACTTCCGCTTGCACAATGGGGTTTTCCCCCCTTCCCCCTGTGCACCCCAAAATGGGCTCGGGGGGGGGGCCGTGAGAAACCCCAGAATGGCATGCAGTGTAGAGGAGATGGGGGGGTTGTCCCATCCGGCAAGCGGAAATGACAGAACGGTGGCCTCAGCACAAAGCTGGATTCTTCCTGGAGGTTTGCATCTAAACACGCAGGATTAAGCCCCCAGTTAAATGGGAAATCTGACAGATAACAGTGTTCCGGTGGGGTCAAGCGTCAAAGGGCAAGGGCAAAGGTCAGCTTGACTTGCTTGTTCCTAAGCCACCCTCGATGGACTCTGAGCACCCAACATTTGTTCAAACGGAGGGCAAATTCTGCCAGCCTGAATCCGGTTTCCTCAACTCCAGATGGCGGCTGAGACCCAATTCTTCAACGCAGAATCTCTGGCAGCCTACGCCAGTGGAACGATCTGGTTGTAGATTCTCCTTCCTTGCAGGTTTTTAAGCAGAGCTTGGATTTCCTTCCGTCATGGATGCTTTAGCTGAGATTACTGCACTGCTGCGGGGCTGGACTAGATGACCCTTGGTGCCCTCCCAACTCTATGATTCTTTCTCCCACCCCGTGGTCTTTGACAGGAAGAGGCAGCCTGGCGCTCTGAGGATCTGGGGGCCAGAAGGCGAACAATTCTGCAACCGTCTGGGGTGAGGGAGCTCACATTGGCTACCTCCACTTTTGCAGGTTCCCTGGCATTTAAAAACAAAACAGCACGCCAGGGTTATGCGACATGGGAAGCTGCCTGATGCTGAGCCAGACCACTTGCCATATACCTCAGTGTTGCACGCACTGACTGGCAGCTCCAGGGTTTCTGGCAAGGGACATTCACAGCCAAACCTAGTGGTGATAGGGACTGAACCAGTATATTAACACACTGTGTGTGTGTGTGTGTGTGTGTGTGTGTGTGTGGCTTTAATTCTATTCATTTTGGCTCCTGAACAGCGAAAACCCGGAACATTTTCGGACGCCGAACGTCCGACAAGGCTTCTGCTGGTGTGCAGGGAGCTCCTGCAGCCAATCGGAAGCCACGCCTTGGTTTTCAAACGTTTCAGAAGTCTAATGGACTTTTGGAACGGATTACGTTCGAGAACCAAGGTACGACTGTAAATGTTCTAAGCATTTTGCATTATATCCGTGTCGATTTAATTTGTGTAAGCCGCCTTGAGGCTCGGTTTGGGAAGAAGGTGGGATAGAAATAACAATAACAAACACAACAACAGGACTTTTTGAATGCAAACCAGAGGCACCCCCACTGAGTTACAGCCCTTTCGTGTTGTTTTTAAATGTGCGCAAATCGATTTAAAAATAGATATCTGCAGACCTACCTCGTTAGAGGAATGCCATTAGGGCCTTCATTTCCATGTGTGGCGGAAAATCTGAAACATGCCTTTCGTTCCCAGCAGACACGGGCATGAATCATTCACAGAGATATCCCCCACCCACCCAACAAAACAAGGCTGAGGTTAAAACGGTTAACAAAACAAAAGCAGTCAGACTTTCCCAAAACGGAAAGCCCTCTTTGCCTTTTCCTAGGCAGCTGCCTTAAACTGAGTCAGACAGCTGAGCCATCTTGTTCAACACTGACCGGCAGCCTCTCTCCAGGGTTTCAAAGAGCACTGAGTGCTGCCAGATCCAGCACTTGTGCTACCAGGAAGAGTTGCTGGGATCGCTAAGCCTGAACGCCGGAGCAGTCCTTGTTTCCTTGAATACAGAGTTAACTTCACTGACACCATGTGATTTATTGTTGACCTGGTCCTGACACCAAATCACCTTTCCATTTCCATCCCAATGGGAGCAGCGGCTGTCCGTATCTCTTCCCTCTCTATTGTATCAAATGCCCTATAGGATCCCAACAGCTTGGCCAATGACAGGAGACGAAGAAGAAGGGTTTGGATTTGATATCCCGCTTTATCACTACTCTAAGGAGTCTCAAAGCAGCTAACAATCTCCTTTTTCCCTTCCTCCCCCACAACAAACACTCTGTGAGGTGAGTGGGGCTGAGAGACTTCAGAGAAGTGTGACTGGCCCAAGGTCACCCAGCAGCTGCATGTGGAGGAGCGGGGAAGCGAACCCAGTTCACCAGATTACGAGTCCACTGCTCTTAACCACTACACCACACTGGCGCACCCCAAGGAGCACCCCAAGCAGAAATTGCCAGAAATGCAGACGTCACAAACCATCGCCTCACCTGTTTGGAAGGCTCTGAGTTCCGGCTGACTTCTTCATAGGCCCCCACGTTCTCCCAGGTAGCGATGAAGGTGTGGCGTGGGGCAAACCCGTCCGCACTGGGGAATCCAGCCTGGATTAGCTGGGCAGCCCGATCCGTCACCTCCCTGGAGTCGTCCAGGCGGTAATAGATTTTGCCCCTCCCACCGCTGGTGTCGATGTCCGACAGGAAAGGAGCAACTGCGGGGAAGTCCGTGGGGAAATCATCGTCCACATACTGGGTCTCTCTAGGGAAGTCCTGGGTGGAAATGATCCCATTGGTCCCAACCTGTCAGGGAGCCAGGTCAAAGAAGAATGAATAAAGTGATCAAATATCAAACGCAGTGGAAGACTAAAGGTTTGTACGGTTCTCATCATAAATTTTAATTTAGTTTTACAAATTAAAAGTGACATTCAAAATCATAAATCATAGAAAGATAAACAAAGAATCAATTGAATCTCTGGAATTTCCCCCACCCCTCCATCACTAATCTTTTTTCGCTGCATATTTTAAGTCACTCCGTTTTTTAAAAAATATTCCATGCACTCCTAGTTCTTGTTACATTATAAAGGTAAAGGAAAAGGGACCCCTGACCATTAGGTCCAGTTGTGGCCGACTCTGGGGTTGCGGTGCTCATCTTGCTTTATTGCCCGAGGGAGCCAGTGTACAACTTCCGGGTCATGTGGCCAGCAGGACTAAGCAGCTTCTGGCAAACCAGAGCAGCGCACGGAAACGCCGTTTACCTTCCCGCCGGAGTGGTACCTATTTATCTACTTGCACTTTGACGTGCTTTCGAACTGTTAGATTGGCAGGAGCAGGGACCGAGCAACGGGAGCTCACCCCATCACGGGGATTCGAACTGCCGACCTTCTGATCGGCAAGCCCTAGGCTCTGTGGTTTAACCCACAGCGCCACCCGCGTCCCTGTTACGTTATAAGTGTTATTTAAATCCTGCTTAGGAGCTCAACTGTTTCCAGTGGTCTCCAAGGTAAGTTATAAATTCCCCCCATTCTTTATTGAAATTCTCTTCTTCCTGGTTTCTGATTTCCCCAGTCATTTCCGCCATCTCCACATGGACTATCAGTTTGATCTTCCATTCCTCTCTGGGGGGAACTTCCTTCCATCTCTGGGCTAACCGTTTGTACAGTTCTGGTTTCCTCACCTCAAAAGGATACGGTAGAGTTGGGAAAGGTTCAGAAAATGGCAACCAATATGGTGGAGGGGACAGAGCAACTGCCCTTTGAGGAATGGTTGCAGCATTTAGGACTTTTTCATTTAAAGAAAAAGCAAGGAAGGAGCAACATGATAGAATTTTATAAATTTATGCATGGCATGGAGAGAATGGAGAGAAAAAGCTTCCCTCCCTCTCGTGTAACACGATAACTTGTGGACATCCAATGAATGTTGGAAGATTTGGGGCAGAGAAAAGATAGTCTTTACACAGCGCAGAGTTAAACCCTGGAACTCCCTGCCACATGAGGCAGTGATGGACCCTGACCTTTAGATGGCTTTAAAAGAGAATTGGGCAAATTTATGCATTAAGTGAATCACAGGCATCTAATTGCTTACTCGTAGCTGGATGGAGAAATGTAAGAAAGATTTAGGTCCCAGTTGCCGGAGAGATAATCAGGGAAATTAATACTGACTGGCCTGTGGAATGAGATCAGTTGGTGTCACCACTAGGGAAAGTTTGGGGTGGGACAGCCTTCTCCATGGTGACTCCCAGATTCTGAGCTCCTTCCCTTGGGAAACGCTGCTGTCCTCCTCGTTACAATTATACCTCAGGTTACAGATGCTTCAGGTTGCGTTTTTGCAGGTTGCGGACTGCCGAAAACCGGAACGGGTTACTTCTGGGTTTCGGCGGTCGCGCATGTGCAGAAGCACTGAATCGCAACCCGAGCATGCGCAGACATGCCGCTGCGGGTTGCAAACGTGCATCTTGCACGGATCACGTTCGCAACCCGAGCGTCCACTGTACTCCCTTTTATGCACCAGTTATGGGCTTATTTTATTCACCTGAGCCTTCGGGGATTTAGCATCCCCGGGACCCAGCAATTGCAAATGTTAGATTGCAGTCTTTAATGCAATTGTGAAATATTTTTGCGACAGAGATTTTACTGCATGATAAACTGCCTTGAGGTCCCAGATGGGAGGAGGGGTAGGTACAGAAATAAAATAATACGTCCGTATAGTGCTTAAAAACTGCACTTGCAAGCAGCCCATAAAAATCATAGAATCATAGAATTATAGAGTTGGAAGAGACCACAAGGGCCATCGAGTCCAACCCCCTGCCAAGCAGGAAACACCATCAGAGCACTCCTGACATATGGTTGTCAAGCCTCTGCTTAAAGACCTCCAAAGAAGGAGACTCCACCACACTCCTTGGCAGCCAATTCCACTGTCAAACAGCTCTTACTGTCAGGAAGTTCTTCCTAATGTTTAGGTGGAGTCTTCTTTCTTGTAGTTTGGATCCATTGCTCCGTGTCCGCTTCTCTGGAGCAGCAGAAAACAACCTTTCTCCCTCCTCTATGTGACATCCTTTTATATAGTTGAACATGGCTATCATATCACCCCTTAACCTCCTCTTCTCCAGGCTAAACATGCCCAGCTCCCTTAGCCGTTCCTCATAAGGCATCGTTTCCAGGCCTTTGACCATTTTGGTTGCCCTCCTCTGGACACGTTCCAGTTTGTCAGTGTCCTTCTTGAACTGTGGTGCCCAGAATAATCAGAGCATTCTGCAGGAATCCTTAAAACAACCCTGCAAGGAAAATTCCCCAGATTAAGTGGGAGGCAGCTAGGAAAGTGGAGGTTTGCTCAAGGCTGCCTTGTGAGTTTACAACTGTGGATAAGAATGGAGCCTGGGAACTTCCAGGCTCAACAATAACAACCTTACTCACAAGGAAACTGTGTGTCTGCTTCTGCCACAGGAGGCTGTGGGCAGGCTGCTGCCTTTCAGCCTCAGTTTCTCATCCATAAAATGGGAGCAGCACCAACTCACTATCAAGGTTAAGAAAACACATCTGCAGATGAAAAGCTGTTGATTTTATTTCCTTTTAGTTATTAAAATCTAGCAGGTTTTCGTTTGCATTTTTTTCCTATTTTTCAAATAAGTAGATGTGGAGAGATGTGGCAGAATTCGACCGTTAGCCTTCAATCGGTGGATCGGGACCAGCTGCCAGCTCAAAGCCGGACCCAAAGTGGGTCACCACAGCAGCACAACCACCCTACATTTACACAGGGTTGTGCTTGCAGCAGAGCATCAAAATTAATTGACCCACGTTTGCTATGTCTGTCTGTTTCAATGCAGCTACTCTGAGCAGGGGGAGCATTGGATACCCCCAACTGCATTGGGGGAGGGTCTCAAGACAGGTCCTCGGTTTGCAAAGGCCAAAAGGCCACCCAGCTAAATGAATGTGTCATCACTGGAGAGGAATTGGCGACAGAGATTCTGCAGTGTCTGTCGAGGGACGGAGCGCCGGCTTGGAAAAAGATATTCGGAAAGGGACACACAGAGTTCTTATTGAGTGCCCAGGAATGTCCTGGGCAAACAGATGCCCGGCCAAGGACCCCTCCCTGCCTCTGGCATCTGGCACAGCTCTGGGCTGGCTCAGCAGGGTGGTGGTGCCATGGGGGGGGGGTGAGTCCTTGGCTTCTCCCTGGGGCTGGCACCATCCTCCAACCAGGAGCCTGACACCAGCCTTTGCCAAGCTGGTGCCCTCCAGATGTTGATGGATGGCAACTCCCATCCGCCCCGGACGGCACATCTGGAGGGCACGAGAAAGCCCCGCCAGCCCCCAATATCTGGAGGGCACAGACAACACCCAAACGCCCTGCCCACCAAAATCCGGAGGGTACAGCCCCATCCAACATCTGGAGGGCACAACCCCCATCAGCCCCGCCCAACATCTGCAGGGCAGTGGCGTAGCGTGGGGTGCAGGGGGCTGGCCGCACCGGGCGCAACATCTGGGGGGCGCACTCGCACCTCTCTGCCCCTACTGGGTTAGGGGGCGCAAATTACTTGCCTTGCCCCGGGTGCTGACAACCCACACTACGCCACTGCTGCAGGGCACATCCATCCCCGTCCCGTCCAACAAGATCTGCGGGGCACCCGCTGGGCGAAGGCTGCCCTAGACGAATGCCCTGCTCCTCTCCCCCCAAGTCCCCCGATCTCTCTCTCTCTCTCTATGGGGCGTCGGACTTACATAGACCTGGCTGAATCGGGTCTCGTAGTAGAGCAGCGGGCTGGGCAGCTGCACGGGAGCCGAGGTCTCGTCGTCGCCGTCGGGCAGCTGCCGGTCGCCGCGCGGGGGCCCGAAGGGGAAGAGCTGCGCTCGGGGCAGGGCAGCCCCCCAGCCCGGCAGCTGCAGGAGGAGGAGGAGGAAGAGCCCGGGCAGCGCGGCTTCCCCCAGCATGGCCCTCGCAATGGACTTGCTCCGGGAGGAGGAGGAGGAAGGGGAAGCGGGCGGGGCGGGCGCAGCTCCGGAGCGGGAGGCGCGAAGCCCACGGCCGCCCCCTCGAGTCCCGGCAGCTGGCCCAGGGCAGGGCGGGGCCGGAGGCGCCTCTCCCGCCTCTCCATTGGCTGCCCGGAGCCCGGGCAGCGGCCAATCAAGCCCTCCTGGACTAGAGAGGATGCCAGTAACCCCCCCACACACTCCACCCCCCCGACGGCAACATCTGGAGCTCGTTAGAGGCTCGGCGGGCGCAGCGGCTGCAGCGCCGCTGGCTGCCCGCCCCGTCGGGGATGCGGCCTCGGTGCCCGGCGCGCATCGGAACAGCTGGATCCCGCTGCTTGGGCGCAGGCACGTCGCGCAGAGAGGGGCGCAGCGGACCAGGAGGAGAGCCTGGCTGCCGGATCAGCCCATGGCCCATCTGGTCCGCTGTCCTCTTCGCACGGGGGGCCAGCCAGACGCCCCGAGGGGAGAGCCACAAGTGGTACCCCGGAACTTTCTCCCCTCCTGTGGTTCCATCTGAAATTCCTTTCTTCTTAAGCTCACTGGCAATATTGTCAGTGGAGATAAAATACATCAAACATCAAAAAAACGAAGATCATGGCCACTGGGCCCATCACCTCCTGGCAAATAGAAGGGGAAGAAATGGAGGCAGTGAGAGATTTTACTTTCTTGGGCTCCATGATCACTGCAGATGGTGACAGCAGCCACGAAATTAAAAGACGCCTGCTTCTTGGGAGAAAAGCAATGACAAACCTAGACAGCATCTTAAAAAGCAGAACATCACCTTGCCAACAAAGGTCCGTATTGTTAAAGCTATGGTTTTCCCAGCAGTGATGTATGGAAGTGAGAGCTTGACCATAAAGAAAGCTGATCACCGAAGAATGGATGCTTTTGAATTATGGTGCTGGAGGAGACTCTGGAGAGTCCCATGGACTGCAAGAAGATCCAACCTCTCCATTCTGAAGGAAATCAGCCCTGAGTGCTCACTGGAAGGACAGATCCTGAAGCTGAGGCTCCAAGACTTTGGCCACCTCATGAGAAGAGAAGACTCCCTGGAAAAGACCCTGATGTTGGGAAAGGAGAAGGGGACGACAGAGGACGAGATGGTTGGACAGTGTTCTCGAAGCTACCAGCATGAGTTTGACCAAACTGCGGGAGGCAGTGGAAGACAGGAGTGCCTGGCGTGCTCTGGTCCAGGGGGTCATGAAGAGTCGGACACAACTAAACAACAACAGATAAAATACTGAGGAAGATGGACCGACTGTGTGACTGGATCAGGCCATTTCTTTGCCCAAACTATATCCCACCTACTGCCACCCACCCGCCCCCTTTTATATGAAGGGTCATAGCTCAATAACAGAACATGTGCTTGGCATGCAGAAGGCACCGCATTCAATCTTTAGCATCTCCAGGTGAGACTGCTAATCGCTCCTGCCTGCAACCCTGGAGAGCAGCTGCCGTTCAGAGTAGACAATATTGAGCTATATGAACCCATACACTCCCTTGGTCTATAAGGCAGTGCCTTTATTCCCAGCTTTTGTGTCACCTCTCCTTTGAGTTCCAGAAAACCGCTGTGTTTTCCTGTCACTTGTAATATGTTCCTTGACGTGCCGCTGCGTCCAGTTACACTAAAACCCCAGACTATTCCCAGCTGTTTCCCAGTGACACAAAGAACATCCTTTTATAATTACAAAGAAGAGGAAGAAAAGGAACCGTTGTTCAGTCATTTGACATGCATTTGCAATGCCCTGGGGAGAAATGGAACATTTCCTCTTCCTTTAACTTTAGTGCAGTGTTTAATTAATTCTTTTAGGGTGCAAAGGCCAGAGGCACAGGCAGAGGGGAGAGACACAGGCCTGCATTTTACTAAATAAAAAAAAATTAGAAAAAGCTGAATTCCATATCAAAGAAGACTGCAGTCTTGCACTCAGTACAAACTCTGCAGTTTGCAAAAATCTGCATGTGTTTCCCCTGGCATGACTTAATTTGCTTCCTTTTGAAGAAATCTTGTGAGGAGGGCAGTGTGAAGCACATATTCATTCTCTAAACAAGCCCACAGTAATTCAGTGGAACATCCAAAGTCAGGAGCAGTTTATCTTGGAATCTCAGATGGTACTTTAGCTTTGCTCTTCCACCTGAGCTTTGCATTAGAACCACTGGCTTAAAGGTTTCGCTATAATGGGGTAATTCAGGAGGAACTGTCTATTGAGCAATGATTCTGAATTGTCTACAGAGAGGTTACATGTTGTTGTGTCAAAGCAAGTGCGAGCCAACACTTTGCAATTCCTTTCCCCATCAGTTTACTTCTTGTAAAGAGTTTGATCCACATGCTCTTCAACAGTGGGGACATAGGTTTCCAGGCGGGAGTTGATCATGTTGAGGTTTTGCCAAGCGTGCCTTCCTCTTAGCGCATTTCTCCCTTTAATTTTGGCAAAATTAACTGCTATAATAAGAAATCAGTCGAATCAAAAATTTAAAAAGGAGTGGAAATGTTTTGATGAATATATGGCAAATATTGCTAAAAAAAAAAGATACGCTAATATGCCTAGATTAAAATGTGAAGTACTGGCTGGAAGAAAAATTAGTAAGGAAAGATAATAAGAATATATAGATGATCTGAGAAGACTTTAGAATGCAAAGATTATTGTAAATTGTATAATGTGGAGGAAATCGAGTGGGGGAGGAGGGAAGTGGGAGGAAGGAGAAAAGAATAATATGATGGACTGAGGAAATATAAAAGTAAATGTATGGGAGGATGGGGAGGAAATGGTGTTGGCTTTGGTACACCTGTATTGTAATGTAATATGTGAAAACCAATAAAAATAAATAAATAAATAAAAATATATGACTAGCTAAAAAAAAAGGGGGGGAACCTCTGCACTTTTATATTTTTTCTTTTTTTAAAATGATATTTATTAAGGTTTCAAAAGAAGGATACATAGATAAGAAAGAGAAAAATAGAAAAAAGAAAAATACAAAATACAAAAAAAAACAATTAAAAACAATTCCATCTTTTCATCACTTCTCTTTCATTTACTTGTTTCCCGGACCTCCTCATACCTCCCTTTTTTGTATTCCAGTTCAATTTATTAGTCCAGCAATTCCTTTCCCTCCTTTTTAATCCTGATCTTTAAACTTAATATATTATAACATTAGGTTTTTACATATTGAAAATCCAATTTTTCCATATTCTTTTATACCATTACAGCTAGAAACCACTTAATTTCAATCCAACATCATTCTAACATTCATTAATTTTACAATATTTCTGTAAGTAGTCTTTAAATTTCTTCCAGTCTTCTTCCACCGACTCTTCTCCCTGGTCTCGGATTCTGCCAGTCATTTCCGCCAATTCCATGTAGTCCATCATTTTCATCTGCTGCACTTTTATATTTTTTCTGTCCTGAATCTTCCTCATAGAAGAGTCACTCCATCCCACTGATCATTTTCGTGACCCTTTCCAGAAGCTTTTCCAACTCCAGTCGGGTGGGCTGCATATAAATAATAAAACTATTATTATTATTATTATTATTACCCTCCAAAATTTCTCCAGTGAAAATACAGATGTCCCCTCCAACAGTTTTCCGCTGTAAATAGGGACGTCCTACCATACCCTCTGATGAAAAGAAGAATATGCAGAATTAGACAAATTAACAGGAAGGATCCAAAACCGGCGGGACCAGAAATTTACCGAAGACTGGAGTAAATTTACGAACTATATGAAAGGTATTTGTGATGATCAGACGACGTTTGTAGGTTTGCAAGAAGTTCTGTGAGGAGTATTGTTGGAAATATTGTAAAAATGGAAAAGGGGAGATGATAAGTTAAGTGAGGTAAAGACAATATAAAATTAAGTAATGCATAAAAAGAGGTTAAGACGGAAGATCATCGGAGGTGCTGATGGAAGTCCAAAAAAAGGGTATTTGTAATAATTTGTGTGGTACGTTTTATAATTTGTATGTTAAAATTAATAAAAATGTATTTATATATAAAAAAGAGGGACTTCCTAAGGAAAGGGGGGACATTTCGGAATCAAATCAGAAACTGGGATGGCTTCTGTAAATCCGGGACAGTCCCTGGAAAATAGGGACACTTAGAGGGTCTGAAACTACAGCTCCCATGATTCTTTGCGGCAAGCCATAAGATGTTTAGAGTGGCATCACGGTACTTTAAATATACAGTGGACGCTCGGATTGCGAACGTGATCCGTGTGGGATGCACGTTCGCAACCCACAGCTTTCGCAACCGTCAGTGGTGCATCTTGCGGTTGCAATTTGGCGCTTCTGCGCATGCTCAAAGCGTGATTTAGCACTTCTGCACATGCGCGACCACTGAAACCCGGAGGTAACCCGTTCCGGTACTTCCGGGTTTCGGCGGGTCCACAACCCAAAAAAACGCAACCTGAAGCGTCTGTAACCCGAGGTATGACTGTATGGTGCCATTGTGGCCAAAGTAAGCCCACATCCAGGGTCCCCAGAGATCCCCTCAAACTTGGGATCTCATAAGCTCAGGAAATTGGGGAACTTCAGAACCTCAGTGGAGCTGACACCAGAGCTGTTTTGCCCATGCTGTGGCCATTGTTGTCTGTTAACAGGAGAACCGAGACTCTTTCAGCGCTGAGTCCTTATCACTGTTGTGACAGCGTCGAGGCTGCAGGCCGTCCTGCTCACCCTGGAAATATGTTGCCGGCTCCACAATGCCCAAGACTATCGGTCCCTGATGTTGTAAACAAAAATCTGCCCTTTTCCCTTATCCAAGAGCCCATATAGAGTCCTTACGTAGGTTCCCTATTGGTAGGAGAAAATAACAGAGGCCAGCCAGAGAATATTGAGAAGCAAAGCAGCTAGTAAGCTTGATCTTTATTGATCTGTTGCAACAGGGTGCTCCCCTCACACGCAGGAAAGGAGGAGAAACGAACAATGGTGCGCAAGGCCTTATATAGACATTTTAAATTCCCTGTCCTGTAGATCAAGACCACC